TTATTATTACTATTATTACTATTATTATTGTTATTAAATTATTATTATTTGTACGGCCGACAGATTGAAAGGTGTTCTGCGTGTTGACAGCCGTGACCGGATTAAGTGAACGTCACACTCCCTCACTATAGCATCCACAGGCAACGTATCGATGACTACGAATCGAGGAATATCTGCAGCAAGGTGAGACAGGCACTGGGCCGACTGTACAGGCGAAGCAAAAACCGCGTGGGACAAAAAGCCTCGCTGCCTCGCTTCGGCCGAGGGTAACACCATGCACAAACATAACCGTACGAGCCCTGGCCGACCTCCCTTAGGAAAGTGAGACAGTGGAAATCGTGCCGAGATGTTCGCACACCAACTTGAATCAATTTGCCCACGGAAAGTTTGGATGTCACCCTTGCTGGATATGAAAGGATATGTTGCACAAGGTAACATCACAATGAAAGCTGCAGAAGTGTTGCAAGGTCGTGCATTTGCGTGCAGCAAGCAACACTTCTATGGGCAAAGTATCAAGTACTATCTGCCTCAAGGTGAGACAGGTAGTGGGCCAGCTGTATAGGCGAAGCAAAGCGTGGGCAAAAGCCTAGCCTCGCCCGCGGAACACACAATGTCAATGTACCCACATAAAGGCACAAGCCCTGGCCACCCTTCCTTTGGAAAGTGGCATGGAGGGAATCTGCTCATATCTTCGCACGCCAACTTGAACCAACGTCTCCACGAAACTTTAAAGACTTTAAATAACACGCTGACAGGATATGATACACGAAGTAGCATCACGAAGAAAGCTGTCAGAGGAGAGATGCTGTACGGCCGACATATTGAAAGGTGTTCAGCGTTTGCAGTATATAGTACTAGTATCGGTCGGTCCGCTGGCCGAGAACGCTAAGGTGACAGCAAGTGGTTTGACAACGCCTGTGCAAGATCCTCCGTTCTCAGGCAGGTGCCCGAATATCGAGACTTGGGTCACTCGATGCACGTCTACTTCCACGCTCCATGTGGAAACTTCGGAGTAGTTCCTCACCTTGCGACTCACCAACAGAGACAAACCTGTGTTGACAGCCGTGACCGGATTAAGTCACAGGTCCGGGCATGCCCTGGGCGTCACACTCCTGTTGCATCTAACAAATCTATGGGCAGTGTATCTACGGCTTCGAACCTAGGAACTTCTGCATCAAGGTGAGAGGGCGAAGCAAGAAACCACGTGGGAAAACACCTCGCCTCGGCAAACACCGCGTCAATGTGCAGACATAAAGGTACAAGCCCAGGCCACCCTTCCTTTGGAAAGTGACATGGCGGGAAAGTACGCATATCTTCGCAGGCCAACTTGAACCAACGTTTCCACGAAAGTTTGTATGACACGCTGACAGGATATGATACACGAAGTAGCATCACGAAGAAAGCTGTCGCGCAAAGAGTCGCGCATTGGCTCGCAGGAACTACAACTGCAGAAAGAGGCCTAAGTACCTCAAAAGTGGGAGCTGACGAAAGTGCGAAACAACTCACAGCAGAAGCCACTCGCTTGCCAAAGTAATCCACGAAAAGAATCCAAGCATGCCTCGATACACTGAAGAACGTGGATGCCATGAAAACAGAAAAACACAAGCTGACAAGCGATGCTGGTCGGCATTCCAGTGAAATGCGTTCGCAACAGTAGGGGAAAAGACACCCCTCCTGCAACTAGTAGCTACTTACTCGTGGGTCCTGGCATCATTTGCGCCGTATTCACATGCAGACGAGGTCCTGAGGCACCGAGACTTGGAATGGAAAGAAATTGAGAATGTCGCAATATTCGCACTGGTGATAAAGTGCTACTCCTAGGACACACGCTCGTAGGAGGACTGGTGTTTTGATGAGTTTCAACCCGAACGCAATCTTCAGAGTTGAGCAACCTTACGGCAGTTTCGGCTGTCACGAAAAGTGAAATGTGCAAAAGCCGGTGCGTTTAGGCTCATGAAGTGTCGAAAATAGTGCCAGGGCCGACAAAAACGTGTTAGGCAGCTGCGGGTGTCAAGGATCACGAAGTAGTTTTTGAAGGTTTGGTATGTTTCTTGTGCTGCGGGCGTCTTACGCATCTTTTAACAAAGGAAAGCACTACTTGCACAGTATGCTGTACAACAGACAGAAACGCTGTAAATGTCAGTTTTTTGGGCATGGTCGCCAAAGGCATAGATGCTTGTGACAATGTGTCTTGCTCCACATCCTTGCACGGTATGTTGTACAATGAAGCAAAAATGCTGCAAGTGCCAGTGTGTTAGGCATGGTCGCCAAAGGCATGGATGTTTGTGGCAACGTGTCTTGCTCCAAATCCTTGCGTGGTACGCTGTACAAAGAAGCAAAAATGCTGTAAATGCCAGTGTTTGGTTTTGGGCATGGTCGTCAAAGGTATCGTTATGATAATAATAAGTAGCCGCAGCAGCAGCAGGAGTAGTAGTAGTAGCAGCAGTAGTAGTAAGTAGTAGTACTAGTACTAGTACTAATAGTGCTCGCAGTAGTCGTGGTCACAATAGCAATAATAGCAATAGTAGAAGCAGTAGCAGCAGCAGTAGTAATAGTGGTGGTGGTGGTTGTCGTTGTCGCAGAAGTCATGGACGCAATACTCATAACCCTGGGACCGGGTGACCCCACATGAGTACATCGTGCTTGAGCTACAGTAGTGCGTTGCATGTCGTCCAAACTGCGCGTGTGTGTCGTCGTGGTAGTTGCTGTTCAGTAGCCGCAGCAGCAGCAGCAGAAACGGTAGCAGTCATACTAGCGGTGGGAGTAGAAGCAATAGTATCAGTAGCAGTAGCACCAGTAGCAGTCGTAGCATTCGACAATTGATGATGATCATGATCATGATCATGGTGATGCTGAAGAGTCATGAACGGTGCGAGTGTTTGGCCTGACTTCGGTCTTCTCTAGGTTCTGGATGAATGATTGTGAAATTCGGCGCTTGGCTATCATGCTGCAGCATCGTCTTCTCTTGAGTGCTGTGTCAGTTACAGCGATTAATACCCTGGCCTTGAGGGTGTAAGAGGAGTTCCTGTCCGTCGCCTATCGCGTCGTGGTAAGGGAAAAACCCGAAGTGCAGCCCTGAACTCCATTCCTTGCCGTCGTAGCAGTCGTAGCAGTAGCAGTAGTAGTAGTTGTTGTTGTCGTAGAAGTATCAGTAGTAGTAGTAGTAGTAGTAGTAGTAGTAGTAGTAGTAGTAGTAGTAGTAGTAGTAGTAGTAGTAGTAGTAGTAGTAGTAGTAGTAGTAGTAGTAGTACTAGTAGTAGTACTAGTAGTAGTACTAGTACTAGTACTAGTGGTCCTCAAAAAAGGACCCCAATTGTTTTTTACACCGTAATTATCGGAAACTCCCACATGGCCTGACACGACAGCGAGTCATAGACTTACAGCCTCCAGGCGTTGAACTTTCTGAGTTAGATCTGTGTTACACCAGGGGCCGGATAACCCAACAGTCTACTGTTCATGGATAGTCAAAACAAAAACATTTTGCATCGGCCTGCCGTAGTACATTCTCAACAAACAATGGACATGCACGGTCTGGATCCACGTATGCCGGAGTCATGCAGAGTCAATGCCACTGTGGTGCACAGCTGCCACACCTGTTTCAATGATTCGAGCAAACACGAGCGATGCCTTCTTCAGGCATCATCCAGATTGACTGTGATAGGACCTCTCGCAAGCAAGCAGCAGATGCAAGCACAAACATCACGTATCGTGCGAATGTGCGACTGCTTCGACACAACGAACATCATGCGGTTGCAGTACCGAGCTTCACGATTTTTGGCCGCAGCCTTTCGCCATAAGAGCCTGTACAAGTTGGTCTGTGCCGTTTAGCACCGGCACCGCCAGGAGCTCGTCCACACCGCAACTTCGGAGCATACCCAGCTGCAAAGGATGTCATGATGCACCCGAAGCATTCAAATCTTTTGCTTAGTAGGGAACGGGGGAATGTCCCCATATAACCCCCAATAATAGTCTCCATAATCCATTCCCCCCTTCCCTGCTAAGAACCCGACAGAAATGCCAGAGTTGCCAAAGATGAAAATCACTTGGCCTTGGTGGGATCTGCGATGCCCCGCCACGGCCTAAGCCCTCTGTCGCTTGCTCTACCGGCCGAGCCTCGCTCTTACGCCGTGCTGTTGAAACCAAAGGTTATTTACTTATTATAGCAGATAATGGGGAAACTAGAAGATATATCATAAGGTTATGTAGTTATTTATGTTGACATATGTATAGCAGATCATGGGGAAACTCGAAAACAGATCACAAGGAGAAAAACTATGGTGGATGACATATATACAGTACGGCATATAATGTCTGCTGTACAACCTGTCCGTATGCTATATGACATATGTTACATGATGTATGATACTCTCCATGCACTGGCGAATTATAGCAGGGCTGGCGACTCCCTGGCGAGCAGACATGTCGTCGAAGCCGAGTCTGTCCTCTAGAGATCGTTTGGAGCAGCACGAAGGCACGTCCATCTCGACCGGGTTGTTCAGATGCACAGCCCTACACAAAAGGTGGCGGATCAGCCGATCCGCCGCTTCATTTCAGCTCACGGCCGTGCCTATGAAAGTGCTACGCGAAGGAGATGCAGCATTTTGAAGTCATGATCGTGCGCGGACTTGCCTGGACAACAACGCCCTCGGCACTCAAAGCATTAAAAAGAAGGGTGCCGCAGCCAGAAGCTGCCCAGTGCACCCAGCAAGGTCTCAACACCAAGCTGTCAGTTCAGAAACGCCATACTTATAAGGCGACATAAAACGGAGAATGATTCTCGGATGGTCGTTGCCTAGACCTGCTCCAGCAGACTGTGAGTAAAGTCGGCTAGGGATCAAAACCATAACTATGGCATCCGTAGCAGATACATGATTAATTCAAGCCCGTCTGCTGGAATGCGGGTGCTCTCCCTGCCATGGCTGAGACAATGACCAGAACCGTCGGACACATGCGGCTCCACTCTCACCCTCGTCCCACCGGCCACGCTGCGCTGAGAAACATCACTCCTTGCTGGCCAGCTTGAAGCAGCGATTGCTGAGATCAGCCATCTTCTTCATGAAGGCCCCTTTGTCAAAGCTAAAGCTGACCCTGTCAGCTGTGTCCAAGTCCACGCTCCCCATCTGCTGACAGATCCAGTTGCAGACTTCATATGGGATCTGGTAGGAGCCAGCAAGTTTGTCTCTAGTCAAGAGGCCGGCACCGTCTAGGTCGAGCAAGTCAAAAGCTCTTTCCCAGAGCCTCCAAGAAGTCTCCGGAACCTGCAACTTGAGGAAGGACTTGGTCACTATCGCTGCCGGAGCCTTCTCGTAGGCAAAGAGAGCCTCTTTCTGAGCTAGGACTTCTTCTTCCCTGGTGAGCTGCAGGGCCAGGAACTCACCGACAACGCTGTCCACGGCTGGGTTGCCTTCCTTCGGGCGGTATTCGCTGGGGCACATCGTGGCAATGAAATCATCTTTGGCCTGCGACGGCTTCCCAGATTTGCCATAATCCAGGATCATCTCTTGGCGAATGGGCAATGGCAACACCGGGCGAGCGACAAAGTCCGCATGATCGCGTACCAACTGACGAGTCCGATCAACCTGCCCTCGCAGTCCTTCGAGCTGGTCCAGCTCCTGGCATGTGCAAAGATACTTGCAGGTCAGGCAACTTAGCAAATGTATGGTTGCAGGTACCTTGATTGGGGTTATGATGCATTACAAGTATAGTTGCCTCATGCATAACTCTATAGCTACGAAGTCCCATGATTCGTAAAGTACGGCTTATAAGAGGCAATTCGTGTTTTTGCCTCCTGCCGTGCTAGGACGAACCTACAACGCAAAGACTCTAATGTCCAGAGCAGCATAAGACTTCGAGTTTGATCGGGTGTGAGGCTTAGGCTCGTCGGCGCTTATCGGAGCAACGCAATGCGGCGATTAAATGTCCTTGAGCCAGCTCTGAAACATTCGGAGATGCCGCGCGGAGGCACGAGGGCTGATCTTCTTCAGGAAGGAAGCCAGGCTGAACTTCGCGCCATTCCTATGTTGGAGCCTCTGAAGAATCTAGTCGTAATCTGGACCTGTAAGCCCTACGAGGGAACAAGTAAAATATCCCAGTGGCCTACCTAGATTCTGCCAGAGTGTTTCCATGTCTTCCAGCGCTGGCCATAGCTTCGCGATCCAGAACTCCGCATCTATCGTCGTGTCCAAGACCTGCTCCGCTTCGGCATGGGAGATGTCGAAGTGCCGAGACGATGCACAATAGCGAAAGAGATCTCGGACAATTCTGATTTGACTTCGACGTAGAAATCCAGAATCTAGCGAGGCGGCCGTCTCCATTGGCGGATTTACCGGGGCCGTGTGAGACAAGCGAAACTTGCGCTCTTCATTTTCGAAAATCTCTGGATCATCATCAAGGCCTCTTACAGAGAATCGCTCCAGGAACAGTGCAAAAGGAACCGAGAGGGGATCTCCCCCCAGCCCCAGAAACCAGTTCTCAATCGCTGGAAGAGGTGCCGATCCGGCTTCCAACTTAGACCTCTGCTCCTCTGACGCTGCCTTGCTCAGCTCATCGTCTAGGATCCTTTGGAATATCTGCTTTCCTGGGTTGGACTGGAAAAACACAGCTCACCCAAACAACAGCTGTTCGTTGAAAGCTTCCCCAAAGCACCACCGAGTCTCCCAAGTTCTGCCTGCTTGAGCACCCCGACAGCTTTGCGATGCCGAACATACATTCCACGCCATAGAGGAAGGAGGAGATCATGGCGGTGAACTCAGGCAGCTCAAAGCTTCGACTGTCGTTCTCGTCGAAGACGCCGACGAGGAAGCGAATCTTTTGCTTCTTGGAGATAGTGCTGGACATGGCGATGGCCGCAGTGAGGAAGGCGGGGATTGATACCCTCACCTTCCGATACTCCGATGCTGCGCGAGTCTGTTGCAGCTTCATGTAGCCGGCCGGGTCGAAGGTTCTGATCCACTCCAGGACTTTGGGCCTCGGTAACTCGAGGTCGGATCAACAGCAAGTGCTCCGGCTTCTGTGGACTAAGGTTCACGCATTGGCACGGAGAGCAGCTCTTGAAACTGGTATGCATCCATGACTGCTGGGGCGTGGCCGGGATTCCAGCCACCACAAGCCTGCCAGCGGTTGTACACCTCCACCCAGCTCTGCAGCGAGCGCATGGAAATTGACCTGCAATCGGCTGTAGGCATGCTGGTCAGAATTCGTCCCCAGGAGTCTGGCAGCCAGTCCAGCTGCGGCTCCTGCAAGAAGCTGCAGCTCACAATCTGCCGCACTAACGATGGAGCACTGCGCACACCCTTTCATGCAGCACAAGCCCCAGTGACACTAATGAAACTGTGGCTGCCACATGGCAGACTCCGAAGAGCCAACTCGGCAGGTCTGGCGCCTCTTCCCGGATTGCGCATGCCACTTCCTCCAATGTGTCCGCCGCGAAGGACAGTCTCCTGCGAAGCTGATGTTGCTTTGCAGAGGACCCAGACCGGGTGGTGTCGACCTCCGCAATGGTCCGCGTAGATTTCTTGGAAGCTACTGCGGGCAAGCCAGTATCCGCGCTACTCACCGTGGCAGCCTTTCCCGGACGCTGGCCGGACATGCTGCAAGGCCTCCGGTGGGGCTTTACAGTCTCGACAGAGTCACAGGGTTAATTGGAATTCTGGATACGGAATTCTAACAAATCAGATGGCCTCTGGCTCTCTTGCCTCCAACCCGGACTCCGTGTGCCGCTTGCCATGCTGCTTGCTGGTCGTGGCCTCTGCCCTGACCTTGACCGCGAGCTTTGCGACTCAGGTCTCGCCTTGGATTCGGTGGTCGCGGTGAGAACGTCACCCACCAGAGGTAGGTCTTGCAAACCATCCTCTGTCACTGTAACTGCTTCATGCTGGTAGGCCATGTCGGCTTTCCCGGTCGCGGCGTTCAGGCCATCAAGAATCGTCTTTGTCCTCATGGCCCTGGGTGCCCTGGGTGTGTTTGGCATCGACAGAAGTGCAGAAATCTTGCTCGAGACGTCCGCCTTAGTGTAATGGCGCCCTCGGGAGCCAGGACGCGCTTGTGCCGGGGGCATGGCGGAAATTGCGAAAGCACCGCCAGCTTTCGGTTTGGCTTGCTAGACTCCTAGGCGTGATAAATGCGACGCTGAATTCTCCGATCAGCCACAGGACTGCCTCACCGGATCCACCACATGTGCCAGAGCTGCGGGGGTTGCACCATACTAGAAGAACCGCATGATGAGACGACAAGCGGTGACTGAGTCGTGCTTCACTCCCGGTGCACTACCGTAAGTCCGTAGCCACGCCCTGCCTCGCAAGGCTTCCAGGAAGAAGGCGAGGGCGCCGGGCCTGACATTCAAGGAGCCCAAATTTCTACAACAGTAGCAAACCTCAAGCTGCTTCGGAGAGGCGGCTCCCGGTTCCCTCGGTAGCGTCAGGTTTTTCTGACACATTCCGGTGCACAGGCAAAAAACTGTCATCGAGCTCCTGATGTCACCTCGGGCCTGGCCACATGCCTGATTGTGGGCAGGGCTGTGACGGGCAAGCATCTGCCTGGAAGACCAATCGCAACTGCCTCTTGGCACTGCGAAAGCGAAGAGCTCGAATCAATAAAATGTCTGTAGTTGGACCGGTTCTGGCTTGGAATCTCTTGCGATCGGATGTCTGTGTTGCACCGTGCTCGGCTGCCAGGCCAGGACACTCCATCCTAACGGAGAGAAAATTGAGCGGAGTAGGCAAACCGATTGACGGGCGGCCTTCCTGCTCACTGCATCCATCGACGGGCACGGCTGGGCCGGCCAGACTTATCGAGGAGCTGGTTTCAATGGTTCTGGATGAGATTCGAAACTAGGCCCACAGATCTCACAGACCGGAACGGCCGAGAGACACGACATTTGCAAACATCAAAACCGAAGCTCTGCCTCCGCATGTGCCTCACCCGTATGCGTGCGGGGCACGATGTCAGAGGCGTTCTCAAGCTTTACAAGAATAATTCAACGAGTCCCGAACAACTGCCGATGCTAGCTGCTCGTTCGACTCGCTGCAACTGTGTTCGCCAGCTTCCTCAAGACTTCTCTGCTGTGAGAAGACTTGCCAAGTGCGAGGCCAATAGAATAAGATACATCACATCACCACGTACATATTATTTGGGTACTGCCCCGACCCATTAACAGTCGTTACACCAGCGGCACAACTGCATACCTGCAACACAATTGTCACAATGATTATAACCGAGCTGTAAATGAGTAGGGGCAGTATCCAAATTGTCTAGAAGCTGTAGCGCGCAGCGAAAGCAAAAAGAAAATCTCAGCGACGAAACGACGAGCCGATGACTCAATCTACATGACAAAGACAGCAAGACTTCTCCCCGTGCTGTGATTCATCTTTATTTCCGCCTTTACACCTGGACTTGTTCATGTCAGCAACCCACTTTCCAGTTTCCCTAAGCCCTCGGCCCCTCATTTCAAATTTTCAGTGGCTGCAAAGCCTGCACTGCTTCAGAGTCGCCTTGCGGGGTCGGCAGTTGCCAACGTCCATCATCTTCTGCAGGAACTCCTCTTTAGAGAACCCATCGCAAGGGCCACCTAAGCCAGTTCCACCGATGTTCCTGCACATGTAATCACACACCTCAATGGGCAGGAGCTGGGAACCAGCCAACTTCGCAAACGTAAGACTCCAAGTGCCATCAACATCAAGAAGATCGAATACCCGTATCCATAAATTCCAGGCTGTGTCAGACACCGGCGGCTTGAGAAAGGACATTCTGGTGGCGACGGGGCTGGGCTCTTCAAGGAACATGGCTTCCTTCTCTGCGAGGGCCTTTTCCTGACTTGCTAGTTGCATCGTCAGGAAATCACCAACGACCTGTTCCACTTCCTGGCTCCCTTGCTTCGGGCGATAGTCCTTGGGGCACACGGCCATGACAAAGTCATCAAGGCTCATCTGCCCGGACTGGAAAAGCCGCTTTCGCACCGGGGAGGACTCTGCCACCTGCCGCATCTGAAAGCTGTCATACTCTTCCAGCAAGCTTTTCCGAACTGCAGCTGGCAGCACAGGCCGAGAAACATATGCCGTGAAATGCTTGAGCACAGCGCGGCTTTCCTCGAGCTCACGCTGCAATCGCACGAGCTGATCTAATTCTTTCATCCATGCCTGATACATGCGCAAAGGCCGAACAGAGGTACCTGCGCAAAGTCGTTTTGCAAAGGTTGCTGTGCTCACACCGGCAGTGTCTTGAGCTGCGGCAGTCTCATCCAAAGCGCGAGAGAGCCTCTGACTCCAGAACGTTGAATCAATTGGCCCCATCGCTTTCTCGGCTTCAGCATGAGAGATCGTCCAGCGGTCCGCTGAGCGACAGTGATTGAATACACTGTGCGCAAGTTTGATCTGACTGCGGCTCAGACAAGCGATGTCCTGCATGGGATCTACCTCCAACGGCGGCTCGACTGGGGCCGTGTGCGACAAGTGTAGTTGCTTGCACTGCTGCGGCTGCCACATCTGCGCACCCACTGCTCTTTCGGAGAAGCGTTCCAGCAACATGGCAAACGGAGCAGACAGTGGATCTCCAGAATCACCCAGAAACCAGTCCTCGATGATTGCAAAGGGAGCACTTCCGTTGGCAAGCATGGACTTGGCTTCCCAGAATGTCATCCTGGTGCTTGCGGAAGCCATGATCCGGAGGAACAGTGTCTTCCCCAGCTGTTGCCTGGCAGCACTTGTCGGCATGTCGGGATGCTCTGATAAGCCAAAAAGGCATGCAGCTCCCTGGAGAAAGGATGACAGCATGTCGACGAACTCCGTTATCTCGAAGGCACCGTTGTCGTTCTCATCGAACATGCCTAACAGGAATCGAACCTTCTGCTGCTTGGGAATAGCGCTGGAGAGGAACACGGCAGCTGCAAAGAAGGCGGGCACCGGCACCCTGACGCGGCGATAGTCCAATGTGCATTTGCTGTGCTGGATCTTCGCGTAAGCGACGGGGTCGAAGAGACGCACCAATTCCATGGTCCTGGGCCTCGGCGGCAGTCGTGAGGCTTTGAGGGCTCCGAAACGCTTCGGAGCCAAGGAGAGCTTCGAGAGAGAGCTGCAGAGCGAGAGAGAGAGACAGAGACAGAGACAGGGAGGTGGAGGTGGTAGAGGTAGACAGAAAGCGAGAAAGGGAGGGGAAGGGGAGGAGGGACCAAAGGCTGACAAAGGAGGCATGCCCCGCCGCCTCATCCTGCTCCCCCACCTGACAAACCGCCGCACCACTCTCCACAAGCCACTCGATTGAACCCAGGCAGACCACCTGCACACAGACCGGAAACCCGCGGGAACTCTGCAGCTGGCAATGACAGCCCGCGGGTCGTGAGTCGTCAATCTCTTACATTCCAAGTCTTAGTAGACCCTGGAACCCGGAAGCTCGGAGTTGTCTTTGGAAGGTTCAAGACTCCGGGCCTGAAACTCAGGACTCCCACAGGTCTGCCAAACTTTCAACTTGGACTCGTAAACCTGCACCCATCTAGACTGTCCTTCGTAGTTTTCTTTTGACGTCGACCTGGGCAACGGTTTGGAGATTACACCAAAGATTGAGACATTGCCCGGCTAATAATAATAATAATAACAATAGTAATAATAATAACAATAATAACAACAATAATAATAATCATCATAATAAGGACATTGAGACTCGTGAAGCTCCGAGTCTCAGAATCGAAACTTAGTTGCCGAATTCATTAGCCCCCAAAAAAAGTTTAAACTTTCAGTTTCATTCTTGCAGAAAGTTTAAAGTTTATCAACCCAACTACTAAGGAAACTTGCAAACCTCGAAACTGCTTCATGCCAGTACTCTCGAATGTGAGGGATGTCGCTTCGTGACACCCAGGAGTACACTCGTTGCTCAATCCTTCCGACCTCTGCCCCGAAGCAGGTGACTGAGGCCGGAGCAGTGGCAAGCACAGTAGCTCCTGAAACTGGTATGTATCCATGGCTGCTGGCGCATGCCCTGGCTTCCAATCACCTTGAGCTTGCCAACGATTGTACATGTCGACCCAAGCAGGGAGGGACCGTCGCAGCAGGTTCTTGCACTCCGGTGGCGGTGCGCGGCCAGTCAGCACCTGGTGGGGGATTCTGAAGATTAGGGCATAAGTATTTAGCGACACCTTTCTAGACGATCCGTTCTCAAAGGGCCCTTCCTACTTACAAGTAAGACCTAAGCTTCGTCTTCGGGTCCCGCCTGGCCCCAGAAGCCTTCCAGCCAGTCCAAGCCAGGCTCCTCCTCGCGGATTGCAGCGCCTACGTCCTCCAGACTCTCGACGGCGTAGGAGGGCCGTCGGCTGCTCCCCTGCACCTCTTTGCCCCGGGGGGGGGCGGTGTCCGAGTCCACATCCGAGGAAGAGCCGGTCGGTGTATGGGAGGTCGGCTCCAATACACAGGACAAGTCCTGCAGAGTTGAAGCCTTTTGAACTTTTCCTTTTGGAACTTTTCCTTTTGAAAAGCCTGGACGAGATGGCACTGAAGCCACTGGCTTCACTGCTCCGGTGATCTCGGCAGTCTCCGCATCCTTGCCATCGATGTCATCTGCCAGAACATACTCCAGGAAACTTGGCTCCACGTCGTCTCCTGTTGCAACTCGACCAGGCAAACTACTCCTCTTATCCTTGCTTGGCGGAGGTGGGGCTTCGCCACCCACCTGAAAATTCCTGCTATAGCTCCGGCCCTGGTAAGCCGGACGTCCCCTGGCAGCCATGACCAGAACCCCTTGATGGGGCAAAACTCAGGAACACAGGTGTGATCCTCGAGCCAAGCCGCGAACGAGCCAGCAAGTCGGCCGACGAACCATGTGCTAACATAACAGGACATAGCAAAGCAGAGCATGACAGAGCATAATATAACACGAGTTGCAACATATACAATCCTGGAGTTCGGCTGCCCTGCACCTCGTCCGCCACGAAGAAGGAAACGCCTAAAAACAGCAGAGCTCACAGCGGGCATGAAGCACCGGCCCGCCGTGGAAAAAAGCAAGAACCAGGCACCTGGAGGACTTCTGTCAACACGGAGGCGGCCGGAATCCAAAGGTCAAGGCTTCATGAAAGGTTGAAGTTGAGGGCAGTATCAACACCTTGTCTACTGCAAGTCCGCATGCTGCCGTGGACATCTGTGGGCTGCCATTCAGGTTCGTAAGCCCTCGCGCATTTCATGATGGCACTGTGGGACTCCTGTGTAGGCACAGACTTGGCATACTGTAACGTTGGATCAAGCAAGCATCGCAGCAATCCTTTATCTTGCTCGCCAAATTTTTACCTTTGGAAGGTCTGGAGCTTTCTTTGAGGTCACGGATCCCGTCAAATTCGACAGGCTCACGGTCCGCCTATGTACAGCGCACACGGCTCCATCTCCACACCTTACATTTGCGGAGGAGCCACGAGAACGGTGAGACACCGGCTCGGCAACAGAGCGCATGAGCCGGAATTCCGCTTTGGATGTGGCAAGCTCATCGCAAACCAAAGACCCTCAGCTCAAGATCAGGGTCCATCCTTTGCTCTCGTCGGGGCCTGGTGTGCCCATGTGTCTTGTGCTCAGGTACTGCTCCTCCGCTCCGCTCCGCTCCACCCGGCCTTCCTCATCTTCCGGCAGGGAGGCCTTTTGCTCCTTGGCCTTCTGCTGTCGCTCGAGAAGCCTGCAAGAAAAGCGGTCGACCCCAGAAAGTTATGGAATGCATCCTGTTTGCTTTGAACGCGATTCCCGAATACGTGGCATGGGGAGGAACATGCCCAATTCCAGGGTTGCCTCTGCAAGCTTGTTTGCTGCCGAGCAGCACTGCCGTGCAAGGAGTTGAACGGAGTATCAAGGCACCAGTACCTGCTAAGTACGCAGGCGCCGAGGTAAGTCAGCTCAGGTTCCTCCTTTACTTTGCCGTCCCTTAATCCCCTCAACAGTGACCCACCCCCACCATCCCCCACCCACCCCCCTAAATTGGAGATTGGCCGCTACTCGAAAAAACCCTGCTCCCCCGCTTCCCCCGCAGCTTTCTCACTTTCTGCACTCTGAACCCGCTCGTTTGGCCCTGATGCTGAGACTAGTCTTCACCTGCGACCTGGCCCGAACGGATGACGCAAGCGTTTACAAGAATACAAGTAACATCGGACACAATAGACAACGTGATATGTAACATCAAAAATTGAAACCTCGCTGATAGCCAGGCTTTGGCCGATCGGGTTCTCCAAAGTTGCTGCCTGAGACCTCGCTCGAAGTTCCGAATCCCAGCAATCAAGAGTCACCATGTGGTTGGAGACGCTCCACCATGTCCTGGCACATGGTGCTAGTGTCGCATAGGATCCGACTCTGACCCCCAAAACGATCAGAGAAAATGGGTTCCCATACTCTGCGACCAGGCATCTGCATCGCTTATAGGGTTCTGCTCCACATTCACCGTCTTGACCACAGTATTCCGAGTCCAGATCCAAAAGGGTGTGCCTTCACAGGTCTCTGCGAAAGTCGGGTCTCACAGCAACGCCTTGCTTTGTCGCGATGTTTCACACTTCTAGTGATCCAAGAAGCCTATGGTCGCCCATGCCTGAGCACTCCTCACATCCCCTCACTGAACCCTGCAGATGAGTGTATGTGCCTGAGTCGTCCTTAAACTCTTCGCAGGTGTCCAAGTGTGGTTCTGGCCAATACCGCTCTCCTTGAGTTCACCGCAATCACTGTACTGTCTCTGCATGATGGCCCTGAGCGAAGAGTGGAACCGTAAATCGGCTTGCCTGGTATGTTTGAATGTGCACTCAGATGCATGCGCACCGTCTGCTGTGCTGCCGGGCGACGGCCGTTGGCATCCTTCGGCGGGGCCCCGAAAGCTTTTCGCTTCTTTTCCACCTCCTGGACTCCGACAACAGGTGGGGAAGACTTGCGCACTTCTTTCCTCAATGTCAGCGTCTTGAGATGGATCGGAGCCGGCACACGGCAAGACTCAGATTCCAAGTGCACCTTAAACGCCTGTGGGACCCTCCCGAACCGATGGCGCATGCAAGCAGATGCCAAGTGAGCACACTCGCTCTGCCCTCGGCAGTCCTTCTGCTGGTCCTTCACGGCACGTGATTTGGGTTGTGGCTCTAAGTGTGGGCGCAAGCGTTTGCGAAAGCTTTGTGAGTTATGTGCTGCGACTTCACCCTTGCAAGCCTTTCCCTTGGGATCTCTTCAGCATGGAACTCAAGCAACCATATATACATATATACGCCATATATAACATAAAACATATACAGTAGCATATAGCATGCATTCTCCAAACTTATAGCATACCATGAACAACCTACATTATACACAGACATATACATGTACACATACATGTGACATGCGCATGCATATCTACAGGCAACATGTGTTGCGTAAACCATAACTCCCGGGACCATCCTTCAAGTGCTTGATGACCTTCTCAGCAGCAGCCTGCAAAAGTTCTGTCTCAGGGAAGCCATGGGGCGATTTCTCTACGGCCTAAGATACGGGCCCTGAATAATTACCTATACCATTTTGGGGGCTCCTTGTCAGAATTATAGTATAACAGGTCCCACAACCCTCTTATTCTAATTATGAAGGCCCCTCAAAGTAGCCTTTTCCTCGAGTCGCCGTGTCCCGAGGACGTTGCACAGTGCTCGGAGGCCTTCCTGGGCTCACTGCTTTCCACCCGACTCTCTCTTTGGTGCGAAAGGGCTCAACACGCGGGGCGGGATCTTCAGCCCAGCGACATGGGTGACAAAGTTGCCTGAGCGAAGTTGGCACATGCTTTAGGCTGCAGCATCGCTGTCACATTGAGCAGTGTCGATGAAGGATATGTTCAGCCCCAGCTGCGACCAAGCCCAAGAAACTGCAGCCCGAAGTTGTATTCGAGTGCCTCGGTCCACTGCAGTCTCAGACTTGCGTGCTTTCCGCTGCAACTTTTCACTCTGCATGCATATAGTTAGTCGTATACCATCCGTTCACATGTACATATATGTACAGATTATGATATACCATATGGCTATGATATCTCATATAGAAGCTGAACCTCGGAATCCCAAAAAGTCCAAGGCACTTGTGCCAAGGCTTGCGCGCCACGATCGCAGATTTTGTTGCCTTGGTAGGCTTAAGGTATGTGAAAACTGAAAACTACAACTAAGACCTAGGACTGTGAGGGCATACAATTACACTAATTCGGTGCAGGGTGAGATATGTCTCGTTGCCAATAACTGCAAACACCTGGACTGCTACAACCTTGCGGCCAGGATCACCCGGACACCCAGACCCACGACCCGGAAATTTCGAACGCAACATCCCCCAAATGCATGCCAAGCCAACCAGCATCTGTATCATCTGTCATTGAATCCCATATTCTCCTAGACGTTGAACCTTCCCCGACATTTCCGAAAGCATCAGCGGAGCGGAAATACTATGGCCGAGCCGCCCCAGAGATTAAGCGCACGCAGGTGCGGGGATGGACTCGCCAAGCATGAGCTGATGGCCTGAACGACAGCCGCCGGCTTCAGCTGTCACGCGGAAGTACTGGCACAAGCCCGGGGGTTTCATGGCACCTTCAGCTCATGTCCCGTAAGAGTTACTGGGGCGCCACGAAGTTTCAACATTTCAACAGCCACCAACTTTTCGACGGAAGATCCGCCGGCTTCCGCTCAGCGGCTTCCCTGAATCACTGCAGATCGCAAAGGGCACGATTCTCTCCGCCTGATGCTCTACGCCCTGAAATAGCATGCCGGGATCCAACTATAGCCCGCATCCTACATCCTTCTTGCTGTCAAGGGTGAGGCAGAGAATGCGCCAGCCTGAACCTCCAAGCGAGCCAGATTGCAACACCTCCGACAAGCTAAACTTGCACATGGACTTGATTTCCTCCCCACAGCTTCAAGGCAAAACCCTGCTGATCGCACGCAGTGCCTGAAGGAAATTACTTCCAGTGGGCTCGTGCGGTCCAAGAATGCCTGGGCTGCGTACAAAGTTCAAAGCGTCGCACGCGCCTCTTCCCGGAGCATAAACAGGTTAAACAGGAAAGTTTCAGAAAATAGGTAGCCCTGACAGGATAGACCTTTCGTATTGAACCCGGAGCTTTATCCAATCAGCCGGTTATTGTAGTTAATAGCCTTAATACTAAACTAGAAGCCTCATCGGATGGATCCCCTGAATGGGACCCTGCTTTTGGGAAACGGCCGAGACGCCCCAAAGGCGGAGCCGATCTCATCTTGGAACTCTGGGCACTGAGCAGGAGGGAGGAGCCTCCATCGGTCTTAGAACCCACATGGGTGGTTGTCAAAATTATGATCCCTCTTTGGCTCATTATAATACGGCACCTATTATTTAGGGTACCCAAAAAAGGTACTATAATTTACTATAATTACTATAACTATAATTTTGACAACCACCCACATGGCCTGGAAACTGCAACAAGTTTTACGCTCTCACCCGGACCTGCCGGGCAAGATCTGTCGATGCGCTGTGCATTCTGGCGCATCTCGTGACTTTGAGCTGTTGATCTGGAATTTCAAGCCTTTCGACCCAATTGCTGTCAGGATTGCGCCGAGGAATCGGCTTACACTGTGTCACGACTGAAGATTTCTAAGACACAACGTTGCAACTCAGGCCAGTTAATTACTCGTTTGCTTCTTTTGGTGCGAAGAAATCGCAGTGATGTAAATGCGAATGATGCAATCGGCATCCGCATGAGCAGATTGAAAACCCTTTCGCGGGAGGCTTCTCTATCCCGGAAGATATTGTGACCCCTGTTGCCTAAGCCCTTCGAACCGAGTCTTGCCTATCTTCGCTCTCTGGCGGATCGGTGGGCAGCCCCTCCAACACCTCCTGCCAGACATGGTTTCAATTTTGACACCGACTGAAGCTTTATCATGAGAGCAGTTAAATTCGGGTCCTTTCCGAGGTCCTGTTCCAGGGTGTGCCCCGTTCTTTTGGCTCCTAAAAAAGCGAGCCTAAGTCAGAGAATCACCCGTAGGAAGAAGAAACCGGAAACCTTAATCGGGGAAGCCAAAGCCAACCAGAAACCAAACCCAGCAGCTAAGCCGACATCCTGCGCTGCACCCTTGTGCCTGCTGTTGATTGCACCGGCGATCTTTAGAGTGCTCAGCCTTTTCATGGCGTTTTGCCCCTTGTGTCATTTGTGTTTCACTTTTCATGCATTCTTACATCTGTAGTCTCACATGCCTTTCAACATCTGCCCTGCTTTGCACCTTGACTTCGAGATACTCAAGGCCAGCGTTCACCAAGCAGCACAGGTAGCTTCCGGGGGGGTCGAGCCAATGCCTTTTTGAAAGATGTCTCTCTGGAGCCAAAACTCTCCGTAGATCCCAAATCCTGGGCGGGAGGGGCAAAAACAAGCTCCCCAAACTACATGAAACCACAAGAACTACCTGAAGCTCGAAACCACCACCCAAAGCCCTCAACCCTACGCCCTGAACCCTACATTGCAAACCTATCGAAAACCCTGTTAGGGGCTCCTGCAGCCTCGCCAGAGGAACGAACCCGTCGCCGTCGCCGTAGTCAGAGTCGAGGATGTTGAAAACAGGCTCACAATCCTCAGAAGAAGATTTCCAGATTTCAATATAGTATTGTCTAGAGTCTGGTATCGTGCATAGTACAGTACAGTCAGAAGCGCTGACCGGATGCATGGGATATACATCAGCCAGGAGGCAATGACATCCATGTGAAATACATCGTAGAAGGTAGACACCCAGGAATTGATGTCCATGGGCCAAAGCGATGCTGTCACCGGATGCCCTGCGACTGCATGCTCCGATAACCTGAGCGGTCTGTCATGCCGGACTGCTTCTGCTGAAGATGATCCTCCTTCTCTCTTCGCACATGCTCAGCATAATCACAAACCGACAAGAAAATCCTCGTCCACGACTCGCAGAACGGGTCGGCTTCTGCTTTGGTCGTCTGGTGTGGGGGAGAATTGGCAGATTTACGTAGGTCAGTTGCTGAATACATGTTCCCGATAATTCCTTGAGCTGAGCAGCCGCTGGATGGCCAATTTCACGTCGCCACCTGAGAGGTTCAGAAGTCCGGCAGCCGTCACCCAACGCCGTGGTTGAATGCATGCTTTTTCGCACTCCAGTCTTATGCAGGTCTCATGTACATGCACAAGAACCTGTGAAGACTGAGCAGACTTGCCGACATAGTCGCAAATTAGGAAGGTAGTTGTGTGTCTGCGTGTTCCGCCTTTACGAATCGTCACGAGTATTCCACTGACAGCTCAATGCACATAAGACTAATGAATTGACCTATTCTGAGCTATATCTTGTCCGCTGGCTGGTTTGGATCGTGTAACCTCAGCATCCGCAGGGCCAGCATCACACGCGTTCTTTTGCTTTCTCTCTTTCGTGCTTTCATTCGTTCTTCATTCATTTCTGTCTTTGGGTTTGCTTGTCTTTCCTTCCGCCGGATTCTATTACACCCCCCCTCCCCTCTGCTTTCAGGGGCCGTCCTGTTCAGGCTTCTGTCTCTCTAACTGCCTCTCCCTCTCCGTCCCTCTTTCTCCGTAGATGTACAGAACAGTCTAACATGAATACCACTACCTTCCTCAATCAGCGAACCACAAGCGCGAAGTCACCTGCTCCCATGCGCGCTTACACAAAGCACACTGCCTTGTCTTGACTCCAGCTCCTCTCGGAACATCGTCAACGAACGCTGCGCCCGTGAATGGAACAAACTCTTCTCAGCCTTGCCAAATACACAAGTTCCGCAAACGCGCGGGCATGCACGGACACTGTTCGCGAGTTGCCGGCCTCATCGATTTCCGTCCAGTGATGTGCCTGTCCCGGTTCTCGGAAACAAGGACACACTGGAGCAAGGCGATGCCAAGCCGCCTCGTTCAATGACTCACGGATCTTGTCATCCAGCGCTAGCTCCATGCGGTTCCACTCCACATTCAAGCTTCGCACCTGCGACTGGGTTAAGAGCGGGCCCCATGAGTTCGCGAGCTGCTCAGGTTGTAGCGTGATCCAGCGGTGAATTCGATCTTCGAGGACGGCACGAGCCCAATCAGGAACTGACACCGCTATTGATGAAAACATATTTGCAAATCAAACTCTTTCTGACGATGAACAAACATGCCCGAGCATATGGTTGCATTATAACTTCCACGAACTTCTAACATTGACAAAGGGCCGAGAGCTGTGACAAGTTAGGCAGGTCGTCTTGATCGGCCAAGCTGCTGTCGTCTCTGAAGTCAAGGCTTCGCGCAGCAACTGTAGCCTCAAAGCCATGCCACAGTAAGACAGAAAAAAGCTCGTGGTCCGGATCCTGTACTGATCAGCTATACTGATCAGCTTACCGCAGCTGTGACTTCGTTTTGTCGACAAATCTACAAGGATGGACATGCACGAATGTTGCAATGCAGTAGTCGCAGCCTGGCCACAGGTCTATGTCCAGGCTGCATCCACTCAGGCGCAAGGTGTCCAGGTGCCTTAGGGTCTGGCTAAAGCTCTTCCCGGCCATGTTCATTGGTGGGACACATACAGAATCGATGCGCATATATACATACAGACAGACACACATTATGTGTACATGTGTATGTACGTATATATAATTATAAGTATGTGAAACATCATGTTATCTTAACATACATTGCACGAACATGTAATTCATTGCATCTTTCGCAAATTAAAGCCTGCTATACGATGTCAGACTATACTATGCCATACTATATATTATAGTACATACAGCCTGCACAGTCTGCATATCTATATATGTATGTAGGTATGTATATATATATATACATATATGGTGGCGGACAGGCCTTGCGGTCACTGCATTTCTACCGGCTCTTCCGTTTTTCGTGAAGATGGTTCTTGCAGCTAAGCCGCAGAGAGGTTGGCAGAATTGCCTCCCAAGCGAAGTCTCTGTGAACAACATCGTCTTAACTCTAACTGCGGCTGCTCACCTCAACTCAGCGTGGTGCCAAGAATTTTACCAAACGTCTTTAAGACATGCAGCAGATGGGAATCCCTGTCTTTCATGGCGCAGGCTCCCTGAATAGGATTCCACAAGACCATCTCCACATAATCTTCATGTTTGCATCTTTGCAGACCCCGAGAGATTGCTCAAAGTGTCATCTCGTGCTGTGCACCTTCATGACCAACATGGAAGCACGATCCAGCAACTGGCTTTGCAGTGTCAGAACCGCTGATGGGCCTGCCTTAGATGGGCTTATAAACAAGGCTCGGGTGCTTATGGATTTGGACGCCTGACCACGATACAGCTACTCCAGGGCACAGTGTGGGCTTATCGTCTTATCAGAACAGATCGTTGCTTGCCAACTCCATAACTACTGAACTCCCGCCAGGCTTCCTCGCGAGGAGCTTCCAAGTCTTTCTCCGGCATCAGGGCATGATGGCCCACGATGTCCAGCGCATCGCACAAGCCGGCAAAGTCCTGAAGAGCCGATAAACAGGACTTTGCAGTTGTGCAGAGGACAGGACTTGAGCCGTTCGCCTGGCGGAAGTCGCCAAGACCCTTGAAGGCCTTGCGACGTGAGTCTGAAGCTCTCGAGGCGAACATGATCGGATTCGGACCCTGCCTTGCCCGTGAACGAAACCTAAACTAACCTAGACTTCTCCGGTTTGAGCAGAGCAGAGCATAGCAGAGCGCCTGCACTGTCTCTGCAGCCAAGTGGTCCACCTGCGCGGACGAAGCTACGCATACTCCCGCACGCATGTCGACCGCACGCACTTGCTGCGAGGGCACGTGGTTGTTGATGCCGTAGGACCAGACTCTCCGAGCTTTCGGAACCTGTGCCCACGAGCGGACAGGATTCTCACAGAAGTGCCAGGATGCACAAATGCCCCACAAAAGGCTTCACAATTGCCTCAGCAAACATCCTTCCAATCAAACCTGTCTAGCACAAGCCTCCTCCACAGGCTCGGTTGGTGCAACAGGTGCTTCTGCAACCTCTTCCTCCTCCTCCGAGGCAATGAGATAGACAGCAGAGATGACTCGAGTTTCGTCAAAGTCGGGATGCAAAAACAGGTGGAGAGTTTGTGTTCCTTGGCACGGCCTGGCTCTCCCCTTCCTGGTGGAGGCTTCCACAGGAAGCGGCAAGCGGGTTGCACCAAACCGACCCTCTGCCGATTGCAAAGGTCATTCCTGGACGATCGACTGGCTTATGGCAAGATGGGCAGGTTTCCCACTCTTCGGGCATTGTGGCTTGTAGAAGTGACAAACCGCGGTTTCTCTGTGCTTTTCGATGTGGCAGCAGATTCAGAGTGCGTCGAGCACATCTGGCGAAAGCATCGGTGTGGCCAGGCACCTCTCTCTGTTGCCGTACGAACCTCTGCAGATTTGCTATCGGACGCAGCTCCTGGGACCCTAGGACCTGGGGTACTGAGACGACCGCGAGACCCGCGACCGAGGACGAGGAAACCAGGTCTGGGCTTTTGGGGCACCTGCAAACTTAGGGTTGTTTAGGGTTTAGGGTCAGACCAAAATCCCGCCACACGAACGAACACCGCATCCTGCAAGCATCTATGACCGAAATATCAGTGTCATGCAGCATGGTCCTTCTTCCCTTTCTTCGGGGCCATCTGAACTAGAGTAGAGCAGAGCCCATGGGAAGCAACTGCTCGACGTGATGCTCTGTATAGTATAGCATCGTACATTAAGCTATGCTTCGCAGAACCGCTCGTGACATCAAAAGCTAGCTTTGCGAAACCTGCGAAATCTGCGGGGTGCGAGCAAGTGGATGCGTCTCCGATCCCTAAACCCGCCCACATTTCGAGCCTCACCCAGAAACACTCCTGCAAACTGAATTGAACTTCCCTGAAGGCACAAACTCCGGACATGACAGTCGGCACATTCGCACATGGAGTGACAGCATCTGCAGACCCCGCTCCCGCGTAGAAACTGGCAGGTGAAACTTTCGATTTACGGCTTTCGGTGCAAATCAGCACCTCAAACGACAAAGGAGCAAATCCCGCCTCATCGGGCTGCATAGGACTAGCTACCGAACCATCTGCACCTTTGCAGAGTGAGGCAGTGCTGCCGCCATGACAAGACGAGCATTCTGAAGCTCTCTCAAGATCTTACCGTTCTCATGCTTGAGCATGACAATGTCAATAGCTTTGGCCAGACCTTTCAATTGCATAACACCTTTGCAGAACTCTGCGATGGTGATCAAGCCATCCCCCTCTGCCAGAATCTCAAACAGCGGCTCACAGTCTCGCAACGTGACGTCCAGGTAGCCCATGTACTGCTCTACACTTGGCAAACTGCAAGCTGCCCGAAACTCTTCGAGAGTGAGGTGCCCATCTCCATCGTCATCCACAAGGTGGAAAAGCTCTTCCAGACGCCTCTGATACCTCTGGGAGCTGGTCCTTGAATCCTCCATCATCATTTCGGCATCGTTCTCCGCACTCTGCAAGGTTTCCTTAATGAAGAGGGCGGTCACAATTCTCAATATTGCAAAAACCACCAGCATTATGTAGGGCAAGAACAGCGCGGCATACCAGGGGCTCACGGTTTCCACGACCGGGCGAACAAGCCTAGGTTTTTGTTCTGGAACTTATGTAGATCTAAATAACATTAAAATGATGGAGTATGGAAGAACGAATATGTTGTCCTTACTAACCGATTGCAGTACCGAACCGAGACGCAGTGGCCACCACCGCTCAGAGTTATCTCGAACACGGTGTACATCGCTTTCAAGAAGCTTCCATACAAGTTGTTCATCTGCAGTCTGACCTCCAAGTCGATCTCGTCGTCCAAAATTACACCTTGCAAGGCCTGGCAAACGATCAGGGCAAAGGTGAGCTGGACGAGGAGCAGGAGCACGACAGACCATATCAATGCGAAGAAGCTCGCAACACAGGTGCCGACCAGGTTCCGAAGATGACGAAACATTGACACCGTCTTGAATATCCGAAGAGACCGCGCTAGTCGCAGGAGCTTCATCATTCGTATGTGGCTTGCGTGGAGGTCCCCATCCCGTGTGTTCGTTATTGCTGGAATAAGTAGCAGCTCACAGAAATTGATAAGAACCAGGGCTGCGTCAAATACGTTAAGATACATCCTGCCACGGTAGCGATCAAACCACCATTCGCCACGGAGCACGACCAGCCGCATGCTTACATCCAAAACATACAAAGAAAAGAATACAAACTCGGTGACGTCAAAAAACTCTTGTGACAACCAAGTTGGTTGCTCGTCGTGTATACCCACTCTGACATCGGCCACGGATCCAGTCCACTGCGTATTCAATATCATGAAAACTACGTTGATGATGACTACGCATCCTGCGTACACATCCAGTGGGCCCTTCACAAATGCCTTTACAGGCGGGTCCTTCTCCCACGTCTCCCGCATCACCTGTGCCGGCGCAAGAACCCAGAATCCCAGCTACCACTACCCTGAATGGACAATGTGTGTATATGTGTATATATATATATATATATATATTATATGGCCTGAGATATGCGTGTGTACTTGTTTATTAATTCATATATAGATACACACATGTATATATTTAGATTTAGATGTTGTATGTACTTAAGCCCTTTTTTCATTCGTTCTTGGGAAGATGGCTCAGGAAGTGCCTAAACCCTTAACCTACACTGCTGCGTCAATTTGGGAGTCGTTTTACTCCAAAGCTGCTGTACGGGCTACGGGGGTGCCGAGGCAGAGGGTGAAACTATGAGGCGACCGAACAGAACCCGACAACGCGAAGGGCAACGAGCAGCACTCGAATGACGATGCACTGTTCTGTTGCTGTTACATTTTTCTCAGACAGATGTGCTGCCTTGGTCGCACAGGTCGCTGAGCCAAGGCTGGGCTAAGGGACGACATTTTGCAACATGACAACTCGCAGCTTTATCTCGTGATTTTCATTGAGAAGCAGACGAAATGAAGGCTTGGCGATCCTTGTGTACATAGCCATGCACAGTGCAGAAGAACCGATGCTGTAGACGTTCTAGATTCCAGGCTTTCTGGATAATCCTTGCCTGCGCCCCAAGCGCCGTGACTGTTCTCCCAGTGTGGAGGCGGCGAGTCTTTCTCTCAGCTGCGTCAAGATCACCCGATGGTTCGGATGCCTGCTAATTATTACAAGGGCTATCATATACCAGTTACGACAAACTCTACTCTAACAGCTGCTATAAAGGTTATAGCGGCGCAGGGCCATTTGGGTGCTTAAGGCTTAGGGTCACTAGCCGCACTTTCGGTATGAAGTATCGCCTCGGCTGAGTTCACGGCTTCGACCTTCTCCACCAAAGCCACAGAACTCTCTCCAGAGAGTTCCACAGTAGGAGCCAAGAGTTGGCGTAGGAGGGCTTCTTGCTCAGAGAACTTGCGGTCCAAGGTTGACAACACGACTGTGGTCAACTCGAGCTGCCACGCATGGTCTGAATCAGGCAGCACGCCGGATGTCCCGAAAGGGTTCAAAGCTTTTTCCGACCCATCCGCGGCAGGCACAGGCATCTTGCTTGTCAAGACCACTTGGCATGAATGATGCCAGTGCAGGCACTACGTGTATGTCCGTGTGGCTCGTCGATATCGGCAGCTAGGCCCTGTAGTGACCTTGAGGCGCCCTTACCGTGATTCTGAGCCAACAGGACAATGAATGCTCCCTGTATCGCCTACTCCACGGCTTCACCTCTGCGACAAGCAATTGAGTTGATTACTCGGTTTTGCATCCGACAGGTCTGCTGCGAATCGCCTCGTTGCAGTCAGTCTGATGCGTCGGGGTGAGACAGCACCGCAGGGACAGTGCAGGTGACCCGGGGCTCGGAGCTTCCCTATTCGTCGCAACAGACACGCAATTAGGCTTTCACCACAGGTGCATCGTAGAGGTCCCCAGGTTGGTTTATCCTATCTGCACAACCTCGCATCTACGACAGAAGCTACTACCTCTAGGCCCATCGAGCCTCTTGAAAAGCCTCGCCGAGCAGGATATGACTGTCAAATCTGTGCAGCCACCGTTTGCTCGAAACTAAGCGAAAGGCTTCGTGTCGCCTGGTGGCCATTCATGAAACATTAGGCAGGATTGGGTAGCAGAGCGGGCCGATGAGCCGTTTATAGCTTGTACATCAAGTGGCAGTAAGCCATACCCGGATGCAGGGAAAGACCGAGATTGAGAGAAAACGCCGTTTCGAGGAAGGGCTGCGGAGGCGAAAGGAATCAAAGAGGTCTGGGAAGGGTGTCTACCCTGGAAAAGCTTCGGAGTGCTGTTTTAGCAGCAACCCTAGCAAAAGCGACATTGGAATCTGTTCTTTCGACATCTCCGCCTTGATTGTAACAGTGCAGCCTGGAACAGGACATGGCTCGACTTGCGGCGATGGGGCGAGAGAAGCGGAGGGGTGCTTCAGAATCTTTCCGGATTTGGGAGAAGGAAACTTCAGCACTTATCTTGGCTTGTCTTCTCGGCCGGAATTGCAATTTGTTACGGTGGTGAACCCTTCAAACAGAATGCAAAGGAATGAGCGTTCGCAGGCGCTAGGAAATAATCACAAAGCTGGCTCAAACGAATGCCGCTGGCAGTGTTAAGTCATGTGCGGTTGAGAACTCACTCACGGTTAAGCGGGCTTAGCCCACTCGCAAATTGGAAAATCCTGACAGTCGGTTGAAACTGTTGTTTTCTGTGATGCGGGGGGGGGCGGGGCATATTTGGGCCCGAAACCTCAAGGGCGCGACTGCACCTGGGCCGGTTCAGCATTTGAAGGGCTTAGAGTTTAGACCGAAACCTCCCAATCTGCACCCTTAGAGACCATACCGATGTGCATCGCTTCGATATCTTTCACATCCTGCGCAGCACCTAGGCACGGCGGCGAAAGGCCTTCGAGATTGCGGCGACACTGCGGCGAATCTGCTGGCACTCGCTCAGCAGCTTGGCATTCTCCTGATCAGCGGGATGGAGATGCTTACGCACCATCAACCTTTTGAGTTAAGGGTCTAAGCAAGGATTTCGGCCCAACCCGAAGAACTCTTGGCTGAAGTTTTGCATCGAAGCACATGCTGAAGCATCACGATGTCCAGTGCTCTTGCTTGGCCTTTCCACTGCATGATGCCCGTGCAGAACTCGGAAATCGTGATAAGGCCATCCCCTTCTGCAAGGATCTCAAACAAAGGCTCGCACTCCCGCACTGTCACGTCCAAGTATGACAGATACTGCGACACACTGGGCATATTCACAGCAGCACGAAATTCATCAAGTGTCAAGTGGCCATCCCCGTCATCATCAACCAAGCGGAAAAGCTGCTCGAGGCGACGTTGATATTGCAAAGAACCTGACCTAGACTCCTCCATCACCATTTCTGCATCATTAGCTGCAGTGTTCAGCGTCTCCTTTATGAAAAGGGCAGTGACTATCCTCAAGACAGCAAAAACCACGACAGCTACATAGGGCAGGAAGAGGGCCGCGTACCAGGCATCCACCAGCTCCACTACAGGTCTCACCAGAAGAGGCCATCCGCCGCTCAGCGTTATCTCAAACATGGTGTACATTGCTTTGAAAAAACTGCCATACCAGCTGTTCATCTGCATGCGGATGTCGAGGTCGGCCTCTTCATTCAGAATGAAAGGCTGCATCGCTTGGCAGACCATCAAAGCAAAGGTCAGCTGGCAAAGCAAAATCAAAACAATAGACCAGAACAGGGCCCCAATGCTTGCAATACATGTCCCCACAAGATGCCTCAACTGCCTGAACAAGGAGAGTGATTTGATTACACGAAGCGTTCTTGCCACACGCGACAGCTTGATCAGTCGGATCTGGCTAGAGCTCATCTGGCTTTCATCGCCCAAAATTCCAGGAACAACTACCAGCTCCAGGAAATTCACAGACACGAGAATCGCATCAAATGCGTTTAAGTACATTCGCCCACGCAGCGGGTCGTACCACCATTCACCCCGAAGCACCAGAACTCGAATGCCAACGTCCAAGAGGTACAAGCTGAAGAATACATACTCTGAAATATCGAACAGTTCTTGCGATGGACCCATCCAAGGCTGGTCGCTGACTCCCACAGTGAGATCTGCCTGTGCCCCCATCCACTGAGCGTGGAAGACCATGAAAGATACATTAACGATGACCACCACACCAATCAGAACGTCCATCTGGTTCTTGACAAAGGCCTTAAAGGGAGGGTCCTGCCAGGAGCTTCTGATGCTAAGGAGCTACGAAGCCGAGGAGTGAATATTGAATAGAGCTTAAGATCTGGTCTGTAAAGAAGCTGCCTTACAGTTTTCGCAATAACGTCCTGCGCCCACTTCTCTTTCATGACATGGGCCCCAAGTGTGTTGGCTGCTCTCCCAAAAAATCTGCTTTTGGCATCCGAGGAGGGATCTGATATTGGTGTTTCGGGTCTGGGCGACAGATCGGAACTCATAAACTCCACGTGCAACTCGTCTACATCTCTCTCGGTTTTCTCCAGGGCGCCCCGACTGCCTGGTGCACAGCTGTCGCCCATGGTCTCTACGGAGCTCGCCAATCCGATGGAGCTTCCCAATGGGAGCAGCCCAGGCGACTTGATTAAGTCGCGCAGAAATGCTTCCTGTTGTGCAAACTTGCAGTCCAGCGCGGCGAGTAGCCAAGCTTCCAAGCGATTCTCAGGCGCCGGGATTTTGCCGTCACCATGCCAGCTGGGCACGGGCATCTAAACCGAACTAATTGCTGTCACCACTTTGTGTGAAGTTGGCCTCCGTTTGGAGGGCTACGAAGCTCGCCTTCATATTGGCTGCAGCATGCTCGCAATGCCGAAATGTGCGCATGCACAGATGACCCAAGTACCTAAACCTTCTGCAAACCAGGCCAAGCACTGCAACGGGAACGATTCCGGAAGAAAACGGTCCCTTGCAGAATCCGGCAAACTCATCGAGCACAAGAGCATGACTCAGTCAGACACAATCTTTTGGGCGTGCATTAAAAGGACTAGGTCAGACTGTGCCGCGCACCAGCGGTCCATCAGGTGTGACAGCTGCTTTCCGATCTTTGGAGACTCTCTCTCCCACAGTCTGGTGATCTCCCGAAACTATACTCAGGATCTCTTCACATCGACTGAGAAGTTTGGCGCTATCATGCTGCAAGAGAACCATATCAAGAGCTCGTGCCTGGCCTTTAAGCTGCATCAGGCCTTTGCAGAATTCAGAGATTGTGATGAGGCCATTGCCATCTGACAAGATGTCAAACAGAGGCCGCACATCCCGAACACCGACGTCCAGAAACCTCAAGTACTGCTGCACACTAGGCAAACTCATGGCTTCAATGAACTCCTCTGGAGATAGGTGCCCATCCGCATCATCATCAAAGTAATTGAACAACTCAACCAACTTCTCTTGATATTTTATGGCAGTTCGTCGCGTCTCCTCGATTACAATCTCCGCATCTTGCGCAGCACTTTCAAGTGTCTCCTTCAGAAAAAGGGCTGTAACGATGCGAAGGACAGCGAAAACCACCAGGGTTACATATGGGAGGAATGCTGCTGCGTACATAGGATCCACGAGATCGAGAACTGGGCGCACAAGTGTGGGCCATCCCCCACTATACGTTATCTCGAACATAGTGTATGTTGCTTTCAAGAAGCTGCCGTACATTGCATGGATCTGTAGGCGCGCTGACATATCTTGGGTCTCGTCGAGAATCCACGACTGTAATGCCTGGCTGACAATCAAGGCAAAGGTAATCTTCAGGACGAGAAGAAGAATAAGGGACCAGAAGAAAGCCCCTAAGCTTGCGACGCATGTTCCAACCAGCACACGTAGCGGCAGAAAGATCGACAATGTCTTGACTATACGGAGGGTCCTCCCCATCCGCAATAATTTGATGACACGAACATGATTGATCCGCAGCTCTCCAGCCCCATCTTGCAAAATAGAAGGAAGCAGAATCAGCTCTACAAAATTCACAACGACCAACAAGGCATCGAAGATGTTGAGGTACATAACGCCTTCGCGTCGAGAGTAGTACCACTCGTGCTTCAGGATGCAGACCTTCGCCACAACATCCACGAGAAAGACAACGAAGAAGACGTACTCTGTAACTGAGAAGAATTCTGGTGAAAACCAGCTCGGGGCTGGCTCTGACAGGCCCAAGTTCTGGTCAATCAAGGAGCCGCTCCACTCGGTGAGTAAGACCATAAAAGAAATGTTTAAAATGACGATGGCACCTAGGATAACATCAAAGGGTCCTTTCATGAAGGATCTTAAACGTTGGTTGAACGAACGACCCCGCCACGTCTCGCCCATCCACAAAGCAGAGAACGGAGCTCTCCGGATCCACTTCATGGTCACGGCTGTGTCGCGTCTTCTGACCTGCTGCCTCAAGCAGTTCTCAGGGTATGTTGTTTATATATATATATATATATATATGATACTATACGTCTGAAATAAAATCGAATATTATACAACTACCACACAACATGTGCGCACACACATACACATGTACATCTCATGATAACATACGTACATACAACTTGTCACTCGTGCTCGAAAGTTCAGACGAGGTCTCGGGCATACATACATACATGCATACATACATGGATGCATACATGCATGCCTACGTGCATACATACATACATACATGCACACACACACATATACATGTACATGTACATGAACACATACATTTACATACTCGCGCTCGATTGCATCAGGCGAGGTTTGACACACACACACACACACACACAGAGAGACACACATGCATACATACATACATACATACAGACAGACAGACAGACATGAGTGATTTTGCCTGCTTGAATGTTCGCTGTCGTCAGCAGTAGCCCTCACGAGCGCTGTGCCAGCGTGTGTGCCTCTCTATCCACTTGCTGTGTCCCTGGCAAGTGGATGGGAGGTGAGTGGGCACATCTTGAGCTTGTATATTGTGGTACGAGCGGGGTACGGTGACACTCATGTTCACACATACAGACAGACAGACAGACAGGCAGGCAGACAGGCAGGCATATGTTTCACTATATGCTATATACTACAGCGTCAACACTATGTACTATATTCTTTGTGCGTATGTTGTTATGCTTCTCAGCATTGTTCAAGGGATGTCGTAGAAATTCTGATCCAAGCACACTAAGCGATCTACGACCGGTATAGTAGACTCCAGTTTCTGGACGACTCTCAGTCCGCTGCTGTTCTGGTCGTTGGGGCAATTCTGGTGGCTCCGGCAAACTCGGCAGCTTCGCAGTGGCCGCACAGTTGGAGATGGACTCCGAAATCTCTTCGTTATCGTGTTGCACAGCCGCGCGATGGGTCTTCAGCCTTCTAAAAACACCAAGCGCACGGGAACTTCAGAAAAAAACGGAAAGCTGTGGTAAGCTTACGTCAGCATGATCTGAAGTCTGGAGACCTAAACCAAAAACAGTGGAGCGGGGGGAAGTCTGATGAGGCACCCTCTCGCTGCAAGTCAGATCCCCGCCTCTCCTGTTACAGGGCTTTAGGGTTTTACGCTCTCGCAACTCGGGCTGGCCAGACGAGGTCTTAGGGTTTTAGGGTTTAGGGGTGCAACCCATAACTCGACACCACCTAGTCCTGATCAAAGGCTTCGGCGGCGTGTGGCCGCAAGAGCGCAACAAGCAAAGACGCACCTAAACCTGGTTTTGCGGAAAACCCTAAGAGAAGGCCACGAAGCCAAGACCCAAACTCAGGATTCTGAACCTCGGGCCCTCAGTTCGTCACCTTGCACCAGCACTAGAAATGCATTCCTGCTGGCTGGAGGACCCTTTCCAAGAAAGGACTACCTGGACTACCTTACTACGCTCCAAAGATTGAGAATTACCTATGCAGTCCATAAGTAATGCGACGCAGTTTGGGCAAGGGGCTGCTCCGGCCGCTGGGACAGCTGCAATTCCTGCGGGAATTCAGCCTTCCTGTTTGCTTCGCGGGCCGCTATGGACCTCGACACTTCTTCCCAGTCATACTGCGGGTGGGCACGGCCGCTGAGAAGCCTCCTGAACGACAAACTAGGCATGGCAGAGCCGCAGCTTCAACTGGTAAAGAAAACCAACAGTAAGCTGAACAGCAGCCGGGCACCGGATCAGGTCTTCCTGCTGCGCGAAGTGAGCCGTCAAAGATGATTGAAGCCGCTCGTCCAACAGCCGAACCATCTCGAGGCTGTGGACATGCAGCATTTGCGTGCCATCGCCTGTTGGCGCCGGCATTTTAAGACCCGCCCTTCCTGACCTGTGTCAGAACAAAACTGGTATGGCTGCGAATGACAACAACGATGTCATGCAAGCAGCACAGACTCTCGCTTGCACTCGATAGACTAGATACGGGAAGCAAGTGCAACTGCTGCAAGCTAGTGAGTCAAGCGGACGATGCAAAGAGGTCGGGTGCTTCCTGCACTGTCATCAAGCATGGTCACACAGGCCAGCTAGCCTTCCTTCACACTTTTTCAAGCGCAACCACGACGGCTCACGCGTCAGCCGCTGTGGGAAGCCTCGCGACCAGAAGCTAAGGTGGGAGAACCACTATGACATTTCTGTGACTTCCTTGGTGCCAGCAGCTGTCTGTCGCTAGCTCGGAGCAGGGTGCGAAGCAGTTGCCTACTAAAGGGGAGTGCATAGCCTGGTTTCAAGAGGAAGAATGTAAACCGAACGTAAACCACCCAGTCCACAAGGTGTGATGGACGGCAAAGGTCACATGTTCTTTCCCGGGCGAGAGACAAGGTCGACAGTGCCGCTGCTTCCGAACTTGGAAGGGACGAACCAGTTGCCAGAAGACAAGCCTAATACTAATTAGCACTCATACTCTTTCGAACACCAATACTAAGACTAATGCCTATAGTAATAATTCTAGATCTGTTCTGCAAAAATCCCGACCCTCAGTTCGGAAATTGTGAAGAATCGTTCGGGCGATGATCCGGAGGTTGTTGATGGCCTCTTGCTGAAAATCACACCAGCTAAGGCATCTAATCGAATCATCTTGTAAGAGAAAGCATAGGCCCCGCTCGGATCATGACATCTGGCGTTCTGCATGCGATTGCATACGACACGGGCATTTACATCTCTTGGAGACGACCTGCCCAACCGGACGAAGACATGACCTGGAACACTTTGCGGACACTGCGGTGAATATCTTCACACCTCTTCATGAGCTTTGCATTCTCGTGCTGCAGGATGATGATGTCCAGAGCTCGTGCCTGTCCTTTAAGCTGCATCAGACCTTTGCAGAACTCAGTTATGGTGATAAGGCCGTCACCCTCGGACAGAATGTCAAAAAGCGGGCGCACGTCGCGAACGCTGACATCCAGGAACTTCATGTACTGCTGCACGCTCGGTAAGCTCATGGCTTCCACAAACTCTTCGGGAGACAATTGACCGTTACCATCTTCATCCACAAATTTGAAAAGTTCTTCCAACTTTTTCTGATATTCCAACGCGAAGCGTCGTGTTTCTTCGATGACCAGCTCTGCATCGTTTGCCGCGCTCGCCAGCGTCTCTTTGATGAATAGAGCCGTAACGACTCTGATAACTGCGAAGACTACCAAAGCTATATATGGCAGAAACAGAGCAGCATACCAGGAATCCACCGAATCTAGGACAGGTCGGACACGTGATGGCCAAGACCCACTGTGCGTCACCTCGAAAATGGTGTAAAAGGACTTCGTGAAACTACCATAGAACTCGTGCATCTGAAGACGTGCATCCAGATCTGCCGCATCGTCGAGGATGAACGTCTGCAGAGCTTGCGAAATCATCAGTGCGAATGCTATGTTGAGTAAGAGCAGGAGCACCAACGACCAGAATAAGGCCCCGATGCTGGCAACGCAAGTTCTAACCAAGAGCTTCAACTGCCGAAAGACGTGCATGGTCTTCACAACACGCAGAGTCCTGTATATCCGCATCAGCTTCAACACACGAATGGCGCTCGCCTGAAACTCATTCGTGCCGCCGGCAGTCAGAACTGCTGGCAGCACGATCAGCTCAATGGTGCTGAGAGCCACCAGGCCGAAATCAAACATGTTTAAATACATGAAGCCTTCTTGTGGATCGTAGTACCACTCTCTCCGAAGAACGACGACTCGAACTAAAACATCGGCAACGTAGAGGACGTAAAAGCAATACTCTGAAACATCAAAGAACTCCTGCGAGAAGAACGGCCAGTGGTCTTGCGTCAAGTTGAGGTAAACCTCAGAAGCAGCAAGCGACTTGCAACTAAAACCGAAAAAGTTCCTGCTACCCTAAGCCAACACTCCACTAGTGTTCTGCATGTCTGGACCCTACGTGCGTCCATATAAGCTCCTACTCAGCTCCCTCGGGTGCTCCGAGAAACCTCAGCTTTTGAACCTGTCCATTGAGTCATTAGAACCATGAAGATCATGTTCACAATGACGACAACCCCCATGTATCCATCGAGGCGTTTCTTGATGAAAGACTTCCAGGGCGGATCCGGATCCCACCTCTCTGACATCACAGCCGCTCCAAGCGTCGCCGTGTTCTTTCGAGCCACATTCTTAGAGGATGTTCTAGCAACATCATCGCTAGTAGCATCACTTCTCAAGGGATACATGGGCTCGCCGGCGGCCTCGCTCTGCGAATCATCCATTTGACTGCCGGGAGAAGCCGTGCCCATGTTGGCATTTCTCTCGGCAGAGAAGGACGATAGTGTTCTATCCGGGTAGCTCTGTGCTTGAGGCTTTCGCTCAAGCAACCCACGAATCACAGTCTCTTGCTGTGCAAACTTGTGATCCAATAAGGACACAAGCCATTCTTCCAGGTTGGAGCTGTCACCAGGACCCGGTGGATCGCATTCCGGACTCGGCATAGGGCGACCCTTCGTCTGGAGTCGTCCCAGGCTGTCCTAACACCAACTACTACACTGTGCTGAAGCCGAAAGTGGAAGTGAGCTCTTGGCATCATGCTTCCCCACGTGTTTTCTTAAAAAGACTGGGCAAAGAACCGGTCATCAGACCGGCACCAGCCCGTATATGCATTTCACCATCAGCCCTACGCTTTCCGACTCAACCGGCACATTTTCCTCGAAGGCGCTCCAGGAGAAATCTGTGATCATTGCAACATCCACTGTGGGAATGGGGTCATGCTCTCTTGGAGATGCTGACCGTTTCAACGGCTTGATATCTAGCCTACTTTTTTTGTAGTCTACCAGCTACCATGCCTACTAAATGACTCCTGTCGGGCTGCAAGCACCTCCTCTCGGACTGCACTGCGCCGCAGCCTCACAAATTGCACGATAAATCTCGTGGCACTGCCGCATGAGCTTGGAATTCTCGTGCTGCAGAATGACTATGTCCAAAGCCCGTGCTTGCCCTTTGAGCTGCATCAGACCTTTGCAGAACTCAGCGATGGTGATAAGGCCGTCACCCTCGGACAGAATGTCGAAAAGCGGGCGCACGTCGCGAACGCTGACATCCAGGAACTTCATGTACTGCTGCACACTCGGTAAGCTCATGGCTTCCACGAACTCCTGTGGTGTCAAGTGTCCATCACCGTCGTCATCCACTATTTGGAAAAGCTCCTCTAGCTTCTCCTGGTACTCTACCGCATTCCGTCTTGTTTCTTCGATGACCAGCTCTGCGTCGTTCGCCGCGCTCGCCAGCGTTTCTTTGATGAACAGAGCCGTAACGACTCTAATAACTGCAAAGACCACCATAGCTATATATGGCAAGAATAAAGCCGCGTACCAAGGATCCACTAAATCTAGAACAGGACGGACACGCGACGGCCAAGAGCCACTGTGCGTCACCTCGAAGATGGTGTAAAAGGCTAGGGTGAAACTTCCATAGTACTGGTTCATCAGGACACGTGTGTCTATATCAGCCTCCTCGTCCAGGATGAAAGTCTGCAGCGCTTGTGCCATCATTAGTGCGAAAGCTATATTCAAAAGAAGCAGAAGAATCATGGACCAGAACAGCGCGCCAATGCTTGCTATACATGTCGAGACCAGCAGGCGTAACTGACGAAAAACGGACACGGTTTTGAAAATTCGCAGTGTTCTCACAATCCGAATCAGCTTTAACACTCTGATCGTGTTGGTTTCGATCTCCGGGTTTCCACCAGCGGAGAAAATGGCCGGCAGAAGCAGCAGCTCGAAAGTGCTTACGCAGACCAGGCATGCATCAAACATGTTCAGGTACATATATCCTTCCGAGGGGTCGAAATACCATTCTCTGCGTAGGACCAAGAGTCGAAAGACAACATCCGCAACATAGACACTGAAGAAGCAATACTCCGACACGTCGAAGAAGGCATCTGTAAAGAAGGGCCATGGATCGGGAATCAATCCGAGGCTGGCTTCGGCTCTGGAACCGGTCCACTGTGTCATGACGACCATGAAGATCATGTTTATGAGGACGACTCCTCGGGGGGGGGGGGGTTCGCAGGTCTGGGCTCTTACGCCTGGATCGGCTTCAGGATTTGCAAGTCTAGGATTTTGCTCTGCTCGCACAAGGCAGACAAATCATGAGGGTTTAGGCTTGATGAGGACTCCTCCCATGTAAAGATCGAGCTTGGTCTTTACGAAGTGCTTTACCGGTGGTTCTGGCTGCATCTTCTCTGACATCAGGTTCACCCCGAGGGTCGTCATGCGCTTCTTCGCCTCTGCCAGAGGCGAGTTTTGGAAAACGATGCCAACACTCGAGGTTGAGGGCTTGTAAGGACCTTTAGGAAAAAACATGAGGGTTTGCCGCAAGGCGGCCTTCGGTGACGTTGACTCGGCCACCTGACTGCTTCTTTCAACATCATCCTCTGTCGGGGAGATCTCCTGGTCAAGTTTCACCTCGAACACTTGCAGCGGCCGAGGGGATGTCGGAGATTTTGCATGCTTTTCCATCATGGACACTCGGCGTGGTAACGGCAATGCAGGCATGGGAGGAATGGGTGGCCGTGACTCCAGGATACCTCGTAGCACGGCTTCCTGCTGGCTGAACTTTAAGTCAAGGATGGCAAGAAACCATGTCTGGAATTCCATCCAATGACTCTCCGGTGCCTGGTCCGCCGACGGCGCAGGAGTCGGCATGGGCGGTGAGTCAGGTCTCGAGGCTGCTTCAGAAAGCTTGCGAAAGGGTAGGGATGTGTGGGTCTTCTCCGGGGGAAGCCATACCCTTTTAAAATCTGCTCAGGATGGGCTGTCGGTTCGCGCAGCTGAGCCTCTGTAATCCGGTGATGCAAACCGAGCACTCTCACCGTGTGCAACTTGACACCAGAATTGATCGACGGTGACGATTCACCTTCTGTCGTGAGTCTCTGAGGCTCCACACCGCCGTCATGGGCGAGGGCCCACCAGCACGACTGTGCAAAGCCGCAGCTGTCTTTGGAGCCTCATGGGCCTTAAACTCAACCCCGGGCGCACTAGATTCCTGACTCTGTGGGCCTTGCCCGAGCTTGCACCGTGAACGCAAACCGGAGTAGTGCTTCCAAGCCGCCCAGAAGTCTTTTGCAAGAGCCTGCCCTTGGTCAACCAAAAACAAGAGCTTACTTCTTGGTGCGACGGCTATCGCAGCCCGATCAGAGGCACATAAAAGGAGGGACGAGCCACGCCATGCCGCCATTCTGGACGGGAAAGTGAAAGGGGAGCCCAGTTTCGCCTGTGTACAAAGAGCTCAGAGGTCCTAGAGCAATGAATTGGACGGTGCACTGCAGCATCAAGCCATCGCCCTCATGAAGCTTTACACCTGGCACTTCGAAACCCCTGAGGGCCCGCGCATACACGTGGTCACCTCCTAACACGGCGACTTTGGCGTACCCGGAATTCCTTGCAACTGAGCCAGGTCAAGCCAAGACACAGCAGTTTCACATTTCCGTGCTGCACACGATTCATCTTTTTCGTGGGTCCCGCCGCTAGTTCCCAAACTCTAAGCGGCAGCAAAAGCCTTCAAAAGCTTCGGATGGAGTTGTAGAGTAGACGGTTTAGGGTTTCGGCGCTCACACTCGGACAATCCAGGCGAAGCATGTAGTTCGGAGTGCGATGAGTGAAACGTCACTAGGGGAAGTAGTCATAATACCACCAACATTTGATCTGCCAACTAGTAAAGTGACCGTGCCCTGATAGACCCGTTTCCCCCCTCAGGAACCTATACTCTGTAAAGCAAAATGCGTGACTTGTCGGACCCTGGGGATCGGGAGCTGCAGATTAGTTTGAGGGGGTTCGTAGTCAGGAGAAAAATAGGTTGACTGCTGTAGATAACTTGGTAGTAGATGGGCAGCCGGGATATGGCCGAAGGATCGTTGGGTGTGATCTGGTGTGAACTTCAGCCGGTTTAGGGTTAAGGGGAACATCATTCTCCTCATGTCATGCGCAAAGCAAGGTATAAGGGATCCTTGCACGACTCATCCTAAATCCATGTTCCAACTTGATGAACTTGACTATAAGGCTAGTTCTCAAGATTAGGTTCCCCTTTTAGGTCCCCAAAACCGTACGGCTGGCTTCTAAAAAAGGACCCTAGAAGGTGCCCTAATTTAGAGAACTGCCCGCAAGATTGAGGTCGGTCGGGGCTTTAGGCTGCAGGCTTTTGGGGATTTGGGATTTAAGGTTAGGCTTTAGGCTTCAGGGTGCAGGATTCTAAAGGATAATCTTTTAGGTGAAAGGTTATAGGTGTAATCTAACCCCTTTTTTTTGCATCGGGCCTTTACCACCGCCCGAAACCCTGAACCTTACGGTGGCGTTTCGGCTTCGGGGCTGCCACATCCTGACTACTAGGGGGCAACATGCCCCGCTTTAGGGGTAAAGGGTTTCGGCGCTCACACTCGGACAATCCAGGCGAGGCATGTGGTTCGGAGTCTGACAAGTGAAACTTCACTAGAAGGAATAGTCAGTACTTCATCAACAACGCGATGCCTAAGGGTTGAGGGGTTAAGGGTTTCGACGGTTTAGGTTATTTTTTAGATGGGGCCCCGGCCCACTAATAGTTCAAAAATAGGTTTATTATCAAACAGACAGGCCAAAAGTAGCACAAGGAAATCTGATCTCATTCGGTTTTCCAGGGCCAGGCAGTGTTTTGAATCCAAATATGTTTGGCATAGTTTGGCGATTAGGGCTGTGAGATGGGGTCGGACCGGCGAAGAGGTTGGGAGGAGCTATCTGCAACTTACCAGCGAAGAGGTTTGGAACCACGGTTTCGTTACCATCGCAACCTGGGCCCGGAGACCTTCTTTCAGACGGCCTGGACGCGGGGACTGGACTGGCCCGGCCGCCAGAGAGACAGAGCAAAACTAGCACCAGAAAAGCACAAAAAAAAGCACAATCGGACCGCGTCGAGCACAAGAAAAGCACAACAGACAGAGACAATTTTGCACCAGAACTGCCGCGCGCCAATGTGTTTTGAAATCATGGAGCACAAAAAAAAGCACAAACATACAAACACGTTTGGTTTTTGGAGCACAAGAAAAGCACAAAAAAAAGCACAATCGGAGCGTTTCGAGCACAAGAAAAGCACAACAGCCGGAGCGTTTCGAGCACAAGAAAAGCACAAAAAAAAAGCACAAACATACAAACACGTTTGGTTTTTGGAGCACAAGAAAAGCACAAAAAAAAAACACAATCGGATCGTTTCGAGCACAAGAAAAGCACAACAGCCGGAGCGTTTCGAGCACAAGAAAAGCACAAAAAAAAGCACAAACATACAAACACGTTTGGTTTTTGGAGCACAAGAAAAGCACAAACAAAAAGCACAATCGGAGCGTTTCGAGCACAAGAAAAGCACAACAGCCGGAGCGTTTCGAGCACAAGAAAAGCACAAAAAAAAGCACAAACATACAAACACGTTTGGTTTTTGGAGCACAAGAAAAGCACAAAAAAAAAGCACAATCGGATCGTTTCGAGCACAAGAAAAGCACAACAGCCGGAGCGTTTCGAGCACAAGAAAAGCACAAAAAAAAAGCACAAACATACAAACACGTTTGGTTTTTGGAGCACAAGAAAAGCACAAAAAAAAAGCACAATCGGATCGTTTCGAGCACAAGAAAAGCACAACAGAAAAGAGGTTTCTGTGATCGAAATGTCGCGCCCGGGTACGCCTCTCAGTACTAAACTTGGTCGAAGAGGCCAGACCCCGGCCCGGCCAGCCCGCCCCCCACCCCCCGTCCGTTCAGCTTTCCAGCGCAGCCCCCTCAGCCCCCCCCAGCACCCCCAGCCCCCCCCGCCCCGCCCCCTAGTCGCGCAGAGGCATTGCAGCTCCTGATGTTTGCTCAAGATCGAATCCGAGAAAACAACAGGGGTGTGACTGTGTTTGCAACTCATGGGGTGGCAGTTTACTTGTTGTCTCAGTCTTGCGTTTTCCAATCATGCGAGCATGATCACAAACGAGTCAACATTTCAGCATTTCCCTGGTGCTTCATCTTGTGCTTCTGTTTCTGCCCACTATTAGTGAGGCGGGGCCGCACACAAGTTATTTTATTTGTTTGACTGCCGACACCCATGTGTCAGCCCAGGCCCTCCCCCAGGACACTACAGAATGGACGCCCGAAAGTTGTTAGGGTTCAGGATTTAGGGTTGTAGGTTCAGGATGTAGGGGAACATCATTAGGGTATCCTTGCGCTAATTCTCCTAAATGCATGTTCCCACTTTCTGACTTCATTATACGATTGAGGTCGGTCGGGGCGTGAGGCTTTGGGGATTGGGGATTTAGCATTTAGTGAGGGCTAAGGCTAAGGCTTTGGGCCCCAAAAAGCCTGACCCGCCCCTGAGCAACCCAGGAGGCCCCGGCCCCTGGAATCTGCCAGCCCTGGCCCAGACCCCCGTTTGAGAGGGGCCCCCCCAGACACCCAAAGGCCTTTGCGCTTTGCCTTTACGCCCCAATGGAAGCATATCGACGTACTTGAACCGAGGCACAGGATGACGTTGTCCAGATCGTAATAGTTTTTGGCTTGGACCTGTCAACAAGCGACTTCTCATGCAGCAGCATATCGCCACAAACGTAGCCACGCCGAGCACATCTGTGTACATCCAGAGTCTTCGAGCAGTGTCGGGCTGGCCAACAGGCGCCTCCACATTTATCACCTCTGCACATCGTACAGCAGCTTGTGACCACACGCTACACAGGCCGTAGAGGGCTGCACTCGGATGTCGAAGTCCTCGAAGCGAAAATCGCGGAAAATCTCCACCTGCACTGTTCCCAACTTCCAGAAGAAAAAGTCTTCGGGCAGCGTGTTAGTGGGAGCTGATTGCATTGCACAAACCTTTCGTGAGTTTTGTGTGATCAGCCGATGATTAGCCCCCTCAGCTCTAAACCCTCGCAAGCCTTACTTCATTTTTCCCGGCTTGCCTCGGCGGCTTCGGCATCGACCGACCTTATAGTATCCCTACAGCTCCCCCCTATTGTATCCTTCTACTATCCCGATAGTCCCATGATGGAAACCGTGTAGAAACCTTGGCAATCCCATGATGTCTGTGTTTCGTCTCTCGCTCTCGCACAGAATCTCCGTGTTTAGGGGTGTGGACGCGGGCAACTCGGACTCGCAGGCGAGGCTTCTAGGGGTTCAGGGTTTAGGGGTGCTGCCTCGACATGCCAAGGGATGCATGTTTCAGTGTGGCAAGCAGCAAGTACTCGGAGTCGCAAGTTGACCACAGATTGCAGAAAGCTGCTCTTGGCATGCAGATGCAGAAACAACTTCACCATCCTTCACCCAAACGTGGCCTTTCAGGCCTTTGGCCGGGTTTGCCCTTTATGGCGCCGGGAAGCAAGAAGTCCACCACTGCTGGCCGCACCAGGCCCCGGGATCGCAGAAGGTCATCCAGAGTGCGACATTCCTTCGCACAAGTCTTCAAAGGGCCACAGACGCAACTTAACACCAAATTGCAGGAACTCAGAGGCATGACAGATCTCGCTTTCTTATGGCATTCCTCGCACGAACCACGACCAAGCTGCCGCAACAAATTCTGGCCGCTTGCCACCGCCTGTGATTCTGACGGCACCACCTCGAGCCATGCGGAGCATGCACAAGACCAAAGAACGGGCTTTGCGGGCTCTCTGACATGACCGAGAGACCACGCTCGACTAAATCCGGCTTGAACCTTACCTCCCACCCTAAACCCTAAACCCTAAATCCTAAACCCTAAACTAACCCTAAACCCTAAACCCTAAACCCGCATCCTTCAGTAAAGGCGCTGGCCACTTCTGGCTGGTCATCGTCTCCTCGGATGTAAGCCTCCGAAAGGGTCAGGGTTTCAGATCGGAGGGCTTAATGGCCCTAGTAATAATAAGAAATAACTATTAAAAAAAAAATAATAATAATAATAATAATAATAATAATAGTAACAATAATAAGAATAATAATAATAATAGTAATAGTAATAATAGTAATTTTTGCCTCCTGCATGGCTCATTCGACGAAGCAGGGTAATAGTTGTACACTCCTGTGAATTCCTCATCATGCCCTTTGCTGTTAGGGACTGGATGGGGACCACTGTCTCAGTGGGCATGCACAGCTGATCAGCTTCCCACTTCAGGAAGGATCGAGTCAGGGTCTTACTCAAGTAAATCGTGACGATCAGCAAAATGCAGTAATAATAGTAATAATAGTAATGATAGTAATAAAAGTAATAATAGTAATAATAGTAAGTCATAATAGTAATAATAGTAATAATAGCAAGTAATAATAGTAATAATAGTAATAATAGCCCCCCTTTCTCTGGTTGCAAGTCTCTCAAGGCCTCAATCGGGTCCTTCTGGAAGGACATGACGACCTGCTGTAAGCCAATCTGCTCGAGGAGGAAGTTAGGGCTGCACAGCTTCATGACAGCATGCAATGTCACAGGCTTTCTGAGTTTTCGAGTTTAAGGTTTAGGTTTCGGGTTCTGAGCCATGTGCTGTGCGCGGATGGCTCCAAACACCTCAGCGCCCAGGTTGGAACTGGAAGTCCGGAGTGCAAAGACTCGCTGCCTGAAAGCCAAGTCTTGCCGAGACACAATGCTTGACTAACTCGCAGCTGGGCCTGCGGCCATGTTCAGAGCTTCCATGCTTCAGGTGTCCGGCTTGGGGTCACAAGTGTTGGTTCGGCGCCCAACCCAAGAAAGACTCATCATGCGTCGGAATGTAACACACCCGTGGTTCACTTGTTTCCTCGACGCATGTGCAGCGCATGTGCCGGGTCTGGCCACAAATGCTCCGCCCGCAGTCAAGCCCTGCGACCCTGCCTGTATGCCTCAAAGTACGAGTGCATGGAGGGATTCGGCTCAACGCAGAGCCCGCCTTTGCTTGAAGCATGAACGCTGATTTGCTGGACAGCTGGGGGCTTTTGGACTTTATTTTGCCTGCCTAGGGGAGGCTGCCTCTTGCCAACCAAATCCTAAGCGCTGTCAAGGAGCGCCAACCCAGGCAGCGCTCAAAGAAGTATGTGTTCGATAGGTGGATGGGGTGAAACGCACCAACATCCACGAATCTCAGCTGAGTTTGGCTGCGGCTGTCACGCTACAGATGTGTTGCAAACCTGATGACCTGAAAGATTCTTGATACGATGACCTGCTCGGGAGGTGACACTCCCTGGCGATCGCCAGCGGAAGAACCTCACGAGGCATGCTCAGCAATGAGTTGGTCCGTGCAGGAAGAACTTCAGCTCACTTGATCCAAAAACTGCTGCGAGGGCACCTACATCCAAGCTGGAGCCAGCGAAGAAGTTCTTGTAAACAAACCAATCCTGCCTCGGCAGAGTACAGCTTTAGCTAGCCTGTGCATGTCATGTGGAGACGCTCAGGTGCCGACAAGTGCAAGCGCCTACTGAGCTCGTAACAGGCGGCTAAACTCCCCGGTAGCACTTCTGTCATCACTGCATCCGAGATGCTGCCACTGTGATGCATCACTTAGAGTAGCTTTGGCATCATCAATCATCCCGTGGCAGTCTATCCTGGGCTGCAAGTCACGACATGAACCAAACGATGACCCTGCGTGCCAAACAAACCGCACAAGCATCTCTTGCGTGACTTTTGTTTCTGAAGGTCCCTGCTTGGGGTCCTCAGGTTCCTTCCTGGGGGTTCGGGTCCCTCCTCGGAGGTCCTCCAGACAGTGTGGATTCGAGTATAGACAGTCTCTGATAGGGATCCCGCAAAGTTTCTGTAACTGCTTTGTCCACAGTCTGGCACCCCGTGCAAGGCAAGTGGCGAAGGTACGTGCACATTCAGCAGGGCCTGGAGGGCTGAGAAGCAATCACAGGCGCAACACTCGTCTCTGCGACCGCCATTCGGATTCCGCATCCCTTCCCAGAAACTTGAGACACACGTTGATGCATTCGGCGCGGTGTACAGTATGGTTCCCAGATCTGCGAATCCCATCTGAGAGCAGAAATCCAGCAGCCTCTTGGCTGACAGCCTCAGCAGGCTACAGATCCAGGAATCCAGCATGCCAAAGCAAGAGAGACGGTATGTAGCCGAGGAGCAGCTCCGCAGAAATGCGTGCCGCACCTAACTTCAAGAATTTCAGATGCGCCGTGCTTAGCTAAGGGAGCGGACGCCATGCACAACACATACTCTTATTCATCTACCGGGCAACCCGGGATGGCCAATTACTGACTGCTAAGTGCTTGTCAGTTGCCCAAGGATTCAGCTGGCAGCCGTTGCGTCGTATTCATTGTGCTGCTTCATCAATGCCACCAAGACGCCACGCCGCCTCGCTTGCGACGTCTCGCCACGCAGCGTGGAGGGAGCGACAGCCGTGTTCTCCTCAACACATGGGGACACAGCGAGTTGCCAACGAGTCTGGTTTGGAACCTTGCGTACAGACCTGACCAGGCACAGGATGAACACATAATAGCCAAGTTCAATGTCACATCGCACGCTAAGGCACTGGACAAAGCAACTTTTCAATCGCACGCCCAGCATGAGGCTGCAGAATGTATTACAATTCACGCGCGAAAGATGCGCAGCACGTCCCTTTCAGAGACATGCCCCCATCTCGTGAGAGGCTTTCAAGGTAGCACGCCTGCAACTACTGTACAGAACGACAAGCTCCTGCAAACAGCGTGTCCTCTTCTCTGCAGTTTCAACACGTCCGTTGCAGCTGAAAGGCTCCTTGTGTATGTTAGAACGGTAGAACGAGATACAGATACACAGAACACCACAGTTCAGAGAGCACCGCGACGAATCTCGGTGCATCACACGGGCATCTTGCAAACTACGAGATGTGCTGACCAGCATTGAACCAGCATGGAGCTCCTCAAGCCTACAGCCCTCTCGATTTCGAAGTCTTGCATCTTTTGTGAAAAGCCATGCAGAAATGCACTCCGAAACAAAGCCCGTCATCTCCACGCCTCGCCACCCGAGGACACTACAGGGTAGTGGCCAGCAAGCGTGCGATTTCTGAACCGCTTCTAGGACGATCCGGATGTTCGAAAGCTATCAGTTCAGCTCCTCGGCAAGGTCACCATTTCTCAAGTAGAGAAAGCCTCCGGTCCTTCAGTCACCTCTACGTAGCTGCTCTAGCTGAGGAACTGCACTCGGAAAATGCCGTCCCAATCCTCAAGATTGTCGGAGACTCTGCAGTGCGCTGACAGTCGACCTATGTGTAGTAGGACCAGAAATCGGTCATTGGGAAAGTGTCAGGCACGGAAAGGCTCCCTTCGCTCGGGAAGGCTTGAAAGCCATGCGATGCTCGTACCACAGCCAGATCAGGTCAAGGCGATCTGACGTTTTAAACAATTTTCAGTGGGCTGATACGCAAAACTCAGTCATCAAATTGCAAGGACTCTAGCTGCACAGAACGTGGCCCCAGTTTCAGCAAGCCAGCAGTCCGGAATGACAGATGTACCATGAACCAAAGTCGATGAACGGCATCGTGCAATCCCCCGTGCATTTCCGGACAAAAAGCCAGTATCAAAGCAACTGGCGGCCGAGCCGTTAAAATAAGGCTTCCTCTTGGAGGCAGCTCTCGCATTCGAATTATCTTGCATGTTCCCTGCACAGCTGTTTGCCAGGAACTTTGGCCACGAACTGAGGCCTTGCCTGCTTAGGCATTCAGTTTGGAAATCAGAGGACTGAGGATAAACGTGGTGTTTACCTCATGTCTTCATTTGCCATGTGCTTTCGCACCATCAATCTAACCTACAAAACCCAGTCACGCTCTACCTTTCCAAGGCCCGCTTTTCTCATGCCGCGTAGTCAGTAGCTGCATAGAGGTCCTGCAGCATTTGCGCTGTGCCACGCCTGCCACCAGGGGAAGCTTGGGTGCGGCCCATGATCTCTTGCGTCTGCCGCTTCTAACTTAAAACCTTCGGCTTATTGCCGTTTAATCCTCGTGCAGACCCTTGCACCAGCAGAACTTAGCATGCGCATTGCAAGCCGTTCTGTATATACTATTCCCCTCGACCAAGGAGCACTGCTCAGAATGCTACATGTCCAGTCCAAAAGCGTGTTTTGCAAGCGGCACTCGACCTATCATTGGCCCTTTTGCATCCAGGCCTCCCTACACCCTTGTGGCATCCCTATAAACCCTGGAACCCTTCTGCAGGAAACCCGTTTGCTGCTAAACCCTAAACCCCAACTTCGCCTGCCCTGGCGAGCCGGTCTCTCGGGCGAGGAGAAGCTGTTGTCTGCGAGGAGCTCCTTTCGGAAACACTGCTTTGCGAGCGGGCCGGGGGGGAGAGGGGACCTGGTGTTCCAAAACTTCTTCACTTTGGAGGTCGTTAAATAAGGGCCTGCTATATCTGCCATATTTAAGGTTAAACTCCCATTTCTGCTGGTCAAAGATAGAGGCTTCGAACAGCTTTGAATCAATCTGACATTTCAATCCTAGCCCTGCAAAAAAACTTAACTTGAATGCGTGAGGCTGTTTATCCGACTTCGGTGCAAGCAGCCTGCATGCCCATGGCACTAGGAGTCTTCCCAACGCCAGCCATGCTGGCTTCGCTTGCCATACTGGCCTTGCAAGGCGAGATGCCAACTACAGCCATCTGCTCGACAAAATCTGCTGTTTAATCACGATATACGATGCCGTGTTGTCACAACATTCATGTCACCCCGTGGCTTCTGACTTGCCCCGCTCACGAAGGACTCAGATCTGGAGACGATCTGTAGAATTGATATTAGCAGGAACCATGCAGAAATGAGATTGCTATGAGTTGCTCGCTTTGTTTTGTCCTGACAGTCAGAATAAGAGTATGTACAGACATGTACTTATACGTGTATGAACAAATAAATACACGGGTGAAGATATGTGTATACACCTGTACCAAGTCTATACCTGTTGACTTATCTAGCTGCAATCATCTAAATGTCCATCCAATATCTGTCTGTCCACAAGTGTCTGACATCTCCATTCCACAACTGTAATGCACTATAGCTTTTGCTGTAATGTAGTACAGTCTTGCTGTAATATACTAGGCTGGGCTTTCATATCGCAATTTTACTACAGATATGGGAGTTTCTGCCAATTAGGGGACCCCAACATAGGACCCCTCAAAAAAGGTACCTCAAATTTTCGGAAACTCCCATATACAAACAACCAAATCCCAGCACTGCCTGGCTCAACGATCGGCCCACTTCGCCCGCAAAAGACACCCAGGAGCTGCTGCGGACGGTCTCTTCATCCTGTTTCTTTTGAAGGACACTTTTCCACGATTCAGAAAGTGAAAGTTTCGCTGGGCCTTTCGCAAAGCTTGTTGTAAGCCATATCTTCATCCTGTTTAGCGTTTCGGGTTTCTGACACTCACACTCGGACAAGCCCTCAAGGTCTGCAGTAGTAGGTACGTCGAGCTCGTTTTCGGGTTTTAAGGTTCAACTTGCACACTCACTCACAGAAGGCATCACCATCACTATTGGAACACTAAGGTGGGACCGAGCATCTTGTAGCAGGGCAGAGAAAGGGGAGGACTCGGGATCCCGCAAGCAATGCACAAACTCGCACAAGACAGGCACAGATTCCAGCACATAGTCCCATAACGATCAAACGAGCAAGTGAGAGATGGCTGCTTTGGAGCTTTAGGGTTTAGGGCTTGGGCACCGACAACTCGGACAATCGAATGGTCTGCTGGTCGATTGGCTTAGGCTTTCTAAGCCTTGAGCTCTCTCCCTGGGTGGTGTCTCAGGTTGGAAGGAAACAGAATGTGCCGTAAGGTGTGTTGAGTGGTCTTTGCCACCGAGGTTTGGAATTGCGCCGTTTTTCACAGACGAAAGACAGTTTTGGGTTCATGGACTTCGGCAGGGTCCTCGACTGCGCCACTTTTTAAATACCGGACTGAAGGTGGAAAGAGATGTAGTCTGATCGGTTTCTGCCCACGCTGCAAGGCTAGAGTGTCGTGTAGGCGGCAAGTATCCGAAGCTTGTCCTTGAGCCCCTTGGCCTGTGCTGAATTGGATGGCTTCGAGAAACATGATCGCGGCAATGCATAACTACTGTACTGCTGGGCCAACTACTAGAAGGCTAACTAATAGCTATTGGCCAAGCTCAACCTGAAGTCGTGAACTCTAAACCCAAAAGTCTAAATCCTAAACCCTTAACTATGGGCCTCTGGACCAGGAACAGCCAGCTGCTGACACATCGGCTTCACCTCGTGATGCGAGAGCAAACCACAGTGCCGAAACAGCAGTGAAGATTTTTTTCCCTCCTACTCCTACTTCGCCAGGACGAGCTCGCTCAGCAAAGTGGGTGTTTTTCCCTCTGGGGGGGTAGGGTTTAGGGGAGTTAACCGTTAACCCACCGCCCATGTTTCTCACAAATCTTGTAGCGGGCCCGCGGCTAATCTGCGTCCCCGGCCAGGCCCTGCTTGATCCTGGTACAGTGGGGTAAGCACAAGCTGAAAGCAGGTCACAGCTGGGTCAGAGTCGGCTCCTTGCCAAAAACACAGGTGCCCCAGTCGCGATCTCCTCGCTCATCCCTCGTCTCCTTAGCCAAGGTACGTGCTGTGCAGAGCGGATCTCGTGGGACAGGGCCTGGTCGGCGGTCAATGATCTGTCTGGATTCTTTTGTGACCGGCAAAGACGTGCCAAATGTATGTGACGGGCTGGCGTGGATGGGCCAAGGCACGCGAGCTGTCTGCGGTGGCGACGGCGTTAGCATCGGCCTCTTTGGCGGATGATCACCAGCCTGAGCTGCAGTCGGATAAAAAACTTCTTGACAGAGGCATCGGAATTTGGCCATGTTGGTATGCCCTGCCCATTTTGGAAGCAAGCTGCCCCTGGGATGGAGAGTCTGTGCATCACGGGTGGTCCACCAACACTCCTAATTGCAGGTCAGGCCGGCTGCCATTCCATTAGAATCACAAATGTCAAGAACGCCTGTCAGCGGTCTCCCTGTCCTTCCAGAGAGAGTTCGTCCTGCTGGCGGTCCTATGGCATAGTCTTCATCAGTGTCGTCTCGATGTGCCTCATCGTCGCCTGTCGAGTAGAGACACAGAGCTGACGAGAGAGAGCGTGACGAGGAGAGAGACAGAGAGAGAGAGACAGAGACAGAGACGCAGACGGAGAGAGAGTGAGCGAGCCCCAAAACCAGTCCCAGTGGCTGGCTGCCAGCAGCTCGCGCATTGCTACAGCACTCGCATTGCTTACCAGACTCCTCGGTGCCACACACGGGCATGACCAGCCCTGAATTACACATCGACCTCCAGAGAATTCCGCAGTGTGCAAGTCCGAGCTGCATCACGGAGCCACTTCGGCCACGCGAAGAGCGCCGCGAGGCACTGGACATCACCCCGGACCTGGCCGGTGTGACAAATGCCAATTATAAATCCCGTCCCCCGCGGAGCTTCGCGTGCCTCCAAGATTGCCATGAGGCGGTGTCGTCGAAGTCCTCCTCCTGAGGCTGCCCTTCCTTGTTTGGAATGACGGGTCGACGGCTGAGGCACTCTCGGGTGTCTCTGCTCTGCCCCGCCTGCCCTTCGCCAAGCGTGGCCTTCCTCACAAGCCGCCGGCGCCGGCCGTCCTCTGTCCGCTCCTGCGTGAAGTGGCACGTGCCGAAGAGGTCGCGATTCACCTCTGCATTCACAGGGCTCATCTCGGCTACAGCTCATGCCCAAAGTGGAGTTGCTATGCAGTGCCAGAGTGCCGGAGCCTGGTCTGCTGCCACCTTTGCTCCAATCACCGGAGCCTGCTGTGAATGGGACCACCAACTCATCTGGCCCCTCGCAGCAGCTCACTTCCAAGATGCATCATGCATGGGACAGCCTCACTTCCAGTGACGCTGTGTTACCAGGTCTAAAGTGCTCGGTGCTAGGCTGTCCATAAGCTGAAGAGTTTCATGCCCAACCCGAGGCCGCACGGCAGTCTTTTTCGATCAGTCCACCCCTTCAACCTGCATCTCAGCTTTCGCACTTAAACCCTCCCGCTTCGTCTCGACGAAGAGGTCTTCATCCTCTATGTCAACGATCACAGGTGCAATTGATTTCTTGGCGCTTGGTCGAATTGACAGGGTCTCGCACCATCTAGTCTGACCTTCCATGTAATGCAGATCCCGGACATGGGCCAAGGACACGGATGTGGTAGAGTGACAAATGGCACCACTTCTCCTGTCAGACTTGACCTTGCAGAATCGATCAGCAATTCCGTAGATATGGTACTGGGGGCAGAGCTTAGCGGCGAGCCTGGAGACAGCAGGACTCGAGCACGTCTTTTTCACAACTGGGGTTACCCAGGCTTTGGCATGCGATGACCACACCTTGTCAGGCCATTCGGAGGTCAACAAAATATCGATGCTCTCCCCTTTCCGATGCATCATGAAAGCTTGTTTTTCAATCTTGTCCAATGCCGCCGAAGTGTAATGAGGACCGTGAAAAAGTCCACGACCCCATTTTTGTTTGAAGACCTCTGCGTCGTAACTGCCCGAAAGGTAGGCAATGCGCAACCCTGCTACTTCCGCTATCCCACAGGACCCCAAGAATGTCAGGTTCGGCTGCAAAAGAACAGGCTTCTTATCTTGCTCAGCCTTCTTTATGAATACCTCGGACGCACTGTCGATGAAGTACACAGGCACTGGCAGGACGCGAGCCGCGGCCGAACCCACATAATCCGAAATGCGGCTGCACATCTCATTTGGTGGCAAGAACTGGCCCACCGCAAGGACCAGATCTACCTCTCTCTTCAACTCGATCAACTTTGCATGCAACAAGTCCAGGCGGCCGTACATGTCCCCACAAACCAATACACTTCGTGGTTCCTTCTCTGAGGTCACCATTTTTAAATGGTCTATAGCCTCACTTGGGGGTGGTAAAAAGGGCGTCTGCGCGCTGATGCCAGCTTCCGACGCTCCTCCGAGGAAGGGCGTGGCCTCAGCCAGGCGTGGCCGCTTGAGCGCAGGCGTTTCTGCTTTCACGTCCCAGTCATCCATGGCGTCACATGGGATGTAGAAGAGATGACCAAAGGGACTAGAGTCTAGAGGCTCGAAACATGCCTTAAGGGGTGTCTTGTGCGGCCAGGCAGTGAACAAAAAGATGTCAAGGCAGGAATCCGCAGTGCGATTCTTAGGAGGGCGTCCGCATGCGTCCGCTGATTAAAGTACAAGCAATATCTCCATCTCGATCAAAGCCGTGTGACCTTAAACATCCTTAAGCATTTGTGCATGGCAGCAGTCTCCCATCCTACCACTTCTGGAGGCTTGATCCAGGTCAGCCTCATCAAACCGGGACAGATGGGGACAATTACAAGGCATAGCTTCTTCGAAGCGCCCCCTGGTCCCTGGTCCCTGGTCCCTGTAGGCCCGACGAGCCTGGCATGCTCGCCCATTTCGGAAGTCATTCCGCCTGCGCTCCATCACGAGTTGCTGAGCAAGCGCGACCGGCCGTGCAGCGAACTCATCTGAGGCTGGGTGCGGGTGTCGGGCCTCCTACGCTGTCGATGCGAAACTTCTTGCCACCAGAGTTCTGACGGACAAAGCCTCGCTCAGCTTGCACGAGGCATGGATTCAGGTGCGTGGCAATACGTGGCGAACTGCGTGAACCCAAGAAGGCCCTGAACCCCAGCCCTAGACTGTAGACGGATCACGGCGACACGCTTCGGTTCTTCTTTAAGGGCTTCGGGCCCTTCGTCTGGGTTCTTCTTAAGGAAGCTACTCCAAGTTACGGTACAGGGAGCTACAGTATGTTAGAAAACGTGGCTCCTTATAGCATTACGGTGGCTTAAATAAAAGGTTCCCCAGAACAAGAACCCAGTTATCTTCCGGGCGGCTGCGAATCTGTCCCGTCACCATCCTTTCAGGACCATGCCTCGACCAGCGACAGGAAGCAGAAGGTGGGTCAGGGTTTCGGCGCTCACCCTCGGAGAATAGAGGCGAGGCAGAGGGTTCGGAGTCTGACAAGTGAGACATAGAGTAACTAATGGGAGAAGTCATGGTTTCGACGCTCACAATGGGAGAAGTCATGGTTTAGGGTCAAGGCTTTAGGGGTTATTGGATGCTGGGGGAGTGGTAGAGTTGCTTATGCGGATTTCGGGCTCATCAGTTTCAACGGACATGGAGCAAGTCCTAAGAGCCGTCTCGATGCCACCCGCCTGGCAGGCTCTGAGTTCAGCAGAACATTGCTGGGAGGCTGCGCGTCAAAGGCAGACCTTGTCGAGGACACTTGCACTGACTTCTTTCGGAACGAGGCTCCACTCAAGGGCGAGGAGCGGAGAGTAGGGTTCCGAATCATCAGGAACTTCAAGCGGAACTTGCTCGCAGTCAGATAACCTTGGCATCAAGACAAATACACTCTCGAGACCAACGTGTGCAACGAAAAACGAAATGCTGAGGGTAAGGCTCCAAGGTTTGCCAAATCGTATGGCTCAGATCCAGGACATCCAACAGCTGCCTTGCAGCACACGCGAAGGCGGAGGCTGCTGTCTCAGACTGCAGGCCCTGCCTGACGGGTTTGAGTTGAAGAGAGCTCCTGAGGGCATCTTGCGCAAAGAGGTGCCGCATGTTGCAAAAAATGGTATACATCCGATTGCATGCGGCTAGCGGAACTGCGGCCAGCTAAGGCTTCGCCAAGCGTCTTCGTAGTGCCACTGACTACGACATAACGTCGGCGGAACACCAACGGCTCGCTTCGAACGGCAGAGTTTGAAAAGCAGGACTGCCAAGTGGTGCCTCAGAAGAATTCCACATCAAGGACTTGACTCAACAAGGATGTTAAAGGCCCAACTTGGACAGCGCCTTGACTCTTGCATCTTGCCTTAAGTCTGTACATGCCGAGGCTCCGTTCGGATCCGGTGGAGTCCCTTCGAAGCTGTGCAAGGACATTTCCTGCAGCACTCACTGACTTGCCAACAAAAGACTGACATGTTCCACATGCCTTACTGGTGCGAGTCAGGGCGGCTAGGAATGGACCTTTTTGGCATCGGGGCTTCTCTCCAAAACATTTTCTCTGAGCGGGAGCTCCAACATGTACTGAAACCCAATTCCTACAGCAAACCCCTAAAACCCAAGCTCCAATGAGGGGATGCCGAAACCCCGCTCGGCCTGGTGCATGCTCTCATCTTGCGGGACCTGACACTGCTTGGCTGGCCCGATCCTATAGGGCCAGCTGAGGTGTGACAGGGTGGTACATAAGGCTGTATAAGGCAAACAGATGTTTGTACATGGGGATGTATGGGGAAAACAGAGGTTCAGGAGGCAAGAGGCCTCCAGCTTGGCTGAGTCGCTGGGAGGTGCCTTCAGGCAGAGTGAATGCGGAGATGTGTTAAGCGGCACTACGTCTGGCCTGCTTGTCCCCGGTAGTCATCATCCTTGATTGAGTTTAGAATGAAACCGTTGCACATGCAACAAGGTGTCTCAAACAACTTCGACGTGCTTTCCGAGCAGCTTCGCAAATGCCTGCTTGCGCTGATGAGCTCGGGAAGTCGGATCAGTTGGCGGCGGATGTGGTGCCAGCCCTGCCTGACAAGTCGACAAGTTCTTATCATCAGATCGCACTTGGCCAAAGACGAGCCGTGAGGTCAAGACTCTAGAAATCTCAAGGGTCTAGAATCTAGAAGAGAAGGACAGATAGAGCTTTATACAAGAGATTACGAGTACAAAGCCCCATAGTGTCCTGAAGGAAGCTGTAGCCGAGTGCGGCATTCGCATCGGGCCGCTGCAGCGGTGATCTCTCCATAAGTGCACCGAGCAAATCTTTCCTCAGAAACTCTCTTGCATGAAAATTGCCACAAGCATGCACCTGTGCACAGCTCTCTCGATAGGGACTCGCCAAGGTTCAAAGCGTGAGAGTCCTGAAGCTCGACGTATTGATCGAGGTTGATCTTCCGCGTCAACGCGCTGTTGACGGCCGTCGCTAAGTCGGGGTCACAGAAGGGTCGCTGCTTCAGAATCATGAAGAAAAGCCTGGGCTTGCTGTTCAAACACATGTTCTGGAAGACTTGAGGGAAGGGAAGAGAGACGCCTGCAGCCTACTGCGTAAGGCCATACAATCTCAGCGGCACACAGCCAGCGCTGAAGACGTCACTCTGGGTTGTGGGCTCCATATTGAGCAATATCTCGGGTGCTGTAAAGCCCGCAGGCCCGCAGTGGATCGGGCGCTTCCGAACTTCGCTGAGGCGTGTTGCGACCCCAAAGTCACACAAGAGGGGACGCGAGTTCGAGAGAAGCACATTCTCGGGCTTCACATCTCGGTGGCAGACTCCCTGAAGATGTATATGTCTTAAAGCGGCCAGCAGACCCTGCATGATGCTGGCCGCAAAGTTTTCCGACACAGTGCCTCCACAATGCACCCAATCGAATAAGTCCCCCTGACCTGCCAGGGACAGGGCCATGGCCCAGCGAGGTCTCCTGTCATCGGCGAACTGCTGGCCGTCGGCCTGCATTCGTGATATGGTATTGTGTGTATGTGCATGTATGCATGCATGGCGGGGTGGATATGTTCTATAGGGATATGTAAATGATATGTCCAGACATACATGTGTATATATATATATGTGTGTATACCTATTGGTTGCCTTATAGCACCATAGAGATGCACTGTATTAGCATCATCTTGTCATATATGCACATAGGCATATATACATGTGTATATATATATATATACAATCATTTATTTATGTATTGTGTATTTGCTTATGTATATAATTGCTATATTTACTAGTATTATTGTCGTCTATGTATATACAGATATGTATATACATAACCTATTTATTTAGTGTATGTTGTTATATATATATACACATATAGAAACACCGTAACAGTGATATGTCTGATATGCGTATTGCATGTGAAAAGTGACATGTGGCAAGTCCTTCTTCAGGACGCGAGCAAGCAATCAGAAAACAACGCAATCCAACACACCAACCTGGAACATGGAGACGAGCTTGACGATGTTTTGGTGCTCATGGCAGAGCAGCTGCAGCTCAACCTCCTTTCTCATCTGTCGTTGAAGAGCTCCACCATCCGCCATTGGAACAACCTCGGACCGCTTGGTATTTTGCTAGAGAAACCAGGAACTGGGCTTGCTGGCTGCCAGAACCTGATCCTCCGATCTGTTGCCAAGGATCCAAAACAGGCCTTTTGCCTAAAACCCGGCGACAGAAGCAGCAAGAAGTCAATATGTTGCATGCCAGCTCACTGCCAACACAAGAGGGAGGCTCCAAATTGTTGCTGGTGACTTCTCGACACGCAAGCGGAACAATGACTCCAATTTTGGAATGTTTAGAGTTCAGAGAAAGCTCTGCAACATAGAATACAGCCCTGATTCGAGATGACGTCTGGGATTTGTCAAATCCATCTGTCAGGATGCTCTCACAAGGCTTCCAGGGAAAGCTGCAAGCGGGAACAAGATGCCCGCAAAGGTCATGCACCACAATCCGTTTTAAAGGGGACCAAAGACTTAGCAAAGCCATTTGTAAGAAGAGGCTGGAAAGCAACATCGCTCCGCACCCCCGTGCTCTGACTTGTTTCCCGGGCTTCGGGGCTTTACTGTGACTTGAAAGAGTCGCCGCTTGCGCATGCAGGCAGCCCTACCTTGGGCACCCCGGACTTTGTTGCTGAACACTGAAGCGTGGCAAAAACCATCTGTCGCCCGTTTTCACACGAATTGGGGTTTCCGGGCTTTGTTCCTGAAGCAATCAGCTTTTCCGAATTAGGCCTGGAAACTTTGAAAGCAACCTTCCCTTGTCCAGCGGAGCTCGGGTCATGTTGCTGAGCTCGGAATACCTCGCATGCTGCATCTCACTGACGTTCGTGCCAGCTTGCAACAGGAGCTCTCAGCCAAAGTCCCCGAAAATCAGAGCCACTGAAACCCTCAAATCCTTTGAACCCAGACTCTGCCGATCAAACCCTAAACCCCAAACCCATGCACGAAAATCAGAGCTTTTCCCTCCACTGCAGAGACAGTGGCCGAGCTAAATCCTCCTTTCGCAAGTAGGGGTCCTGGCAAGTCCGATGGTGCTGTATAGTATACGTAGCGTAAGATACACCAGATTGGTCACCATAGAATGAATATTCTAGAATAGAATCGAACAGATTAGAATGGATCTCACGCTGGCATGTGGCAAGAAGACGCTTTGGTGACTCCCGGTCGGCCTATGACATAGGCGGCAGACAGGTCGTGCCGAATCACTCCGGACTTGCTTAGCAGCCCCATTACCTGCGAGGAGACGTCATTCTGCCATTCCCCGCCTTTTCTGAGCCCAATGTGCCAACACCATTTACAGAATCGGCCAACCGGTCCATGCTGCTTCATGTCTGAGGCAGCTTCAGGAGTAACTTCTTATAATGATCACTTAAGCGGCTATCCGAGAATGGAAACCCTCTCTAGCTTCGTCTACAGTGAGCATGTCGAGCTCATCATCTGCAGTCACCTGTCTTCGGAATCTGCGGCTTTGCAAAAAGATCATTAAGACACGAAGCCGAATCAGGAAAAAAGCCGCGCTTTACATCAGCTCCGGCACTTCCTAGGAGCCACTTGGCCGCCCAGTTGCTGCTTGAAGTTCCGGCTCTCGTCCATAGACACGCATCACCCAGGCCTTCAGAGCAGGTCGGCTTAGAAAGTAGAGCCCCTTCCGAAACTCCGATTTCCAGCCTCCGTGGATGCTGAACTCGACGGTACCACCAACGCAAGCAATGCTGCTGCATCGTCCACGGGCGTGGCACCTGAAATCGGAAAGCTGAGTGGCGCCAAGCCGATGCCAGCTTCAGGCGTTGGGCTTTGCAGTGTCCCATGTCGTCGGTTGACTGTGCCCCTGCGTCCAGACTTGGGACTCCCTGGTTGCCTTGCTTGAAGGCTTTCTTCGAGCATTGCCCCTTTAGGCTAGCTGCGTCTCCACACTTCGGTCTCGGGAAGATTCTGCAAGGATGTAAACGACATAGCATTGGGCCAATTAACGCTCGCTCTTAACTTCGGCTGCAGTAAGACCGTTCATGAACGAGCCCCCTGGCTGCCTTGCTCAGAAAACCATGAACAAAGGTCAAGGCACTGACATGTGCCATGAGCAGAGGGAGTTGCAATAATGGATCTTCGTTCATCTGGCCTGTTCAGACAGGCTCCCGTCGGTTTGATCTTCGTCCTTCTGACAATTGCTGTTGCTTGCCCTGCCTCTGGCTAAAAATGTCAGACGTCCAGTGAACACGGCCGTCACCTGGACACTTTCTGCACCTTGCCGGGAGCAGGATCCCACGTCATTGGTGGCAGCGAAGCATACTCAGTCTGGCCGCATTGCATGGCAGTCTCGACTCTTTCTCACGTGGAAATACAAATGTGTAGTGGCTCATCATGGCTTCCGTGTCAGCACACAAACTCTTGAAAGTGGGAGCTAGAGCAATAAAGTACCGGCCACTCGGATCACGTGCTTGCCACCAGGCCTTCTGGTCTGTCCAGTTCATGAGCAGACTCGGATGCACAGCAACGACCAGCACAGCTATAGCCGAACATCGAGCGGGTAAAACTCCTGACCCTGAGTCTTGGGTCTGTTGCTGCAACACTGCTGCAGCTGCGCTCCCTCTTGCTGAGGCTCTTGCAGCTCTGGCAAGTGCTTCCGAAAGAAGTGCACTTGCGCCTGCTCCTCGTGCTCCGAGACCCATAGTTTTTCCAGAACTCGAAGCTGCTTCCGTCTCCCGCCTCCTGGCGCCAAGTCCTCAGCTCTCAAAGGCACAAGGCCTTGAGAGCCGAAGTGGACCTCAAGAGGGGCGGCTTCTGAAGGCATCGGATCTAAACCCTTTGTCCCCCGATTCAAGACAAGATGCGGCATGCAGCTCCATTAGCGGCATGCTGCCATCGGCAGCAACGGCAGACATTGTTGAAATGAATGAGGTGGCACCTGCAAGAAGAGCATTCTTGGCAGAATAAGCAAGCCCCTACTACTGCACTCTCACCGCCCACGCACTGCTTAGATTCGACAGCGTATGCCGGTCGGGGGCCTCAGTGTGGTGGCACGGTGCCGCCTACCCCGAAGTGCCCATCAAAAAAACCATCGGGAGCCACAGTGGGCTGCGTGCAGCAAGCACTGGAGTCACTTCATCACTTCAACTTCAAGGCTTAGCTGGCCATCAATATCTATCTCATCAATATCTATCTCGTATGATGAACCGTAACCACCGAGCTTAAAGAGAGGATGTCCGTGAATTTCCGTGTATAATTCCTCCGTGGCAGAGAAACCACGATCCCCACACATCTCCTGGGCCACATGTGGCCCCGAAGTGCGCCAGAACGAAGACGTCCTCCACGACCTGACCCTGCAAATCCAAAGACAAGTTTTTGCTTGCTTCGGGGCTCACATGGACTTGCCCGTCGCACAGCCGCAATGCAGCTCTGAAAGTCATCTAACTTGTTAAAGACGCGAGTCAAGTCAAGCTCCCGTTCCCTCACATCCTGCAACACATGTGCAGTGCGGCCTTCACATGGCGCTTTGGCAGCGCAGGTCCGCCAGCTTCGCGATGGACTAAAGGTGCCACAGGGCCTGGCCACCCCGGCAAGATTAGGACTGGTGGCAGGTTGAAGATTTGGCCCGAGTTGCTGAGGTCAACAACAGGGCGCGCAGCAAACCTCGGCAACAGAGCCATGGTCCGGAGCTCGAAATGCTGAGCTGGGAAGCACAGAAAAGTGCAGCACCGTAGTGGATAGCACTTCTCGGGCCGGCCCGACCTGTCCTGAACCCTACAGAATTTAACAGAATAGACAGGGGCAAAGGAAGAGAATGCACCGTTCGCCAGCAAGAAAAGTCACATCCTTCCAAGAGCCTCGAGCGTGAGCCCGGAGAAACGGAGCAAGGGCTTTGCAGCATGGGTACTAAGTACCTGGACCCCAAACGTATGTAGAATAATGGCCCTTTACAGGTTTTGGGCCATTATTTTACCTACTTGTGGGGGGTTTAGGTAATAGCCCATCCAGAACTACCAAACAGTTCTTAGCGGGGGCTTGCAGCAAACGTTGGCTCTGCACGCTTCCGTCCACCAGACGATTGCGAGACGTCTGGGGCTCTGGCGCCGCAAGAATGACAGCCTCATCAGTCAACTTGTGTTCCGTCACAGGGCCGTGGGCTCTCCTGAAACACATAAACGACGAGCCCCGCATGACCTGCCCGACTGGGTCTCCGGGCAGCACAGGAGGGCATCGGTTGACCAGACTCCTTTCGAAACACAGGACGTGACATGCAACCGGCAGCCTCATCTGTTTCGCGCCCCGGCTCCCATGAGTCCTCGTTGCTGAAGACTTCCAGCCGACCCTCATGGTGATCTACTTCTCCGGCAAGCTCCTTGCTGTCGGCGTGGAAGGATGCAACCCCACCCTGATTGCAAAGGCCCTAATCCTAAACCCTCCGACTCCCAACCCCAACCTAATAGACCCTGATCCCTCTTTTTCGCCAGCCCTCATGTTGGCTCCTCTACTGCGGCCCGGCTTTGCCGCAGGAGCGCCACAGACAACGGCCGAGGCAGCTGTGAGGACCAAGGCTCGGGCAGGGTCAGCAGCCTCGGGACCACAGGGAAGGAATCGACTTTCGGGTCTGTAGGGTTTAGGGAGGTCAGGGACTACTTCGCCCCCTACTTCCTTCAGTGCCGCACTGCAGAGCCATCTCCAACCTCAAAACGGACGCGGAGGGCTCCCCTTGAGGTACTCCTTTCTGACACGACTACCGGTAACTGGCTGAATTCCTGCTTAGGCCGGGCACGTGTGCTGTTCATGGCCAAGAAAGCAAACGCGGAAGCCATCCGGAGAAGCTTCGAAGTCACTAAAGAACGCCAACATCTCCTGCAGACACAATCGGGTGCTCAGCAGTAAGTCTGGTGTAAACAGACCACACTGCGGCCAATATGAATGGCCTTCCATGCTACTCCAGTGTTCACCGGCGGTGCCCTCGCAGCAGCCACCAGCCTTTTCGAGACGTGACGGGGCAGGCACACCAACTTGTCTCACGCAGGCACCGTGACTGTTGAGCTGGAGGGGCCACAGATTGAGATTGGTAGTTCAGCTTCTGTGCAAGCAGCTGCAACCTTGCTCCGGATCCATTCGTGCTGGGGACATGGCCGAAGAAGGGCAAAGGCACCGACGAAGCGAGGCATAGGACACCATGCAACTTGAGAGTTTCGCCTTATAAGCCTGACTTCGTTATAAGGGAGCCAGTGAACATGCCGAGTATTGCTCGAGCAATTGCTTTAACCTGACCGTGGCCAGTTTGCGTAGCATGCAGGGAAACCATGGAGTGCGGTAGTGTGCGCCAGCATGCCCACCGACCTGCCTGCATCTCTTCCAAGCTTGGTATGACTGCAGGATACAGCTGAAGCTAAATATGTTCCAACAGCGGTTCCAACGTAGTAGACTTATTGCAGGTATCTGGGGCTTTTGTTGTGCAGTACTGGTGCCTGGAGGAGGATTCAGCGGAACCACACTCGCCCAAGCTGTTTTTCCTCTTCGGCGTTGAAACACTGGCTTATTCGGACATTCCCGGCTTGGCCTCTACACCTTGAGCGCGGCCAAAGTTGTCAAAGTAGTTCTGACTCAGAGCGCTGAGCCTTGCGTAGCTCTGTAATAATCCACCACAAGTTCGCAACAACCTCAATGTCTGTCACCTTTGGTGTTCAGTTGCTGCATCGTGTACAACGTGCCGCTGTGTTCAGTTGCCGCTGGCTTGGCCACCACCAGTACTGGCGCGACCGTTGCTGGAGGGAGCAGCACTTTCCTCGTGACCGTTGGTCGATGCGCGACCGTTGGTCGAGGCACGAGTACCCTCCTCCGCGCTGCTCACATAGACCTTCGATGTACCCGAGCTTCCTGCCATTCTGCCTCTTCTCATCAGCCAAGCCCAGACCAGGGCAAGCAAGAAGGAGATCGGGATGGCAACTAGTACAAAGAGCCAGGCGTGGTCCATCAGGGTCACGGCCGTCCACACCCCATGTGTTGGGTGTGTCCGGGCTTGGGCCAACATCGGCGGGATTCAACGGGTAGCACGGCAGCACGCAAGCATCAGTATGTGTCTGCATGACCCACAGCATATTAGCGTAACATGTGGCACTCCTTCGGTCGATCGTGATTTTACCTGTGGACTGCGGAACTCTTGGCTCTTCAGCCTGCCAACGTCTTGTTGGCGACTTGGAAACGGAACTGGCAGTTGCCAAGCATCGGAACTTTTGCTCAGGTATGCCCCGGAGGCAAAGTTTAAAAATCGCTTGCCTTTTGCTACAGGGGATCAGGCTACATCCCTGCCGCAAGACTCAGGCCCGGTAGCTCTTCAGCAGTTCAGGAGGCGCCTTCTCTGGACAGGAGAAGTAGCGGCGGCCCACCTCAGTTCTATATATCAGCTACACCTACTGGTTGTGCCAAATCCTGCTAAAATCCATAATCTATTAGGAGTGGTTTGTGTCGTGCCTCGCGCGCGGTCGTGAACTCTGCCAAGTCCTGCCAGTGGCAGGCGAGAACGTCTTGGGAGCAATCCATATAAGGCTATTCTGTTGCAAGCCGCCTTGTAGTGGTGCAGCAAGGGGCAGATGCTCTTCCAGAAAGACTCAAAGAGATCTGGAGCATCCACGAGCAGAATTCTAGCCAATCTTCGGGGATAATAGTTGTGTATGACGTCAATCATGAAGCACACGAACTCGAGGTCTGCTTGCAGCGGGGTGAAGCCACTCAGGTCCACAATGGCCAAGGCCTGCTCAACTTTCTCGGCATCGCCTCCCGAGGCCAAAGAAGGCTCCAAGGTAGTTAGCCTCTCCAGCAATTGCTCCATGTACCAAGTGCACATGCTGCAGCTTTCTTTGAAGCGGCGCTCGAGGACGTTGTGACGACGGGCGATAACAACCAAAACCGGTCTTCCCGTAATATCCCGATGAGCGTGGAGATAAGCCTTGCGAGATCTCATTTCTTTGATGAACAATTCAGGGCCTAGACGCTCAACGCTGAATTCTTTACGCCATTCCAGACACTTTCGCAGTTTGGACGCGGCTTCTGCAACGTCCAAATGCCGATCACGCAGGAACCACCAAAGCAAAGCTCGATTTTGCGCAGCAGGCCTTCCCCTAAACTTGAAAACCTCGGGAATGCGTTGCTGCAGCTGTCGTATGTGTTCTTCGGCGGTTTCGGCGTCCACCTCTACTTCATTTTCAATGCGGCACGTGCCAAGGCCCACGGGGGCACCATAAACTGCAGAGTGCGCCTTCTGTGCCGGCAACCGGCGTCGTCTGAGAAGGCCCCACGCCAAGACGACAGCTGACGTCCCCGAGAAAGCGACGGCATGCCTTCCCGGCCCCTTCGGAGCCCCAGCACCAGCGAAGCCTCTGCTGGCCTGCCCTGCACTGCGGAGAACCTGAGCCTGCCCAGTTGCCGCAAATTCGGGGGGCTCCAAGCCGGGCTCGAAGTAGTGCTCACGCAGCTCTTCCACAGACACGAAGTCTGCAAGGCTGGAGTAGCGGCCCAGGAGTGGCTTGATGTTCTCCCAGAAGCTTCGGAAGAGGTCCGGAGCCCCGACAAGAAGGACCTTACCGGTTCGCCCGGGGTAGTAGTTGTATAAGACTTCAATCAAGAAGCCGGCAACCTCCAAATCGGCTTGGAGCGGAGAGAAGTCCCGGAGATCAAAAATCCCAAGCGCCTGCTCTGGCTTTGAAGAAGTTGCCATCGGCGACCCTTTCACAGGAGGTGGCTCAAGGGTATCACACTGCTTCATGGCCGTCTCCAGCATCCAGGTGCACATCCGTGAGCTTTCAAGCAGGCTACGATCGAAGACGTTGTGCCTCCGAGCAATTGCCACGATCACGGGACGACCAACAACGTCTGGATGACGATGGACATACCCCTTCCCAGCTCTCATTTCTTTCAGGAACATGTCTGGGCCGAGGTATTCCACTCCTGAGAAGTTTCTACAGGACGCAAAGTCTTGCACGCGGGTGCGCATATCTGCCGAGGTGTATGCAAGCCCCATGCCCCAATCAGGGCGCAGCGAAACTTCTGCCGCCAGCGCAAGCACTTCACCAGCTTCTCGGTGGCCTGCAGAGGAGGGTCTCAGCTCTCGAGAGGAGGGTCTCAGCTCTCGATGCACACCAGGCTTTTTTGCATCGCCCGCGTTTTGGCCCTGCCTCCTGCACATCCAAGCGTCGGTCCCGCAAAAACCACCAAACCAAGCCAGGATTCTCGACCGCTGGCCGATGCTGGAAATTCCTTGCTTCAAGGGGCTTCCTCGAGCGGGGCTGGCACAAACCGAATCCGGCGCAGTGCAAGCAAGCCACGGCAGGTTCTTGTAGCCCCGCAGGTTTTGGCAGACCTGAGAACTGTCTAGCTGCCAGTCAACCCTCGCGCTGTGCCTCCAGATACTCAAGCCCTTTTGGGCACCCTCTCGAAATCTTGAACACTGGCCTCATCTATTCGAGCCCACGCGATTCTGCCATCCACCTCGCAAGGCTCGATGTAGGTGGAGCCTCTGCAGAAGGAAGCACATGCAGGCAGAGCATGCAGGTGGCCATGCCGAAGACTCATGACTCGTAGCCAAAGACCAAAATCCGAGACTTCCATCCCAAACCCTCAACAACCTCAAGCGTGCAACAACTCTAAACTCTAAACCCTCCCAATCCCCCTAAGCTCCCTAAGCTCCCTAAATCCTAAATCCCTGAGCTCGGACAGACCAGGGGCCGAGGTCAGGAGTCGCCCGCAGCAGCGCTCTGAGGCCTCGATCCGCTGCGGACGCGGGCACCTGCACGGAAGGCTCCCCTGAAAACTCTACAATAGCATAATACGAAACATAACAACATACAAGAAAATATATTCGCTTATAATTATGACGGGGTTCAGGGCGCTTAGGGCTTAGTGGGCCTGGGGGGCTTAGTGGGCTTTGGGTGTTTACGCTCTCACAACTCGGCTTAGGTGATTTTGGGGCTAGGGGGCTCAGGGTTTACAAGAGTTTACGCTCGCGACTCGGACTTTGCCAGACGTCTCGGCACGTGTTGACATTGCAGGGGTGAAATCCTCGGCCAAGCTCTATATGATGGAAGCCCATGATGAACAGAGGGATTATATGAGGGGCGCATGCAAGTCGCTGCAAGGAGCTGGGAAAGCTTCTGAGGGAATCACAACTTTACCTTCCAGAAGTCTAGACATCTGGACTACAAGTAGTCTGAAACATCGGCGACCCTCACAAGCCACATAAGTTACAGGTGTACAGCGTCGGGGATGTGCATTTCCTTGTAGCTGCTGGAACAAGCTAAGAAAACTGGCCATCAGTTCACAACACCCACTGCCCCACCGATCGCTCCCGAATACTGTGTGAAATCTGTAATTTGTTGATGCGCCTTGTTGATGCCTGTACGACGCTTCCTGCAGTTAAAGTCTATTGTACTCCAAACTACACAAAGGGTCCAGCCCAGCACGTAGGTCTGTGATACACCTGCAAAAGCCCTCTGGTGCACTTTTGCTTCCACAGAATATTGGCGCCTTCTTTGTAAAGTTGTGGCTTCCAATAATTGTTTCCCCGACCCTTGCCGTCTGAAATGCGCCTGAGCACCAGCAAATCCAAGCTGCCACCTCGGCAGCCGAGGCTGTTCCAAGTCCAGCGAAAAATTATCCACACAAATGCTCGGATGGTTAACGGAGACACAGGAGCAGGACATCGTGGGCAACCGTTTCGAATTCGACCCCTGTGCTGCCTCCTGCCGGCTCATCTCTTGCTGATAAGACGCCGCAGGCCCTGCGGGAAGAGCGCCACTGCCGCTGCGGGGACTGTGAACTTCAGTACTCGGCCTGGTGATGGCATATTATAGTATATATTAGAGTATATTATAGTATAGATTATAGTATTTTCAGTGTACATTACAGTATATAATAGTATAGTTATAGTCTTACTCAAACAAGTGGCTACAGGACCAGCCTCTCGAGAAATGTCTTCGGCGGTCTTCGGCCATGTGCTCTGGCTGTCTGCCCATCAGTCTCCAGGGTTACGTGCTCTCGCCCATACCATATCAGCATCCTATCAGGCACATCCTTGCTGGAACCTGCTGGAGAATCGTGTGGAATGGTCTACTGATGTTTACTGCAAGCTGCCGGGATCCGATGTGAACACATGCCCCGCATGACAAAAATATACGCCAAAAGGATCAGCTACCAATGCGGCAGAACGTAGATCAGCTTCCAATTACAGCACCCAGAGAGTGCAATAGCCCTCACTTACCGGGCATACCGTATACTTCACACTTTAGATCACTTGTGCACCTCAACCAACCTTGCCGGACTGTTTTCCGCTTCTTCCACACCACCGACTTCCTCTTGTGGAGCGGCATCAGGAACCGCAGCGGCAGATGCAGGACCTCGACGCCCACAGGTTCGTTCGGGCTTCTTGATGGCTTCTGCAAGGGCTCATTATATACCAGACAGTAACGGGGACTATGATGTCTAGCAGCGCACTTTTTTCAGCCTTTTTGCTCAACACCTTTTCCATGCCGTGTGTGCCAACACACCATCACTGCTGCAGTAGGCTTGCATGTTTGCGGAAAGCCAGACCTGTACACTGGCGCAGCAAGGATAACTTGCTGCACGGCCTCTGCTGAGTCAAAGGCTCGAGCGGTAATAAACACACTAGCCGCTAGCCGTCACCAGCCGAGTCGTAAGACCTTATCCCCCAGGGCCCGAGCAGTAGTGCCGTAAGCGCGGAATGCACGGAGGCTGCTCTTGCATTGCCCAGGCCGCGCTCACGACTGCGCGCAGCTTCGCCAGCCCGGGGGCTTCACAGCTTCGATGGAGCCCAGGAGGTGGGAAAGCTTCCTAAGCTCTGCAGGCAAGGAGGATTGTAGTTGTATGGGGGAGCGTTCTTGCACTTACATGAAGGATGTCCCTAAGTACGGCTCCGACTGTTGGTGAATGTTCGGGTCCCTGAACTGGAGCCCTCTCGTCTCAAACGTTGCCGGCCGATGGCTTCAGGCTACTGCCGGAGTCAGCATCCGCCGGCGTGCTGAGGACAGCTCTGGAGATATTTGGCTTGTGTGTGTGTGTGTGTACATATACATATACATATATACAAATCTTATTAAGAAATGTAGGTCTTGCGCAGAGCCAATGGCAGACCTGGAGCAATATATGCAGGTCTTTGTTTATGTGCGTCCGTGTCTGTCTGCCTGCCTGCCCGTCTGCCTGAGTGTATGTATGTGTGTAACTGCGCAGACCTCCCTGATCTTCAAGGCGTTGCCATGCTGCAGCTTTTCGGAGAGAGACAAGAGCACAATGCGGATTCCTTGAGAACTCAACATCGACAAGTCCCAAGTTCCCCTGGTGGCAGTGATCCTGCTTAAAGGGTCCAGTCACGGTTAGAGCAGAGACCTGAGCAGCCAGGAATCTCCAGTTCTCTGGGGTCTGCACCGGCCTCCATAAGCTGCTGCACCACAGAAGCGTTCCCCTTCATGGCAGCGTAGTAAACGGCCGATTTTTGCGTCGAATCCTTGATGTTGACGTCAGCCCGCGCGGCCAACAACGCTGTGATAACTTCCGGCGTGTTCTTAATGCAGGCCTGTAGGAGGGGCGTTCGGCCCATCTCGTTGCAACTTTCCAGGTCCACACCCTGACTGATCAAATGAAATGCGAGATCGTTGAGCCTCCCCCTCACAGCAACATGCAGCACATTGCTCCCGAAGTCCGACAGCAGGTTTCCCTCGGCGTCGAAGCCGGCGCCCTCGTCGAGCAGCTGTCGCGCCTCTTCGAAGCGACTGTAGTTTGCCGCTTCAACGAACTTGCGCAAGAGCTGGCGGTAGTCGAGCAACTGCCCTGGAATTCGGACGATGACCATGTCGAGGTCCGTGACGTCCTCTCTTAAGAGCTCCTTGAGCAGCGTAGTCTCGTTCGTTAACGTCACCCCTTGGTGCACCAACTGTATGGTGAAATCTGGCACCCGCAGCTCACTGGCCACGCGCCTCTTCACCGTCAACACCGGCTCCTCAGTGCCGATCTGAAAGCACACCTCCCGCCCGCCCAACGTTCGCGAACTCACCGTCACCTCTGGAGCAGGAAGCCTTTCAGGGTTCTTGTTAAGGAATCTAAGTTACCATATCATAGGGGGATCTTAGTAAATCATAGGGTGTCCTTATTATGGTAACTTAAGTCAAATCCCTTAACGAGAACCCAGCCTTTCAGGGGTCTCCTCCCCGTCCCCGTGTGCCATTGCCTTCAATCGGAAAGGAGAGGCGAGGACGCCCGCGGCAGCTTGAGCCACTCAGGGCAAATTACACTCCGGTTTTAGCATATCTTCACCATGAAGCGAGTTATTGTGTGTGTGTGTGTGTCTGTGTGTGTATGTATATATATATATATATATATATATATATATATATATATATATATTAGATTAGATAAGATTGAATTGGATTATATGATAACAGGTTCCTTCGGGCTTCTCCCTGGCTTCAGGAAAGGGCTCACCATATACCATAACGGGGACCACGATTTCTGGCAGCGCACGAATTCAAGCCTTCTTGCTCAACACCTTTTCCATGCCGTGTGTGCCAACACACCATCATTGCCGCAGTAGGCTTGCATGTTTGCGGAAAGCCAGACCTGTACACTGGCGCAGCAAGGATGACCTGCTGCACGGCCTCTGCTGAGTCAAAGGCTCGGGCGGAAATAAACACACTAGCCGCTAGCCGTCACCAGCCGAGAGTCGTAAGACCTCATCCCCTAGGGCCTGAGCAGTAGTGCTGCAAGCACGGAATGCACGGTGTTATGACAACGCGCACGACTGCGAACATCTTCTCTCTGGAATGATGCCACAGGCACCACTTCCAATGTTCTGTTCGCCGTTGTATCGCCGATTGTATCCGTGCCCATTCGTGCGCGTAGTGCCGGTGCTTCTCAGCTTCAATGGAGCCCAGGAGGTGGGAAAGCTTCCTAAGCTCTGCAGGTAAGGAGGATTGTAGTTGGCGATGCTGCCACGGGCTTGTAGAACTAACTCTCATAGCAAAACTGGCTCCCTGTATGGGAGCGTTCTTTCACTTACATTAAGGATGTCCGTAAGTACGGCTCCGACTGTTGGTCCATGTTCGGGTCCCTTTACTAGAGCTCTTTTGTCTCAAACGTTGCCGGCCGATGGCTTCAGGCTACTTTCGGAGTCAGCATCCGCCGGCGTGCAAAGGACAGCTCTGGAGATTCTTTACAAATGTGGATCTTTGTGTGTTTGTGTGTGTGTGTGTGTGTGTCCATGTCTGTCTGCCTGCCTGCCTGAGTGCGTGTATGTGTGTAACTGCGTAGACCTCCCTGATCTTCAAGGCTATGCTGCAGCTCCAGGTGAGAGACAAGAGGACAATGCGGACTCCTTGAGAACTCAACATCGACCCCCGTCCCCCTGGCAAAGTGATCCTGCTTAAAGGGTCCTGTCACGGTTAGAGCAGAGACCTGAGCAGCCAGGAATCTCCAGTTCTCTGGGGTCTGCACCGGCCTCCATAAGCTGCTGCACCACAGAAGCGTTCCCCTTCATGGCAGCGTAGTAAACGGCCGAATTTTCCGCCGAATCCTTGATGTTGACGTCAGCCCGCGCGGCCAACAACGCTGTGATGACTTCCGGCGTGTTCTTGATGCAGGCCTGTACGAGGGGCGTTCGGCCGTTCTCGTTGCAACTTTCCAGGTCCACACCCTGACTGATCAAATGCAGTGCGAGATCGTTGAGCCTCCCCCTCACAGCAACATGCAGCACATTGCTCCCGAAGTCCGACAGCAGGTTTCCCTCGGCGTCGAAGCCGGCGCCCTCGTCGAGCAGCTGTCGCGCCTCTTCGAAGCGACTGTAGTTTGCCGCTTCAACGAACTTGCGCAAGAGCTGGCGGTAGTCGAGCAACTGCCCTGGAATTCGGACGATGACCATGTCGAGGTCCGTGACGTCCTCTCTTAAGAGCTCCTTGAGCAGCGTAGTCTCGTTCGTTAACGTCACCCCTTGGTGCACCAACTGTATGGTGAAATCTGGCACCCGCAGCTCACTGGCCACGCGCCTCTTCACAGTCAACACCGGCTCCTCAGTGCCGATCTGAAAGCACACCTCCCGCCCGCCCAACGTTCGCGAACTCACCGTCACCTCTGGAGCAGGAAGCCTTTCAGGGTTCTTGTTAAGGAATCTAAGTTACCATATCATAGGGGGATCTTAGTAAATCATAGGGTGTCCTTATTATGGTAACTTAAGTCAAATCCCTTAACGAGAACCCAGCCTTTCAGGGGTCTCCTCCCCGTCCCCGTGTGCCATTGCCGTCAATCGGAAAGGAGAGGCGAGGACGCCCGCGGCAGCTTGAGCCCCTCAGGGCAAATTACACTCCGGTTTTAGCATATCTTCGAGTTATTGTGTTTTTGATAAGATAAGATTGGATTGGATTTTGGTATAATCTAACTTATCGTAGAGTTTCGTATAGCATAGTACATTCTATGAGTACATAGTATGCAAGCGTGCCCGGCGCCCTGCTTTCGAAGACGCCCCCTGGGCTCATGTCTACTGAGAGCCGGGCCTTCCAAATCAGGCCTTGCAGAGGTAAAGAGCTCAGTTTTGCGCCCAGATGTTACTTACCTTTGGTTAGTAGGGAATGGAAGAATGGGGCTAGTAGTAGTTATAATTGTACCCCTTTCCTCCGTTCCCTACTAACCACAGGTAAGTCTATCCAAATCTTGGGGCATGACAAGGACTCCGAGGATGAGGTCTGGGCACCTGGATGCAATGCCCGCTCTGCGAGGCTTCCGAGACAGAGCTCATAGCAGCGAAACTCGGAACCTGCGTAGCTCTCGCGGCTTTCTGGCGCCGGTGTCCTGCGTGTACAACTAGTTATCATGGCAATACGACTTGGCCGGCTCGCATCGCGTCCACACAAACTGAGAAATGCTGACCACCCTTCCGCTCCCCGATTTCAAGGCGGCAGAGATGGGCTGCCACATCATGGCACCTGGCGTGTCTGCACATGTCTGCAGCATGCCATGCCTGCACTGCCCAAGCTTCCCCGGCCTGGTGGAAGTGCCGACCTCTCGCTTTCAGTCTCGTGTTCATTCACATGGCACCTGAGCCGTGCAAGGGCAAAAGTCTCGCTCCATTGAGGCCAGAGCATGTCCGAACCTTGTTTTGAGATTAGATCGAGGCTGGGCATGTGGGGCGTGGGGAGCGAGGGAGAGAGAGAGCCGTCGAGGCACTGCTGGTGGCCACCACTCTCTCCTGATGGCGGCACGGTGTGACTTCAGGCCGAGTGTACAAGCAGCCGCGGAGCAGAAAGTGGTGCCTTGCACCTCCTCATCTAGACCGGGGCTGTCTTCGGCCTGCCAGGAGTCATGCTGCAGGGAGGCAGAGAGACGCTGGTTCGCAGGAGAAGCACCGGACAGTATCGAATGCGGAATCATTCAAGCCTGTTGAGATGCAGCTCCATCAACCGGGAACTGGAGCCACAGCACAACCTGACCAGGTGGAAGATGCACCAAGCAGTGAAGAGCGGTGGAGGCCTCCACCCCATTTCGTTGCACGACTACTCGCTTCCGGCTGTCGCCGGCCAAACATGCCTGGACAAGCTCCTGGGCTCTTGACACAAGACTTCGAAGAATTGACTGGCTGTAGAAGACGATGATTCCATCAGTGGTCCTCCTGAAACATGATCTCCGAATCATCCATCTTGCAGAATCTGTCCCCAGCAAGCAGACCAGCCTGCAACCAGAATAACCAGAAGAAGTCACCATCACTTGAAGTAAGGTTGCAAACTTCGAACCTGGACATACTTCGAAAGCTCTTGCTTGCTCCGTTCTGAAGTTATATATTAAATACTCGAAGTCACATATTTCCTGATCTCAACGCCCTCTCAGCTCGAGAGATCCTCCAAACTTCTGACCTCGCCTCCGCAGCGACAGATCCTGGGCGGTCGCTTTAAGGGCTGCTATAATTACATTAAGGAACCCCGCAAAATAGTGCAAAAGTTCATTTCTGGCTCCAAGAGCTTCCGATGCCAAGCTTCCAGGGCAAACGAAGGTCACCTGAAGGCCGTCCAGGAAAACGCCCATTTGCCGTCCTCCTCAAAGGCGCCAACTTCGGGGCTTGCGAAGTAGGCACTGCGCAGGAAGAGGAACCTGCCCGTAGCCTTTCGACATCGCGAAGATGGGGTCCTGCAAGCACTGCTTCATTTGAAACCTGCCCCTGATCTGGGAATCTAGGCATGGCTTGCGGAGTCCCAGTGGTCCTAGCAACTCACGGAGCTCCGCGACGGCAGCGATGGCAGCAGCCTCCTTGAACTCAAGCAAAGCATCACGGCAGCCGAGGTGCCATGTTCCGTCTCGAGCTCCTCTGGACTTGCTTCGTCCTCTCTGTCATTGCTTCGTTCTGTTGTCTCGGAACATCGCATCCTTCGTGCACGCACCAGAGACATACCAGAACTGTTACTTAACTCTCGGTGCGAATGTAAAAAAGAACATGGTCTCCTCCAACTGGCTCAAGCAACCAGCTGATGCCATGTTGCTGCTTATCGTGCCATGCCCTTCTGCAGGCAAGCAGCTGTTCACCCAGCCTCTCCAAATACCGCATCATGATTTCTTTCGCCTGCTCGGACTGCACTTCGCGGCAACGTCCGAAAAAGGTCTGGTTTTTCAATCGAAGGCGGCAGCTGCACAAGCAGCTTCTCTACAACACCCGCCCGTGAAGGTCGGTCGCAGCTCGGCCTGCTCTTCGGTCATTGTCACGTGCTCCTGGCTGCAGTTCATGGCAGAATTTGGGAACTGAGATTGTTGGACCACGTGTGTCATAAATGAGTCGCACCTTGGCAAAGGAGACTACTCAGTACTGGTTACTACCTGTTTTTTCCCTGAGAGACGCAATTCCTGGATTCCTAAAGCTCCTCTGAATTACTCATTGCTTTGCAGCATCGATTTTCCTCTCCGTAGTGCGGCATAGAAACCCGACTGCATCCTTGCCACTCCCAGCCAGGTCCTCCGGTGGAGCATGCCCTCCTAGCAATGCGGGGCACTGCAGATTCAAGCAGACCTGGCACAGCAAAGACCTCCCGGAAGCGTCTGCGTGATCGCCGCCTGTCGCACTGACAACTGCAACACAGGCCATGACACCCATGAGCTTCGCCTCCTCCCCAGTGTCCGGTTCCTGACAGCTGAAGGGAACTCGGAAGTCTTAGGATCCAGCTTCGAGGTTCCGCAGTAGCGTGGGCCTTGGTCTCCGGGTAGTCCGTGAGGTCGAGGGTTTCGAGAAGCTCGGCGGCGGCCTCCTGAACAACCTAAGCGCTGTTTCTGGGGCCTTCTTTGGCTTTCAGCTCCTCTGTCTGACGAAACCTGGGCGCCTCTTCAGTAAGGTTTCGGCATCGTCTTCGTCTAGAACAAGATGTATTGCCTCAGAGTCGTCTCCTTCAGAGGCTCTGGTTCACCTTGGGCCGCCTTGGGCTCGGGCAGCTTCCTTCAGGCGGCGACTTCCTTGAAGCAGGCGGGCTCAGACGCTTTCACGCTTTCGGCTTTCGCAGCTTCACACCGGGCCCCGCTCCTTCTCCTGCAACTGTCCGGAGGGCATCCAAAGCTGCCAGGCGGACCTCCACCCCAAAGTGCCCAAAGCTCTGACAAGGTTGGATCTGTGGAGCAGCTGGTGCAGCCAGCCGAGGCAAGCTTAGAGAGGTGGTCGTGCTTCGGTGAGGCAGAGGCTTCGATGCAATCTGCAGTCTGGAAAGTCCGAGCGCTCGGCGCTGGGATCGACATCCTGCTTGGCTACCCTCACCAACCTCAGAAGCCGATCTGCTTAACTGAGCGCTCTCCCTTTTCTGCTCCCTGCAAGTCCTGCGGTGCCCTACTCTGGCAAGCTCCCATTCAAGCGCCTTTAGAGCCACATTGGAAATCGTATCAACCATCCCTCGGAATCTTCGCGTTTGTTAATTTTTTGCCGAAAAGTTATCAGAACACTGAAGCCCAATCTCGGACGGGTACCTCACGAGCCGTCGGACATTCGGACATTTCTCCGCGGTCCGGGCCCTCTTTGGCATCCGGTCGGTGCTCGGCGAAGCAGAAGTAGGAGGCTTCTCGGAATCCGCGTCCAGGCCTTCCAGCTGCTTCAGAGCCTCCACGCAAGGTTGACATACTAACTAACCGTGAATTACTAACATTTCTGTGCTTATTATTATGACGATTAAGCCATGAAGCATTATTACTATTGTTGATCTCCAGGGCCTGCTGTCTTTGCTCTTGCAGGTCCAGCTGCTGCCGCCGGAGCCGTGGGGCACAGGACCGGAGCAGCTCCCAATGCTCTAGGGCAAACGGGAGATACCTTCAAACAACAGCGAAGACTTAGACTTAGGCTTAGAGTCTCTAAGTTCGGACTGCGAGGCAAAGGTCCACGAGTCGGCAGGGTTCAGGGTTTCAGTTGCCCGCAACCACTGTAGGCACAACGCATGACAGAATGCGCAACAACTCGATCAAGCGGCCGTAGTGCCCTCGAAAGCCCAAGCCCGATCTGCCAGGGAACCCTGCTTTACGCAGAAAACAAGGGGTTCCATGCACTGCTCGCTCAAGCTTCGTGGAAAGAGTCCCAAAACGGTTCCCCAAATTTGTCGGTGAATCATGAACTTACAGTTAAGGTTCAACGTTCATCAGAACACCCATAGTTATCTTACATCGATACCTGTAACCCTACATCCCCTCCACGCCAAACCGACTCAAGACCCTTCCCCGAAGCCCCTGAAGTTGTGAGATTCCAGGATTTCAGACCAATGACCAACTAGTTTTGGACAAGATGCACATGCACGTTGTCGGATGTGATCATGTGGCCCCACGGCAGATGCATCATTACAGAAAGTATGAGGTCCTTCATCTCCTGACGGCTCGCTGCTGGCGGTGTCATTTAACACCTAGGCCCTAACAGCGCCCCCAACATGCTTAATTAGCCAAACAGATGCACCATGCGAAGAAGCACGACCGTGCAGCATGCCGCAGGCACTCCTGCATGCGCGTCTTCACCGTCCCAACCCCAATGTAAAGGAAGTCGGCCACCTCAATGATGCTCAGGGCGTGCAGAGCTTGCCACGTCCAAAGCACACTACACTACTTTAAAGCGAGCAGCATCTTCGGCGTCCAATTCGTAGAAGTATGCCCGTGCGGCCAAGACGAAGGCTGCCGCAAGCACAAAGGCCCACTTACGGCCAGTGCAAATCCAGCCTGTCCATGGTCAAAAAGGATTCTAGGGTCCAGGTGTTCAAACTGCTCACAGCTGCTTGCGAATAGGGCATGCCAGTCAAGACAGACGCGGCCTTGACTTGAGATGGCAACAAGCTTGACGCCAAAAGCGCTAACGCCTCCTGCAAAGCAGGCGACGAGGTTGATCAAGCGACTGTCGCAAGCCGCAGCCTCAAACAGCTGTTAACTTCCCGATCTCGCGAAAGGCAACCCTTTTCGGCACGGGCTTTGGGTGTGTGCCGGCAAGCTGGAATCTTATGGTCTTCATAAGACGCCAGCAAAGTTGAAGGCAACCCTAAACCCTAAACCTCAAACCTCTTCTTGCAACAGGCTTCGCCCAGCCCTCAACTCCTAACCCTCCCGGTAGTGCATCCTTTCTGCTTGACATTGAAGTGATCGCAGATGCGAGATAGAGCCGCTTCTGCGTTCTGCTCTGTCCTCGACAAGCAAGAAAAACCACCTGCATCATAAACTATGACAGGTTATATTATTTTGTGTCATACTAGAATACACTACACTATGACAGAGTTTAAACCATATTATGCTATATTACTATCTTATATTGTACCATGTTATGCTGGAGGCATCAGTGACGTGCTCCTCGGGATTCGAGCGCCTGTGGTCTTGCAAACTTTCCAGACCATCTTCTGCAGCTTTCCTGCCTTCAGGCAGGGCTTCGGCGCTCACCCTCGGACAATCCAGGCAGGGTTTAAGGTTTTTGTCCCTCCCACCTAGCATGGGCTTCGAGGGTTTAGGGTTTAGGGTGCAGGAGCATCTCAACACGCAGTCGCGCCTCCAGGTTGGCATGACGCGCGACTTCGCCCAAGGTCACCCCTCAGAAGTGATGCAAGGATGTCTCTTGCTCCCGTTTACAAGGATGTGCGGATCACATCCTTGCAAGCACAAAGCTCCCATCTTCCGCATGGCAGAATGAACCTGCCTAGGCCTTGTCTGCTTGCTGCGATGAGCAGGCATGCAGCGCCGAACAGCTTGTGCCGCGCCTTGAGCAGTGAAGATTACTGGACCGGCCACCCTGCCCATGCCTACTCCCGGTTGCACCCGCGGCCTTGCTGCCAGTGAAGCCATGGACACTGTACTGGTTAATGAGGACCAGCCTTTGCAAGCCACCATGCAAGACATGTAGAAGGACCTTGAAGGAACCTTACCCTTGTGCTGCCTGCTGGGTGGAGTTCCATCAATTTCCATGAGATCGGCTACTGCTCTTTCTGCTTGCCAAGTACGACACGAAAATGTGACAAGCAGATGTCGAACCATCATGATGACTCTCAGTGGGCATGACATCTGTCCTGCGATTCATGTGCATTCACCATGCCAAGCGGCGCCGCTTCCTGCACCGTGGTCTGCAAGCACAGACCCCCTCCCAGGTTTGCCAATGCCTTCCTCCAGTGCGATTGCTTCTGAAAGTCCTGGTGCACCTTCAAGGGGAGCAAAGCCAACGGCAGATGTTGCTTACAGCCGTACTGCTTGCTTGCATCTTGCAATTCCCAACCTTCGCACTGATTTGCTTCATCTTCCTCAGGCTGGCAACACTTCGATGCAGATTCCAGCGACGTCCCTGACAGAGCAGCCAGGCAGACCGGTCTGCGAAGTGCTGCGAAGCTGCATCAAATGATACGGATGATGCACCACCTGCAACGGCATCCCAGCAATCAGACGTTGCGCGACTCAAATAGACTCCCGACACCATCTTCTCTCGTCAACTATGCATGCTACGTGCGGCACCACTTCTTTCACAAAGGCTGAGTGTCGAACAGACAACTTCTGACTGCCATCTGAGCCTGCAGCCAGTGTCACAGTGAACATGTTCGACAAACGACCCCAGTCCAAGAATCTGCGAGAAAGGATCCCTGCATCCGTTGGCCTGGCCTCCTTTTTTGTCGAGGTACCAGTCTGAACGGCAGAGCTCTGCCAGCAAGACTCCGCCACAGTTGGGGCAATACTTTTCGCCGTGGACATCCTGACTCGGGATGCTGCGCTCGTCGCCTCCCGCCCCTCTGCGCATACCACTCAACCCGAACTGAAACCAGTCAAGGCCTGTGCATCCACCAACTCCTGACAGCCCGGGCACTGCTGCAAGTTCGAGTCCATGGCAAGGAGGAGTGATGAGTAACAGTAAATACATACATACATACATACATGCATACATACATACATACATATATATATATATATATATATATTGTCACTCGCTCTCGGCAAGCAGGCGAGGTTTATATATATATATATATATATATGTATATATATAAATATATACATATGTATATATATATATATACATATGTATACACGTATTGTTGTGTGTGTATGTGTGTATGTGTGTATATATATATATATACATACATGTATATCTGTCTGTGTGTGAGCATACTTTTTGTATATATAGATAGATAGATAGATAGATGGAGAGACAGGGAGAGATATATGCATTATATAGATGGATAAATCGATGGATGGATAGATAGGTAGATAGCGGATATGTAGGTATACATATATACATATACACATAATTTTAGAATATCGTGATAATATGTTCTCTGCAGATTGAACATGGGGTGATCTCAGCAAAAAATCGTGGCTTGAGTTTGAGTTTGCTTCTCGGAGCGTTCACTGTTCGAGTTGCTTGTAGCGTCGGCAAACTCCTTCGTATGTTTGCACATGTCTGGCTGATGCGATTTGCATGTGTTTCTGACCGGCCGCGGCGAGCGCCAACTGCGGGAGGGAGCCGAGGTGCTGCAGCGGCATGCATAGACAGGTTGCTACATACCCTAAACCCTTTTGCAACTGGCTTGCGACTTCACGCCAGGAAGCCCTTAACCCGAACCCCTGAACCCTTAACCCTGCTAGTTGTAAAACCTGCAGAAAAAGCACCATGATCTTCGTGCCCAGCCCGGCTTCCACAGCTGCGTGCCCTCTGGGAGCTGCCTGTGCCAAGATGGACCTCGGAGTTCAGGGTGGATCAGAGCACCTTTGTGCATTCTGCATACATGCACAAATCCCCGTATCTGTACCTTCAAACATCCGTGCATGCATGCATTGGTTTAAACTAATCACACGCACATGTATGTATGTATGCATGTATGTACGTAAATGCAGAAATGGAATCATGTCTATGTGCGTGCAATGAACTATATGCCTAGCTAATCTATACTATACTCATATATGCATAAAAAGAAGGACAAGATTGAGCCTCAGGCAGGATGGTGTTCTTGGCATCGGTCCCAGAGACGTCGCCCCTGACTTTGCCCGAAATCTTCAGCCAAGCTTCTACATGTATGGATATGTTTGGTGACAATTCATAGAATCCACCAAAACTTCTGCAAGTGTATGTGCCGCTCTGAGCGGCAGGCGCCAGGAGTGCCCGCACCAGCAACCCAGAGAATATCATGGCCTGGCATGTCAGACTCTGACAACCTGGGCTACCTCTGCTCGAAGATGTGCTGGGCTATAGGGACTGCAGGCTCTCGAATCAAAGGCAGATCATCAGACCCCACCACACCGCGTCATCCGAACCGCGGCATGCAAAGAGCACCGATGAGATGCCCGGCAAAGGCTTACGCCGAACCTACCTGCAGAGCATCACGTCTACACGCTGCAGGCCTGTTTTCGCCCTTGCACATCCTCGTGTCGGAGTCTTTTCGAAACCGCGCGTCTGATTGGCTCTTGGCTGTTGAAGATGGGGTGCTCCACATCGTGCCGATTCAGGCGTCGGGTGCCACTCAGGCGCAGATTCCTCAAACGGGCCAGCAGCCTCTATATGCAGCCTTACCCAACCGATTTACAACTCCGCTATCAAGCACGACCTACTTGTAGCATCTCGCACACCACATGACCGCTACGACCACCGCCCCTCACCGGCACGCCTGCAAGGGATCTGGGACCTCACAGGATGTCTTAACAGACAACTTGCAGAGAGATTCGCACGTCCGTGCGAATGCCAAGCAGCCTCAGTACGGAGAGTAGCGCGATCCTTGTCCACCTCCGTCCCCTGCAACGGGGTGACAGGGTCAGAGAGGTCGGCAGCTCTTGAAGGGCATGTGTCAACATGGCTTCATAGTGCTTCAACACCAGACCTGCCGCATGCGCATTGCCAGGAGGTGGCACGAACTCTGTGGGACATTCCTCAGCCACGGAAGCTTCGCGAGCGGAATCTCCAAGCAAGTGCTGCCTGCGTGGGCATGTACTAGGCCGACAGGTCTCCCACACAGTCTGCCCTGTCTGCGTATTGTGGTAATACGGCAGTCCGGACTGTGTCTTGTAGGTCCTCGCAGCACTTTTGCAGTAGTTCAAGCCATCTGGGCTCGTGCTAAACCCCTCCGCGCAACACAGTCATTTAGCAGGCGCTCTGCGCCTCCAAGGCGTCATGTGAGGCGGCGGCGGTGATCGGGGTGGCGGTGGTTGCGCAGGGCTAGGGCTGTTCATGTTCTGGCCGAACGAGCTGAGCGGTGCCTGGCCGGTTTTGGAGTGCTTGCCCCGAACATGGCTTGATTCTCTCTTGGGAGCATGCTGCAGTCATCAAAAGTCACATGACCATGGCTGCCTGACCGAAAAGGCCTTGATGCTTTGCCATCATGACCTGCGCAGATGAGCTAGCTGGCATGCTGCACACTCAACATGCACCGTTGAGCATTCACACCTCACGAATCCCGACACTCATCGAAACATCCTGTCCTTTGTAACGTGTTCGTTAGTTCGGAAATGTCGCATGGCCACCTCGCAGGCTTTATCGGCGCCAGGAAGGGTCAGCTGCCGATCGGTCGCCTCTTTGGCCTGCTGTGCCTCAGATGGTTTTGAGTTTTTGCACAAGGGGAGGCGGGGGAGGTGAGGAGCTCTCACCCTTATGTCGATTCCAATACTGCCCGGACCCTCCGCTTGCCTCGCCGGCAGAAGCAAACGTCACGAAGGCCCATTGCCTGCCTGTCATCGGGGGTCGAAACGAGAACTGATCGATTGACATCTCTTCCGAACTCGCTGAGTGAACTGAAACACTACGGCAGCAGCCAACCTGGTTCGCAGCCAGGCTTTATGAAGACATCGGTAACCTCGCCATACCTTCCGAACCTGAGGTCTCACGGTCCGACATCAAACCAAACCAGCACTCCCATATACTATGCACCGCTACGCAGTACTATAGATTAGAATGTATGCATTTCTATTTTTAGTCATTATAAGATGGCTTGCTCAACTTGAACCACAGCTAAGGAATCCAAGCGGCTCTCTACGCAGGGTTCTATCGGAGATGCCATCGGGCAAAGAACCGACGAAGACCTTGCAAGGACCGCCGGCGGCGAGTCCACCTCCCGGCGGAGCAAAGCCGGAGCCTGCGCCTGGCAAAGGAACTCGAGGAGGCCCTCCATGCTACATGAGGTGCTAGCGTATTGTCTTACATGTTGATATACATGACTACATACGTCTTAACTAAAGTTATAGATTCATATACGTATATGTATATATAAACACATACACATATACATGCCAGCTGTTATATGTGTTGTTTCTTACATTGTTAGACACCCCGAAAGCAGTGTTTTATATAGTTAAAAGTTGCTGTGTATTCCTGTCAGTTATGATACGTAGAATATTGTATACCATTATGCATTATTATTGCTTCGAATATATGTGGAATTTCTTAGTGGCTATTTCGCAATTTGTAACTTCAATTTTTTCATCTTGCTAATTAGTACGGTATGCCGTTCCACTGAACCGAATTCTCTCATATCATACTTCTACTATTATATTGCAGTATACTGCGTTATGTACATTATACACTGTGTAGTATATTATATCGAGAGAGATAGATAGATAGATAGATACATAGATATGATGCTCCATGTTTCTTCGGTTGCCGGCCTCCGATGGGAGGTGCGGTGGCTCTTCTGAAAGGAGTGCTGCTGTGGCTTCCGCCGCCACTGTAGCCGCCCCCCGTGCTGAAACTCCTGTGATTGCCCAAGCTGCTACCTCCAGTGGGCCCACCAAAGCTACCCCCATAAGGGGTGCTGCCATGAGCATTGTAGGAACTGCCAAAGCCACCACTGTTGTAGTTGCCGCCGCCGATGTACGGGGCACCTCCTGAAACCGAGACAAGCGGTTTAGCATATAAACATCGCTGCAAACTTGTAGAATCTGGGGGCGCCTCCGTCCAGTGAATCCTGGCCGTACATTCCCTGATGCTTGGCCATGGTCACCTCGCACGGCCTCTCGGCGCCTGTGATGGAAATGCAATGCAGGTGGAGCGCCGGCAGGGACTGGCAAATATTCCGTGATGATCCTCCGTGCCTGGGAGCATCAGCACGCGGTCGCAGCTTGCCTTTCAGCACACGAGTTTTCGGCGCGATTGACAGTCTTCAGCCTCCTCTACTTCTCAGCCCTCTCGAGGTCGCCGGGGCCAGACGAGGTACATCTTCTAGCTTGGACCCATGCAATATACACATATATATATATATATATATATATATATATATATATATTCCATATACTATATACCGCACTACATACTATATACTATATGATCCTAGAGCCATCTTGTCAACTCCGGCCCTGCCTTGGCATGCTTCGCCTCCTCTGAGGTTGAAAATGTAATGAAACCCCACTTGCCTCAGCCAGGACAGGTGTAAACTGGAAGTGCTGGCGCTGAGAAGCTCAATCAAGCTCACGGTTGAAACTCTCAGCTTAAGGCTTCTTCACCAACATGGTCCAAGGTACCGTTGACAGCAAAAGCCTAACGCCTTCCCACAGCAGCCAGAACCCAAGATAAAGTAGATCGGTATAGCTAAAAATGAGTCTTCAATGGCCCGGAGTCTGCACGGTCCCGTAATTCGAGAAACATCTGGAGCCCAAGGGATGCTTTGCAAGCTCGGCCAATTGGCCTATTAGAGGAGGCAACAAGCCTATGTCAACTGAACGGCTGTGGCTTCGTAGCTTCGAGTCTTCCAGCAACACTACCTCTGGTTCCATATTTACCGAGATATCATTCAATTCTTCAATGCGCTTCCAGCCTCGCCTGCTGCACCTATCTTCTTTAGAGTTCATCTCTTCCCTTGAAACGTTCCACAAGGCTCGAGTTCGGCCAGGGTTCGACCTGGCTCGCATCCTGGCTTCAGGAACACGTCCGTGACAACGCCGTAGTTGGAGAACTCTTCGGTGAGGATGTTTCTGGGTGGCCAGCTTTTTGCGGCAGGAATGTTGGAGCCAGAAACAAGTCCCCTTCAAGCGGCTCACAGACCCGAGGTCAAAGTCAAGGCTGTCTGAAACAGTCGCCGCCAGATGTGTGCTAGCAGGACTTGCATCACTTCAGCATTCCGCTGATGCTTCGTATCCGCCCAATGCTTCTTGGCTTTACTAGGGGTTGTCGAGGTTCAGATACTGGCTACAGACAGTCCTTCCCATGCACCCCGCTTGAACTCCACAGTTGATTGCCACACCCTTTCCTATGCCCGGAAATGGTTCAGCCTGCTGGTGCTTATGCTTGGAATATCCCAATCGCAAACACTCCAAGCAGGAGATCTGCCTCTTGTAGCACAGACTGAAGCGTGGGATAACCTGAGGTGCTTCCCAGCAGCTCGTCGACAGAGTCAGGCAAAGTGCCGACAAAAACCTGACAAGATTGCTCGGGTCAGGTCGGCTCACATGCATGCCCCGGAAAAAACGACCCCATTCTCAAGGCCCTACAGTAGTTAGAATCGGCTGCTCATCTGTATACATCTTCCCTCCTTCAAAGCCCGGAGTCTCGCATCGAACTGCCAAGGTCTTTAATAATAGTACTAGAAATTATGGTAATCATAATTCAAACAATGGTAATAAGAGTAAGCAGAGTAAATACAGTACTTATGGTAATCGTCATAATACCGAACTGCAAGGAGAAGCCCGACAAACTCGGTCGGGCAGCCTTCTTTGGGCCCGTGTCTATCGGCATCTTCGCCGCTGGTGCCGCTTGCTGCAGAGCGCCGGCGCCGAACATGCCCTTGCGAAGTCAAACGATCAAGAGACAAGCAAGTCTCGACTAGTCGTTTAAGGGACACCAAGCTCAAGCTCCGCTTTGCGGCAGCCAACCAAGTAAACGAGTCTGCGTTTAGGGGTTTCGACTCAGACTCGTTTAGGGGTTTTTTGGCAGCACGATCACTCTGAGCTCGTTTAGGGCTTTAGGGCTTAGGTTTTTCTATGACTGCCGACACATGGACACATGCCCGCGCCCTCCCCAGGACACGACAGATCCATCACCCAGGATTGCTGAACATGTCTCCTGCGAAACTTGGATCTGCTGCGCATCTCGCAGCTGATCCTGTACCACGCTGCTGTCGCCACCATAGTTGGCGTTACCCCTGGTGAGCACAGATCCATCGCCCCGGATTGCAGTCAATGCCTGGTCGCAGGCTTGGATCTGCTGCACATCTCGCAACTGATGCTGTACCGCACCGCTGTCGCCACCGCCCACTGCCCAACCCCTAGGTGATCACAGATCCACCACCCAGGATTGCAGCAAATGCATGATGAAGAAGCCTGGATCTGCTGCACATCTCGCAGCTGATCTTGTACCGCGCTGCTGTCGCCACCAAAGTTGGCATTGCCCCAGGTGACGACAGATCCATCACCCGGAATTGCAGCAAATGCTCCTTGTGAAGCTTGGATCTGCTGCACATTCTTCACCTGGTGCTGGACGGCACTGCTGTCGCCACCACGGGTGGCCTCACCCCAAGTGACCGCAGATCTATCAGTATCACCCAGGAGCGCGGCGAACGTAGAGACTCACTGCCTCGCTTCGTGGCTTCAGCAGCCTCCCCCTACCACTCTGGGCACGTTTCTTCTTCAATAACTCAACAGATGCATCCGCCTCCGCTTCCAAAGACACCCTGTTGAAGCTCAGCAGATGCTTATCCGCGAAAATCGACACGTCTCTTTCAAAGCTTATTTCCCAGGGTGTCTGCTCCAGTGTGGTCCACAGTGTCAAAGTGATCTGAGTAATCACAAGGGTGAGCAAGCTCGAGACCACGTTCACCCACGAAGATGAAGTCCGCTGCAGATGGATACTGCGTCTGCTGGCTGCTGCAGACGACTTCGGCCATCACACACCGTGTTGAGAACGAACATGCATGTTGAAGTCGTGAGAAAGAACCACGAGTAATCTTGCAATTCATGATGGTCAGTAGTAATTGTTGCTACAAGCCCGAAACCCTAAACCCCTAAACCCGTACACTGCCAGCAGTGGCAAGAGGCATGGTTTGCAAGAAGCGCCCTGGAGCGTGTTCATCTCAACATCGCCAGTGTTACTGAAAGGTGCTCTCCATGCGGCATGACATGAAATCGCCCGGGCCTGGTTCCGAGCCAGCGTTACCTGACAGGATCGAGGCCCACGACATGCAATCCATTTTCTATAATGAACAACACGCAAACAAAAAAGGCATATATACATGTATGTAAATAAGTCTATACCTACATACATACATGCATGCATACGTACATACATACATACATACATTTACATACGTACAGGCATACATACATACACATACACATACATATATATATATATATATATGCGTATACACAAACATACATACACATATACATATGTTCGTATACCTGTATGTGTGCATATAATCTGAAAGATGCGTATTTACACATATGTAATGCAGCTGGCCTCGCACGGTCGTGCGGCACCTTCGAAATGGAGCCTGCCATTGCTCGCCTCCTGGCTGAGACATCCGAGCAACGTCGCCCAAACAGTGCGGAAAACTAAACAGCAGTTCAGGCGCAAGATGTAATCTGCATTAGTTGTACACGTGCGCCAACACTCTGACTCCTGGGCATGCGCGGCAGCATTGGGCGAATCAAAGGTTACAAACGCCCACTGTCGCCCGGGTTCGCATCCAGGCTTCAGAAAAAGGTCCTGAAGTTGCAAATGCGAAGAAGAAATTGCGTCAACTTGGCGTCACTCGCAAAGCTCTCCTCGATGTTGCCATACTTTGAAAACTCGAGCCTCAGGGCTTCCTCCTGTCGGGCTTGCGGCTCTGAAAGATTCTCGGAAGCATCTTCGGTAATGTGGGAGCCTGATTAAGAAACCCTGGGCCTATAACCCCCAAAATAGTAGGGCTCAATCAGGTTCCTACATCACTCAGTTCCAAGGTTCCAATGTTCCAAGGTCTCACACTACCGCACTGTCCGTTGCGGGGCGCATGGGGTCGGGGCATCGGACAGCCAAATGGGACAAATGAAGTCCTTTGCAGAGCCTATGTGGTCGCGTAGCATCTCGCAACGAATAAAGGACAAGCGAAGTCCGTTGCGCTCCAAATGGTGAGGTGGTAGCATCCGGTCGTTTGAAGTCCCCAAAATACTAGGTTATTAGATAAGAAGGACCCTAATTTAGAGAACTGTCATGTATTAAAGGCGGCGAGCGGGACTTAGGCATCCGAAGACGACACCAATGCACGCCAACCGTGGCAGGCATCCTGGATCCCATCGGGAAGAGATCCCACAAAGATCTTCCGCGGAGCCTCTGATGCAAAAACAAGCGAAACTTAGAAGAGACTGTCACAACATCTCCACAACAGCATAAGACGGCGCAAGATTGGCCAAGCTAGGCTATACAGTAGAATCACCGCACTGGGGCACGGTAGAAACTGCTCAGCCAGAGCCAGGGAGCTGAAGAGCCAGCATCAGCAGCCCCGGTGCTGCCTTGACAGAAGTAGCTCGCATGGAAACTTGAGCCAAGCAGTGTGGCAGCCATGTCGGCCTTGATTCTTTGCCAGCATCACGTCGCATGCACCTTACTGCCGTTTCAATGAAAGCCCGGCTGACTTGACACACAGCGTGAACAAGACGGTCTGATTGCGTGTGAGTGGCGCTCCGCACCTGGTAATCTCAGCAGTCGGTCACATGCCTCCTTCGCAGCTGCCGCTGCGTCCGCGGAGGCAAAGGTGACGAAGGCCTCGGGCGGTCCAAGGCACAGACACCGAGGTTTAAGCGAACCGTCACATCTTGCTTTCTGAGTCATGCACCCACTGCTTGCCCACAGGGCAGCCCTCCTGCGAGACACAACCACGCAATACTTGATACTATACTCCGGCATTTGAAGTCACACCTCCCCGGCATGGCATGTAATGCGCAGGATTCTACAGAGCAAGGATATCCTTGATGAACACCTCATCGATTCGTCCAAATCGATCGAACTCCGATCTGAGCAGATCTTCAGTGACGGCGGATGGAAGCGAGCCCACAAAGATCTTCCGGGCCATCTCGACCCGACTCCCGCTTCACCCCCGCTCGAGCAAATGAGGCGACAGGGGCACCATATTACACCATCACCTATGTTAAGCTGCACCTCATCCAGCCTTCATTTGACAGCCTAGCGACCTCGGCGTTGAGTCAGCCGACAAGCGTGAGCTTCTCCAATCTTCCAGTCGCTGAGACCCTATTCCAGGACTTAGGCCCGAGAAATAGTATCTGTTTCGGGAGTGCGACTATGGCGATGGTGTCTATGGCGCACTCATGTAATGTCAGGGCTGGCGAGCAGAAAAGAAGCACCCATCTAGCCGCTTGTCTTAAGAAAAGTGCTGCTGGCGCCCATCGCCAGCTTGAAACAGCAGATGCACTTAGCTGCAAGCAAAAACCCGCTGTAGTACCCTCATGGTACCCCAACCATGCAAGGTCGTCCATCTGCTGGGCCTTTTCGACCTCGTTGCACATCCCTGAAGCTCATGGCTCAGGACGTGGGGCCCGGGCCTTCGATGCCTCTCCATGGTCCTGAGGGCAGAGTTTAATACAGTATGGGAGCAGTACAGCTTAGTTTACAATAGTATGGCATGGTATGGTGTTGTGTTGTACTGTGGCGTAGGATATATAGTGTGGCATGGTGCTCAGACCACCAGCCATGTGTCGTTGTTGCAGCCACAGGCCTCAGAGATGCTCAGCAGCACCTGCGCGGCCGCACGCCTCGCCTGTGAATACGCTGCGTTGGTCGTTGATCTAGGGTTTCGGCACTCACACTCGGACAATCCACGGGGGTATATGGTGCGAGGTCTGCTGAGAAACTGCAACTCTATGGGAGCGAGTCCACAACAAATGAGCCCAATAGTACTCCAGCTAAACCCAAGGCCCAGCGCAATTGCCTCTTCCCATCCAAGGGCCCATCACATCATGTAGCTAGTTCCAACTAGTTATGGGCCCTTAGGCACTACCAGCTGGGTTCAGGGTTTCTGCGCTCACACTAGGGTTTAGGGTACCTTGCATTGGGGGAGCTTGGGCCCTGCAACTTCCGCATGCCGTGTGGACGTAGGAAGGGCCTCGTTGGTGCCGAGAGCCACCGTACGTGTCACCACGTCCAGCCCTGGGGTGTCCAAGCCACCTGGGTTCACAGTCTCTGACGCTGAATATGACACTTTGATCCATTTGCAAACGGTGCAAATCCGGCTTCGGGCTCCGGCCGGAAAAAGCCATGAAGCTAAATGCTTTGCTGGCCTCAGCATTGCAGATGCAAGGCCTGGTCATTTCTCGCAGAACCCGATGGAGCATAAGCCCTTCCAGCCCGGGTGTGCCTGCTTTTGCTCCGCGGAGTAAGACATCCCACGCAACCGAATTAAAGCCGTGATGAGCCACGCATCCATGCGAAGCCTCACAGCGCAGTAGCGGGCCAGCGCCAGCCCTTGTGGGTCCTGGATGGTTCGGGCCCGCTCGGCTTTTTTCTGAAAAATTGGCCCACTTCTCAGCCTGGTTCTGGGCCTCAGACAGGCACCAGCCAGGCCGAAGTGAGACTGACATTGGTGACTCACAGTGGGTCTTAAAGCCTCACAGCCACGAGCAGTTAACAGCCTTTCGGAGTCTGCCTTATCATGCGAAAACGAAAGCTAAACAACGCATTTCCACATGTACACGCCGCCTGGCTGTGACAGCATGGGGGATTAGGAAGCAACGCAGGGATTTCGCATTCTTCCGGCTGGAAAATAACAGTATGAAGGCGAGCAACATTTACGCATATCTTTTTCGCAAGAGCACAGTGACTGTCCCTGCAGGCGGGATCACCAATCCTTCATGATCTTTTTCCTTAGTTGGTGCAATACACCGGAAATGCCCAAGCTCTGGATTCAGCTCGCCAGTCTGGCCAGTGACGAGTGACCATACCAGTACTGCATGGGATGTTGCTGGATGCTGCCAAGTCTGCAACAAAGAAACAGTAGAGAATTTGGGAAACCCTTTTTGGCCCAGGTGCAGCTGCTCAACGGTGACCCAGGTGATCACGACCTCAATGTCAGGCGTTAACACCGTGGCGAAGCTTCGTGCACACGCGGCAAGCTAGAACAAGTTCACAACGATCACGCTACCCAGCCAAGCTGCGTAAGGGCATTGCCGAGCAAAGGTGGCTGGAAAACCCTTGTACAAGGCTAGAGGTCCCTCCTGCAAACCGATTGAGGCATGTCAGCATGTCCAAGGTTGCGCGTTCTACAAAAGTGTCGCTGGCTAAAAAAGCTTTCCCACCTGTTGCGCAATCGTGCTCATCGTCTGCACCGTACTTCTGTAAAGCCTTAGACGCTTAGAGTAACACCCGGAAGACTCCGATGCAGTCCACGAACAGAACGTGGCGCATGTCGGACCGTCCAAGCAGCAAAGGCTTTCCTTCTTCGGCTTTCTGATTCATCAGCCGGGTCTTCGCCACATCGACGGGATTGGACATCACCTGGCACAGAAACCACAGAAACACGCGAGAGACTTCGCATTTTCAGTGCGGCCACAGGGGTTAAGCCAGGCCAGACACTGATGCGATGAAGGCAGCACCGAAGCTGGAAGAAAGATGGAGCCCGACCTGGGCAGCGGTGCAGACAACCATGCAAGGCACGCAGGTTCGCGCTTCCGCCAAGTCGTATTGGTGTGCGAGTTGCACAGTGCAGAACATCCTGGTTTCATCCAGATTCGAAAACTATGTCCAGGCTATTATAACTAGAGTTGCTCTGAATACTGTGATGATTGTCTTTACTATTATTGTAACTATTGCCCTACTATCCCCAGATGTGGACTGAGGCTTTGACACCCTCCTTCATCTTGAACGATTCCTAGGATGCTCCCAGCATCTTTCGGTTCCACAGCTCAGACAGGACTTACAAAAAATGTTCCACGAGCCCTTTCAGTCCACAGCACGTTTTGCTATTCTGGCGAAGGTGTGCGAGGAGCTCAAGATGTTACCAAGATTTGCAGCAACCAACTACTCTCTGCATTCATCATTTATCCCTTGAGTTCGCCCGTGCGGTTTGCCGACGTTCATGCGTTGGCTGGTCGGCAGAGCCACAAAAGCGTCTCGAAAGATGTTGGCCTAAGCCGCCCCACCCACCCCCCACTTCACCTCCCAGCGTGCTCAGGTGGTCACACATGCCATGGCCTGGCAGATCATCCCTGCTGCGAAAGCTCCCTGCATTGCAGCACTTGCTCGAGCCGGTTCAGATGACAAGACCAAGCAGACTAGAGACTCAGTACTTGTACATGTTATATACAGTCTGAAGACGTGTGATTGTTGCTTGCCCAGCATCAACGAAAACCTCCTTGCAGGTGTCGTATGCCGCCAGCTGCCCCACGGTAATTATCGTTGCCTCAGGTACAGACTAATATGCAGATGCCACCAAAGCAACATACTAGGTTCTCGCCCAGTCGCGCGATTCATGTTAGGCACAACTCCTGTACGCCACATGGATAGAACTCCTTCTGAACGCGCGATCTTGCCAACCTGCACCAGCACAAGCCTCCCGAATCATTCTGAAGCATGTGCTTTCCGAGGATAGAGCCGCATCAAAGATGTTTTTGTAGCCCCGACCTTGTGAAAACACTGACCATAGGTCTCCCGAAAGTTCAGGCATGGCGCCAACGTGTGCATAAATGGTCTCCGTGTGCCAACCACATCCAGGGCCCCAGCGTTCTGCTTCTGGCAGCTTTCCATCCGCCTAGCTTAGTTCAGATTGCAGAGGAAAAGGGTCAACTACCGGATGCGCCATTGCCCTGTTGCTCCAGTGAGTTTTGTGTAGCAGGGTCATGTTATTCGAGTTGAGCTCACGAACTGACAAGCCGCACGTCAGGCCACGAAGTTCTGACAGCGATGCCAGCGGACAACGCGCCTGCATCCGTACCATCGCCAGATCGCCCGGGTTTCCAGCGAAAGCTCCGGTTGCACCAGCCACGGCAGCACAAATGACCTGACGTAATGTTTTGTTTCCGAGGCGGACCCCGTCTTTCGGCGCTCACACAACGACCAATCCAGGGGGTCCGTCTTTGGGGACCGCGGACCGTCAAGGGCAAACTGCGAGATGCTCCTACACATTCATCCCGAAGATAAGATGGCTGCGGGATCGGGCCTTCTCTGCCGTGCTGAGAGGTCTCTGGGACTCGCCGCAGAAGCCCTGGACAGAGTCTCAATATCTTCTAGCAGCTTTCCAGGAAGGGGCGGTGAAAAAACGAGGCTGCATACCGCAGGTCTGCTGGCCTTAAGCATGTCATACATCCCGAACCGGACCTGAAATCGGCCGCGCACATCAGCCGCCGAAACCATCCACGCGAGCCCCTCCCGGTCCCTTAGATCTGCCGCGCGGCCCCACTGTAGACCTCAGCTCACGAAAAAAAACGGTGTACTATACTCTGCTCTACTCCACGACACTACGGTATACCATATACGACTATGCTACACCATACTCAACTTAGTTTCGTTGCCAAGCTGCCAACTGCCGAGCTGCTGAGGCATCGACACCTGCGAGACTCCAGTCTCCGGATTTGAGCTTAAAGGGGTCTGGTCACGCAGCTCATCAAAGAACTTGCAGGTGGAATGCAATGCAAAGATCTTGTGGCAGGCGCCGAGCCTTTGAAAAGGCCAAGGACACCCTCATTCTTGACAATATGAGGGCCCATCCTGACACTGAGAAGTCTCTGGTGTTCTGTAACTTCCAAAGCTTCCATCAGCACCCAAAGGCCATATCTTCCCGAGTCGCTGCAACATGCTGAGCTTGGGAACTTCAGTCTGCAGCTGCATCCGCACCTGCACTCTCAACTGTGTTGACTGTGCTTCCAGCTTCTGGGTGCCTTCGCCGGCCTTGATCAAATCCAAGGGATGCGCACAGGATCCGCCGATCGCTGCGCCAACGGAGCCCTGCACAAAGCCCTGGCACAGCGGAGTCTCTGCAGTCTGGCAGTGCCTGCCAGACTCACAGGTGCAAGTGAGAGCCGGGTGCGGCCTTCCAGATCTGGGCATTCTTCGATTTCGTTTCACCAGCAGGTGTCCGGGGCAGGCGGGCTTCCATGCCCATGTGCTTTTCCTCCAAGGAGCTGATACTGATACTGTCTACTCTGCCAACAAATGCTCTGGTTAGATCAGGGCCGATGAATACAAAACCTTCAGCACCCCCATCACCGCATGCGGCCTGTTTGCCATCAGAGGCCATGTCGCCTGCAGGTCGCAGAGTCATGTCAGTTGCAAAGGAAATTAGATTTGTAAGCGGGCCTCTGCTGCCTGGCTAGCCAATCTGGGATTTGCAGCTCGGAACCGAAACTTGAGCACAAAGTGCTGCGATATGGCAGATCGTTCCGCACCGCACCGGGTGATAGACTGGCCGCACTGGCGCAGGGATGTGCGGGGTATCCGTGCTCCTTCTCAACTGGGACAGCCACCGCAGCACGAACCTCCGCTACTGGATCGTGGAGACCTTTACATCTCAGACATGAATGGCATATGACAGTGAGAGGTGGTGCTAGACATGTTGCTTTCTGCCTCTGCAGGCAGGCACGTCTAAAATTACCGCGAGAGCTCTCTTTGCAGGGGCAGATGCTTCAGTGCAGTAGCAAAGCATTCACTGGGGTTCGAGCGGTCCAGCAGGCTCTGGATGGCTTTGACAGAAAGCTCCTCACAGAAGAGAGGTGGAAGAGATGAGCACCCTGATCCTGAACCGAATCCATTCCCTCAACCCTGCATCCTGCACGTCCTACAGACCCTGGAATTCGAACCCTCAACCCCCTAGATTCCTAGATTCCTGAGTGCGGGCCTGGAAGGAGGCAGAGCTCATGTTCGACAGGATCTCGATAGCTGCAAGGCCTGGGATCAAGGAAGGCCCGCAGAAAAGCTGTGCCCTTGAGGGCCTGACGTATTCCAGAGCTGGCATTCGTCAGCTTCTTGATGACCTTAGCTGCTCGGCCGGACGGGCTCTACGGTTTGCAAAGAAGAGATATTATCTCACGACTGTCTCGATGCGGGTTGCCAGGCGCGACTAACAAGCTGGATGCAATAGCGAGGCCAGTCACTGTCGCACGGCAAATCAGTGATCTTCCTTTTGACGCTCTAAAGCTACTGAGCTTGCACGCTCGAACCTGCACAGCCACTTTAGACTGCAGGCATCAGCGCGCTAAGCCGCTAGTCCAGCGGTCGGCCGATGTTACGCAGATGCTGGAGTGCAGCTTTCATTACATGTTCAACGGTTTTGGGGTCAAGGGACGCCAATGCCTTTTCGCCTTCGGGTGTTTGTGCCCTGCCCATGGTCATGACCTCCATGAGGGCCTGGGCAGCCATTGTCCCTCCGGGCCCTCCAGCTCCAGTTTCAATACGCTCTGGTGGAGGTACATTCAGGCAGCCATTGCTGTAGAGCTCCTCCCAGACTTCCGATACAGAAGGGCCTGGCAGGCGGTCGAAATCGCGCTTCAGCGGATATGCCTCTACTCCGACCAGCGTCACCAAGCACCCCAGGGTGGGATGCCACACAGGTAACCAACCTCCGTCTTCGGAGACTACGCGTCGCCACTGTTGCGTAGCATCCCATTCTCCAAGGTTCACGTGCTGACCGGGCCGTAAGTGGGCGATGACAGGACTCTGCATCCAGGGCTGGCTTCGAACCGCCACCATTGGCGAATGCTCAATGACGTGCAGAGACGACAACGGCTTGGGTGCGGGCTCTGCCGAACCGGACTTGACTGACTCATCGAGACGGGCTTCGGGCTTTTCCTCGGGAGGGGGAGGCTCTTGCTCAGCGGATTGGTCGGGTAGCGCCGGATCGGTCGAGTCCATGGCATTGCCAACCTGCATGGGGCGAGAGTTGGAGGCAAGATAAATGCTAAAAATTATACAGGTAGTTATGTGTATATCTAGGCAATCATGTGTGTAGACATACAGATGGTCTTGTGTTGTAATATATTGCATTATATGTTATCATATGATACTCTAACATCGTATCTTACATGGTGTTCTGCTACAATATCATGTCACCTTAATAACGTATAATATACTATATTACATTGTGCGACAGTATATCGCACTATACTGAACCATCGTATCATTTTGTAGTGTTGCGCATCGTATATTTGCATTGATTGAGATGAAAACACGTGTATGTATACAGAAATCAACACATGTAACTGTATTGTATATTCAGTTGACAATACTCAATAACAGTATAGGATGAACAGTATAAACCTATGCAATAGATGTCATCTCTCACAATTGATAACCGATATCCAACAGTTATCTGATATCGAATAGGTTCTTCTTTCCGGCTCCACCCGAACAGTGCCGATTATAAGTAGGGCTATAAACCCCTTAATGTGGGTTATAATTATATACTTATACTTATCTTACTTATCTTACGAAAAAGTGGGACCCATGCCTGCTCGGCTTCTTCGCGCTGCGCGCGCGGAGTGCTTGGGGAGGTCGGCTCGGGCACGGCGGCTGCGGACTCCGCCGCCTTCGGCCCCGAAACCTCCTCCGCCTCAGCTTCGCCTCCGGTGCTCGGAGGATCCTCCGAGGCCTCCCGTCGCTTGGGCTCCGAAGAGTCTGCTCCCTGGGGTTTGGACTCCTGCTCGTCTTCTGGTGTTGTTCGCTCTGTTGGCGAGAGCGCGTCGGATCTCGAATCCGAGGGGGGTTGACTTCGAGCTATGTGGTCCAGGACCTGCGATTGCAGTGAGGCCGACAAGGTGGAAATCGCAGCCTCCCTCTCCTTGGGATCCACTTCTCGACCAGAGAACCTTGCACCCAATATCAGTCAGTTCTTAATGCTCGGCTGATATCCCTGCAAGTCCCTGCCCGAATGGCCATCAGATTTCACATGATGCGTGACTCTCGGAAACGATGGAAACGATGGCAAAGCCCCGTCTGTGCCCCGGGCAAATCAAGGATGATCTGAGTAGTATGGTCCGCCGCCAGCTGCCTCGCGGTGAATCTCGGGGCAGAGCAATCGGATATTTACCTCGCACCTCAATGACCACGGTGTGGTCACGGCTGGTTGCGGCTGCTGAACCTCAAACCCTATCTAAACAGCACAGGTGGCGAAGCCTTGCGACCATCTCCTGGTGCGAGATGTGGTTTGGATTCGCAGAGTTCAGCAGCAGCAGCGATACGATCTCGGAGTTGCCCACCGCTGCGGCCTGCCAGCGAGAGCAGTCTCTTCTTCGCCACCACAATCGCATCAAAACCGTTTTGCATAGCACCGCCACAAGGACTGGCAAGGCGAGAAATCCACAAGACGCTCCTACAAGCCTCCAAGACTCGCGACACAAAACTCGCGGAGCCCTTCGAAGGCCTCGAACAGCGGGGTCTCGCCCACCTCATCCTGCGCATTGGGGTCTGCCTCGTACAGTGTACGAGAAGCGCCCTTGCTCAACGCAACAGGAAACTTCAAAACCCACAGGCAAGGCCCCTGGCCCTTGCAGCAATCAGTCGGGAGATCTCCTGGAAACGGCGAAGCAGTCTGCAAGTAATCGTCCTTTCGAAGACGCACACCCCGCGCCTCAAAATTGCCTTCCTGGGTCGCCTCCAGCAGCTTGCTTGCCAGGCCATCGCGACTCTCCAGCGACATGTTCGCCAGTGTTCGCAGAAGTTGTATCAGCTAGTGCTGGCTTAGTTCCTTCTGCTGCAACTGAGCGTTGCGACACTGCTCGTGGCCATGTTCACGTTGGATACCCCGGCAGGCGCAGCTGTGACTTCTTCCGCTACTCCCGACATGTCAAATCCGTGCAACACCTGCTTCATCTGCACTTGTTTTGCTGAGTTGATGATAAGGGACAGCGGCAACGGAAAGCCGCCCAGCACTCTGAGGTGCGCAAATGCTGCTATGGGCATGTCTAGACAATCAGAAGAAAGCATTCCAGGCAGCAGGAATTCCAAGAGCGGCGCTCCTGCCGCAGCCTCATGACCTGCAGCTCTGGCAGGTTCGCAGTTCAGGAGCGTGCGACACTCATGCGGCCTATCTTGCATTCCCGTTCTCTCGTTGCGTCCTGCGGGCCATCCTACCGTTCCTGGGCACGCCGGTTCTCCTCACTTGCATCCTAAAACCTTTTTGCCACTGGACTCACGGCACCCGTCATTTAGGGTGCCCAAAAAGGGACCCTAATTTTGACAACCTCCCCTCTGAGGATCCACAAATGAATGAAATATCCGAAGACCGAGGTCCACTCTGCCGCTCTTCACAGCAACCGTCAGCTGCTCCACCGCCTGCTTCCGAAGCCTCCCAGAACTCAGTTGACAACTGTTGGTGATAGTGCTCTGGTATGTAGTTCATTATAAGGCTTATTATAGGGGTATTTTGCGGCTTACAAGCACACTCGCAAAGCAGGCATAGATCTGGGCGATAGGTTCGAACTGATGCTTAGGGTTACTGTTGCAAAAATGCTGCCGCAGAGACCCGTTCGACACGGTTTCTCGATGGATAGTTGCTGGGCTCTTTCTGCCTTTTTCCCATCCACTTGGGCTTTTCGTTTGGCTTTTCGGGCTTATGCTCTTGCAACTCGGACTCAGCCAGACGAGGCCTTTTTTTTTTTTACTACCCTCTTTTCCAACTGCCTGAAAGTTAGTTGAAATGCCAGATCTGGCTGAGGGGTGGTGTGGGGAGCCTGCCGAAGGGGATGACCACCGTACCACATCTTCCCCCAATACTACCAAACACTGACGAGGCCTTTTCGGGCTTAGGACTTTTCTGTGCAGTCCTTTTGGGAGGTAAGCATTCAAGACAACACCTTGCCAACCGCACAACCAAGTGGAACCTCTTGACTCGTCGCAGCGGGCAAATAACACCCGTCGGCCTCCACCAACTGCTTTCCATTTGTTTCAGCCTCTGCCCCATGCCAAGCAGATGAGTTCACCCTAATGGTGCTGGGCAACATGTCAAGATGAATGTTGCACAGACAAGTCGTGTTGTGGGGTTACTCAGTTGATCTAGAGCTGCATTCTGTTGCGGATGGACCCTCTGCACCCCATGTCTCAAATCGAAGGTCAAACCTGCAAGACTCACTGAGCATCGGAACGCATCGTCTGTGCGCTCTTGCTCCACGAGGGCCGGGTGCGGCCTCGCACATCCACTGGATGCGGCACAATGTCATATTGCACTTGCCAGTTACGGAAAGCTCGTCGATGTAATGGCGCTGTTCAGCCCCCATCGGTTTACAGGACTTGCCGGCTTGTCACCTTCCGGACGGGTTTGCTCTTAAATCCACTAATGGCTGCGTTTATCATCCAGTGTTGAACTGCAGCGCCGGCCTCAGAGTAAGCAAGAGTTGTGCCATGCGACTCTGCACACAGCGAGCATCGACTGAATCTCGCGGCATCTGTTCGAGTTTTGAGCTCTACCAAGGCGCTGCATCTCTATGCCAGGTGCACCAATGCGTACCTGACAGGTTGACTCCACCCTTCAGTAGGGCCGAGCATCTTGGGTTCTCCAAGACTGTTCTCAGTCACTGAATTTGCCGCCGTTGCTGCACACTGCCTGGGTTTTACGGATCCACCACTGGTCTCTCTTCCAACAGGAAAAGCTCGTCATGACTCGAGCCACAATGATGAATGCCTTTGGCTAGCCCAGTGTGAGGGATTCGTCGTCTTCCTGGCAGGGTGCAAATCCTGTACAAGCGACACCCGTGCATGACGCTTCGCATGTCCTGCAGGCGTTGCTTTGCATCTGCTTCTAGCTTGGTAGCTGCTGTGACGGCTCGGAAATCTCTTCAGGATGAATTGCTTGTATCATAGTACGTCAATCGGCCAATCGAGCCCCGGAATTTCGTCACAGCCGTTCCTAGAAGCAGATACACTTCGGCAACAAGAGTGTGTCCAGGCCCTTCGGGCATTGCCCCGCAAAGGGCCTCGAGCTGAATGGTTCATCAAAGAATTGAACAATCTGTACTGCGGCTCCGTGGGATGCTGTGAGACGAACCCATCTTTTTTCCAGAGATCCTTCTCACGTAAACTGAAGGCCCCTAGTTTTGGGCCTGTGCAGGAACCCTACCGCACCGCAAAAGGGAAACGTTGCAGATCTTTCGTACTCATGCCATGCGGCACGCAGAGCAAGACGGACCACTGTCTTCCTCTATGACAATTTGGGGAAACCGGGCATCTACCTGGGCTCCGCGCAAGCAAACTTGGTACGAGTAGCACGGCTAGCCTGACACCAAACCTTAGGCCTCAGGCCCTATGTGCTGTGCCGCATGAAATGGTTGCACCCGCATATTTGGCTTCATAATGTCACGCCAAAGAAGGAACGAATAGCAACAACAACAACAACCACCGCGAAAAAACACAACAACCACAACCACAACCACAACCACAACCACAACCACAACCACAACCACAACCACAACCACAACCACCACAACCAAAACCACAACCAGCACAACTACAACCACCATAACCACCACAACCACAACCGATACCACAGCCACAACAGGCGCAACCACAACCGATACCACAGCCACAACAACCACAACAACCACAACAACAACCGACACCACAGCCACAACACTTCTCAGTTGGACGCTGCGCGAGCGGACTCCACGCATGGCGGGCGATTGTCGCACGATGCACTCGCAAAAGTGTGAAACTGACCTGATGACCAATCTATGTCTAGCTGTGGCATATTTGCCTCGTACCACTTACGGCCGACTTGCACCTGAGACTTTGTCCCCATCCCCACCGAGCCGGGTTGCCTGCACGGCTGCCCCGTATCCCAGGACCGTCGAGCACTTGAGAGTTTTCAAAGATCTCCACGCAACAGGACCACGGTCGAGCCGGTCAGGATCTTGCACGTACCTGTGAGGCATTCAGCCAGTGTGTGACAGACAAGGCGACTCGTAGAGATGCAGTGCGCTGCAACCATCAAAAGCATTTTTTCCTGCAGTCCGCTGACTTCGGCAGTTGGCAAAAAGGGTCAGCAGTCTGCCGTACGCTCGCCTGAGGAATGCAGATGAGGCAGTGCCTCCGCGAGAAATGAGGAAGAAAAGCTGGCGGCCGGTGGCCGTTGGAGCCAAATCCGGAGCTTTGCTGCCACCAATTGCGGCCACACCATGGTTGCTGCTCCGTCCACTCGTCGCCATCTCGGGGCCGTTTGTCCGTTTGAGAGGGGAGAGCATCGACTTGACGTTTGTCCCGGCTGAGTTGGGACTGCTCTTTCTCCCTTAGTCGATTCCACAGGTTCGCGGGAGTGTCGCCTTTGCTGTGCTCGACCCGGACTTTGCGAATCACCCGTTCTCCGCGAGGCTGGTGGGGGATCACTCGGTTGAGACCGCAACATTTGCGAACAGGTCTGATCATAGATGCACTTGATGGTAGAGGTGACGACCTCGAAGTTCTCATCCGTTTCGAGGATGTCGTTCATCTCCTCCGGGTCCCACATGTGCTGGAAAAGTGAATGAATGATGCCGAGGCAAGCTGTGAGGGCCTTCATCAACTCCACATACCTGTCCCTTCCCCTATGGAGACGGTGAACTGGGCCACATGCCCTGATCATTTACATCAACCTGGAGTGATGGTGCATCCGTGATCAGTGGCTGCTGTAGTCAATGGAGAGTCTGCGGAGGTGCTCGTGGCCTGCGCGGCGTGCAGGCGTGGCTGTGCCCGGGGTGAGCTCTGGGTTCTGAGCGTCCGTGATGGACTGGTCCTGTGGTGGCAGGTGGTCCGTTTGCGCCGGGGCACCACCAGACTCGTAGATGTTGTTGCCTCTGAGTTGGGCAGTGACAGCCACAACAACCACAACGACAGCCACAACCACAACCACCACAATTTCAACCGCACCCGCAACTATCACCACACCTACAGTGGACCTACAGTTCGCTACCGACAGCCACCACCAGCAGCAGCAGCAGCAGCACCACCACCACCACCACCACCACCACCACCACCACCACGACAACAACGAAGGAAACGAAAAGCACGGTTAGACAGCAACATGATACCTACCGGAGCCTTCAGCAGAAGAGGGATAGTGAAGGAAGGAAAACTTGTACTTTGGCACGGCAAAGCGGACGAAGAAGCGCAACAGCCATGGTCAGAACCATGAACAAGTGCAAATCTATACAGCCACCAAAAGCATGGACGCATCTTTCTTATTCTGTCCCTGCTTGCCCAGATGCGGGCTCCCACCTCTTTGCAGCCAGCTCTGCACTCACAGCCTGCTCACAGACGCATCATGATGCAGGACATGGGGTCTTGCGATTCTCCGTCTGTTGCGCCTCCGCTGTGTCTCCCAGCTTCTTCTGGGCAAGTCCAGCCTCGATGACAGCTCTACGACGAGTCCGATGCCAATGAAGAGTCTTTTCCCGGCCTCCTGTGCCGCCAAGACGACCCTCAAAGCGACGTTGTGGCCCACTTCACGGATCCGGCCGGTGCTGGGCAGCACGGAGTCCAGCTCCATGTCTGCCTTGTCCAGGGAGTTGGCCACGGCCTCGGCAGCCTCCATGAAGAGCCGGTCCGGGATGTGGCTCGCTTCGCAGCACATGGCGCCGAAGGAGACACCGGGGAAGATGAAGAAGTTGTTGACCTGACCTGGCCAAGGGGGCAGATGCAGAGAAACTAAACCCTAAACCCTAAGCCCTAAACCCTAAATCCCAAAAACTAACCCAGCTCTACTCCATCCGACTTTCTGAGAGCCTGGTGCACGGATCTTGCCCTGCACCGTCACGGGCTCGAACTTGGTCCCAGAACCGAAGATCGCCCTGCCACCCGAGAATTTGTAGCAGTCTTCGGCCGTCACTTCGGCCTGTGTACTTGGGTTGGAGAGCGAGAAGATGATTGGCCGGAATGCTCCGCCCTTCGCTGCTTGCACTGCCACCATTTCTTTAATCACTTCCTGGCCCCAGACAGAAGAGGCTCGTCCCACCCCACCCTGAACTCTTGGAGCAAAGACAGAAGGGCTGTCCTCTGTAAAGCATCCCGGTGCGCGGCCGACGGCACCGACAAGAACGTCTGGCTTGTGATGCTTGATGATGGAAACCAGGTTGGTTGGGTCGTAACCTTGTACAAGGATGTACAAGTATCAGCTCGAAGCTGCATGCACATCAAGTCCACGTGCCGAAGTAACAGTATATCTAAAGTATTCCAGTATCATGTAGTGATTGAAGTATAACAGCCGGAAGATGCACACACAGAAAACATGGGCAAACCAACTTGCGCCGAGAGACCCTTCGGCTCACCCACGCTGGCAACTGATTTCTGTTCATCGTTCTTGAAGGTGCCCTTCCTGGGTTCTTGTTAAGGAATCTCGTGTAAGTCACCATATTAAGGAAACCGTGATATTTACTCTTCATATGGGAACGTAAATTAAGTTCCTTCAGAGCCTAGCTTCTTGCCATCCGGAGATTTCCAAATGACACCTGCAGGGCTCATCGGCGAAAGACGTAACAACATCATGTACATGCCAGAGCTTGCTCCATTAGAATACCATCATCGAAAATACATCTGGATAATCGTGTTGTAATTGGCATATTTTGGTAGTCTTATAACTAAATTATTGCTTCGGCATCTTGTGTAATACACACATTCCGACAGCGGAGGACCCTTGGAGTTCGTGACCAGGATCGAGGACGCAGGCACACCGGCTTCCTTCCTGAGAGGGCAGATGGAGTGGGGGCCTCGGGGTGATTATGGCTTACTACTACTACTACTACTACTACTACTACTACTACTACTACTACTACTACTACTACTACTACTACTACTACTAAGTTAAATACTTCGTTCATGCAAGTATTATCATTACTGGGTGAGGACTGTTATTCATGTTTTTGTTCAGTATTTGATCCCTGGGCTCCCTTTACAGCTCTTGACAAGCATCAGCATCAAGCTGGCGCTGCCGAGATTGGCTGAACCAGCGCCATGGAATAATAAGCGCAGGCCTGGAAGCCACGGCCAAGATTTGGGGAATTTGGGCATTCTTCCGGGCATGTGCAGCAGACCCCTGCCTTTTAGGTCGGTCAAAAGATCAGTGCTCTGGGGCCGGTTCAGCCTTAGCTTATTCTATGCTAAAATCTTGAGTGCATGCCGCAAGCTTGGCATGCATCCTGGGGACTTGATCCCTCCCAAGACTGCAGCTATCGCCACAGAAGCTGTGCCCTGAATGTCATCGTTGTAGGTCAAGAACTTGGAACCTCAACAGCTTAGCAGTCGCAAGAAGCGTCGGAGCACGCCTGTTGAGACTTGCAAAAGCAAACTCTACCGCCAAAACACGGTACTCTTCGAGCAAAGGAAAGGCATCATTCGAATTGAAGTCCTGCCGTCATCAAGTCTGCAAGTTGACTTACACTGCATCGACAAAGCCATCTTCACTTCCAGCCTCGAACTGCAAGAGGCAGCTTCGCCCGAAGAGCTCGGATGCAGCTGTCATAAACTCCTGAAGCAGCCACGAAGGACCTCGCAGCTCTCCCTCTCCGAGTGTGCACAGGCAGTGTCCCCGATGAAGGAGTCGGGGCCATAGTACGCAGTGTTCACCTCCCCAGTGATTCGGGTGTGCACACGAAGACATGGGGGCAACGCACCCAACTCGCCTCTGTTCCCTGGGCTGAGACATGCTTTACACGGTCTTGTTTCAGCCCGGTGTAGAGGGCGTGGTCTCGGATTGTGAGCCTGTCCACATCAGTTGCATGCCAAACCCTACAGGGTATCGCAATCGACGCCTAGAGGCTGCGTTCTAATCTCGATGAATCTGGGCCCGAGGCTTTGCAGAGTTTCCGCTTGCATCACTGCAGCCAGCATCGATAATGACGGGGATTACTCTGAACGGATCAAAACCGCCGCCTGCCAAAGTCCATTCGATCACTTCGACCGGCACGGCTGACAAAGCAGTGTCAATAGCGATCTGAGTCGTCGACACACGGTGTATAGATCCTTATCAGCAATGACGTGGGCGGGCCAACGGTCTTTGCTGTCTCTATTTCAAGCGCTTCTTCCAGGTTCGGAGGGATGTGGGAACGCAAACAGCTTCAGATTCGGAAATTCGGCTGCAAGCATCCATGTCCTGTCGCAGCGACCAAAGAGTTCGGCATCTCCGCACCTCTCCGGTTTCCTCCCTGTTGGCGCACGGCCCATGTGAAAAGTCTGACAGGAAGCATGCGGAGCACTATTCTAACTCTTCCAATGTTGACTTTGATCCGCGAGATCAGCCCCCTCACCAGCTCTCTGGCTTCCCTTGCTCATGCCCGTTGCATCCTGGAGTCCAATTTGCCGATTGGGATTCCCATCCCCCAGGCGCCCAAATCACCGAGGCCAAGAATGCGACCGCCGTCCGAGAAGACCTGGGACACATCCACAAGACATCTAACTACAGATAACAGCTGGGTGGTTGTCAAAATCATGGTGCCTTGTTGCGTACCCTAAATATTAGGTGCCGTATTATAACAGGGACCCAAAAAGGTACCATAATTTTGACAACCACCCAGCTGGGTGCACAGTAGGGTGTAGGGTCTCTTGCTCAGAGTTTACGGTTTAAAGACCCCTTTTGCAACTGGGCTTGGGGACTCGCCAAATGCTTGCATCACGGCCTTGCGTGTCTGTGCAGGTGCATTACTTGGCCCGAGAATGATCAACTGAAGAATTGCCGGTGTCTGAATTGAGTTCGTGAATCATGTGGCTCTGTCTGCGTTCTTGTTTCTGCCTGAAAGATCGTGCTCGTTCTTGAGGGACCGTAAACCCCTACACCCCACGAAGCTAGGCCCTCTGAGCCAGGGACAATGCACTGACACTGCGGCTTGCCGCTCGAGTCTTTGGGCAAATGTGCCTCTGCATACCTCCAGTCTCAAGTGCACGCGGGCCCTTGAAACCAGATGAAAAACGGCATTTGATAATCCTTTGGAGTTCATATTTCCTCAGAACACTGACGTAGCAAAAGGCCCTTTGCCCGTTGCGCTGCACTGCCCCGCCAAGCTGCTCTCGAAGGACTGCCTTGACATTTCCGCGGTCAGACAGGGACACATAGCCTTGGCACTGCAACGGTTTAAGGTTGCTCGTCGAGAGCAGAGAGAAACAGCATGATTCCCAGATCGGTTGTATTCTCTGGTTCTGCAAAGCCCAAGCCACAGCCGCGAGGCAGAAAGGGAAGGGTCCCGAATTTTTGGCAGGCCTGCACGACAAGCAAAGATGGTTCGCTTTTCTGCACACTCAGGGCCCTTTTTCGCCTCGCCAACTGTGGGGGTGTAGACCATTGGCATGAGGAAGGCTGGCTCGGCAAGCAGGGTCTGGTAGAACAAGTTGGGATCCTTGTACCAAGACCCATGACTCGTCTTCAACTCGGAAACATCGGTGTCCTTGTGGTGCAGCATACGAAGGTATGCGTAAGACCAGAGATTGTGCCCGAGGCTTGCAAAACCTCGGACCTCCGTCAGAGCCTGGCACCAATGCATAACCATTCCCAAACGAGCCATTCAAGGGTGGGGGAGTGGCCGGAGTGGCCTCCTGCACCGTGCGGGCGTTGCAGCTGCGGTCCAAGATGTGTCTCACTTGAGACAAGCTGGCCTTCTCAAGCGCTGCCGTGCAAAGCATGAGCAACAGAGAGGTCCAGCACCTGGTCGTTCCAAGCTGCTGCGCCCAGTTTCGCCACCGATTTGGGAAGTGAAAGCATGCGGCCTGTGCACCCAAGCCCTCGGACAAAGAAACAAAGAACTGCAATGCTGGTCCTGATAAATCGATAGGGGTTGTTGGTGTTCCCGCCATCGCTGTCAAAGACCTTGCAACGGAGCGAGCTGCCCGATACCGTCACAGGACACAAAGACACTGAAATGCTTCTCCCGCCTCTTGTGCTTCACAGTGGTAGATCTAGCAAGTTCTCGAGCCAAATGCTGGCCGATGCAGGGCATAGGTGGTCATACCGCATCTCACACCTCTACTTGGTAACACGGCCGACACGAGTGGCTGTTGAGGGTCTCACACGGCGAGGCGCACAGACTCGGCGAAGAAGTGCAGGCGCTTTGAAAAAGAGGCTAAAAACCCGGCATCTTCTGAGTTCAGGGCTACTGCCGATCGCAGATCGTCGTTGATCTGCCCCACACCTCCATCAAACTGTGACGTGGGTTGATGCAATTCCGCCTCTCTGCGTCGCCCGACGGAGCAATCTGGCATTCGACCCACCAGCACTACCGCATTTAACAACGCGCATCCGTGACCGGTCTTCGCGTCGTCAAGAGTCAAGAGACGTGCTCGAAGTCTCGACGGTCGCTTGCTTGGCAAGGCCAGATCGAGAGCAGAGCCGTGAGGCATGTACACAACGACGTCACAGACCACTGGATTTGATCATCCTCTGCACCAGGCGGAGTGCTTGCTGGTGGGGCAACTCCTGGCAAGGGCCAGATCAGGGTTCATCATCGCTGGCTGCAAGCAGTCAGAGTGACGCGCCTCCAACTCTGGGAAGGACGCTTCCGCCAACCGGAGGAGAAGAGCTTCCAGGCTTGGGCTGCCTTCACAAAAAAACAAGAATCATAATACGAATAGTTGTAACAGTAACAAACAGGAGAGTATATAGTAGCAAAGACTAGACTCGCGCTCCAAAGTGGCCCCATCAAGCGAAGTCTACGAAGCAATGGAATGTCATGCGGTGCCTTCCGCCATCCGACAGCCCATGATCTCAATTCTTCGTATACCGTAGCCTCATGGCCGAGGACCGCACACTTTGCTGGGCTCAAGCGCATCACGTTTGAGCCGACCCCGTAACAACTGCTTTCGGGCGTCTTTTCTTCAGTCCAAAGCAGTCAGGGCAGGGGTTGCCCACCTCGAAACGCAAGATTCCTCGGGTGCGAAGTGCTGGAAAGCCGTAGCCGTAGCACTGCTCCGAAATACATCCGAGAGTCTGGTGGGATCTTCCCAACCAGGCAGCTCTGTCCAGCCGTTGAAGTCGGCTTTGTGCTGTCTGCGCCCTCGCTCCACAAGAACACCTGCATCATCCTCGGTGTGTGCGTCTCTCTTGTCTCTCGAACAGGCAGACCACGATGCTTACATCTACATCCTGCTGATGATGCTACTGTCGGTAGAGTGACTCGTGCCTCGAACCACTGCCAGCAAGGTACTGTGCCCTCGAGGCCCTCGTCTTGAAGCAAGGACAGGATGCGCAAGCTGTTCCGGGAGCCATAGTCTCCTTGAGTTGAGAATGATGGGTTCGAGCTCACCAGACGTTTTGTAGAACAGGCACGCCTCGTTTCTCACCAAGTGGCCCCACCACTTCACCCGAACCTCGTGAACCACGCTGGCCTCAAGACGGGAGCCGTGCCAGAAGCACAAGTTAACGGTTTCCGAACCTCAGAACTGGGACAGATTGGGACAATCCGGGCGAGGCTTTAGGAAAGTTTGGTGGTGAAGGCAAGCTGCCGCAATGCACACAGTGTGAGCACTCACACGCAACCGGGCCTGTTCCAGATCAATTTCCAACCACTGAGGCTCTGCAGCGTCGGCTGGAAACCTCTCAACACAGAACATTACAGCAACCGAGTGCAAATGCAGGTCGGGTGCGCGAAAACACCCACCAAGAACAACATGTGCACGCGAGCCTGTCTGCAGATGCACATGTATATTTCACACCTTTCTATATGTGTAGACATAGACATCGATACAGATATCGATATAGATATAAATCCAGATACTGTACAAGTTTACATGTAAATATACCGTCGTCGTGATTAGTGGGAATTTTTTGGCGAGCTGCCACTCCGAGTCGGTTCCATCGACCACGAAGTGCGCACGGTCTTCGTCCACGCTTGCCCGGACAGGTCGGGAACGGGACAAGTTTCGCACTCCACCTGGCTGCACTGAGTCTTAGCTGCAACTGCTCTCAAAGGGTCTGGGAGACTGCGAGGGCTTGGGGTCTTGAGGCTGCGCCTGGCCAAGCCGCAGCTGCTTCGGCAGCCTCGAAGTGCAAGGCTCAGGCCGTGCGTTCTCGCTGATTGTCGGAGTCACCGTGCCCGGCCTCCGTGCGCTTCTGCAGCGCTGCCAGGGGGAACGGCCGCGTCTCAGGCGCCGAGCAATGCTCAGTCTGATACGAACATGAGTACTCACTCGACAACTACCAATACTAATATACCAAGTCTATCAGACCACACCCGGGTTAGTGCCTTGAGCCAGGCTGCCCAGGCCTTGGGAAGCAAAAACACATCAAACTTTCCGCTGCCCTCTTGTCGCTCTCTTGTGCAGCTGTGCAGCACTCAAATCCCAGGGGCACTGCGCCACTGCCTCCCGAACGACAAAGGCATGGAATAGATATAATGCTCAAAGCGATATACACTTCACTATGCAATCAATGACCTATAATCTATCACCTATATCCTCTAATCGACAATCTATAACCCCTAAACCATAACCTGCAATCTTTAGCCTACTGATGCGCCAAAAGTAGGGAAAGTTAGAGAAGCTCCGGGCTCCTCGGCTCGAAGTTCGAACGCTTCGCTCCCGAGCTCGGGCGCCAGGAGCCTGGGCTTTGAGGGTCGTTTGGGGCCCTCTCGGGACCCCCCGGGCGGGCTTTTCCCTGCTTCTATAGAGGTCTGTAGACGATGCAAGCAAGACTCATTAGTCAGTCAGGTTTTGATTTGTTTTTGTGCGGTTTCAGGTTTAGGGTTTAGGGGTCCTTCGCCGAAAAAGGCGCATGGGATTAACATCAGCGCTGCCAGGCAGCTGGGACGCCAGCTGCAGGGCCTCATCAGTGAGCCACGTGCTTGAAAAAATCTCTGACTGCAATATATCAAACACAAAAAAAACATTAAAAAAAAAAATATATTTTTTATATTTTTTATATATGTTTGGCTCCCGCTTGGCTGATCCGAAGGCCGCATTGCAGGTCACATGTGGGACACGCGATAGAAGGCTACTCAGCTCTCACCTTCCCCTGCAGCCGGATATATATATATATATATATATATGTATATATATGTATATATATATATATATATAAGTCGATATGCATAGGTGATTATACATTTCTGCTGTTTTTCTGCTGTTTCGGGCGTTGGGTCGGGTTGACGCGGCCCCTTGTGGGATGCACTCAATTAGGTGAAACAGTGAGAACAGTCTACCAGTTCCCAATCACGACACAACCTGAAGACTGGCGCACAAGAAGTCCAGGAGTTCGGAGGAGTGGCTGTGCTGCGGAAGGAACTGTAGCGGGCAGGAAAAGCCTGGAAGGGATGCCTTGGGTCCAGTGGTCAACAGACGCTCGGACGATGTCCCAGGACAAGACTGCACTGGGCAGCATTGTCACACAGGACATGGTGTCCTCAGGCAGGTCTGATCCAATTGGCAGGCCGATTGTCGACAAACAATAGCAACATTCAGGATCGGTGTTGTCAAGGTAGTCGACAGCGGTATCGGCAGCCCTGTCGGCAAGTGCCTCCCGATGTTGGTAGCGGAGCCATCGATCCTCTGGTACGGGAGGAAGGAATTCTGAAGGGACAGGCCCGACCTGAACCCAAATCGTCTCAGGGGAAGTAGCAGAGGGTGCTGGCCACACGACACCGGTGAAAGTGAGGGAGGCAAGGTAAAGTCCGCTGAGCCGAAAGGTATCGGTAGCAGGGAAGCCGTCATCGACCTCTGGCACAAGCCACGAAACAAGATTATTGCTGCAAAGCCAGTGAGCAGCCCCCCGTAAAATGCCCAAAGTGCATTCGGAGACCGAGTGGTGCGGATCCGAGAGGAGACGCTGCCAACACTGGGCTGTGACACTTAATCTTGTGGCCTGCAGGCACACACACGAGAAGGCTATGCGTAAGCGATCCCATAATTCGGTCTCGCCGGCGGTGGCGATGGTCCCATCATGGTCGATGTGCAGAAGACAATCCAAGACTTCCGCACAAGGCCTAGCTGACTCCTCCTCGACAAAGAACTGCAAGGGCTCCTGATGGGGCCCGGAGGCTTGTAGCACGGGCATCAAGGCAACCCCATCATCAGGAGCCTTCCGGCTCCCAACTCCAGGCTCAGGGGTATGGCGGTCGTTGGTGGAGAGCAGCCGACCACGACACAGACGGCTGTACCCTAAATGACGACTGAGTTTGGTCGCGGAGGTGAAATGCTTCAGGCACACAGGGCACTGTGTGCCGGGTGCCAGGCGCCTCATTTCATCCGTGCGCGCATGGGTCGAGAAAGCGTGAACGGACCACGCTCGGTAGTCCCGGAAGCGCTTGCGGCATACAGCACAACATTCCTTGGACTCCTCCTCATAGTCGGATTGTGCCGAGACGCTGGCTCCAACCTGTTGGAGTTGGCGTAGCAGCAGACCCTGATGCCGCTGGAGCTCGGCCTGCCAGTACTCCTGTGCTAAGGCACAGCGCTGTGCCTTGCGTATGCGTGCCTTCCACCGGCCCGGATGTTGTTGAGCCTCATCTCTCCAGGCCGCCCATGCAGCGGTCCAGTCCGGGTACTGTCGATCGGGATCCGCCCTTTCCCAAAGCCACCGGACAGACTCTGCGGCGCCACGCATCCAGGTTTGTTCCCAGTGGGCAAGGGCCCACAGCTCCGGGACTGACAGCACGATGCAAGATAGCATGTAACGGAGACGGTGGACGTGTAAATACGTCACGGCTGTCGGGATCCTGGCTAGAGCAAGGGTACGCGCGGTGCCGAGCTTCCACGCCTGTGCACAGTCATAGGCAGGTCGAAGCATTTGGCTGGCCATCCCTCGCAGTGTTCCTGTAAGTTTGCGTATGCATTCGGGCGACGGATCCGGCCAGGTACCAGACCCATAAAAGAGTGTCGAAGCAACTAAGCTATCGAACAAGAGGGCCTTGTCCTTCGAGCTGACCTTCGGCGAAGAGAAGATCTTCTGCTTTCGGGAGTTGAAAGCGACCCATGCTTGTGCAGCTCTGGCTTTGACCTCCCTCAGGAGGCAACCACGGTGGTGAAGCACACCTCCGAGGTGCTTGTAGGTCGCAGTCAAGCGGAGTTTGGCATCAGTCCATAGTCGGCAGCGTAGAGGCACGGTGCCTTCCTGCTCAACAAAAAGCTGTTGTCGCATCTGCCTGGCATGGCGAGCTCGAAGGTGAACGAGTGCTTCAGTCTTGCCTCTCTTGAGATTCGGGAGGAGAGCGTGCTCAAGGCACGTATCAAGGAGTGTGGACGCTCCAGCCGTTAGCCGCTCCACAAGTTCGCTGGAATTCGTCGCCTGCAAGAGCATGGACAGGTCGTCCATCCATGTGGCATCGAGCAGGCTGATGGTTTGAGTGGGAGGCGGGTCAAGCGGTGTCAGGCGACCGATCATGTCTGCATGCCATGGGATGCTTGGCACATGTCCTGCCTCCGAGAGGGCGGTACGGACCTGCTTCAGAACCCGCGCGAACAACAGACTGAAAACTAGGTCGGAGAGGGAATCCCCCGGTCGGGATCCAATCGCTGTGGTGACTAGTTCATCCTCCCCGGCGAAGCAAAACCACGTATTCTGAAGCGTCTCCTCTAAGGCTCGAGTGACCCAAGGACTAGCCCCGGCGGCAGACGACAGTGGCAACTGTTGCAAACGTCGCTGTATGTCGTGGTACACGCCGCTGGGCATATGCACTGCTCGGCATGCGGCAGCAATAGCCTCCTCGGTGAGGGGGCCTCCCGTCACCAAAGGTCTGACTATTCGATAGAACGCTTCCTGTAGGTCCAAGAAAAGGACTCCATGACAGGAGCCCTTTTGTAGGCAGGCGGATTGGTACATTCGCGTGACATGGGCTGGGACGGTGACCGGGTAGCCCGGCAAGCCTCCTACTTGGAGAGGCGATGCCACATTGTGAAGTGCTGGGACGCACTTTTTGCGAAGCAGTTTGTGCAAGGACTTGCTCACGACAGAAGACACGAGTATCCCCCGGTAGGAAGAGCAGAGTTGTCTCGAGCCCTTGTGTTTGTAAACACAGTGTAAAATACCGCCCTTGTGTTGCACAGGCTCGGCGAGCGTGAGGAGGGACTTAAGCTGGAGTTGGTAAATGGGCTTCGCTAGAAGCGGGGCGCAAAAATGCAAAAGCTCTCCTGGTAGGCCGTCGAGCCCATATGCACGGTCTGTGGAAGTATCCCTCAAGGCCCATTCGAGATGGCCGAGGGTTGGGGCGTCGCCGTGTGAGACATGGTAGTCTTCAATATCCTTTGCCTGCTGTCGGGAAATGCAGGCACGCACAAGCTCGGTGGGGGAGGAAAGGGAGCCAGCCTCGATTGAAGAGAAATGTTCTAGCCAACATTGCTTGGCTTCCTCATGGGTGGCTGCTAACGTCCCATCAGCCCTTTCGACGGCCGGCAGTGGGGACCGATCGCGCTGCTTGCGTTTGGGGCCCCCTGTTAACGTTCTAAGCCGCTGGACAATGGCTTGGGTCGAGGAGGATTCTGACGCAGCAGCTGCATTGCGAATGTGCTCAAGGTGATCCTGGCGTATCGCACTGCGAAGGGCCTTACTGGAGGACCGCAGGTCCTCTAAGTAGACCGGCAAGTCGCGTAGTGACCAAAGAACAGGGGCCCAGCAGGCGAGTAGGGTATCGGCAAGCCGGCGCCGACAGTGCCACGAGTGGAAAGCAGCCTGTAGATGCCATCCATTGATGGTGCGGGAGGCTCCCTTGACGCGTTTGCGCAGCCACTCCCGCTTACTGCGGAGCTGCCAGGTAGATGCCTGAAAGTATTCATGTCGGCAGGAAGATTTGCCTACTGGAAAAGCCCTGGCAAGGTGGTCCCGGAAATAGGTATCTAGTGCTTGGGCGTGGCGGTGCACGTCAAGATCCCAGGGCTGCAAGGGGACGTTCCGACATATGTGCTCGAGGGTGAGTCGGCCCTCCGGCGTACGCATAGCAGCTGTGTTGAGTCGGCTGTGCTTGCGACCTGCGGCCTTACCAATGGTGACAGTCCCCCTAACCCACAACTGGACGGCAACATGGTCGGCCCGGCTCTGTCCCCAGTCTAGGCGCGGATTAGTAGCGCTGCCGCCGCGAGGTGTCTTCCATGAGACGGGAACAGCAATATAGTCAAGGCGGGCAGATCCAGCGCCTGCTGGTGAATGCCAGGTGGCAGTATCCCCAGTGTGACAGGCGTCAAACGTACTGGGGATCCACAATGCAAAGTGGTCAAGTAGTCGGTAGAAGGCGGCAGGCGGATCCGGGTTAGGCGTGCCCCAAACTAGATCCCCAATGGCAGCCGAGTGGCTGTGGTGCATGTGCAAGTTGTAGCCCCCTAATAGAACTAGATGGGCATCTTGTGCGATGCGCCGGAGAAGTTGGAAAAGTGCGTCCCACCAAACATCCCGTCCTGGGCTGGCACTGTGGGGCGCATGAATACAGACAAAGAGGACCCTGAGAGTAGTATGGGTATACCTCACAGCAAGAATGCGCGGTGTCCAGTGGACCGCAAGAAAGTCACCAGGCTGGAAGTGGATAGGCCGGCCCTCATGGTCAGAGAAGAGAGCATGTTGCCGGTCAAACCAAAGCTCAACACCACAAGTGCCATCAGTCTCCTTCGCGCTGGTGAACCTGATGTGGCTAGCCGAGACATAGGTGGCACTATTGACGGTGCGTGTCTCCTGAAGAGCTGCAACACTGATGTGGTCGGCCTGCAATTGGTCACGCAAAAAGCGGGCCCTCCCGACAAAACTTCCCTCACCTGTTGTAGCATCGGGGGGGGCATCTTGTGGCGAGAGGGTTTGGACATTGACTGTGAGCAGCAATGCGTCAAGGTTGCCCCTTCGGGGTCCTACGGCGACGGGTCTGTCTCCAGAATTCTGCAATCCAAAGAAGGCAGAGCATTCAGCTGGGGAGGGCTCAGGTACGTTTTGCGCACAAGAGGCAACTAAGGACTGTCCTGAAAGCGTAGGCCAAGCAGAAGGACGGAGCGCGGCCTCAACAGTAAGCCAAAGCCAGGGGAACGAGCTGCACTGTGCAAGTTGAGCAATGTGTGGGACAGCGACAGAGTGGTATACCCCTTGTCGGCCGCAGGCTAGCTTAGCAAGGCGGTCGGCGACTTCATTGCCGGGGTTACCAACATGCGAGCGGGTGTAATGCGTACATCTGTGCCCACCGGTTACTGTAGAAAGGAGCTGCGATGCAGCTCTGCACTTGCCAGAAAGGGTATCCTGTGGATAGTCCCCGCCAGTACCGTCGAAAACGGCAATGGCTGACGTACAGTCGGAAAATATGTCTATGCAGGCATATTGGGGCAGCTGGAGGCACCAACAAGCAGTCCAAAAGAGTGCAGCGACCTCGGCCGGGAAAGCTCCAGCTTCGTACTGGCCGAGATAATCTGTACCGTCAGGATCCTGTGTGAGGCGGGCTCCCTGCCATCCGAGGTGGAAGCTTCCAGAATCGGTGTGGGCACAAACATGGAAAGCCCAGGCGGCATGCTCTCCATCGAAGGAGCCATCTGTATAGACCTGTACACTGCGAATATCAGCATAGGGGAAAGCAGCCCCAACTGGTTGCCAGAATTCTAACCAGGTTTGAACGGCTTGCGGGACCTTAAGCCTTGGCAACTGAGGAAGGCTCCAATGGCCAGGCCGCAAAAGCGGCGCAACGTCATCGAAGGAGCATGCAATGGGCATGCTGATCGCAGTGAGATCGAAGACTCGATGTGAGGGGACATGTTCAGCAATCCGCAAAACACCTGCATGTGGCAGTGTGGGCGAACCAAGTGGCTGGAGTGGGACTCCGGCAGTGCCAATAGACGACACGACAGTAGCACCTTCAGATGAATGTTCAAATAAAGTGGCAAGAAGTGTGCTGGCAAGGTAAAAGGCATGGTACCTAGTCTGCTGTAGAGATTGTTCCAGCAGCGTGGGCCCCAACCAGTGTGCAGGAGCAGTTGCGGAGCAGAGCTGGGTGGGAGACAGGGGCTGAGTGTCAAACGAGGTATCAACGCGAGCAGGTTCTCCGTCATCAGTAATGTAAGGCAGTCGGACTCTAGCGGTGGTGCCTCTACATGGAGTGGCAACGGGTCTGCCAAAAGGCGGAGCAGGGGGGGCAGTACCATGGGTATCACATGCATCATCCCATCGGGTCGAGAATGCAGAGGTGTCACGCAGGGGCCCACTAGGATGGGCATCAGGCAAACTACCGGCGATCCACATGTTATCTCCATCGGTCCGATGGTTGTTCGTATGAGGTGTCTGTGATACACCTGGATGTGCAAAGCTTGGCATGGCAGCATTCGGTCGACAGAGGAGGCCAGCAATGAGGCAAAGGATGCTCCTCCGGTGAACAGGCCCAGTGCATCGGCCACTTGTGGGGGCCCGTCGAGCATGGTGGCCACAGTGCTGGCCAGTGGTTGCTTGTCTCCCGCGGGACAGATCAGCATCTGGTCGGAAGGCTGTCCCTGTTGCGGCAGTTGTGTCCGAACTGCCCCGGTGATCGGCCTGGCCGTTGTCAGCCCCCCCGGGGTTCGTCGGGGTGTGCGATGTGGCCTCAGTGGGCACAGTAGCAGCGCCAAACCCGGTATCATCCCAGAGGCGTGAAGGAGCAGGCTCAAAGGAAACAGTGAAAACCTCTCCTGGACTAAAATGGATGAAATGTTGAAAAGGCGGGGCTTCGGGCCATCCGCCTGTGACGGATATGCGCGAGCCGGGGGGGCACCTCGCTTGAAATCTGCGTTCTACCGAGCGGAGATTGAGCACCCCCTCAGCGTTTGCTGCCCAGTCAACACCAAGAAGCACAGGTCGTGCGTCAAGAATGTACGGAAAGAGACCATTGCCGGTAGCTTCAAGCCGGATGTCGCTGGAGGTAGCGATGATTGCAGTGCTGACCCAAACACCCTGAACACAAAGGTCGCCAAGGGTAGGTCGGGCTGGGCGAATGCGAAGATCACTCTCGGAGACGTGTAGCTGGCCCGCAAGGTCCCGTCGGAGAAGCGCACGCCGGCGGCGATCAAAGGTGAAATGTCTGGGGTGGTCATCTGTAAGGATCCATAGGCGGTCGCCTAGGGGGGAGGCAGCATGGCTGGTATGAGTCCAGCACCCTGGGTCACGAAGCATATCAGCAAACCCAGTGAGTACAAGAACACCGTGATTCCGCGGCTGCACAGAAACTAAATCCCCATTCTCAAGTACAGTGGCAGACTCGACAGGTAGAGGCCAGGGGACGTCCCTGACATAGACATGTGAGTCCCGTGTGACAGTTGGCCCAGCTAGCCTGAGTAATTGTTGACAGCTGGGGTGAGGCGGTGCAGTCACAGCGAAGAATCGATTAGGAACGAAACCATTATCGATTAGGGCAAAGACATACGGCCCGTCCCAGGGGGGCATTGCAATCAAGATAGCCTTGTCAGGGTACGGCTGCTGACTGGCAGGAAGAAGACGCGGGAACCATTGCCGACGCGTCTCGTTTCTGGCACAGGTAACAAGCTGGAGGGCCTGCTGCGGAGTGCAGGGAATCGGAATACGCACAGTGAGAATCTCAGGAGCAAAATCCGGTACACAGATAAAGAAGGTCGCAAGGACCGTGACAGCATCAGAGGTGTCAGCTGTCTGGTGGTGTCCTAGGGTCTCGTCACTGCCAGCTTCCTGTCCAGGAATGGGCTCTTGTCGGCCGTGGTAGCCCTGGGTGTCTGGTCCGGATGGTGTGGAACCGGTGTCTGCATGTCGATGCTGGGACGAGCTTCCTGTTGCAGCGGAAGTCCCGTCGGGGCTGCCGTCGGGTGTGGAGCTGGGCTCAACAGGGTTAGTACCCTGATGTGCGCTGTTGTCACTGATGGCTGCAGTCACAATGACAACCTGGCCAGGTGCAATCCAAAGCACGCCGGGTCCCTCAGGACGGCCATCAAGACGGAGTGAGTACCCGGGGGGTACATACTCTTGTAGGGACGCAAACAAGGCCCTCTGGCTTACAAACCCGTTATGGACGTGAATCAGACGAAAGGAGGCCTCAATGGGTCTGCAGTCTAAAAGCGCACAGTGCCAAACCGCACCTCTGACTCCCGGGGGGGGGGTGGCCAACAGCAAGAACAGATGTACATGTGATGCCTTCAAGGGCAACATCGGTCGGCCCGGGTCTGGCAGCAAACAGTCGCATACGATCTGGGTTTGCCCCAGTGACCCCAGCGATAGCGGCCCTGTAGCGCATGGGGTATCGCGTTGCTTCAATGCAGAGTCGGGCAGGGCCCTTATGCACGAGACAGTGGGCTTCGGTATGGGCAGGCACGGGTAACGTAGCTTGGCTATCCCAGAAGTAACGAGACTGTAACTGCTCCCCAAGAGTGTAATGGACTGGGTGATCAGTCCCAGAGTGCACGAAAGTGACAAGTGCTCCAGGGAACAGATGGACTAGGTCCTCCCCAACAGGGATCTGATCGACACCGAACAGGACTTCATAGTCGAGACCGGGGAGGAGACCAGCACTCCTAATCAACCCAATCTTAGAGCAATATTGGGGCATTTGTGCAAGGAAAAGGCGTCCATCAATGGTTGTCGTGTCAAAACAGACAATGTCGGAGCCACTGGACCACGGTGGCAGTGCTGCGAAAACCGCGACTCCTAAGGCAGGCTGGGGCAAAACAGAGAGGAGGGTAGGAAAGGCAAGGCTGGAATCCCGCCGGCGTACAGCCTGGATGGCCTCGATTACCTCCTCCTGTGTTGTTGGAACCGGGACGGCAACTGAAAGGTGTGCTGGCACATATTCAACGCGAAGGATGGCACACGGCACTGTAGTAAGTTCAGCCTCAGATTCAGAGTCTGAAGTGATCCAGTCATCAAGCATCGTCGGATCAAACCCCGGATGCCTGAATGGGAAATCGGTGATCCAGTGTCCACCAAGGGTACGCGTTGCATGGCGCAGGCGACGAAGGTCCCTTCGTTCGGCTCTGCTGTGGCAGGCAGGTTCCTTAAGAAGCTTGGCTTTGCGGCTGAAGGCAAAAGCCCGACGGGCTATCCAAAGGGAAAGACCGCAGATGACGCTGGCCCCGACAATGAGCAAAGGCGGCCCAAGTGCGTTGGCAAGCAATTCACAATGACGCCAAACGACAGGGTCTGTAACGGCAAAGGCTCCGGGGGGCCTGAAACTTTGGTCGGTGCAGCCGTCGACAGCACCTGGCTGTGCCAATCCCAGGACAGCGCCAAGGACAGAGCCTGCTAGCGCACTACTGGAACCTGGAATGTCAGTAGTCCTGGCTATAGTCCTACTGGGTGATCGTGCTCTGGACCTCGACCTGGACCTCGAGCCAGGGTCAGAAGGCGGTGAATACCTGACAGGTATGGGAGGAGGAGCGCCAGCAGGTGGTAGAGAGGGATCAGGCACAACAGCTGGTTGCTCAGAGTCGGAAGCGCAGTCTGATTCCTCAACGGATTCAGCCTCATCAGACGAGCTACTCTCATCAGTGCTCCATGGATGATCGGGCTTAAATCCAAAAACAACAACGGCACCCTCAGTTAGACGTAGAACACCAGTCCTATCAGGTCTAGGGCAAACCGCTATCCTATAGCAGGGTGGCGGGCGGAGGTGGAGATATCGGACCAGCACATGAGGGTCTGCATTCGCTGACTGTAGGTAGGTGTGGGTCACATCAAGGCCAGCCTGCCTTGCATCAAGGAAGATTAGAATGCCCTGCCTGTCGGTAGAAGGTGTTAACGGGTACACCGCCAGGGCGTCCCTACACGGGGTGCCTCGATAAACGACATCGGTAAGCTCGTCACCAGCTGGTGCAACGAACAAGACTCTGTCAGGAGTCCGATCAACCAGGTCTGCTAGAAAAGGGAGCACTTGGACGTTGGAAAACCGCCGAGCGCTGTAGGTCAGGCAGCGGTCATGATACAGAGTCAGGACAGGTCTGTCAGTGATGTCCTCAGGCAAAGAAGGGTGCGCGAGCCACCATTGTGGTCTATCAAAGCGGGCATTCAACGTGGAGCACCACTGGGCCGCCGTGCCAATCGGTTGAAACTGTATCACACAGCCGAGAGTAGCAAGGATCGTATCTCCTGGTTCTAGTGCTCGGGAGCCTCCCTGTGCATAAATGCTACACTCAAGGAAGCCATGGTGAGAGGCTTCTCGCAGGCACTCAAAGTGTGATAGGTTCTCGTGTGTGATGTCGGCATAGACAGGCCCACCGAGTGCACGGAAGTCGTACACAACGACTTGCTTATTGACCTGCGGAATCCACTTCGGCGCGACCGCAATAGATGCAAAGTCTGGACCAAGTTGTGGGACTGTCGGGGCAGTGACAGTACAAAAAGGTAGTAGACTTAGCTTATGTAAACGATCGCGAACAGCATTGTGGAAAGTGGCGAGGTCAAATGGGGGGGCGAAGTGTAAGTTGCAAAACCTCAGTCTGGTGTTTGGGTGCTAACACAAGACAAACACCCTCAAAGGATGGCCTCTCGACGTCTCCTACCTCAGGCGGAGAATGGAGAGGAGGGATTGGAAGCTCGTCATTGTTTGCAAGAGGACGTCCCAGGTCATGTCGCTGGGCTGCCTCGAGGAGACGGATTCTGCCATCGAGTTCCTCAAGATCTGGTCGAGCAGTTCCGGTTGTAGCACCACCGTTAAACCCCTCGGGTTGCAGTCTAACATACTGCTCGGCCCCGTGGATGACATCATGCCACTGTTGTGGTGCAGCCCAGATTTGTTGAGGAAGACAGCCGAATACTAACCAGCCTAGTGGGCTCCAGAAGCGACGGGGGGAGCTGGGAATAAGGGCAGGGCGGTAACGACCAGTCTGTGCCTTCCCATTGCATCCCAGTCTGAGGTGCCGGCAGATACTTTGGCGGCCGGAGAACGCAGAGACCGGCAGTAAGAAGCTCCTTGGAAGGCCCGCGGAAGGCATGGCTATGACTTGACCAAGAGGAGTGTGCTGGGCACGGAAGGGCCATGCTAAAAGGCGCAGAAGCGCGCACGAGACGAGCAGCGCAAAGTGGGTGCAAAACGCGCAAGTGAGTTGCGCAATCCACTGAAAGAGCGAAACCCAAGACGGATCGGCAATCCGGGTATCTAGGGCATCGGTCAAAATGGGGACTAAACCGAAAGAAAAGGGAAAACCAGATCTATCAGGTAAGTCATCAGGCCATGCCACAGCAAGTGCATTGAAGGGGCATTGCCAGGGAGGATTATGCCCGGAGGTCCCGGTAGTGGAGGGAATTCCTGACCAACGAACACCTGCGCAGCGAAAGCCATTAAAGTGTCCGTTGCCACAGCATGTCCCCAGGGAGGAAGGCGAAAGTGCAGACGCCACGGGGCGAGACTGCGGGGAAGGGCCCCAAGGCACGGAGGTGCCGCAAAACTGACCTGAACCGATGGGCCTGCTGCAAGGAAACTGCGTGGAGGAGTGCGAGTCGCAGGTGAACGTCCCTGAGCCACCGATACGTTTCTTTGGCACCCTGCATATCTCACATCTCCACATTAGTGTGCGAGCCTTAACCACTAGGGAGGCAGGCGAAGGAGGGCAACCAAGCACAAAAATACAATGTGCCGGTTGTCCTCGCGAGGAAGAAAGCTGGCAAGGAACCGCCCGTTCAGACAAACCCAGTAAGAACGGAACGATCCTTGTCAGAGGGGCAAACACACGGCAGGGTGAATGGCACAACCAACAAGAAGGACAGAGATGAACCAAGTCTCCAGGTCGTGACAGGTAAGTGCCAATGTACAGGCAACCCCGGGAACTCTTTTCACACCGAACTGTACAGGCGTGAAACCATATGGCTCGCAGATTTATCCCTGCCACCGCGCCAAGGGCAAGGCGAGCACCAATCCGGAACGGGTACACAGGAGCTTTCCCCAATGAAAGCTCGAGTGTTCCAGGCCGGTCTGGTGCGCCCAGCCGATCGCTCAGTGGCCGCGATGCTCTGGAGCCATATCTAATGGGGAGTGTCACTCCAACTTCGCAAGACCTGGTGAGTTCACAGTCATGCGTCTTCCAGGGTCGTCGTCGTCCGAGATCTCCTGTTGGTGGGCGGTCCGGTTGCCCTCGGTATCGCACCTTGGGACGTCCTTCTCCATATTCTCGGTCTGGAGTCGGAAGGGATGCAAGGCAGTCCCCACCCGCTCTGCTTCGCGTCTCTGTTCGAGCTTCTCGTGGAGGGAGAGGCCAGCAGGCTGTGACTTTGCCGGCTGGTGCTTTGTGGCAGCTTTGATGTCCTCCCTCTGAACTGTCCGGGATGGCCTCTGGTCGCCCATAGAAGGTGAAGGTACATGATGCTCGGTGCCATGTGAGGCATCCCCAACCTTGGTCAGAACAGGAGAAGTCGCCGGGTATGGTGCCGATCGAAGTAGTCCACTCGAAGGGGAGGCAGCACCATACGTAGGTGCTGGCCCTGCTGGGCCATGTGTGCCCGGTTCCATACAAGGCGGCCGGTTCTCTCCAACAGCGGGCGGTACAAGGCCTGGCGGAGCCGCATGTCCAGCAGTTGTCTGTGCCCCGTTGTCCATCGGTGGCACCGGCTGGGGCGCCTGAACCGGGACAAGCTTCCCGCTCCTGTAAAGGCGGAGGATCTCCGCCATGTCCGGGTCCATGACATGCGATTCCTGGGTCTCCGGGACCTCTGAGTACTTCATGATCATGGCGGCCCAGTCCTCGGCTGTAGTGTCTAGTACTTCCATCTGCGCCTTCCCCATAAGTCCCTGTGCAGTTTGTGCCATGTTCTCCCTGGCCACAAACAAGAGCTTCTGGGCTTCCTCCAGCTCGTTGACCAGCTGTGACTGTCTTTCGGTATGTCGCTTTCTCTCCTCCATGAAGGCTGTCATGAGTTGCTGTTCGTAGTCCGAGAAACGCGCTGCTTTCTCTTTCTGTTCCTTCTGGATGCGTGTCACTCTGGACTCCGCTTTCCTGAGGATATTCACAGCTTGTTGTGCTCTTTTGGCCGTGATAGCATCTGGCCTCTCCGGTGCTTCCACACGCTCCTCTCGAATGACACGGAGGTGTGGTTCCGCCCCCCACTGTTGATCGTAGGAGGGGAACCGCACACTCGGCCGCGGCTCCTTGGGCTCCTGTGGCGAGCCAGCAGACCGCCAAGCTCCATGCCACAGTGAGTAGCCTTGCCCGGCCTGGCCGTATTGGCCGTATCCATGGTCCTTGGCATTGCGCTTCCATGGTGCTTCGGCCTTGGGCTTCTTGCCCATATGCACGATGACTTTCTTGAAGAAGGAAGGGCAGGTGCTGTGATGCCTCAGAAGGGCCCAGAGTCGTGGGCGAGGGGCAATCCGACCCTCTTGAAGAGCGGCTCTGGTTTTCGACCTGGCTTTGCGAAGCCTCCGATGCCACGATGGCGATGGCGTGGAGGGAAGAAGTTCGCACCCACTATTGGGGTGCTGGGGCCAACAATTTTCTCCCGCAGGAGCGATTTGGGCCCTAGGTGATTATACATATATACATACATCATCATCTGGAAAATTTGCATGAGACAGTATATCCATTCCTTGCAAGGGCCTGGCTGCGCCGGAAGCCCTCCCAGTGAGACAGCGCTCGCTCGAAGACCTGAGGCTCCACAACAGGACGCAGCCGCCCTGGCCGCTTCCTATACAGAATTCTTTTTTTAACAATAATAAAGGCTGTCATATATGAAGATGATATAGGGTATCCTTTACACAAACCTAGTATGTGGCATCATGAACGAGATGTAGCCTATACCACCTATATTGCAAAGCTGAGGTGCTGGAATGACGCCAGCTTCCCGGGCGAGCTCGCCTAGGTGCGCCAGTCTTACGCTGATGTGCCAGCGATTGCGTGAGGATGTTTCGGCAGAGGCAAGCCGAGAGGCCGAGCTCTGCCTGCCAGGTGCGCTGTATTCGGTCCTGGGATTCGGATAGGCACGGGATGCTTCAAGGACGGGGGGAGGCTTTCCTAATGTAACCGCGGGTTTCGCTCTCGGTCTCAACAATCAGGCTACGACGGCTCATGACTTGATGCATTATGCTAGTAGGAAATCGCTTGCCCAACACCGTCAAGCGGCATGCATGTACGATTGGTTCCACCCTCCTCGGCTGCTCGCGATACTGCGCTTCCAGGACCCTCCGCTCACCCGCAATGCTTCCGACATGAAAACAACTGGCTAACCTGCGCCAAGCAGCCACAATCGTTTTCCAGCTCCCACCTCTGGTTCGGACGCTGAGCCAACTTGTAGGCTGCCTCTCTCTCTTCCTCAACATGCTCCAATCCGGGCTCGGCGGCCCGCCTGCCAGATGGGCCCCGCCAAATCAGGGCACAGTGGCCCGGCTGGGCCACAGGCATCGCCGGCACCCCGAAAGCCTCACCGGCTCAATCCATGCGACCAAGGCCTATCCTCGACTCAGGGTCGGCCTGGCAGCAACTGGCACCGAATTTGGAGACTGCCCCGCAAACGCCTGCGGTCGAATCTGGCATGAATCAAATCACAGACAGGGTGCAGAAAGCAATGGCCGATTCTCGAAACAAAGCCGCTTAACCTGTTCACCAACCCTCAACGCAAGCAGAGCAAGAGAGGAGAGCGTCCCGTTCAGAACCTCCGTACTCCAGGATGACAGGCATCGTGGCAATCTGCCCATCGTAGAATCGTAGGCCGTCGTGGACGCTTACTCCGTTGTCCTGGGAAAAAGGAGAAAAGTTCGAAATGCAGGCCCGCCGCCATTTCTTGACCAAGTTGCATTCTGGAGCTTGTACTTGACCATTCGGGCTGATCTCCCAATCGCATCGGGCTGCCGATACTGACGCTCGACATGATCACGCGACCTGCACTGCGCACATCTGCACACCGGAAGTCCGGGGAGGTTCTCCCCCTGGAAGCTCTGGGATCCCTGCCATGCTAAGTCGGCATCGGAGTGCCAGCTGCCAAGGATGTACCGGAAGTGCCAGGCGCGTAGCTTCTGGAACTCCGAGAAGAGCTTCTTGGTCGCCACATCGCGCCGAAAATTCTGGTATCGCTGCTCCATGTCCTCAATTGGGTCGACGGCAGCGGCCCGTCACATGTGTTAGAACTCGCCTTGTGCCCACAGATCAGATGTCCTGAGGCTTGAACTATTCCTTCTCTGTGGAAGTTCTGGTCTGTCCTTGAAATGGCGTGTCCCGCCACTCTCAGAGTTTCTCGAAGACTGGCTTTCGTGGACAGCTCTGGGCGTTGATGCTTGTGCAATGAAGCCTTTCACCATAGCAGCCATGCGGCTCGCCCTCTGCATCACACAGCGATGCTGCGACGGCAAGTTGCAGCGGCCAGCCACCAGAAAGAAGTGTTGGATCTGAGGCCAACAGCCTCTGGGAAAGAGATTTGCTGGGCCAAGTGAGCAATTGCTGAACCTATCTTGCAGGCCCCAGAAAGACATCTCTGACATCTTCCGGCCAGGAAGGCCTGCAAAGCATCCGCACGGCGCGCCGCAAGTCTCGCGTTCCCCCGGAAAGGAGGAGAGCCTCGATAGCCTGGAACGGAAGTTTCCGTCTGGAGTCGGAATGCTTGCTCGGCTTGGCTGCGTACTGCCTCTATTAGGGTATATAGTAGTCTATCATGGTCCACTGTAGTATACTACAGTGTTCATAATAGTTTACAATTTTTTAGACAGGTTTATAGGATAGTACTGATCCTGAGTGATCCTGGCCCCTGGCCTCATCGCACTGCAGCAGCGGACCTGAAGACGGCCAGCTCACCACGAGAAAGAAAGCAAACGTACTATGATGGAATAGAGTATGGTATACGAGACTACAGTATACTATAAGAGTAACCTGTAAGAAACTAGAGTAAACTATGACAAACTATTATGTGCTATATTGTACTATTCAACTTCCCTCGGCTCTTTCGGCAGCTCAGCAACTGAGGCTTGGCAGCTCGGCTGGCGCGAGTGCGGGCAGGGGCCGGCCTCGAAGTCGGCGATTTGAAAAGCCAGGGGAGGCACTCGACATGTACAAAAGAAGCAAAAAAAACGAATTGGAAAACTATAGTGTAATATATAGTAGACGAAAAAATACTACAGCAGACTATAAGGGACTCTAAGATGCTATAGCATATTCAATCATATATACAGAGCATGCCATATATGTAACCTATGATGCCAAGATGCCCATACCTCCCAAACATGGCATCCTTAGCAACTCGGCGAGTGCGGATGCGAGGCTTAGGACCTTCGACAGCTTTCCCAACCATATTCATCATTTCTCGATGATACAAGGGCTGCAACAATTATCATGACAATGCTACTCACTACCATACAAAGATTGGTAACAGCTAACAATGCGAATCATGACAGCACGAATATTTTTAAATGATGTCCAACATGACTAGATTTTGACACTCACTCTCGGACCAGCCCATGATTGGATTAAGGTTCTGGGCTTTATGGTGTAATATCGTGTATTTATACGATGCGTAGTAAACCCGAAGTCCTTGCACTTTTGTTGTGCTTTGTGCAGGCAAGCGGCACCTGCAGAAACTCAAGCCACGTGCCTCCACCTTGGCCCTCATTGGCAGCTGGAGTGCCCCATTCCTGGAAAAGGCTCCCACAAACAAGCCTAAACCCTAAACGGCCATAAACCGTTGGCAGCCCCCCCCACCCCCACCTCGGAGCCAAGCTGAGACAGCAGCGACCACCGCAAGACCGCGGCTTGCCTTGGCGCGCTGGCAAGCCGAGGGTGCACCGACCCAAAGCCCCCGACGTTACACCTTGAATATTGTGCTATATAGTTTGTACTATGCCATGTGTATGTGTATATACATCTATACACAAGATGCATGAATATAAGTAGAGAGAGACATATATATATATATATATATATACATATACATATGTTTATATACATATCTGTTTGTAGACATATACATACACATATACATATCTTTATATGTGCATATATGTGTGTGTAGGTGCGTATGCACGTGTACATGCATGCATCACATATATATATATATATATATATATATACATATATATATATATATACATATATATGTACAAATGTAAGTTTATATATATATACACACACACTAGTGTTTCGTTATATCTTGTTTTATTAGGGTTCTATTGCTTGTTACATTACCTCACGTTATCTTATCTTCAAGCCTGATGTTCAGTTTATCTTGCTTTATGTTATGTAATACATTGTCTTGTGTCCGATTGGCTCATCTTGTTCTAATGCCTTATCTTATACAGTTTGTCCTATCGCATATTATGTTACCGTGTCTTGACTTATACTGTTCTGTATTGCATTACATTGTGCCATGCTATACTTTCAACTATCCTATCAAGCACACACACACATGTGTATATATGTATACACGTACATACAGGTGTGTATATGTATATATGTATATACACATATGTTGCAGCTTTGTGCTTTGCATCTTGTGCCCCTGGTCTGAGGCGCGAACAGCTGGCGATCGCAAGGCAGATCGCTGTGCCTCGAGCACGCCAAATTCACGGGCAGGCAGACTGATGGCCACTTCTATTGTACTAGTATTATATGACAAAGTTATATATACATATACGCACACAGTATAATATGTGTGTATATATATATATATATATATACGTATATATATATATATATATACATATATACAGTATACATAAATTAATAAATACGTAAATACATATATACATAAGTCAATATGTATGTCGGTATCCTGACTCCGACTGACCCTCTGCCTGGCGCGCAACTGGCGGGCCAAGGCCTCGGAATTGATCTCGCAGGCTCTGGCAAGTTGCACAGTGCCGCTTTCTAATATAGGGGCCTTAAACATTAGAATGCATTTCGGGGCGCATGATACTGTGTTTCGTAGTGGTGTACCCCCAAAATAGTATAGGTAATTATAAATGCCCCATATTGGCACAATCTCTGCCGGACCTCCGCACATGTGGAAGGTCTCAACGGTCCGCTGTCCTGCGTCCTTTCCAGGAGCAGCCAAAGCAGTCCGTGCGACCGAAAAGACAGTGCAGCGGCTCGCCTGCGCTGCAGCTCTGCCTTGGCCTCCTGCGATAATCTTTACACTGAAAACGCCCGTTTCAGCCAGCAAACGCAACTTCTTGTCCCCACTCTTCGACACAAGTTGGTGTTGGAAGCTTGAAAGCACGTGGCCGATAAGAGTGCCGCAAGTATTTAAGACATGATCCATCGGCTCCGGAGTTGCGACAGGATGCACAAAACGTACAGAACAACGATAGTTTCATCATGTCTTAACCCTGGGACCGTGTCGGTGGGGCGATCCCACTAGCTACGACAGCAAACAGAAGTTGAACGATCTGTTTGCAGTGCCACTGTCACCCGCCGAGCCCCATGAGAGAGCGTAGGCGTAAACAATTTGTTGCTTTCGTCCTCCTCTGTTCTTGCATGTTCTATCAAGAGTTGAAAAAAAACGTTCTAAAGGATCCTACCCACCTGTAAGACCGTCCCACACATTACGCACCTCAAAGCGTGCTTGCTGCAGAGCACGGTAATCTTGCAGCTGCGGATCCATGGCGACAGATGGCAAGTGGTCGGCTACATCGCTACTATTATATAACTGGCACGGCTGTTGTAGTGGTCGGCATGGACTAGCTTCCGTGGTTGAGCAGACGTTGGCAGTCGAAGCTTCGTTGTCTATCCGCAACACGAGCCATCGCAGTGGCTGGCAACTGTGGCAAGCAGCTTCTCGTGTCGCCAAGCATCCTCGCACCGCCAGCAAAACAGCGGATGTGCCTCGAACAACCGAGGCCCAAGATGCAAATCCGAGCCTGTCCTGCATGGCTCAAGCGTAAGAAACAACGGCCACTGGCCAAGGCAACTTCGTGTGGAGCGTGCTTACCAGTGGCTCGTCTGATTTTCCGGCGAAGAGACCGTGTCGCTGCTTTGCAATATGCTCTCTGCAAGAGACGTAGCTCTTGAGCTCATCAGAATGCCTCGGCTGGGAACTCAAGCCGGCACCAGCCCTTGACCCTACCAGTGCAGCAATGCCACTCTCCGTGTATGCCTCCATCGCAGAGGCCCACATTGTAGATGCCTTTACAACTTGAGATGCACAACACCCCAGACAGCCCTGTCTGAAACCATCCTTCGTGCGATGCCCGACCTTGCCATTCTGAGCTCCCTGCTGCCGCCGCAATGGTTGGCTCGTGGGGATTCTGTGGAATCGCACCCTGTAGCTCCGGAACCCTGCCAGGACTTCTCAACAAGTACGAAGCGCCGGCAAGCCACGAAGGCATGTACTGCGTGAAACCAAGGTGCGCATCCAGGACGGCCCGAATCAGCGCGCTGTTCAGGCTGTCTTCCGTCTTCACCGGGGTCGTGGCGGGGCCCTGACCCTCAACGGAGGCGGGCTGACCTCACGCTTTGCTTGCCACTGCAGGAGATTCGGCTGGTTGCGATTACATCAGACACGTCTCATTTCTGTTGCTGTCTAGGCGCCCACGAGTTCCTCCAGCGTTGAAGCATGCCGGCTGCTGTTTGCAGCAGCTGTCCACTCATGCGGACCCGGTGACACTGGGACGACCCGAGGATCTGCCGCGGCCGCGGCCCAAACGGTTGCAGGTCCCGGCTCCTGGGGATCCGGTGGGGCCTCCAGAGGTGACGAGGAGGCGAGAAGATTTGCCAGAAGAGGTGCCAAATGCGCCACAGACTCTGGGCTCTCATGCAGCGGAGGAGTGCGAGGAGCACCAAGCTCCGTGGTCTCTTCCAAAGGTGGAGTAGAAGGGCTAGTGAGGAGGTGTTGGGAACTCCCGTAACGTTGGATCAACTGCCGGATATCCTTCCGGAGCTTCGGGTCTTGCTTCGGAAGGCTCAGCTTCCTCTTCAAAGGCCGCTCCACCTCAGCCGCCTCCGTGTCCGTCTCCGGCTCCGTGTCACTGTCACTTTCTGCCAGCAACTGCCGCTCCAGCTCTTGGACCCTCCCTTCTTCCGCAGAGATTTGTGCCTCCAGCGCATCCAGGCTCTCTGAAATCTCAGACTCAGGCTCCGTCTCTTCAAACGCCATCTCTTGGTCTTGGTCGGTGTTCCTTGGCTCCTCCGTCTCCGTGGGCGCATCTGTTTCTTCTGCTGCCGCTTCCATCTCACGCTCCGGAACGGGTGCGACAGCCTCGGCGAAGCTTTGCTGTTGCTGCCACCACCACCATTCCTCCTGTTGCTCGTCGGTTTCCCCTTGGACGCCGAGGCCCTCCGATCCTTCCCCTTCGGCCGCTTCGGTCGTCTCCGGCCTCGCTTCCCTTTCCAGCTCGACCCCTTGTGCGAATCCGAAGGCCTCTTCTTCGAATATCTCTTTGGCCTCGAGGTCCGCTCCCTCCTCTCCCGGGTGTTCAAAGGCCTCTTGTGGTTTGGACGGGACGAACTTCGGTTTGGCTTGCAAAAGAGTGGAGGGGCGTCTCTTCACCTGGCGCTCCGGCTTCTCATTCTCTTGCAGGGGCTCGGCCTCATCTATGCAAAAGCCCTGCCAGTCTGTAGCAAAGGGTCTCGGCTCGATGCTGGGTGGCCGTGCCTTCATAGAAGCATTGGCGTCACCTTGCGGTTCCTGCACATGTCAAAGCACTGAAAGCCAAAATCTACTCACAACAGACTTTTCCCATGGACGTGGTACTAACGCACCCCCCTGACCGATTATGCTCCGGCCCCCTTCGCAATCACTGGCCAGCGGGTGGTGCTGGTTCGTGCAGTCGTTACTTCGTGTGCTGGCGTGCATTTGAGCACAAACGACTTTGCCGTTTCGACTCGAGGTGAAAAAAATCCTCCTTCCACGTGTCCTTCCATTTTTGTCCTCGAAAAACTGCGGCAAGATGATTCAACTTATACTACAGTAGCACATGCTCGGTGGATGTCTCCGGTCGCAGCCTCCCGACACATGCAGCTGCCACTGCACTGCCATGCACTGCTCGTATTAAGTTCGCATCTTCTTCAAGCCCGGTTCACGGCATGCTCAGCATGCGTTCGTATCTCTTTTGATCTCTCGTGCATGACCAGTTGTTTCCAGCAATACGTCAACATGTTTTCGACTTCAGGGTGGGGCCACTCCCCACAGAGCACTGCAACTGAAGATGCCCACGGGGTCGTGCCTTTGCCTGGGTTGCTGCAGGCCCTGGCGCTGGCGGCTCGGCGGAGCTCTTTGGCACCTGGGAGGGCTGGACTCGCGCTGCAAGCGAAGGAACAAGAGTCCGGGCCCCGCTCCTTCCGTTTCAACGCGCTTTTGCGCTCAGCCTTGACCGGCGGCCCACCACTGGCGGTCGGAGTTTCAGGCGGCGGAGACGGCAAAACCTCAAGTTTTCAGACATCCAAGCCATTCATTGCCACTCCTGTCCTTGACTGAGGCCGGAGCCTTTGGCCGAGCTGTTCGCAGTGAGACCGCTGCTGTGAGTTCAGGCTTCGGAGCACTCGTGGAAGCCTCAACCCGAGCCCACGAATCGAATTCGAGGGCTCCCATCCTCCTGCGAGTCCTGGCTGTGCCGGCCTTGGCCTTGGCCTTGGGCGGCACGGTCATCGGGCGCACCTGTGTGCTTGGCTCACACCCCCTACCTCCTGCCGCTTCGTGGCACATCCTGGTGGTCAAGCTGGCCTTCGGCATCTCACCGAATTTTGGAGCGGCGCCGACCTCTGGATTGGAGAATCTCGGGGGGACAACCTGCACAAGATCTCACGAGTTGGCAACGACACAGACGGGCATACTGGCAGTTTCTGCTGCTTCAACGACTATCGGGAGCTGTACTGGACGTGGACCGTCGACCCTTCCTCGGCATGGATTGAATCCAGCAGAGGTGGCGTGGAAGGGGCGGCGTGCAGATTGGCGAAGCCTCGCGCTGCCTGACAGGCTCAACAGACGTCGCAGTCCTCGCTGTACTAGTAGCTTGGGCTTTTGCCAATGCCAGGCCTGCCAGGCCTTCAAGTAGTCAAAGGGCTCCGCATCGGGGACTCTCGGGGCTACGACCTGCAAATCCCTTTGCGGATCCGTATCCGGCAGCGCATCTCTTCATCCACGCACGGCCTGGGGTTGATTGCGCGCCGTTGTGGGTACCGCCGCAAACGCCGCCTGCGAACCGGAGCAACGCAGGCTGCATACTGACCGAAAATTCAACCGTTTGACGGATGCCATGCCTCGGGACGGACAGAATCCGGCAGAGGCGGCGTGGACGGGGCTGCACTCGGTTTGGAGGCGAAACCAGCAGCAGCCTGAAGATCAAAGCAAGATGTAACATCCCAATGGTGAGCCATTCTTCGCTTTTAGGATTTATTCGGGCCTGCAATGGTGTGCTAGTAGCCTCGGTAGGTGCCGCAGCAGCTGCCACCTCCGAATGTAATAAACGTTGGACAGCCCAGCATGCTGACCGACAACTCCCAGCTTCACTGCCCACTCCTCGGGATGGAATGAATCCAGCAGCGGCGGCGTAGAAGGGGCTGCAGTCGGCCTGGCGGCCTGAAGATCAATGCCAGATGCATAAGCCCAATGGATGAGCCGCCATTCTGTCACCTTTACTTCAGGTCCCGCCGCACTTCGCTTGGGCCTGGAAAGGTGTCCTCGCCACCGTCCTCGCCACCGTGGGTCCCACCAGAACTGCAGGACGCATTGAAGGCGGTGTCGAAGGGGCCGCACTCGGCTGGGCAACCTGACGATCAATGCCAGAGAGAACAGTCCGCTAAGTCCTGCTGCACAGGTCACATCACGCGTCACTTAAGAATGGTTTGCTCGCTACTGTAGGCACCTCCGCAGATGCCACCTCCGAACAGGAGAAACCCAGCATGCTGACCGACAACTCTGACCCCAGCCACTCAACATGGCGAGCATACCGCTCCTCGGGACGGACGGAATCCGGCAGAGGCGCCGTGGAAGGGGCGGCACTCGGTTTGGGGGCGAAACCAGCAGCTGCCTCAAGATCAATGCGAGATGTGACATCCCAATGATGAGCCACTCCCTGGATCGATTTTAGTCGGACTTGTTTGGGCCTGCGATTGCGTGCTAATAGCCTCGGTAGGTGCCGCAGCAGCTGCCACCTCCCAACAGGAGAAACACAGGCTGCATGCTGACCACGACTCCAAGCTCAACCGGTTACCAGTCCTCTGGTTGGATTAAATCCGGCAGAGGCGGCGTAGACGGAGCTGCGATCAGTTTGGCCGAGGCGACGAAACCGGTGGCCTGACAATGGCGGGGCAAGAGCTTGTAGACTTTGCGTGGAGCCTCTGGAGTCACTCCTGACCTGCAGGGGCGGAGTTCGAGGGGCCTGGGTCGGCTCGGGCGCAGTGACCTGGACATACGTTCGCTCGCTTGAAAGGGCACCGCCAAGCTTTTTGAGGCCTTGCTCTGCGCAGCGACAGGGCCGTCGGTTGACTTCGTTCGGCGGCGCTGGCGCAGTTTTGGCGGGGTGTGGGGGGCCGTCGTGGGCGGCCGTGGAGCGGGCTCCTGCTTGAAAGGACAAAAATGCCACTTGCTTCCGGAGATTTCTCTCCCCAAGGACTCGTAGCCTGGAGCCGCTGCCGAAGCTTCCGTATCAAATCGACGAGGCACTGGGCGGCGCTCTTCTCCTAAACTGCCACGGGACGTCGAAAGCAGTCGACAGGGACCGCGAAGGTCGAGGGCAAGAATTGCTCCCCTAGTTTACGTCAGTGCTTTTCTCTGCCTATTTCTCTATCTTGCAAGGCAGATTGCTGTGCTTGTCTCTCCCTCTTGCTTCCAAGATGCCATGGCCCTCAGCGGCAAGACTCGAAGCGACCTTTTCAACTTCCCGGGCACAAGCATTGGTGCATCCGTCTGGTTCTGATCTGGCTAGAGTTTCCGAGCAGGCGTTGGTGTAAGCTTCATGCAGGACGCATACCGTCGAAGGGAGAGAGAGAGAGAGAGAGGGCGAGAGGGCGAGAGGGCGAGAGGGCGAGAGGGCGAGAGGGCGAGAGGGCGAGAGGGCGAGAGGGCGAGAGGGAGAGGCAGAGGCAGAGGCAGAGGCAGAGGGAGAGGGAGAGAGATACGCAGAGAAAGCTCGCCGGTCGCCATCCGGCATTCGGCCCAGCAGCTTCAGTGAGTGATCGATAAAGAGGTTCACTGTTGAGCTCGGCTCCCGAAGCGCCCGCTCCAGCCACATGACCTTAGGGTTTACGGCCAAGACTCATGTTATTCATGACCACCATAGTCATACACACAATGATAATAATCATAATCATGATACAGACTGCAATAACCACGTTAGCAAACGTGTTGATAAGAAGAAGAACAAGCATAGTGAGAATACTAGTTCTGATCATCATCACAGTAATCGCAAGAACAACCACACTGACCGTATTGATATTAACGAGACATATGCTGAGGACCAGGATTGAATGCCCTGGGACTCTGGCTATCTTGGTGACGCCGCCACTCTTCACAAACCGCAGTAGGCGGCTGTCCTTCCCCTCTGTGAGGCGTATGGCTTCCATGCACTGCGTCTTGGTCGCGAGATCAAGATCCGAGCGCATGAAGTTCACAAAGCCGCTCACTTGACCCTTGCCGATGCCTTGGCTGCCGCGTGGGGCTGTGCACAGGAGCCTCTCCGTGCTAGCCCTCGTTCTCATCCCTCCGTGTCCATCTTTCATTGCAAGGCGCAGCCGGAGCGATCCAAGAACGAACTGAGGACCGTCTGTGGCTTGCCTTAGCGAAGGCACTCCTTGGCAGGAGCCTTCTCACACGAGTCTGCGTACACTACGGCTGCTGGTTGATCTAGAACCCCTTGGCCCGTCTCAGTCCGATTGAAAGAGTTACAACACCTGGACGATTTCATCAAGCTGAGTGTTGTCACCTAGAAGACCACCACTGTTCCGCTCCACTTTGCAGCAGTGTCGGGTTCCGCTACTCAGCGTAATGCCCTGGCTTCCCAAGCTTGCCGTGCTCTGCTCGACGGTATAAGCCCCAGGCTGTTCCGCGACATTGCCCCAGGCTCCAGATGACGATCTTGTCATGCCCGTCTCGCCTGCATCTCCATCAAGCCCTCGAAACCGAAGGCGTTGCTGGCGTTGCCATGCACGATGAGCCTTCCCTGTTGGCCCGATTGATCGTGATGTTAGAAATGGCTACAAGGGTCGGATGCGTAGTTGCCTCTGCAAGAAAGACGGTGCTTGACTGGCTGTGCAGGAGGCGACTAGGAAGGCGGGAGGCGGGCTCCTTGTCTCGCACTTGCCTCTGCAGAATTCCTGCTCGTGGTGTGGCTTGCTTTGCATTGCTCGCGGAATCGATGGCATGAGCCAAATCGCGGCACAAGAACAATATGCCGCATAGTGGAGTAGATGCACACAGCAGGAACTCATGCTCATGCGCAGGGCAGCAGCCCAGCTCGGGTCCAGCAGAACATCCCACACCTTGGCATCCTTTGACTTGCTGCTGCCTGGTTCCGACATTCAGGCGAAAGCAGAACCAATCATGCAACGCCCGCCGTGCGAGAGTGATGGCATTTCGATACGACATCGCCTGAGAGTGCCAAAGACAGGGCGACAGCCTTGGAAAGGAAGCCGGGACTGCGGCGCGTTTTGGCACTTGAGCACTCGAGAAGCTCACTGTGTCGGGCTCTCCGGGGGCCCCAGCAGACTTGAAGCACCAGAAGTCGACACCTCCAAAACTTGGCTGTGGTGTCAGATTCTGCAGACTTTTTGTACAGGGCTCGGCCGCGCGCTGTTCTGCAAGACTTCCGACAGCAAGGCATCTACCTGTAGCTTGTGAACGAGAAGAGTTCAAGGAGTAGTTGCGAAGTCTCCTGTGAGCCTGCTGCTGTGCCTCATCGCCACCGGCAGTCCGCAGTGCAGGAAACCGACCAGCATCCTGACCCCAACCGTGCCTGAGCACTCGAGACACGCGTCATGTCATGTTCCTCGCACGTGCTGCGCGATGGTGGCGATGCTTCCACCAGGCTGCAGGCGTCAGCAGTATCGGCAGCTTCGTCAGCTCTGCTGCCTTCGGCACGCTGTCGCCATCTTGACATCCACAGAGATCCCACTAGAGCAAGAAAACGCCTTCTCGCTCAGAGCTTCAGCGGCAGCACGCCGCGTTTGAGGATCCTCCGCAAGGTCAGTGCAAGACTACGCAAGTCGCTAAATGCAGGGACAGCGAGTGAGATCCTATACAACCTCACAAATCAAATGCCAACTTGGCCTCATGAGCTAGCACATGGAAAATCTCAAGAGTGAGTCTTGCCGACCGCCTTGTCTGACAAAGCCCGCAACAGTGGCAAGAGCAGGGCGCGCCGAGGAAACTTAGCACCCGGTCAACATGTCAGTGATCGGCCGGGATGCCATGCTGAATGACTCAACTTCCGAGAACCCAGCCTGCAAGCGCCGCATGTCTATCTCTGCCAGGCCTGGCTGGTCCAACTTAGTCTTAACCTCTTCAGCTTCTTCTCTCAAAGTACCGGCAGACGGTCTGCATTTTCCAGCACGGTATCCATCAATACAGCTCATCCCGTATCTCCAAAAGCCCCATGTCGCTGCCGCTGACGGCAAGATCAGGCGCATCCTTGGACGAGACATTGCTGTTTCGTCCGATAGCCCAACTTGTTGACATCCGAGCAGCAGCTTTCAGCACCGCTGCTGCTTGCTCCGCACTGTTCAACGAGGAGCCCTTCCTCAGAAGAAAGATTGGATCAAGTTGCCTGCTCCAAGTCTAACTAAAGCTGCATCCAAGGTCGGCCAAGCTTCAGCGCTATGACAGGAGAACCCTCCGTCTTCATCAACAGCTCCTCATGCGGGAAGTGTGCAGCAATGAACCCAGGAACTTGCAAGCTGTGGCGGCCGAGCTTCAGCCACGCGTGCATTCGCCGGTGGCGACACACGTCTCTGCAGCATCGCGCTGTACTCCTCCATCCCGGAGTTCAGGGTCGACAACCATTTCTCCGCCGGAAGCTCCGGATGCCAGAAACGGATGAGCAGGACAATCCTGAAGCTAAGCGGCTTGCCACGGCTTGCCAAGGCTTGCCGCAAGCTAAATGGCTGACACACTGGGACAGGGAAGCCGACATCTTAGCTCCCGGCCTGACACTCTTCCCATCGTTGACCACCTGAAGTCAGTGAAGAGTGCGTGAAGTTCAGAATCATCTCGGTGAAACATGTGCATTCTACATTGCACACCCTTTTTCTGCATAAACCCTTATACATCCATCAGCAGGAAGGATTCTGTATTCCAACTGTCGGCCTCATGCTCGTAGCTGTCATCGAAGAAGATGCATCGTCCCTCCTTGCTTCGGTCAGGCTTGGAGCATTTGCATGCTGAACCAGGGTTTAAAGTTCAGGGTGTGTAGGATTTATAGGGTTTAGGGTCATCTCCCACCTCCCAAGTGCCCCAGTCTGGTCCCACGCGTACCCGGGCCCCTTCCGGGCACACGAGCCCCAGATGGCATGTCAAGCGGACGTTGCTCGAAGCACCTCGGGAAGAAACACTGAACACACAAGGATAGTTTATGGTTTCGGGTTTAGGGTTTCTTTCCCTCAGGGTTTTTTGACACTCACACTCGGACAAAGCCTGGCAAGGTCTAACTGAGGGTTTCGGCGCTCACACTCGGACAATCCAGGCGAGGCTTTTCCCGGTTTAGGGTTTAGGGGTTTAGGGCTTTAGGGTTTAGGGTACTATGTTATCCGCCCTAAGAGGCTTCAGCGGATTTCAGATGCTTCCAAGCAGAAAGAACTTATTGTATTGCTTTGTGGAAGCGGCAATGCGGCGTCAGCTTTGTTCCCGGGGAGATGGCAGACAGGATGATCTCACCGACCTCGGATTTTCAAAACCCTACAAGTTTAGCGTCTTAGGCACTTGTTTGCCAACAGGCCTCCAAACAGCTGTGCCAATGACACTCTTAACTATGTTGGGAGGTGGGGAAGCCTTTTTTGGGCCAGGGAACCCCGATCTTCGCCATGGCCACCGCCCCGGGCAGAAGGGACTCCAAGAGTTCGCAGGTCTTTGGAAAAAGCTTCAGCACCTGGCCAGAACAGCTGCCACCACCAGCTCAAAGCTCTCTTTGGACAGGACTAATATACGGATCTACACAGTACAGCGCACTGCCTCGGGGTTTGCCGTGGATTTGCTCTGGTCCTGCGCGGAGTACAGCAGGAACTCCCTCCACTCGCCGCCCGGAGCCACAATGTCTCCTAGGCTTCCGCAATCCACACGACGCGCGAAGCCGCAGCGATCGGAGCTAGAGAGCTGGAATCGAAGATGCAGCCGGAGCACCATCTTGCGAGGCCCTCTCCTCAGAGTTGTCTCTCGGGGTTGCGGGGTTTCCTTTCTGTGCGGATCCCCTTCTCTCTCTGTTTCAAACGGCCAGGGCTTTCCTTGGATACAAACCTCTGCCATGCTTTTGTAGACAGGCCTCATCCCCAACTCGTACCCAGCTCCGCGGCATCCCACCGTGGTCGCCTCGCTCACCGAAGAGCTCCAGCATCTCGGCCTGCGCCAAAAAAGAGTACGAAAGCCCTTCTAAACCCCTGGCAGGGAAGTTTTTTCGTATGATATTGATATCAATAAAGACTCAGTACTACTTCATAGGACCCTCATGCTTATGCTTCCCTACCTTTACAAGCCCGACTCTAGGGCGCAGGGCCTTAATGGAAGGGTAGGCACTCTCCAGGTCAGCTGTCCAGGGAAAGTCCTCCCGCGTCCACCAGGGCTGGGAAGTCAAGCCTGCCATGGAGCCGCGATGATGCGGAGTAGAGCGGAACTTTGGAGATGAAATTTGTGGATTCTTGACACTGGCACTCGGACTAGCCAGGCAAGGTAACGTCTGTACGGGCTACAGTTAGGAGCCCTACGGAATACAGCGTTTTGCAGTTGTGTTTTGGGACTTCTCTTTTGTAATTGTGTTGGCCCTCCCTCCTCGTACAAAGATTGGCGGTCGCTGCCACTCATCTGCCCAGATCGCTCCGGCTTTTACAGCCTGGCATGCCACTCGCCGGGCCTCCTCGCGCCTGGCGTGAGCAAGCATGAGCAAAGCTGTCGTGAATGCTGTGGCGCTGTGGCTTGCCCCATACGGACTGTCCAGCACTCGCATATTTACGCCACGTGAATCGAAAAACAGACCCTGTAATTGCAGCATCTTACCGCTGTTTAGCCACCTAGTTTCAAGTTGCAGCTTCCGGGCTCTCGTTCTGTCGGCTTGGGACTTGGAAAACTCCGCGAAGCCTGCCGGCAGACTCCAGGAAAAGGACCAGCTCCAAGTAGCCGTGGCCGCTCGCAGGTTCAGCCTCGATCACCTCCACAGGCGCAAAGCAGCTTGCGGCTCCTTTAAAGGGATCTATAAGGGTACTATACGGGATCTATAGGGGGTACTATAAGGGATCTATATGCGGGCCACTACCAGGTAATGCAATCGAGAATGGCCCGGAGCGAATGCAGCTGGCCTGTCGGTAGAACTGCTCAGCTTCTGCATGCCGCCCTGCATGATAAAGCAGCGTCGCCAGGAAGAAAAGCCGCTTGGGATCACTGGGGTCAGCCTGCCTCATGTTGTGGAAAATACGAGAGAAAGAGAGGTCTCTCTAAGTTCAGCCAGGGCACACAGATGTCTCAAAGGCCCAAAGCCCTGCCACTGTCTGTGGATTGACTTTCACCTCACAGGGTTTCTGGCGTCGCATGGCCACTGACATGTTATCCCTTGCGGCCTCGAGCAAGTACTGTGCAACACCTTGGGCCCAAAGCTCGTCCGCTGCGTCCATGGCCACTGTGAGCTTGCTGTCTATCTGTTCGGATCTCTGGAGTAGTGGTGCTACTGTGCACCAAGAATGTTTCAGCTAGGGGTAGGCTATGACTGCAATCGCGGCTTCTCCTCGCCATTGCCAAGGCTTTTTCTCTCTGGCCAAGCTGCGACATTCCACAGGCCTGCCCTCTAGCACAGTACATAGCACGCAGCCAAACTCCAGCTGTGCCTGCTGTGGCCTTTCTGCGAACGCTGGGGTCCTTCAGGCAAAGAAGCTTCAACGATGTCTGCCATTTTTGAACCCCGAGTCCATCTGACGGAAAGATGGCAAGATGCGACAAGCGATGCGCCTACCCCGACTCTCATAATCTCTCGTGTGCCTCGTCAGCCATGAGATCTGCTAGGGCTTTGGCCGCCATCTCAACCTTAGGCAATCATGCAATTTTGACCGCACCGCTCAGAACAACTTCTAGACCAAGGCTGGGACACTGCCAGGATACCTGCCTTGAGCAGACACCATGTCTTGCCACACAACATGCCATCTTGACAGAGAAAGACAGAGAGAGACACAGAGAGAGGGAGGGAGGCAGGGAGGGAGGGAGAGTGAGAGAGTGAGAGAGTGTGAGAGAGAGAGAGATCTGGCGTTTACTATCTGACTATCTGAGCATCGCGCGCGAGATGCTCACGACGGCAAAGACGAGGGAAAGACGTACCTGGCACTATGCGGATCATGCAAGGCCCCGACACTAGCTTGCCCACAGGTGGGGCTCCATCAAAGCAACGTTCCTCGCGTGGCATCGCATAGGACGAGACGGTTGCTGGATCACACCCTTTTGTATCCGAACGCTCTGGCTGTGTGATAGGCATGCCTTAGCTAGTGGTCTGCTACATTGGACATGGTGAAATTTTTACGGCTACAAAACTGCATAGATGAGCGCACAAGCGCCAGGTGCGTGCTGGCCACTGCAGCATTGCAACGCCGAGGGGGTTGCTAGAGCTTGCTAGAGCTAGAGTAGCTAGAGCTAGAAGACTCGTTGCAGATATTTACAAGGGACTCGATGTAAGCGTTTGACTTCACAGGAGCCTCCACATGACGCCTCCATTGTTGGAGCCCTTTTCAAGGCTTCAGGAGCTGCTAAAGTACTGCTACGTAAAGCTACGAGGAAGGCCTTTCTTCGAGCCTCGCCTCACTTTGCCTCCAAGAAGACCGTGCCTTGGTTGCCCACGACCTGGGCAGTCGAGCTCTGGAAGAACGTCCGAAATAGCAGTGCCAGCATCCGAACCTAGAGGACGCCAAGTCCGCCGCCGTGGCCCAACCAACAGCGCCGTCGGAGGTCGCACGGCATCGGATTCGAGTCAGCCCAGACCTCATCAACGAATTTGCAATTGGCAATGACATGGCGCCGTGCCTGCTCGGCAGCATGCAGAGAGCAACAGGACAAGGTCCATCGGACAAGCATGCATAAGCGTGCGTGTGACACACGGCACATTCGTGCTTGAAGGAAGGTTCCACAGCACAAACAACCCAGTCTGTTGCTGCAGCACCTATCCACCACCAGGCCCATCCAGGCCCCAGGCTCCTCGTGCTTCTTCATCCAAGACCGAGCCTCCACAATCTCCCCGAGCTTTAGTCGCCGGTCCTCCTGTCGCCAACGCGCTCGGATTCAAGGCTCTCTTCCTGGTGCTAGTGGGACCCTCACAAAACTGAGAAGCTCTTTTTGGGGCCCGGTGGGGGGCGCTGCGTCTTGCAAGCGAAGGTGTCTTAACAGACGGAGGGCCATCGCGAAGAGTTGGCTGCACGTCCGGTTGTCGGTCGTGGGTGGGCTTCCCGAGCCCCTGCAGGCCTCACCGCCGAACTGCTGATTACAGAATGCGATCACCTCCAAATTCAAGATCTCCGACGCCCCGTCGCTCGGAAGGTAGGACAGGTACGGGCCAGCCTCGTAATCCCTCCACCTTCCTCCCGTTCTGCGCCCTCGACTACTCGGTCAGGAAGGGCGAGACAAGGCCTTGGCCTGGCAAGCGACTCAGATGGCCGGCAGCGAAGGCTCGCGCGAGGCGCCAGGAGACGGGCCAAAGATCGAGGGCAAACGTGCCCATGTAGGTCAGCTCACCGATACGAGGGCCCCAGAGCTTGTCCCCAAGGAGCCAATCCACCCTCAACTCATCAAGCCCCACTCGCTGAGCCAGGATCTCGGAGTCGCGTCGAATAGCTTCCCAGCTCTCAGACAGGGACCTAAGCAGGACCTCCAAAGCATCATCCGGAAGAGGCTCCCAGAGGCCGTGGCCTTTCTTCAGCAGGCCAGGCAAGTTCGGATCCCAGAGCTGCACCGCTCCACGGCTCGAAACCCACAATGCCATGGGATGCGAGTTCAAGCAACCCCCGACCACCACTCCGAAGAGGACCTGCACCTCAGACCGGGACTTAGAGTAGCCTTCCTCTCGTCACGAATGCAGTCCAGGACTCCCTCTTACTACTCTTCCAGTATTACCAGTGTTACTGTTACCATGACTATGGTGTTACTATCCACGTCCCCTGTGAATGAGCTTTCCAAGCGGCCTTGAGTTCCAGTGGCTTCATGAGCTTCTTCCTTACACCCGGCACGAAGTCGGCCATGAGGGTGTAGAGAGGCTGAAGCAATGCTCCCCTGGGGACTGCATTTTGGTTCCAGGACTCTTTCTTCCACGAAGGATCATCCCCATCCAATGCCAAGTCGATGCTGTCCAGGACAGCTTCCAGTCCGTCCTGTGTCTGCGGATCTTGCACACCCAGCGCAATTCCGAAAGCAACGAGTGTTCCTCTGTTCTACCCGCCTCCATGGGACTCGGAAACATCGACACAAACTTGGAATTCGATCCGTGGCGCGGCTTTATCACCTGTCCAGCATGCCAACCACTCACAAGTCGAACCTGCAAGGGCCTGACCGTTGAAAGCTCAGCCAAGAAACCAGCGGGGTGTTCAGCTCCACCTGGGTGCGGTGGGTGGCTCAACAAAAGAGCTCACGCTCACGCTCACACTAGCTTGCAGCTTGCCTCGCGCATGGCCGCCATGTGAAGCGCCTGCCGAAGAACCCCACATTTGACGAGTTGCGCCGACAGACATGTGAAAGTGCTTTCGAGCCTGGCGGCCTCCACGAGTCTGCTCGCCGTGGCCTGATCTGGAAACTGTGGGTCCTTTGATGCTGGGAGTCTTCGTGCAAGCCAGGTTGCTCAGAATCGGCAGATGCCGCTCATCTCCCAACACATCGGATGTCATGGCCACCTCCCGTCACTACCACAATCTCCACTCTCATCTTCTGCCCCCCCATAGTAGGAAGATCGGCGAAAACAGCAGACCGAAGGTAGCTTGAAAACTTCCCCACCTGCAGGACCTTGTCGTCGAGCCAGACCAAGCCTTGATCCTTTGCCTCACAGTTGGGGGGGAGGAACGCCGGAATGGCCACATAGCGTGCAACATCCAGTCGCGTCCTTGTAGGACAGGCCAATGCGCTTGTTCATGATGCACCGCCAATCTTTGAAGTTCTTTCCTTGCGCCAGAATAAGAGAATGCAGCATCAAGTCAAGAAAAGAAAGGCGGCCCCAACCCTGGCCTCGTTCACTCCTAAAAACTCTCCTGGGCCACGCAGATGCCAGGAAAAAGCCCCCAAACAGAAAGGCCCCAAAGCGTGCGAGCAAGGAGCCTCGGCCGGGCTCCATCACCTGCAAAGCTCGGAAGAGCTTGGACTCTGCAGGCGACTTCGGTTCGTGGCCGAGGGAGGATGCTTAAGGCTACCGACCTCATGCAAGTAGTCCACAAGGTCAGGCACCGGTTCCTCAAGCAGCATTCGCACTGTGATGCAAATGCAAATAGCATGCATACCTGTACTAATGTTTCGAGGCCAGGTTGCACATGCCACATGCAACTTCCGGTGAACAGCAGCGCGGGCGGCACGGGAGAAGTCCTGCACTGTCGGCCAGTGTTTCAAGGTGCCTGAAGCCTCCGAAGCACGAAGATTTTCGGGAGGGGAGTGTTCCCCACTCCTGCTCCATGGACAACAAAAGATCTGCATACACCAGCTGCAGGAGCTTGCCTGCAAAGCCATTCACTCTCATCGTGGCTACATTGTCGCTGGTTCGCTGCTACCCTCTGCATCGCCCGGCACCATATTCAAGCAAAGCCAGTCTCAACAGCTAACGCTTCGATGCAGGATTTTGCAGGCCTGCCGCTCCACATGTGTCGGGCAGCATTGCTTCATTGCTTGCCAGGTTGGCAAGGTCTTGGTCCGCGCCCTGTTGGAATAATTCGTCGCTCATGCTCGACGAGCAGTCTGCGTCCTTTGTCGGTGCCGGGGTCGAAATCAGTAAGCACCAGTTCAAGCTTACAGTACTTAATTGGATTCCACAACCTTTCCCAAAGATAAATTCTAGTATTCTAGTTACTTCGGGCCTGCATGTTCAAAACGGTACATACCACTCAAGGTAGATTTCCTCACCGGGCCTCTGGTTCAGAGGTAGGTGAGCAGCCACCACAACCACGGCCACGACTCTTTGACGGTCCTCATCACGTCCTTACTCTCGCGCTTTCGGCGCTTGCGCTCCCACAAGAACTCGAGGAGCAAAAGTCGGTCCCTGGCAAGGCTTGGCACTTTTCGACGTCGACACGAAACCCTGACCCTCTAAACCCTAAACCCTTTTGCATCCAGGCTTATTGCGACAAACCCTAAACCCGAAACCCTTATATAAACCTCCAGGCTTTTTTGAACTCAAGCCCGGCCTTTCGGACATGGCTTCGAACTGCTCACGTGTGACGAGACGTGAGATCTTCATGGCTCTTAGGCGGAGTCTGCGCCGGATTAAAGACTGCGGGGCGTCTGCCAGCCGACACATCCACGGACCGGAAGTCTTATACAAAGAAACACAAGACATGCGGGATGCCGGTAGGACAGGAAGGCTCGAAAGCACCGAGGCTCCTTTGGTGTCTCTTTGGCAGCACCGATCTCGAAGTCATCCGTCAGAAGCGTTTCCTGCGTGAAGTTGTAGGCTACGACTGGTTCCGCTCATCATCCCCTTAAGGAATTCAGGAAGAATGTCCATGAACATGAAAGCGTTTCGTGGCCTTGACTACCTTGAAGGTGCCTCCACCGTCCTGGGCTCGATCAGGCGTGCACCGATGCGTTCATTTTCTTCGGCACTTTCAAGCTCTCCTGAAGATAGTCTGTCCCCTGGTTGCCCGAGATGGTGGCCCAACCTGCATCGAAGATCATCGAAGCAGATGTTCAGGCAGTCTGAGCAAACTGGTCGTTGACACGCCTTCGGTCCCATCTGCAAGGAGACGGACCTGCCTGGAGAGAAAGAAGCAAAGATCCGAAGGCAGATAGCAATCGGTAACGATACCATTACTCTGTGAAATCACAAGTTAAGCTGTCGGCACTCGCATCACGTCCACCTCGGGCTCCTGCCGCTGAGAGTTCACACCATGTGGCACCACAGATGACCGTAGTTGTCCGTACACTCCTTCTGTTCCTACCTGTTGCGGCAGACGACATGCTGTTCAAGACCTACGCTACCGCACCTTCGTCGGAGGGCCGAGAACTTCGACCACGTCACCAACCTCCAATTTGCGGAGGCTGTTGGCCTTGATGCTGACCTCGTGCGATGCCGACATGAAGCCGGCAATCTCATGCTTATGCCGCAGCCGTGGTATGGCAAGCAGGTGGGGCAGCATGGAGCTTGGAACGACATGCATTTCACAGGCAACCTGAAGGAGCACACAGCTTCTGCTAATAGTATCAGGCTCTCATGGTCTAGGCTTGCCACGCCATCGGTGATTGCAGTCTTGCCGACGACCTTCATGAATCTTCGCCTCGGTTCCGAGGACGCTTGCGCCTCGTCTTGCCTACATCCCCGGCAGCTGTGATTTTGCTTCAAGGCCCAGAGAAATTGAGAATCCCGATTCACTTGTGTCCCTGAGAACAGGTTCGTGAACGAGAAAGTCTAGGTCTCAGTTCTGGGGTCGGCGATTACGCTGGATGACGCCGCACACAGTGAGATCACACGTCCTGAAGACTGCCGCTCTCTTTCGGGCATGATGGAGCTGGGGTGTGCAACAGTGTTCCGTATGGTCCGCCGAACTGATGCGAATCTTATCATCTCAGTCTGACTTCTGCTCAGGAAGCTCCTCCACATGCTCGCACGTTGCGCCAGCCGAATTACATGTTGCGTGGGGCTAACAGACACCATATAGCGACTGTGATGATCTCAATGCACTTTGCGAAACTGAAACCACATGTAAGGCAACTGAAGTCTGAGGAAAAGCAAGCTCGCCCCGAAGTCTTCCAGCGCAAAACTCCGAGAGCAGGGCAGAATCTCAGATACCCGTTCCTGCCGAAGGCCGGCTGACAGTCAAAAGAACAATCGCAACCTGGCAGCCCTCGTAAAAAGAAAAAACATAATCTTGGCATCCTCATGCATGCAACTGTCCGGGCAACCTCATATCCACTAACAGTGCTGGCATGCTCCTCATTCAGCGATCCATTGCCAGCTTCGTCCCAAAATGTGAAGAGCCTCTGAAGGTCCTTGCGCTTGGAACGGCACGAGCACCAATGCTGAAGTGCTGTCATCACGTCAAGGCACGGGTGAAAGGGGCTTTTGCCTAGGGCTCGTCATCACGAAGTCTAGGGGCGGCTCGTGGTTGAATTAGACGGTCGAGGCTGTGCGGTGCCGACCCCTGACAACGCCTCTTTGCTGGGGAAGTCTGCCGCTTCGCCATTTGTCGACTCCTGCACAGCACTGAAGATTTAAAGCACGTGCCCGTGCATACTCGAACTCTCGATCTCTAGCCCTAGCATCTCCCTGCTCGACTCCTTCTCACACTCCCCGAAGAAACTAAGGAAGGAGGACTCGTCCACAGACTCCTGGCACAGCGACAGAAGTTCAAAGAATTCACCTTGTCCTGTCCCAGTGCCTTCAGATGCCTCTCCCACACAAGATGCATCGAGCACGCTGTGAGAGCTGTCACACGCAAGGAGGCATAAGTCTCATGACATGCACGCGGCGAGCGGCCTCACCAGAAGTTGCCCTCGGCTGCGCTCATTGGAGCGGAGACAAGGTTCCCAACATACGAACAAGGAGTGAATCCTCGGGCTGGTGCATTTTAGCGAAAACATCGTCATTGTTGACGTCTTTGGCCTCAGCATAGACTGTCCCACTTCTACAGCAGATGGCTCTGTCCTGGGCTTCTCTGCTTCTGTTCTGCAAAAAGTCCTGCCTTCATGAGTCTGCAGAGCCGGCATACCCTCCCCGACATTTTTCAGTCGACCTCTGTGAGAAGTCGTGCAGCCGAGGCGGCTGCCGGGTCTGCAATTAGCGCTAACGGGCTCAACCTTCCGAAAACATCGTTGCACACGTTACTCTCTCATGTTATCGGAGCCCTTCTGCCCCTATCAGCGACGGCCTTCGGCCAGAGGACGCCTTCAAAAGGGTCACAGCTCTCTGACAGCCGGTGGTCTGCCATCAGCTTGTGGACACACACCAGGGTTCGTCTCAGACCAACATGGCCATAACAGGCTGTGTACAAGGGGCACACGAAGAGTCAGGAGACTCTCTTTGGATAGTTCTCATACTTCTCTGAATCTTGTGGCCTCTGACGGCTCCGTGACCCCTGCTTGGCATCGGCTGGGAGATTTTACAGAATCTCTGCCCGATGCGGAAAATAGACTTTCTACTTCGCAAGGGTCTCTGGCAAGCTGCAAAATCTGACCTTGCAATGTCGCTGCGGAACACCACACAAGAGCAGAAACACTGCTTGCAGTCAAGCAGCCAGAGCCAGAAGATCACCAAACACCTGCATATTGTGAACGAACGCACAGCATGTACACGACGTGGGTCATCATGTTCCCCGTTAACTTTCATAGCCTACGGTCCGTTGCTGCTACGAGGCTCTACAGGATCCTCGGCGTGACAGAGCATACATAGTCCGTATCTTGCACCATATACCGAAGACGCTCACTGATGGGCTTTTCTCCCGCCTCCCAGCTTGCTCTTGGCTTCGGCGTTCATGCGGCCGGTGGTCAGCAGCCAGTTCTGGGCCTCCAAATAATTCGTCGGGGCAATGCCTCAGCGAAAACAAAAAACGGCGCAGGTTGCCTCCCTCCCTGGGCCGCAACACTCGCTGCCGAGGTGCGGAGGGCCTGGTTCCAGTATAGGGCCGCCTTGTCCTCAGCGCTTTGAAGGCTTTTTTGCGGCTTTTTGTTGGCGTTTCTTAGCCTTTCGATGCGGTCGCGATCATGCCCAGGCTCGTAAAGGACGGTGGACTTGTCCAAGGCACCCTTCTTCTCAGCTCGCACCGCCTGATCGTGGTAGATCACCTAGGTGGCAACTCGGCACAATTTAAGATCCAAGGCGGCCGTCAAAGTGTATGGGGAGAAGAAAACAAAGAGCGCGACAGTCGGGCAAGTTCTCAGAAGGCACTTTAAATCTCGAGGGTGAGGAGCAGCGCAGCCAAGGAGCCGCGATGTTGTTGTACGCCTCCCAAACTACGGCCATATCTAGCAAGCATACTAACAATCTCAAGACTTCACTACTCATACTACTACGAAAAATAACAACAATACTTAACTTACTACCACTAAATGATTCCGCCCCTCCATTGGCACACCCGTAGGCCTGGCAAAGCTCCTTGTTCTGGTCCAAAGAAAGATGGTAGTACTTCACTGCCTCGCAGGTGGGTGGCAACTGGCTTTCGCCGGAGGTTCGCAGCAACAGTCGCCAAAAACTGCAACACATAGTTCGGCCTTCACGTATTCTCCGTTGGAGCCGAAGATAATACCCAGGTTGTAGAAAATGTAGCTCCTGTCGATCCTGGATGCTTGCGGACCATTCAGCTAAAGCTCGAACCATGAGCGTCGCTGCACTGCGAAACAAGAATGCATCAATAATTCATGCTCTCGAACAGCGCTGGCTGATCACGCTTGACTGCCAGTGCATGCTGAGAGACGGGTCTTCCTCCAACTTCAGCGCCTGCCACAGCTATACTCGCTGAGACCACATACGCAAGATTGCGCAAGTACTACTTACTCCACCTCCGCATAACTTCGGAGCGCCATGGAATAGTCACCAGACACCTGCCACTTCGAAGGGAGCGGCTTCAACAGGAAAGGGTTCTTACTTCGACCCGGGCTTCGTCTGCAGCGGGCCTGAGCTGCCATGCCATCACCTCGGCTCGACTGCGAAAGCTTCTCCTTCAATACACACCACACTTGACACTGCTAAGTGCAAGTGGGCGGCGATAGAACTGATAGGCATCCTTCTCTTGCTGGGAGAGCGGAATCAAGCCAATCACAACATCCGTCCTCAGTCTTGCTCCTTTGGCTTGACTCTATGAACGGACCGTGATGTGTAGGTAAGTGGGCGAGTGGGTGGGTGGGTTCCTGAATTGAAGCAGGCCTGCACTCTGTCACTTCACTCCCACCCCTCGTTGTCCACATGTCGTGGATGCTCTGTCGTCTGGGTTTCGAGCATCTGCTTTTCGGATACCTTCATGTCTTGAGAACTACTTCACCTTCAAGCGCCCTTGGCAAATCTTCAGTTTTTCCCAGCAAAGGCTCATGGTGGTGAAGGCCTTGTCAATGAAGTTGTCACCTCAAGTGGTACAGATCCCAAACGGCTCACAATTGGAGCACCCCCTAGACATCAGCTTTCGCTGGCTTTCCATCCTTCATAAACCAAGCAAACTAAGTGCAGAGAAAGCGCTCTTGTCATTCACGCTGACGGCTTGCATCTGCCTGCGGGTAGCAGGCACAGAAAGCCAAAGTGCGTCCACTACCTCCACGTTTTGGCCGTTCACTCCGATCTGGGCTTCCCGACACACGCGGCTGGGCAGCAGGTCGGCCGCCGGCAGACACGAAGCTGCGCACAGCTGAGAGACTGAAGATGCCTGCAGCAAAGGAGGGGCCACACACGGCCGTGCAGCACGCATCGGTTTGGGTCGATAGTCGTGAGTGGGCACCAACTACTTGGCAACTGGGCTGCAGGTGGCTTATCGTTGCTAGGGACGAACTAACCAAACACAATGGCACGGCAGCGAGGAGCCAAAATTTAAAGGCCAACAGAAAAGAGCAGGCGCAGCTGCCGAAGCTTGTAGGCAATATGCCAGTGGCTCTAGGACTTTAGGACTACCGGGCTTGTCTGCAACCCGAATTGCACGGTGGGGTTGTCACCTATTTGCAGAGCAGAAGGTCTTTCCTTCCACCGGGTGCTTGCAGACTGTTCAATGATCCTGTTGCTCTGATGACGGGTGTGCTGTGCAGCCACGATTGCCCGCGGCGACAGCTGCCAGGCACAGGGCTCTTCGCAGCGGTGCAGCCATGAGTCCTGCTGAATCCCCGTCACGGTTTCGATGATAAGACAACGCCACGTTCCCTCCCTACACGGCCTGCTGTGAAGTGAACGCCGGCCAGGATAACAGTGCCTTCTTTCGAGGCTGGCTGCTAAGTCTCGAGCAGAAATTTCCAGAGCGACCGCGGCTAGTCCAACGCCACTCCTCACTATTCGATCACGCAAGGGCATGAATCTTGCACAGCCCAGCTTCATGTTATGGCTGTTCTGATTCTGCCAGGCTACTCCGGCCCCTCCCCACGCCCCACACCACAGGCGAGGTCATTGAAAGCACGTTCGGGTCCACCGAAAGAGCTCCTAGTTCACTGGGCGAACTTTTGCTGCCTGCTGGGCTACTGGCTTTCTGGAACTGTCGGATGATGGCAAGGGCTTTCCTGCAGCAAAGGTGCCGAACTAGGTCAAACTTGGGTGCGATGTGGTCGCGCGTCAGCCTATCAGCCTCGAGTTTCCCGGCCCCTTCCCCGACAGGCCTGGCGAGCTTCTCCAACTCCTCGCGGTTGCGCTGGTCCGCCGTCATGCGCTGCCGCTTCGTGAATTGGCCTCAGGGAGGTCGCTTTCAATCGCTTGCCCAAACGTGGTGATCGTGGGGGAGGCGTGGCGGCGTTTCAATCAGGGCGTCGGCTGCTCTGCGCCGTCGCTCGTTCTGCTGTCTTCAGCTTCGAATACCTTACCAAAGCACATGTGCGCATCATGCACTCCCTGCAGAACATGCTGTGTTGACGTTAGCTGCTCCGGCCGAGCTGCAACGGCCTGAAGACCTCCTCCAGCCAATGCACGACCTCCGCGTCGGCTTCTTCCTTTGGAAGATTTGTGCAAGCAGTCAAGATCAGTCAAGCATAGAGCCAAGGTCACTGAGCGCCAGCAAGCAAAGCAGCAAACCCTTACGGGTCCTTCGCATCGAACATTGCTTTTCTGGAGCTTGCAATCTTCTGATTGGCTTCCTCCGACCTCCAGTTTGGCTGTCTTTGAAAGCTCTCTCTCAGTGCAAACATGGGTGGCCGGCGTGGCTTCTATCGAATCGAGCTTCGCGATCCTAGGCAGGACAAGAAGTACCACGCGCACAGCCTTCAACACGAAGGGCAAGCAGATGGTGCAAAGACCTTACATGTGCAACTTCTGTCGTATGCAATGCCAAGCATCAGCTCGCTAGGTTTCTGGTCTGTTGCTTTCAATGCTTCAGCAGCCTCCTGCGTGGGGCGATGCAGCGATGCAGGGCTTCGACTTGCGCTGACTACGCAAGCCAAAGGAACTCCAACGATCCGAGCGAGTCAGCGCATTTTTTATTCTTTGTGACGCTTTCGGCGCTTGCCTTCTGGAGTTCCGTCCTGAGGCCGTACAGGCCATGGTCGTTATATCGGCTATGGCACACGCAAGCAGGAAAGCAAGCAAACCAGTCACCACACGCAACTTGAACTGGAGACCAGAGCACACCTTCCCCTGAGCGTCATTACGGGTTGTTCGATTGAACAGCACAGTACGTTGATGTAAAGACAAAGGGGAGAGGCACGGAGTTTCCCCACTGCAGCCAAAGTGCCTCTGGTGGAGGCAGTTGAGGCACCTGACGTGGAGCTAAGCCCTTCGAGGTCTCCAGCTACGTGTTTGTCGGAAGGCCTCGTCCCAGAGTTCCTCTTTGCCTTTTGCTTCCTTTTTGGCTTTCCTCTTGATGTCCCTGATGAACGAGGGACACGCAGGCCTTGGCTGGAAGAAGGCACCACCCCTTCAGCCGCTCTCCACTTCCCATTACCCCAGAGAGCATGGCCCAACGCGCAGCCAGGCAACACCTCGAACTCCGTGGCATCCGAATGCCAGTTCGCGGGTGGCGGTGCATCCTTTGCAGCCTCGATGGAAGGAAACCGGCGCAGAACCTAAGCTTTGCAATCAGCACAGCACATCAAAAGCTGCTGTCAACATTGGGAGCTTCACAGAAATCTGCAGCTGTCTTGTCGGATCCTTCTAAGATGCCTGGGGCCTCCGCGGCTCAATTGCTCGAAAATACTTAACTACAAACAAAAAACCGAGCTTCTTCCGCAGCATGAATCTACCGCACAGCACAGGCAAGTCCCGGCCTACATGTCTCAAGTCGGTGCCATTCTTAGCAAAGTGGGGTGAACAAGCTCCTACAAGCCACGAGTTCGGGCAACTCGCTCACGTCCATGTCAGCAGCATTCAATGCAAACTGTTTGAATGCCGGGGTACTAGTTACTAGTCTTAAGTGATTGAACCACGCCACGAAGACGCACTTTCGGCCCGGTGGCATAGGTAGGTACATCTGCCAGGCGCAGGATGTCCCCCTCTCTGAGCTGCAAGACAGCGTCTTTGGCTATGCGCTGCCCGTTGACATATGTGCCATTTTTGGACTTGTCTGTGACGAACACAGAGAGGTGTGCAGCAGCGTGCTGCTTCCATGGAACCATCAAAGAAAGCTCCGCATGCTCCTTTGATATGCCATCATGGAAGATATGAAGGTCACATTGCATTGAACTCCCAAGCACAAAGTGGGAAGCTCCCCACGGTGCTATGAGAAGACGCTTCTTTGCAGCAGCGGCAGAGAAGGACTGGAGCGGGAACAACTCGAAGATCGGGCCAGCAGATGCGCTTTCTGGCCGCGGTGGCAGTTCTGATGTGATCCCATCAAGCCAAAATTTTGACTTTTTACCCGCCTGCTCTGTGACACGCTTGAGTAGATTTCCGTAAGTTCCGTAGACTGCACGCACCAAGAATAGATCCCTCTTGCCTGGCTTTCCTGACAGGGGGTTGTGCAAGCAGCGCCCTGTGAGCTTCAAGTATGCAGACTTTGGCCCACCCTTCACATAGCGCACCACCAGCTGCACTGTCTCAGTGGCCTCCCCATACCACGCAAAGCTAGCCTCCATGACCTCGCCAAAGACTTGAGCAAAGTCATGCCAGTGGCTGCCAGCGGCACAAGCAACAGGTGGCTTGTCTGGCAGCTTCCCTTTCTCAAAGGCCCAGTGCGCGGGTAACGTAAGGCTGACGGAATCGACTGGAAGCTTTTTGGGATTCCAGCTCTCTCTCAGGTAAGGGACATGGTTGTGAGAGGCAGTGTCGAGGGTATCCCGCCAGCTCACCGTCACACCATCCAAAAGCTTCAGGCTTCTCCATGTGCTACGCAGCTCAGTACACTCTTCTGCCTTCGCGAGGAGGCAAACGAAGAGCCGCCGGGTGCTGTCGAAGTCCTCCGCCAGGATGGACACCACAGCTTCAGCGCCCAAAGCTTCAGTCAGCTTCGTGGTGACCTCCCTTTTCAGCTTAGAGACCGAAGCTTCGCCCTCAACCCTTATGTCAGCCCAGATGCAGGCGCCGACTTCAACTGCCTTTTTTCGCCAGGATGCCCAGCGCCGCTCCCACTGGAGAGATGCTCGCTGAGATGGCATCTCACTGCCCAGCTGTCCGTGAGGCTTTGACTCTGACGCGGTCTCCGGCCCTGGCCCAGATGTCTTTACTGCGGCGGAGGCCGGAGGGGCCTTCGGCTGCACCTTCGGCGCTGCGGTCGGGGTCGGCTGCAGCTTCGCCTGCGCTGCCGCCGGAGGCTTTGCAGGTTGAACTCGCGCAGAAGGCGGTGGAGCTTGAGACACCTTGCTCCTCGCTGGCGGCGTGAAGGGCTCTGCACGGCCCGGACGCATTGCACGAAACCGAACAACTGTTTTCTATCCTGTCTTCACGCCCGAACATCTCAGAGCCATGAGTGTATGGTCTGCGGTTGGGCGTCACTCATGAAGCAGTCTTGGCCTATGGTGCTTCCCTGCTTGTGTTCTGAGCTTGCGCTGCCCTGGTGCCGAAAACAAAATCCAGGCGGCAGTGGCATGGGAACGAATTCACAGCTCAAGTTCAAGTTCGACGCGCCGGGTGCTTGCACAGCACTGCTGCACGCAATGCAGGCAGAATCTCAGAAGCAGCGGTGGCCATCAGACGCTCAAAATCCCTCGGCGGGGAGAGGCCTTGAGCTGCGTGCAAGACAGCTCAATCTCGTCAATCGCCTTTGTGATCTCCTGCGGTCTTGTTCGCCGGGGCCATGCAAACCCCAACTCGTAACAAGCTGCCACACGGTTTCACTCACCTCAATTCGCCCCTTGAGCTTGTCCTCAGCTCAAGAGGGCGGACAAAAGAAAGAGTTGAAACACTGCAGCATGGCAAGGCAGAGCGAACGGGAGCAATTGCTCCCTCCTCGCCGGGGCCCGGGCTTTCAGTTTCTCCAACTCCTTCTCACGCTCTTCCCGCTGCTTCTTCCGCTCCAGATCGATCTTCTTCTCACGGAAGATGCCAATCTGAACCTCTGACCGGCGTGTCGGAGGCAGAGATGATGCACCTCCCCCTATGGACAACGCTCCTACAGCTCAGAAGCCTAGAGAGGTTTCAAAGGTCGCGTTTGATATTGTTTTGGCTCCTCGTGGCCTCGGGTGTAGATTTTCGTTGCTCTTGCCCGGAAAGCAGGCGAGCATCCCATGCGGAAACGAAGCGTTGCTGAGATAGGTGACCATTTGCAACAGCCGTTGGAAGACTGATGAGGAATGTTGGAGGAATCCTGCGGTGTTGACTTCAACGAGAATCGGCATTATTGCCACCGGAGGGCTGGAGGGGCACATTTGTGGTACGCTCCCTGATCATGTGCTTGAACAGCATGGGGCTGTTTTCCCCAACCCAATTTCACGAAGCAACGGCAGTTCACATGCACCAAGGGTTACAGAGTTAGAGCGGCAGCGGGGGCACACAGACGGAGCGTTGCAGAGGGATAAAGAGAAAAGAAAGTTGAAGGCAAAGGAGACACATAGTATCATAGGGTGTAGCTAGTGGCCTTGGCTCGCTGGAAATCCTCGGTGCGGACGCCCTTGGCACCCTCAGCGGTGAGCAACCTCAACGGTTCGCAGATGCAGAATCAAAAGCAATACTAGTCGACCAATGATCGGCGTTCTTCTGAGTCTGCAACCGGAAGATCCCGTCCACCTTGACGCACCAGTGTGCCAAAAAGCGAGAGCAGCAACGGCTTCACTCCGGGTTTCCAGCGGAGGCCGCTGTTAAGGTGCACTTGTGCTCCGCCTGTGCGTACCTGTACTGCGACCGATTGCGACCGTGCAGCTGTGGTATACCATAGTATACCAACCTCTGGGCTGACTTAGACATAAGCTATAGACACAAGAGGCTCAATAATTGCAGCCAGCACTGTCTCGCTCTCTAGCAAAAAGTTGCTTTCCTATGACATTCACCATTCACCCAACAGAACGGCTGCAGGGACCTAGAAGTTTGGCTTGGTCTTGCCTCGAGAGTAACAGCATGCCTCGTTTCGTTGTTTCAAGTGTGACAACAAGCCACATCCTTCACGTGGACACGACTAGACATGCGGAGCTTTCATGGAACCACACCTGCTGCTGCCACAATGTCTTTGGACAGGCCGGGGTGTCATGGTTCCACAGGGACGCCAGCCTTTGGAAGGCCTGGGCTTGAGCCGTAGCCGTAGCACTTGGTGTGGCAGCAAACAAACTGCCCACAATTTGCTGGATGAAGGCCCTCAAGCCCCTCCGGGGCACTTCTTCAATTCTGCCTTCTCCAGCATGCCGTCCTGCAACTTACATCTCACGGAATTTGTTGGGTTCTCTTTTACGCTCTCGCAACTCGGACACAATCTAACGAGGTCTCCCGGGTTCTCTTGCAGAGTTTAGACCTTTTTTCCCTCTCCACAAAGTTTAGACTTGAAGCTGAAGGTTGAGGGGATGTGGCACAATGAAGCCGTTTGCTTGCGCGCGCCGCTTTTTGCCGCTCGTCAACAGGCCTTGTCGCTGGTCGCGGCAGCTGAGCTGAGGAAGGAAAGTGGAAGACTCGCAGCATCAAGATTTCCTCATAAAGCACCGTAGTTGCCAACAATACAGTATACTATAACACATCGCAACGTAACGGAATACCAAGAGCACTCAATAGGAGAGAATGCAATACAGCGCGGTAACAATGTATCATGTTCTTGGCTTCAACTTTCCTCTTTGCATCACGCGGGTGCCCTCAGCTCGAGGCTAGATCCTGAAACTACACAGAGGCTCGACTTGAAGAGGCACGGAGCGAAGACAGCAAAACCTCTCCTTGCCTGCATCTGTCAGGCGGCTGTAGCGGCAGAACGTTCTGCCTGTAAGACTTTGCATGGAAGGACTTGGTGCAGCCAGCGTGGGCCATGCTATCAGCTGCACGAATCGAAACCGCAGCAGCTTTGCACGGCCTGCTTCTGGAACACGGAAATCATCTCGCGCAGCTCCTTCGAAGGTTGAATACTTCAAAGGCATGCTCATGTCCTGCAAGCATGGGCCCCGCATACCTTCTCAGCGTCGTCTTTGCGCTTCTCCAACTCCTGACTGGCCTTCTGCATCTTTGGCAGCTCCTCCCACCCAGAGACTTCCAGACTTTGCACTTCACATGCGTCGGGCTTTGGGAATTTGACCCAGGTCCTCATCTATGCTGTCCATTGTCTGCTTCATCTCGTCCTTGGCATTGTTCTCGAAGAATCCCCGGCTTCGGCTATGGACACAGCTACCCCTTCACCACAATTCGGCCTAGGTCGTATATCTATCCATCTATCCGTCTAGGCCGGCACATGCCAGTTTCGCAAACAACCCAACAAAGACATGCGACCATGAACCCACTGCAAGCTTCGCTAGCACAGGTGATGACGCCAGGCTGATGCCGACCCCGCTGCCGACACACAGACTCCGAGCCTATGCCTGCACTCTACACCTGCACAGATGCCCCGCACACACGAGGGAACGTCTTTCAAGCAACGGCTCTAGAATTGGCTGCCGGTCACCCAGCAGAAAGCAGCGGCCCACCCCACGGTAGAGATTGGTATCCTCCGGCGTGGAAGTGACTGTCCTTGGTTTACGGCTCGTCTACCAGTCCAACGGGTTTCTCGCTGGACTCGTCCAGGTGGCTGCTGCGTGAGCTCCAGCCGAACTCGCTGACGCTGCTTGCTCGCGAAGGACGCCTCTGCACTCGCGAGTCGATATTCTACGGCTACGGCGTTGCCGCTAACACCGATGCTTGCAGCCATATCGAATCCCATCAACACACAGACGACCGGAGCCTGAAGTCTGGCCAGCTGTTCGCTCAATCCGGAGACCTGCCACGGACAGGGCCAAAGGGCAAGCTCTGAAGTCTACAGTAGTCCGGCAGACCTTCTCCTGGACAGCCATGGCTTCGTCTGCGTTGAAATCACGGTTGGCAACCGAACGGGCCTCAGCTCGCCTTGGGCAGCAGAGAGTCGCAGCAATCCAAGGGAAGTCTTCGACTCTGCGGCGCCTCTGCTGCTGCCCCGCCAACTTCTCGGCGCAGGAGTCCCGGAGCTTCACGAGATCCGAGTCTCCGGGCCTAAAAGGAGCAAGAAGCACCGACACCCCCTGGACCCCGAACCTCGCATCGATCCCTATCATACCTGGGTGGTGGTCAAAATTATGGTCCCTTTTTGGGCACCCTAAATAGTTGGTGCCGTATTATAACAAGGACCCAAAAAGGGGCCATAATTTTGACAACCACGCACCTGAGGACTGAGGGCGCGACGCCTGCTTCAGCCCCGCCTCGCAGAAGTCGATGCCATTCCGGCAGAGGTCCAAGTGAAGCGACGCCCTGGCCGCGCGCCAGTACGCCTCACAGTCTCTCCCCCTTTCGGACTTGAGGTTTGGGTGGTTGTCAAAATTAGGGCCCCTTTTTGGGTACCCTAAATATTAGGTGCCGCATTATAATAGGGACCCAAACAGGGACCCTGATTTTGGCAACCACCCATTTGGGGATCAGGAGATGACGTCCGCCGCCTTGATGTTCTTCGGATCCTGCTCTATGGCTCTTCGGCAATCGTCCACCTGCGATGGCTGATAGCTCAAGTCTCACTGCGCCAGTCTCCAAGAGCAGAAACGCGCGAAGGGCGCACCGCTTCCACGAACTGCCGCAGGAGCAGCCGCACGTGGGCACGATTGCCTGTGGATGTTCCCCCTGACTTGTTAGAGATGCAAATCCTTTGCTGTGCTGTGGTTTATTGGGCCTCTGCGTACTACATGATGTGGGCTCCACATCGGCTCCAAGCTTTGCTTGAAATCTGCCCTGTCGAGGGAGTGATGCTCAAGGGTCACGGCTTCATGAAACAGAAAATGTAGCCCCGAAGCCAGCAAGTGAATAAGCCTCTCGAGGCTAAGCCTTTTACCTCCTGATCTGTTCATCCCAGATCTGGGATGTTTCTGACATCACCAAATGTAGTGTACATGCCCGCATGTCGTGATGCGTGCTGGAACTTTGCCTGTCAGTGCTGCAGTGTTCTCTCGACACCTTTCGCTGTTCGGGGAACCTATATGTTTGTAGGACCCCTGATTACATGTTCGCACCCTGCTATATTCGACGGACAAACCTTTTTGCCTGCTGTTGCACACGGCATCATCAGATCTTGCATCCTGGGTCCTTGTCAAAAGACGCATGGCGTTCTACCTGTTCGTCTCATCGCGTCGCATCGCTGTAGATGGTTGGACACAGGCATCTTTTGATTTGCAGCTATGCACTTCTGTATAGCCTTATACCGCCTCATACTGTTGCACAACCCTTTTTTGCTCTGGACGCAAGTCTAGCAACCCTACAACCCTTCTGCAGCAGCAGCTGGGCCAGGCATCTAAACCCTAAATGGCCCCTTTTTGACACTGGGCTTGCTGGCTGCCAGAATATGTTTAGGGCCCTAAATCCTAAACCCCGTGTCGCGCTACAGCCTGGAGGCCGAAGCGGACGACAAGAGAAGCTCGAGTTGAGCATCTCCAGTTTCCTACGAGCCCCAAAGCAGGCTATCATGGGGCATCATCTACCAAAATACGCTTGTATATGCTATCACAGGTTTTATAGTCCAGCATCAGGAAAAACGCAAATTCGGATCTAGTAATGCTGTCGGGGTACTGAAAAGCTGCGCATTCAGCTTCGGGTCGCTGCAGCGCACTTCCAAGCCTCAGTCAGAAGTGGCATCAACTACGACATGCTTGAGTCATGTACCACGCTTTACCCATGCCTTCTCTTGGCTCAACCGCTTCCTGTCTCTTCCTACGCATGGCTTCCGTCTTTTCGCAGTGTTGCTGCGCCAGGTCGGTCTTTGGGAGCAGCCGCGGCGCACAGTGGCCCCACGGCAGAATAGCTGTCATCCTCTGCTTTCTGTGGGAAAGCTGAAGGAGGGTCCATCCTTGCCCCGGGCACCACGTGCTTGTCGGCTCAGCTACAGCCATCGGGTCGTTTCGCACTCGCCGTCTCCTCGCCACTGCATTCTGTCTCCAGGTGAGCCATCTGCACAGCATGGCCGCCGTATGCTCCGGCTTGTGAAGCTTCGCCAAACGCGGAGAATTGGCATCAATACCGCCAAGCAAGTGTGCGATTTGTGATGCTGTCGCTCCAGGTTGGCATGTGAAGACCAAATGCCACATAGTCCTACCAGGGTCAATGCTGCATGCTGCACCGCACTGCTGCCAGTATCGACTGCAGGACCACCCCTCCCAAACAACCCATCCGAAACCCAGCATGACAAACCACTGCTTGAAATCACACACGCATCAAAGGGGCCGGAAAATATGAAGAAAAGAGTGACAGTCATGGAAGGCTTGATGTCCTTGGCCACATGCCGCAGAACTCGCTCCAAGGCCTCCTGCAAGTCGGCACGACCCGCAAAGACGTCCGACATGCAATGACACAATGCAGCACACGGTTGCACGAGTTTGTCAACTTGCATAGACTATATATAGACATGAACCTATCTATTCATGCATGTTGTTCCTTCTTCTTGCTGGTCATTGTGTCCATGATAACACGCCTGTTAAAGAACAGCTCTGAAGGAACACATTCGTGGGACGCGTTCACCCTTTCACGATTCCACTCTGCACTGGGGCCAGCTCGTCTCGTGGCTCCTCGAAATCCAAACGGTCAGTCTCCCTTTCCCCCTAAGCATTGGCGGATGCATGCTGGAAGCAACATGAACACGTGTCACGTGCGGGTGGGCAAAGAGACCTCGGTACTGCCTTTCCCCGCACAGCAGGAGCTTCTTACAGGACACGCACGCATGTACCCGTTTTGCTGAGCCGATTCCTGGTCGTAGAACTGAACAAACATGCTGCTGTCGTCTTCACGGTAGGTGGTTGTGCGCTGGGCCGCCAACTTCGTTGCATGACCGGCTGCTGGGAAATATGCATCTGCAAGGGCTTCCGATAGCTCGAACGACAAGCCAAGAACGGCGTGCAGCATCTCGAAGATCTGCCAGTTGACTGCAGAGCGGTCGGATGTCAGCAGGCCAGCAAAATCGATGCGCTGCCAGGTGAGCTTACAGCCATGGTTCAAGTAGAGAGATTGCGGGATCCAGTGATCATTCACTGACATTCCAGGCGTGGGCAGCTGTGATGCGAAAGCACGAAATGCACGCACTTGCTCTCCCACGGGACTTTTTGAAGTAACCGTCTCCCAGCCCTGTCGATGAGTCTCGGAGCAGAGATTACTGAATCGCATGCACTTGTCCATGAATGCAGAGAGGAACCGCTCCAGTGGATCACGCAAGAAAACTGCGAGCTTCCACTCGGGCCGCTTCCAGTAAAGCTGGTTCACGCGAAACCGAGTGCCGACTTCACGTGTACGGAACTCCGTCTGCACGATGTCACTGTAGGTCATATTGTTGCCATCCAACCGGTGATTCAGGAGAAAAAACTGCATGAGACCCACCTTAGGAATAGAGCACAGCGCATACCGATAACGCTGGTTGACGTGCATCCGATAGATATAGGCGCCCCATAGATCGCGGAAGAAGTCCTGGGTGACCTTCCGTGCAGCAGAAGTCCAGGAAGCCGACAGGGCCGGCCAGGCAGCGGGATCCAAATACCAGGCAGGCATCCGGGAATCGTTCCTCAAACGCTCGAGGAGGCTCCCCAGCTGCCGCGCCCGTGCTGCATCCTTGGAGCGACTGATCCGAAGACGCACGCGGCTTCGAATCGGAGCTCTCACACCAACTTTGCTTGAGTGCCCGTGCATCAGAAGCAGAAGGTGCCACCCAAGCGATAGCTCACTGGCTCGCGAGCAGTGGCTTGGCACGCAAAGGCCCATCAACCGCAGACTGGAGCTGTTTGGAAGAAGCTCAGCCTGTCGCCCAACGGCCCAATAGCCCACCAGCAGCTTGCCTGCTATGCCGGTAGAAGATATGTCCCGAGTCCATTGCTGACTGGCCTCCAGTCCATGTGAGTACAGAATGTATCGTGCCCCCAAATGTATGCACTCCTGCAGCTGTAGCCACCAACCCTCCGATAAGAAAGACTGGCCACTCGCCTTCGCGAAGCGAGGGTCCGAGTTGAAGGAAGCCAAGCACCGCTCATGTTGCCTTCCGGCGGCTTTAGCGCGGATCCCACTCCTCTCCACCAACAGCTCGTTGGAAATCCATTTCTTCAGTCTTGACCGCACGGATGTCCCACGCACTTCTGCAGCGGCACAACAGATCAGGGCTCCCCAACCGGCCACGACAAAGACTGGCTGCATACAGGACGGTACATGCAAACTGTTTGTAGCCGGATGTGGTTCAATTCTTTGCCGGGCATCCGCATGACTCCTTGAGCCGTCTGGCACAGGACCAGGACTTTCACAAATCAAAAATGCATCGAACGAGGCATCGCGAAGAAATCGAGATCTGCAAGATCAAAGGCTACTCTTCACGTTCCGGGCGCCCCTGCCGCTGGTAAACAATTCCAAGGCTTCCCTCGCCGCGGACTTCGTGTTGTCCTGCAAAGGCTTGCGACGTGAGACGAAACTACCCCACATCCCCGAAACCTCCCTGCTAGGTCGTCCTTCAAGCGATCGTTGCCCTTCTTCTTAAAAGCTTCTGCCTTTTGGCCTCGAGAACTTTGAAGGAGCATTGACCGATCATCAACTAGCAGCATCTGCCTGAGAAAATACTGTGACGGGTAATCTGAGCAGGGCACAAAGCTCCAGTATCGCACTGGGGTCCTCTGCGGCAGTTTCGCTGTCCACCTTTCGGCGAGAGCAGCACTTAAAACCCCAACCCTTTTTGCCAACCCTCCCGGCCCCAGACCCTAAACCCCTAAACCCTAAACTCCTTTTTGCAGCAGGCCTCGTTGTCCAGCAGCCCGGTTACAGCATGAACCCCCCTTTCCCCCCGCTTCTTCAAAGCAAGGAGAGGAGTCGCCGAAACCCTAAACCCGAAGCCAACAGAAGAGCGCACAGGGGGTATCACGGATCCTTCTGACTTTGTCTGTAAAAATCTTTTTCCTGTAAGGTACTACAGGGTATGCTAACCTTTGCAAATACAATCCTTTAAAACGATAGGTTCCCACAGCGTCCTCCTCCCAACCCTAAACCTCTGCACCCTAAACTCGAAGCCCGACATCCGAAAAGCGCACTCCCTTCCTCCGTCTTCACTCTCTGCAGCTCGGCCATCGCACGATCGACCTGTGCCTGAGCCCAGTTGTGAAGTCATCACAAGGCCAAAAATCATTAGACTAGGGCTTTAGGAAATAATCAAAACAGGGTTTTGGGATGTAATAGCTGGAATAGGGTTGTGGGCTTGGGGTAGTATCGCATACTTCTAAAGAGGATCCAACCTTAAGGAATACTGTATGGGAATGTAGGCAATGACACAGGGCAGTCCGGCTGCTGCATCCGCACCCGCATCCTTCGCCTCTTGCAAGGCGGCGCGAATCTTCTCGGGATCTCCCGTCTCCTAGAGCTCTCTCTTTGGACGGTTTTTCTCCCTCTCGCATTGCTATGGCAGTCTTAGACGGTTTAGGGTCCAGGCTTTGGGCGTGGGGTTTTCGGGCTTTCCTCGCTCGTTGCCTCACAGCTGCCATAGGCTCTCGCGCATGCACCTAATTAAAAGCCTTGGCCGGACGCCGGCCAGCAGGCTCCTACGGAGCCGCCTCAGGTCCAGCCCGTGAAGGGCATTGTTTACGGGTAGACGCCTTCCGCTTCAAGCTGGATGATCCCCATGTCTGACATCACCATGCGCCCGTTTTGCCTCCTGGCAATCTTTTTGTGCACAAGGTGCTTGACAAAAGGCCCAGCTTCCTGCACGAAAACCTCAAACAGTCTCACTGGCGAGCGTTCCCGTTGGTGTTGAATCGTCTCGAGCACTGCTGGGCATCGTCCACTAAGGTACCGTTCGAACCCAGATCCAGAGCTCCACTTGGCCACCCCCGTGACCTTCCAGGTCGCCAGGTCGAACAGCTGGAGATGTCCCAGGCGAGGGTATTGCTGCGCTGAGGTGAAACACTTCCAAGAACGTCCTGACGCTTATGCACACCGCAACCTTTGACATCATGGAAAGGCGCATACTTCAGAGGATCCTCGGCGTTTTTTTTTTTTGGACGTCCCTTTTTCAAGTCTTTGCAGCTTGACGTCTATAACTCGAAAAAAGCGACCCAGGGATCGGTCCTGCGCCTTCGCAAGGCGCTCCCCAACCGTCCTGGGCTAGGGCTTAGGGTTTTTTTGGGCTTAGGGTTTAGAGTTCAAGGTTTTTTGCTTAGGGTTTCATGAAGGGAATGTCTAAACACAAAAGCAGCGAAGTTGCGGCGATTCACGGTGGCGCTGCAGAAATCTGCAGAAAAGCCGCTCATTGGAAGTCTATGGAATACTCATTTGGAAAAGCAGGAAGCACATCAACTCAGGATGTCTGACAACAACTGACAATGAAAATTCTATGGCGGGACGGTGTTTCCGTTTATTCAGGTGTCACGCAACACTGGATGAAACTGCATACCGCAAACCGAAAGTCGTCGCAAACTACCAATGCTGCCAAATGCGGTTGGCCACTAACTAGTGTCTAGACAGTCTAAACGCTTTGCACACTCATCACAATAAATGCAGCACCCCGTCCCAACTGAAATGCAGCATGCCACACTAAGTGAGAGAACCCGACTTCGCACAGGTCTTTTAGTCTTCCGTGTCGCTGAGGTCTACCTGGTTGTTTGCCAACATGATCAAGCGATTCGTCTTCGCCCTGGTGGCGGCATAGACCCCCAGCAGGGTGATGGCGATTACCGTAGCTGCCAGGCTGAAGCGCATCCCATACGGTCCGTGGGCGACCACACCGAGCCAAACCAGGTCCCCTGCCCACATCAAAGCTCCAACGATGAAACTCACTAAAGGCATCTCCACTGTTATGGGCATTCCGGCCACCCAGTCTCCCAGCTTCTCGTCTGGAACGAAGCCCACTTGCATTATGAGGATAGTCGTGAGGATCACGGCAATGACGTTGAAGGCCAGACCCATGCTGCAGAGAAACGGATGAATGGTGTCACAGAACTCCTTGCTCGGCATGATGGACAAAAGGAACTCCCCTTGACACTCGGCCACTTTGGAGTAGTCCAACATCGTCAAGAACAAGGCCCCTACCACACCGATGGTGGTCCAAGATGCCATCATCCGATCTCGGAAAGTCGCGGCATCCAGCGTCTTGCCCAGCATCGGCAACGTCTCCAGGAAAGGTGACTTGCAAAGCGCTTTGCAAAAGGCCCGCATGGCTGTCTATGGACCTAACTTAAAGAGGGGATGCACCCAGGCCCTAGGCTTGATCCAAGCAGCTCGCATCGCAGATGAACTGCAGAAAGCAACGCCTGCCCCCTGCACCCAAGGCCAGGTCTCATTTCGGCGAGAAATCTCGAGGACTCGAGGCCAGCCGATTGCTTTCTGCAGCCAAGCCACTCTGGCATGAAAGGTGCAACCTACCACTCACACGCAACAATCCACAACAACCCTAAGTGTTCGAAGGCAGATTGGGCATGCATGTAAGTCTTAGGCCTTTCCAACCGGGGACTGCCGACACGAAGGGAGAGGAAGACACTTCTTGAACCAAAACGGAGACTGCGGTCATCTCGGGTAAAAAAACTCCGTGAAGGACTTGCCTTGCCTCTCCGTGGGACAGGACATGAACGCCGTGTTCCTAACATGCCTCTGCCACCACAGGTACAAATTACAAGCTGCGGCATGAAAGACTTAGACCTACCTTTAACAGCTACGAACTTCAAGTCTGACAGCTACCAGCTACCACCGACTAGTTGACAGCATCAAACCACTTCTGGATCATCCTTGTTCGCGTCGTACTTCGCCATTTGGGCCTCAGGTGCAACAGTGTGCTTGCCGATCTAAACCCTAAACCCGAAACATCCCTAACCCTGCTATGCCGCTATGCCTTTGCCCTCAGCATCCGGCGACACCTGCCTCCACTTTCTTCTTGCTCTGAGACTTTCTCAGAGCCTTCTTGCCTCAGCGGATCTACCCCCGCAGGAAGCTCAAGAAAGCAAGTGTTGAGTCCCGAAGCCAGCCCTTGTCCACGTGCCAAGGCCCCCGGCACTCTTGGAGGCGCTTGAGCTTTTCCTGGAAGCCCTGGCACGGTATTTGCGCAGAGCATTGCAGAGAGGTGGCCAAAAACAACGACTGCATCGGCTTTCTTTCGCTTTATCCACTTCAAATGCCGGGCCGAATCTGCAGAGTTCATGCTGCGCTGCAGAAGAGGAGTGATCTTCACAGTGGGCTTACACCGAAAGCATGTCTTAGGACTGGCATGAAGGAGACGGCTAAGTTAGCAGCAAACTCGAAGATCGCAGAACCAGGATCTTCAGTCGGCAAGGTTCGACTCGTAGTTGGCGGGTTTCTTCTGTCCCCGACGGGAATCAACATTGCTTCGCTTCTCTTCGCTTCTCGCTGCACTGCGTTCTGGAGCCCGACCCAGCTGGGTCCGACGTACTCTCCCCTCCTGGACGTCTCCGCACATTTACTTTCCAAGTTTCCGCGCGTTACCCTGGTGCACACACTTGCGCCGCTCAGCCTCCGTGCACCAAGGACAGCAGCGGTCCGGAGCGTCTGCATACTCTTGGATCACAAGTCGCAGCCGCAGCGCGAAGAAGAAAAGCAGATCGTCCAGTCTCTGTGGCGCGTCTTGGTCTTGTGGCTCACGAGATCTCAGTAAGCAATGGAGGCATTCAGCGGTCGAGAGAAGCCCCTGCATGTCCGCCAGCTTCTCAGTGGCGGATCGCCAGAAGCAGGAGTGCGTCGAAGATTCCAGGCCCAGCTTCATGGCGGGGAGACCGCGAAGATTCAGCTCCCTGTCTTCCAAGACGGCCCTGCAGCTCGCAGGATGCTGGGGACAGCCCTGATCCCGAAAGCCAAAGGGCCTAGGATTGCTTGAAGATGTGGGACAGCCTACCCAATAAACAGCGGGCCTTGTAAAGTAAGGCCTCGAAGAGTAAACATGAGAGATACAACTTCAGAGCCCTCAGCCCTGTCCTGGCATGCTTCCAGCGGCTGTCTACCAAGACCAGACGCTGCACACCCTCCCAGGGCACGCTGTGGGCGTCCACCGCATCCTCGCTTGGGTAGACCAGCCAGGTCCCGGGTTTCAGAAGCTCGAGGTCCTCGAGGTCCAGGCTCGGCTTCCACTCCACAACGCGCACATCCTCGGAGAGGAGTGGAAGTGGCGTCGCAGAAGACTTGGCAGCCGGCTCCTTCGGGTGCCGCAGAATCAGCACTTGCAAGCCCAGGCGGAGGGGCTCCGGAAGCGGCACCACGCTTCGAACACATTCGGAGCAGTAGAGCCGCACCCACTTGGAGCAACCTGGACAAAGGCCCTTCCCCAAGAACTCCTCGAAGCTGCCGTCGATGCTGAATCTCAAATCCGATAGAAATCTCATAGCCGTCTGGACTGCCTCACATTTGGCCACCTGGACTGGTCCGGGGGCGGGCCCTTCAGCGAAATCAGCACCGGCATCCATTCGAAAAAAGCCAAACCATGCTCGAAACAAAATGGCGGCGGACTACAAAAAAGAGCGTGCACGAAGTCAAACTGCGGGTTGATGGAAAGTCGTGCGCAGTAGCCTCACCCATGGTCAGCACGGCTCCGCCCTCGACCAGGCAGGAAGCACAGGCCTTAACTCGCGGCGAGCATCAAGACAACTGCCTTTTGTAAGCTCGCTCCAAAAAAGAGGAGCTTCACGCTTGGACAGGTTGGACATGGCCATTTAAGGAACTTCCTGCCTCGACGGCCTCGTCTGCTTCTTTCAGAAGCCTGTCGGTCACCTCACAGCTCGGATGTCAAATCCCTCTCTTTCCTTTCTCGTTCGAAAAACATCGGAGAACAGCTCAATGCTCCCCCCAAAGCATCACGACACAATGGCATGTGCTCCCCTCAATGCTTTTCGTGGGCGGTCACACGACTCTAGCCCATCAGTCTGGCTTCTTGTGTGCCGCCTGTCGCCTGCACCGATTCATCAGCACACGTCCGAAGGCGCAGCAAAGCCTCCAGTTCACCCAATGTAAGAACAGACGCAGCGTGTTGACGGCCATAGAGGCCACAGGAAAATCCCGTTCGAAGATCCAAGTGTTGATGGCCCTGCCGGGCTTGCCCTTTTTTGGGCAAGGTCTGATCTCCATGAACTCGCAGAGCTCTTCCATCGTATTCCGACGGGGGTCCCACTCGAACAAACGGTCTTTGGGAACGGCCTGGCGAACTTTCTCGAAGAATTGATTGTAGTCCTCTTCGTTTTCAGGTATCCATGTCGTTGTAGGTGGGCTCCACGCCTCGTACTGCCTCCGATGGTTCCTCGGATTTCCAAAGCCCTGCACATCCCTGGTCTCGTCCACTAATTTCGGATCTGATTTCGCACTGGTCTCTCCAAGGTGCAAGGTTTGGTGGTAGAGCCACACCTGAGTGGGAGCAGCACTTGCTACCCATGCACATGCAGAAGCCCTCTGATGCCCTGTCAACTGCCACGTGCTGCCCCAGACTCCATTGGACCCGAGACCTGGTTGTGGTCTCAAAGTGCTCTGAGAAAGCAAAGGCCCCCCCTATGCCCGATTCCGCACCTCCGTAATGGGCGGCGCGCCCTGCCGGATGACGCGCTCCACGGGTCGGCCCAGCAACTGGTCCTGGGCCCCGGGTGCAAGGTTTTTTGCAGAAGGGGCTCCGAAGATAATGAGGGCAATCAAGGCTCCAAGGGCCGCAGTAGCCACATCCAAGGCAGCAAGCCGAGGGAGGCTCCGGCAAACCAGTTGTGAAAGCACATTACCTTAAGAGGAGAAGAGGGATCCAAGCACGAGGCCTAGGATTTGGCTGTCACAGTACCCCTACCGCAAATATAAGACCAGGTCGAAACGCCACGAGCTTGGGAATGAACTTGTCGAAAGATGCTTTCCAGGCGCTATAGCTTCGCCAGCTCAGTAGGACCACCTCAGGGTTTCGTGTCTCAGTCTCGCACACGGCAGGCAAGGCTCCACATGAGGTTTAGGGCCTTATGGGCTTTTGCAGAGCATACAGATCTGGCACAAGAAAGTAAGCTGCCGGAGGCTCTGCATGCTTCTCAGTATCTCTGAGGCTCACGACTTCGGCTACAGGTCGGTTCGGCGATGTTCTTTTCAATCGAAGCTTGGGAGTTTGGGAGGCTCACCGGCAAGCTCCCCAGAAAGGAAAAGACAGTAGTGAAGACAGCTAAGGAGAGCCTGCTCGTTTGGGTGAGTCGCCACGCGCCGCCTTACCAGCAGCCGAATTAGCAAAACAGCAAAACGCGTCTGGCACTGTTTCGTGCCAGTGCATCTAGCCGGGAATCGATCGTAGAGGCCTTTGGGGCCTCAGTCGACTTAAAGCTGAATTAAGGAAAAATTTGACTATAGCGCGATGATAGCCGCAATGGCCACAGCCGTCGCCCTTATCAGGCTGTATACAGCGGCTGTGCCCGAAAATTAATTCTCACTCCCCTCGACATGGTTTCTTTTTAAGGGTGCTTTTTAACGAAGTCGACGGAAGCAAGTGCGCAAAACCCTTCCTGCAAAAGCAATGCAGGCCTCAAGCCTTAGGCCTTGAGGCTGGAGAGAAGGCCTCCCTTCTCGCCGGCTGGAAGCTGGCTGAACAGCGACTGAATCTGGCTCTTGAGGAAGGCGGTTCGGATGGTCTCCGCCCTCGCCTCGATGTTCTGGGATTCCAGCCAGCTGACCATCTTCATGTCGCTGCTGAAGTCCACGTTGCTCTCCGCGGCCCACTTTTGGATCAGTGCCTCGCCGCCCTTGTGGCTAAAGGTCTGGTCCGCCTTCTGCAGCTGCTTGATCATGTGATCCTGCAAGACCCTCCTCTTCACACGCCAGAAGAAGTAACGGCGGGAGTCCTTCCAGGAAATGCTGTCGCGGATGACATTCTTGGCCTTCATTCGGCCAGCTCGGTCGTGGAGGTCCGCGAAGGTCGTTGCGACCGAGGTGTACAGCGGAAGCAGCTGCTTCTCACGCGCCTTAATCTCCTTCTCCACCTCGAGCTTCTGAGGGCCCTGGCTCCCTTCCAGCTTCGAGTCCAGCTCTTTGAGCTTTGCATCAATGCGATGCATGGCCTCGATCTGCTGCGGCGCGCGGTACTTGACCTCCACGATGCCAGGGGGCTCAAGGATTCCGCCGCGGGCATCCTCGTCCGCGTACATCTCCATCTTGTCTGGGTTGATGGCGGGGTCGATGACCACCCAGGCTCCACCCCGGAGCTCGCCGTGCTTGGGGATGTAAATGAAAATCGGGTGCTCGTAGTCCACCAAGGCATCCACGATCATCGCGCCGAACTTCAGGATCTCGTTGAACATGTCGCGGGTGCCGCCGGAGAAGCCTCGCCAGTTGGCGAAGATGATCGCCGGCAAATTCTCGCCACGATTGAAATCCCTGAGAGCCTGGGCTGTCTTGAAGGCGCTGTCGGGGAACCAGACCTTGCCGCCGTTCAGCTCCTTCACCTCAGCGCTGGCCGGGTTCGAGGGGTCGGCGGGCACCAGGCGCTCCACGCTCCGAGTCTCCACAGCGATGACGCCCATGGGCATGCCGCCCAGCCGAGCCCGGCCCACGATGACGGTCTTCCCCCAGCCCTCAAGATATTCGGTCCAGGAGCCCGCATCGAAGAAGCCGCGCTTCCGGTTCCCTTCGTAGTCGATGACGCCGCGGAGGAAGTCACGGGGGTCGTAGGGAAGCTGGGTCGGCTCGAACTCCACGTCTCGGTCCCAGGGGTCCGCCCCAGCGGGCTGACACACCGGTGGCAGGCGGGAGACGTCCTTGGGCACGTAGGAGAGCCAGTCCAAGATGGCGGACATGCCCTCCTGATCATCCCGGACCACCTGGTGCGTGACTCCGTTCGGGACCATGATCTGAGGTCCACCCAGCTGATCTTGAGAGGAGTAGACGTTCTTGCCCAGAAGCTTGTTCAGAGCAGAGTAGCCTGTGAGGATCATGGGGCTGCTGACCATCTGAATGTTTCGCTGGCCCAGGCGGTTCAAGTAAGCACCGATTCCCACGGAGCGACCGGTGATGTAGGACAGGGTGAAAGTCTCCTGGTAGGCACGGCTGGTCTCGCCGGCGATGAGGCCACTGCCCTGCAAATTCTCCACACCGATACCTCCTTGGGTGCTCTTTTGGCCCTCGCCGATAATGGCATCCAGTATGTAGCGCTCCTGGCCGCCTTCGGAAACTTTTCGAGCCTCGACGGTGCCGGGAGGCAGCTTCTCATAGTCCTCCTTGGTCAGGTAGAGGTACTCGAAGCCCTTGCTGCAGTCCTTCTCATCCCACCACTGGATCTTGTAGAGGGGCTTCAGCTCCTCAACGAGCCCCACGCGCGCCCCGCTGTTGCAGGACACGTAGACGCGAGGGAGTCCCAGCTTCCTGGCGAGCTCCGAAGCTTTCTGGAAGAACTGATCCTCCCGGACGCCGAAGGACCCGGCCTGGAAAGTCACATCGTTGGCAATCAAGATCACCACACGGCCCTCGGGGCACTCTGGCGTCTTCATGGTCAGCTTCCAAGCCAACATCCCCAGGTCGTTCGCGCCCTCGGGCCGCTCCGTCTCGACCAACTCCATCTTGGACCAGTCCATCACCAGCTCCACAGCGCTCAGCAGCTCCTTGGGCATACTCTCCGGAACCTTCGCTGGCACGGAGACGACCCCACCACGGCCCCGCGGCGACGGGCTGCGCCTCCGCGAGCCTCGGGTGGCCTCGCCGCGAGGCGACGTGTTGCTGTTCGTGGTGCCCGTGAAAGCAATCCACTTCATGGTCAGCGCGAGCTGGAGCATGCCGGGAAGGTCGTATGCGTAGGTGGAGCCTGCGCGGCGGGCAGCCACCCGCTTGGCCTGGTAGCGGCTCAGGGCCGCTGGGTCCGTGACGTGCGGGTGGTCCAAGGACGTCAAAGCGGCTGCGCCACCAGCGGCGGCCTCCCAGCGGAGAGGGAAGCCGGTGACAGGGTCCGGGAACTCCCTCAGCATCTTGGGCTTCAGGAAGCCTCCGTTGAGGGAGGACAGAGACAGGCGCAAAGTCTCTGTGGCGCCTCCGACGCGGCGGTGCACTTTCACCTCGATCTCGTCGATGCAGAGCTTGATGACCTCCGAACCTCGGTGCCCAACATGGCTGCTGATCGTGTCGGTGAAGCGCTGCTCAAGCTCTGCCAAGTCCATGTCGAGCTCGCTGACGAAATGCACGAAGATCCGGCTGGTAACTGAGGGCCCCAGCTTGGCCACGCGCGGATCCAACATGGCATGCTCCACTTCCTCGAATGCTACGTCCAAGCTGTCCGTCAGGCTCTGGCTGAAGGACTCCTTGCTCACGCCAGACAGGAAGAGAGCCCTCATCAAGAGCTCCGATGTCGATGTGGAGGCCTTGCCTCCCATCATGGGCGTGGCGAGGTAGATGTGGGAGGTGGGCCGCACCTCCTTGTGGATGCGCTGGAGCGTGTAGAGGCGCTGGAGCATGCTCAGCTCCAGCAGGCCGGTGAAGGAAGGCCAAAGGTCGCGGCCCATCTCATTCTCGGACCACTCCTCGGTGGTTGGGTCGATGCTGAACTTCACGAAGCGGGGGTGTCGTGGCGGCTGCGGCAGCGCCACGCAAATCTCTCCGACGCCGGCTGCTTTCAGGAGCTCCGCCTGCCTTGCGAAGATGCCCTTGCAGCGCTTCAGCACCTGCTGCAACTCGGAGTCGGTGTTGTAGAAGAGGGTGCGGTCAGCGATGCCTGGGAAGGCGTCACGTCCCACGACGATGTGGAGGAAGTTGATAGGAACCCCCTGCACACCGCTCTGCAGCTTGACCAAAGGAGCCAGCAGCTTCTCATCCAACTCCAGCCCGTTGAGGTCTGCCACGACGGCGAGAAGGCCATGGCGGTTGTGCTCCTGCTCCGCAGTCGGGAAGAACTGCGTCCACACCGCAGTCTTCGTGGGAAGCACCTCGACCTTGGTGAGGCGGCTTGGTGCTGCCAGCCAGGAAAGGTAGGCGTGCATGGCCCGCTCCTGGATCTTCGCATCTGAGTCGCTGAGCGCCTCCACCAGGAGCTCCATCTCCAGGCTGCCCTCCACGGCGCCGGGAAGCTCCTCTTTCATCGCCTTCACCGTGTCCTCCTTCAAAGCCGCAAGCTGCTCGCGGAACTGCTTGCTGCGCTCCTCGTAGGACTCCTGGGGAACGGTATCCAGCAGCTGCTGCGCCAAGTAACGGACGTTGCCGTAGTCTCCGGCCACAGCGGCGGAGCTGGGAAGCTGCGAAATCTCCACGATCTTCTCCTGCACAGCGCTGTCCATGTCATCCTCCAGGCGCAAATCGGGGACGTACATGCAGGACATGCCGGAGCCCTCGGCCGCCAGCATCTCGCGGATCAGCGCCATCACGGCGTTGGATCGCTCCGCGAGCTTGTTGTGTGCCGCCACCATGAAGAGGACCTTCTCCATGGAATCCTTGCCCTCGTTGATCAGGTCCAGCAAGAGCTTGTCGTACGGCTGCTTCTTCTCGATGGATGCGGCGAAGGGCCGCTCGTTGGAGAGGTACTTCTCCAGCACGCCGCGCACGGTTTCGGAGGCTGCCTCGCGATTGGCGAAGCTCGCGAACATCTGCTGCACGAGCTCAGGCCCCTTTTGCTCCGAGTGGTAGCCGTCCAAAAAAGCCTGCAAGTCCTCGCGAGGGGCGGACACATCCGGCTCGGGCTTGGCACTCATCTCGAAGTCTCCCTCGAAGAGGGCAATCTTCTTTACCTTCGAGGGGTCCTTCAGTTCCAGCTTTGCCAAGACCTCCCCGGCAGAGACGATGGCGCCTGGGCTCAGGGAATGGGAGATCTTGCCGGCCTCACCGGACTTCAGCGACATGATCATCTTCATCGCCTCCAGCTCGATGTAGGCCTCGCCCTTGCCGATCTCGGTGCCCTCGTCGTGGAGATAGCGCACCACCTTGCCATTCACGTCCGAGCGAAGCTCCGAGGGGTCGTAGACCGTCGGGACCATGATGGTCTGAGCGCCGATGATCAGACGAAGGCCAAGAGCCTCCTCCTGGCCTTTCACTTGCTGGCTGATGCTGCCGATGCTCACATAGAGGGATCCGTCCGGCTGCTCGCGCACCTTGGCCTTCAGCGTCTTGCTGTTGATGGTGAAGGCGTAAACATCTCTTCGCATCCTGGAGACCTGGAAGCAAAACTTCTTGCCGTCATAGGTGATCTCCACCGGGAAGTTCACAAGGGCATCCGTGTCGCTCTTGCCAAGCAAGACCAGCTGACCCTTCTGCATGGCCTCAAGCGCATCCTGTGTGCGGGACTTGACCATGCTGAAGGCGCGGTAGACTGCCGCATAGAAGACCACGTCCATGACGCCAGTACTTGGGGAGATTGCCTTGCTGGCGATCAGGCCATCGAGCCACATGGTGTCGATGGTGTTGTCCTTGTAGGCCTGCGTCTCGATCAAATCGACCAAGTAGTCGACCGGGTGGCGGATGTCTCCGGAGATGTCCAGGTTCATGAGCGCGAAGCGGAGACTCTTCCTCGCCGCCTCTCGGTTCGGACCCTTCGCGAAGATGTGACCGAACTGGGAATCCGCGAACTCGTGGATCCCGCCCTTCAAGCCGACGCTGAAGTAGCCCCAGCAGTCGCCCGCAGACTGGAAGCGAACACTGTTGATCTTGCCACTGGTGGGCTTGAACCCCTCGTCGGGGTTCTCGGCGGTGATGCGGGAGGCGCAGCAGTGCGAAGTGATCGGCGGGTAGTCCACGGCGAAGAAGTCGATCTTGGAGCAGACCGCTGGGTCCATGCCGTAGAACCTTCGGATGTCGGGGACGTTGTAGAGCGGGATGCCCATGGCAATCTGCAACTGAGTTGCGGGCATGTTCACTCCGGTGATAGCCTCGGTCACGGGATGCTCCACCTGGAGACGTGGGTTCAACTCCAGGAAGCAGAAGGTGTCAGTCTCCGGGCTGTAGAGATACTCCACAGTGCCGGCCCCGCGGTAGCTGACCAGCGCGGTTAAGCGCATGGCCGCCCGTTCCATCTCGTGGAAGACGTCCGGCTTCGCGATGGTCGGAGGGCCTTCCTCGAAGATCTTCTGGAAGCGTCGCTGAGTGGAGCAGTCGCGGCCGTTCAGCGCCAGGGTGTTGCCGTACTCGTCGCCCAAAATCTGGATCTCCAAGTGGCGTGCCTTCGAGACCATCCGCATCAGGAAGATGGGCGAGCCTGGCACCTCCGTGCTCACGTTCGTGAAGGCCACCTTCAGCTCCTCCATGTTCGTGGCTTTTCGGATACCTTTGCCACCACCACCCTCGGAGGCCTTCACCATGATGGGAAACCCAACCTTCTCGGCGCGCTCCACGGCTTCCTCGACCGTACGGACCATCGCCTTGTTGAAGACCTCGTCCGGCACGGTGCCCTCGTCCGTGAGGGTGCAGGTGAGGCCATCACCACTCCATGGGATGCTCGGAACCTTAGCGGTCTGCGCGAGGATGTTGGCCGCGATCTTATCTCCCAGGGCTGCCATCACTCCTGAGGGTGGTCCGATGAAGGTGATGCCAATCTCCTTGAGCTTGGCGGGGAGCTTTGGGTTCTCACTGGCGTGGCCCCAACCGGGCCAGACGGCATCCACCTGCTGCTCCTGTGCGATCCTGCAAATCAGGTCGACATTTGCATAGTTGTTGACGTTCTTCCCGGAGGGGACCTCGACAAAGGAGTCGGCAAGGCGGATGAACTCGGCATTCGCGTTCAGGTCGTCTGGCGTCGCCATGGCCACAAAAGTAATAAGCTGCTCTGACCCGAACTCGGTGAAGGTCCACCTCCTCATGGACAAAATCGCCTTGACCGCTGCCATACCATTGTTCGAGATGAGGATTTTGCGGATCACCCGCTTGCCCTCTCTCTCCTTGACGTAGGTAGCCAAAGGATTCAGGTCCATGGCGGCTCCGGGAGCTCTGCAAAAAAAGAACACGCAACAGTCTGGGAGAATGTCTCGAGCCAAACGGCTCCAGTTTGTTTCGGGATGAGGGTTCCCACAGACCGACCCCGGAACCTTTCAAAGAGCTGGGGTTTCGACTCTTACACTAGGACTACCCAGGCGAGCCTGTAAAGCCAGGGTCGTTTGGGTCGTGTAGGCGAACAAGACAGAGGGTTTAGAAGTAAGGGCCGAACAATATTAAGAAGCATTTCGTTGCAAACAACTGCCTTTGCATCACTGCTGCTTTCCCAGATCGTGTCAATCAGCACCTCGCCAGACAGGTGGGAGAAATTGGGAGAACTGCTGCGGAGCCCTTTCCTCGAAGATTCCCTGTGACCGTCTCGCCGGCGGGCCTCGAGGCCATCGAAGGCAATGGCCTCCATGCGGCAGCTCGAAATCCTTTGCAAGCCAAAGGCCCATGTCACTGTGCGTCGTCCGTGACACCGGCAGGCTGTGCTGAATCGTTGTTGGCCTAGGGTCTTGCGCATCAGCTGTGCTGTCAAATCTTTGTCTGACTTCATGGCCCAGGCGAGCTCGGCTGCAGCAACCCTGAGATGCTCAACCAGGAACTGCCGCAAACTCAAAGCTGCAACACTTGCCAACCTGCAGCTTTACCGGGGCCTAGAAACGACGAGTACTGCGACTTCTGCGCCCGCACCTGTCCATGCCCACTGTGCACAGCTGAAGCGAAAGCCTAGCGGCAAGTGCACATTTCTCCCAAGGCCTCGCTCACGAAGTCCCACCAGGGCAGGAAGTGGAAATCCTGCGCAGAGCTTTGGATCCCAGAAGCGGTTGACGGTCCTCAGCATGCCGTTAACGGCGTCCTCGCTGTGATAAGCATTGACGCCGATCTCGTTCAATGCATGGCAAATGGTGCGAGTGCCGCACTTGGCGAGCCCTGCCACCAAGACTTTCACGCCGGACTGGTTTCCTGCTTTTGATGGGTCAGAGAAGCACGACAGATTGAAGTGCGCACTTCGACAAAGGCTCTGGGCCGTGTCCTGGCAGCGGCTCGTGCGCACAGCCAGGAGGCTGCTCAATCAGGAAATGCCATACATCCAGCCCTTTCACGACGCCAGACACGAAAACGAAGAGCACCTGCTCATCACTGCAGGTGCTAGTGTCTTCTTGCGGAGACGCCTCCTGCAAGAACTCCTATTTAGACATTACTGCAGGACAAGAGACCAGCGACACAGCGAGGCCACAAGCTCGAAAGCAAGACATGGCTACGAAAGGAGCCTATGTCGCGTGGGTGTCACGTGTGTCTTGCTGGATTCCGGGTCGGTCAAGGCTTCTGCTTCTGTCTCTGTCAAAGCACAAGCTGATGCAAGACCGGACCGGTTAGTGGTTGTTGTTCAGCTAAGTTCTCAGATGCGGCTCTGAGGCTTATGCTTCGCTCCAAGCTTTGGAGGTGTTGAATCTTGACAAACAGCTGCAGAAAACCAGCCAAGAAGATGTCACGACCAAGCAAGACTTCGGGGACTCTCGGTTGACAGCCTTCGCTTCGATCTTCTTCAAAGCCGCCTGCAGGCTTCAATCAGTCCTCACCCTGTGCAGCTCCGCTAGCCTGTTGAAGTCCCACCTCGGCTGTGGTGAGCCGGCCGTCCAACTCCTGCAACAGGCAATCAGCTTCGGAGAGCGTGCAGCATGCAGCCACGCACACTCTCTAGCAATCTGCACCCATGGTTCAGGTAAGCACCAGCCTCCAGCATTGGTGCCGCCTTGACCTTACAAACGCGCACGCCACATGGAAGCCAGCACTGAATCTGGCACTATTCTCAGCACTGGTATTTCCAACGGCCGCTGTGGGCTCTCAGAACGGCGGGCAGCTTGCTGTGATGCTGCTAGCAACATGCAAGTCTGACGAATAGAAGCCAGAATGTCTGCCTTCGCTTCCTTCTGCTGCGCCACTCTGGACCTCGCCTGGCGATTTAGGACTTCAGCACAAGATGCATCGTCGCATCGCGCGATTCTGATTGCATCTTGCTTGCAGCCGCCTGCTCCAGCGCCCTGTCACACTCCTCGCATTCCACAGCAATGAAACCACACACACACACACACACACACACACACACACACACACGTGTTCGGTGCACTTGCAAAATGAAAGCCTCTCCTCTTTCACCTTAGCTTTCTCGTCACCGCAGGCCTCCAGCTCCTGCCAGTGGCCCCACGGACCCAGGAGCCAACTAACAGCAGACACAGAGGCGGACACTTCTTTTCTTCCAAGGCAGGGTGGTGTCCTTGTCCAGCACAGCTGTCAGTTCTTCCTCCAGGGACTCCAAGGTCTCGATCCTGACGCTTAGGCCAAGAGTTAGGGAGCACACTTTCGGTGACACTCCAAGGCTACCTAAGGCAGAACCCACGAGCTGGGTGGCGCACTTTACTGTCGCCAGCTTCTGCGCGACGAGGCGGATTTGCTTGGCCGCTCTGGTGACCTGGCCGCTTCGACTCTGGTGCGAATGCTTAGGATGCAGGGTTGAGACGCTTTTTTGCAGATGGGTTCGGAAACTCGCAAGGGTTTGGGATAGGAAACTTCGCCGTTTACATGGGCTCAGGGTGTTTGTTTAACGACCCCTTTCCATGGTTCTAAACAGAAGCGATGTATAAGCGCACCTCAGACTACTGTGACGATGGGTTAGCTCCGACTCGCACACTCAAAGCAGTCATGGACTCAGGGCGATGGGCATCAGCTTGGGCTGGCTTCGGCTTCTAGAGGTCCGGGACCGGCTCTGCAAAGTCCACAGCTGTCCAGAAAGCGACAGAAGTTACTAAGACGTCCGCCTCTGCCTGGATCTTTGCCGCGGCCTCTGCGCATGCCGAGTGTTTTGTTCGTTCGGAGCATGTCCTCCCTGGTCGTGGACGTCAGGACAGCCGCTGCCAACAACGGCCAATGCCTCCTTCTTTAGACGGCGATCCTCATCGGAGGCTTTCCTCGTGATGACATCTACTCTCCGCAGCACTCCCACAAGAATCTCCAACTGAAAACGCATGTGCCTGTCCACACTGATCGTGAAGTTGGTGTCGACCGGGCCGTCGTAGGGGACTTTCCACCCCCCGAGCGGCGCTGTACCCAGCATTCGGCCTTGGCTGACTGCAAAAAACGCAACAAACCGCCATCAACTCTTACACCACATCCCTTCTGCTGGCATCCTCTACGTAGTAAACCCCAATACCCCAAACTCCAAACACCCATGGCAGATGTCCGAATCTTCGAGGCCGGGCCCCGGGCCTGGATTGTAAGCCCAGACCTCCTCGGCACCCACGCGAGGGCCGAACCTCAGAGCCGCCGTTTGCCACCGGAGGGGGGGAGGGGGAGGGGGTTTTGGAGTGTAGATTATCCTGTAGATGCTAGCATCTAGTACAGGAAGAGCTTGAATTCTGTGTTGCAGTAGTACTGTATTACAGTGTATACGTACATGCACATGTAGATATACATATACATACATATATGTATATATATATATATATAAAGTCACGCGCTCCGCAGCCCCCCCCCCCCTCCCCCCCCAAAGGTCAATGGTCCGGATATAGGGTGGGGCCCCCCCTCCCCTATGGTGTGGGGTGTGGAGTTCCTGTGGTTGTGGGGTTTGGGGGTTTAGGGTTTTGCTTAATTAAGCTTTTGAGTTTTGGGTTTACGGTTACAAGGTATAAGGCTTCGAGTCGACAAGGGCTTAGGGAAGATTTGCGGTGTATGCTCTGCTTTAGGCTTAGAGCCTGCAGTTAGGTGGGGTTTAGGGTTGGGTGTAGCGTTTTAAGTACAAGTTAAGGTTGCTCAAAACAGGGGCACGCGCTGCGTTATAGGGTTTACGGCTTGCTTGCGAAGGGCTTGCACGTGAGCCCTGGCCGCCAGCACCACCCCACCATCCAGTGGCAGCTCCCACGACCGCCAACCCCCTTTCCGCACACACCAGGCCCCCCACCCCTATCAGACACCATTGGGGGGGGGGGGGGGGGCTGGGAACGCCAGACGCCTGACCATCCATATATATATATATATATATATGTATGTATGTATAGCATAGTGTGTTACACTGTATATTAATACGTATTCGCATGAAAGCCGATTGAAAGAAGCCTTCAACAGAAGGAGCTCAGCTGGGCTTCCTGCCACCAGCCGCAGAAGGTCGGGTTCTGCTTGTCGTCCCAGAAGTAGATGTGCACATCCACTCCGTCTTTGGTCTGAATGCAAGACTGAGACTTTCTATGGGACACTTAGATTGTCAGCCCGACTTGCGACACGAGAACGTCCGATCCCGGTTCTGTCTGATCGCATGTGAACCCCAGCCTGCTCCGTCTTTTTGTAAACGGGCTTGCCTCATCAAAGCTCTGACAATCTCTGCCGTCACAAGATGGGATCGATCGTCTCAGCCCTTCTGAGGCCGAAGGCCATGATTCTCAGCGGTTCGAACGTAGCTGCCGTTCACGATGTTGCCGACAACTGCATGACTACAGCCACTGACCTCGAGCCGCCAGGATAGTAAAAGGACGGAACGATAGAAACATCTTCTGCTCTGTTCCTTATGGTATGCTGTGTTAAATCAAACTATATGGCAAGGTATGCTGCACTAAATCAAACTATATGGCAATAAATGAATGATGATCATACGGCCGGGGCACCACAATGCATGTGTCCCCACCAACTTCTTTGGGTGGCGGTGCTGCCGGAAGGGCGCGGGCTGCAGGCCTGAGTGCGTCCAAGCTGCTTTGCTTGCACGAGCCCTTGAGTACCAGGTTTCCCCTGCAACGATTCCTTTTCTCCGCGATCCAGCTCTGCCAGAGCAGGGCAACAGAGGTGAAGGAAGCACCTCCTCGGCGGCAGGTAAGCTCCATGCCACCCATGCACTCAACCGGTTCGCTATCGCCAAGGCTCCAAAGGAGCTGCTGCAGAACGCCGTCGTCGGCCTCCCCTTGCAAGGATATGAGGCTCTCTGCCAGGCACCTACCGAGCTGAGCGCAAAGAACAGCGGGCTTAACAGGCTGCACAAAGCCTGACCACATAGAAGTCTTAGACACTGCGGGCCAACCACAGTCACTACCAACACTACGTAACACTAGTTGCTTCCAAGGCGCTCCAGCTCCTCCTCGCTCGGCCACTCGATCGCGTGAAGGATGCGGGACACCTTCCACAACACGGCACCCGACACCCAGCGGCCGAAGACAACGCTGCCTTCTCGCCGAACTCCCGGTCGCTGGCATCTGGGCGAAGCCCACCTCTGCAGAAGCACAAAGAGACCTCTCCGAGCCATACAAAAGCGTGCCATGAAAAGAAATCACCTCCTGCCACCAGGCGCTCGTGCTCGGGGGTTTCCTTAGCAGGGACGGGTAAGGCCCCTGGCCCGACCCCCGCCCGGTATCTTTCTTCCGATCACCTCTGCGCCTCGTTTGAAGTTTCCCTTCCGTGCGGGATGCACTACTAATTCCCTAATGCACTACGCCGACACCCCAGCCCAACTCATCGGTGCCTCACATGAGGTGGGACGCAAATTGTTGCACATGTGCTTCGACGTTGCGGTCACAGCAACTGAGTAGCTCCTTGCAGTGGGCCTTCCTGGAGTGCTAGGCCGAAAAGCTCAAAGCCGTCGCCGTAAGCGAAACAGCGAAACTGTCGTGGTGTTGAAAGGCACAATGACGCTGGCCCTGGAATTCCTGCTTGCTTGCCTTCCTTGCTTCCTTTGGGGAAGAAGCATTAGTATGTGCCCTCGGTTGTCGCTCACCCCACGACGACACTTCCGTTCTTCCAGCGGCTTACCCTGCTATGCAGCTTTGTGCTGCTACTCGCACCCACGGTGTAAGCCTGCAAGGACCCCCTTCTACAAAGCGAAGTAACACCAAAACAAAGGTTTGAAGAAACCCCTGCAAAACTCTGGCTGTTCCGTGGTGCGTCTTGCAGTGCACCCTCCGGGTGTACTTCTTGCTCTGAGCTTGCGTGCTCTCCCTTCTTTTGCAGCAGTCAAAGGACGCGCGCAGCTTGGCACCCACCGAAACCACATCTCACTGTCTCCCTCTCTCTCTTGGTCGAGTCTCTGCGGATTCCGCACGCCGCCGGATGCGGCAGACCAACTCATCCAGATCGTCGCACCTTCCGCCCAAAGCAGGAAGTCGTCAGCCGATTTGAAGCATGCTCTTGACACAGAAGCGTCGGCAAGCTTGCTGGTCTAATCTTCCAGCACTGGCAGATTCTGGTAGAATGGAGCCTGGATCCTAGTATGGCGACCCCTGCACTGCGTCTGTGCCTGATGGCAACGCAGATCAGCCTCGCGGGCTCGTAGGCTTCGCAGTAAGCCTTTCCTTGCCATTCACGCTGGCACCATGAAATAAGCTGTTTGCAAGGAACATGGTGCAAGCGTGGCCAGCTACCACTTACCGAACAAGTGGGGGCTTCTCACAAGAGCCTTGCCAACCTGTGAAGCCCCGCATTAGGACAGAATAGAGGTTTCGAGCCGGCGTCGCGCTGACTGAGCGCCGTTGGTCGAGTCGAGGAGGATTGAAGATGGCAGCTGCCCCTGTCAGATTCACCGAACATCGCTTTCCTTGCTGCGACCGTCACAGCTTGTCTATCTGACTTTCTTCCTCTATGCATCCTCAACGTCACAAGTATGGCGTTTTTGGCTGAACTTCCGAGCCTGATGTCCACGGGCAGCATGCAAAGAGTCCAAGAGACGCTGGTGGGTCCTCTCGTCGGAAGCGTGTGGTCCTCGTCTCTTGCTGTTTTATCTTCTGGCGCTCCTGCGCTTCGCTTCCGCAAAGCCAACCTCCGATCGCAGGCGCTCCTCCGGCCGAGCCCAGCGAGCAAACAGAGCAAAAGAGCCGAGGGCGCCAGCGGGGGCGCCAGAAGGACTCCGAGCCTCGAAGAAGGCGAGGTCGCGCTCGAAGACCGTGCAAGCCGCCGTGGCGGCCAGCTGCCTCGCAGCCGGACACTTTCGGCTCGGAGCTCTCCCGACCGCCCTGCGCCGCCTCGCTATCCAGGACTTCCCGACTCCCGGCGGACCCACCGGCAAGATCAGCGTTGCGGGGCGCCGCACCAGAAGGAAATACCTCGGAAAGACACGACTAGAGATCTACTCCAGAATACTATTTGTAGAGGGGATGTTGAAATCACATCACGTACGAATCGAGACATGAGCAGATCGCTCTCTGTAGCCCACATATAGCTCAAGATTGTTATCGCCATCGGATCGCGACGACAAGAACTCCGTGCCCGCAAGGAGGTCGAAGGACCGAAACTTCCGGATCTCCTTGGCTCGGGCTGACCTTTCCCTGCCCGAAGACCCTGAGACTCGTCCTCCAACACGAAAATCCTAAAAAACTGAAATACCATAGTATTACTATGACACCATAACACTATAGTACTCATTCTTGTAACTTGTAATACTGTAACCTTGATACCCCCACATCTACACCCCTTTTCAAGTTGCAGCCTGCTGTCAAATGCGCCAGGCCCAGAGCAAAGCTCCGTCCACTCAGCTGGGAGGGGCAGATGGCTACCTCAAATCACCATGGACTCATATGGGAGTTTCCGAAAACTAGGGGTACTTTATTTTGGGGTCCTTATAACATAAGGATCCTGCTATTTAGGGTGCCCTCTTTTCGGAAACTCCCTGGATCCAACTCAGGGGTCGGGTTCTTTTTAAGCCGCACGTGTCCATCCAGACCGAGTCGCAGGAGTTGTAGGCCACTGCATAGACGTCACGCCGCCCTCAGAATAATCCGAATCATGACAGAACACACAAAGTTGCCAACACCGCAACCTCAACGACTTACCTCCCCAAAAGTCCCGGCAAGCTGCTCTTCAGCGCCGGGATGACGCCCTCCGCTAGGCCGTGGCGGCTATTGGTCACGTGAACGAGCAGTGGACCTCAGAGGGCGAGAAGCTGCTCAGCTACTCCTTGGAACTTCGCCCGCCGAACCCAAAAAACAAGTGGCAGAGAAGGCATGTCTGTTTCCGAAAGGCCTTCTCCTTCAGGGATCTTCGCCAGCACACCGCCGAAGTCGTACTTCTCGCAGCGTCCGAGAATCCAGCCAGGAGCCGAATTCATGGCCACGCTAGCTTCTGCATCTGCAAGGGTGACCGGGCAATGCGTGTGCGCATAGACGCGATTGAAGCCTCGAGTAGCTCACACGAATTCTCCGCTGATTCGCGTGGACTTATGTCCGCAAGGACCCGGGACGCCTCAAGCCTCAGGCGCTGGCCAAAGCGGTGCTGCAGCGCCAAGCCGATGAAGCCGCTGTTTCGCCCAAACATGCAGAGGGTCTTCGCTTGACCCGTCTGCACAAGTTCCTCCACCCAGCCACAGAGCACCTGGATCATGGCCTCTTCCGCCTTGCCGTTCACCTCCGAGAAGGAATCGGGAGAAAGCCGGTAAGGGAGATACTGCCCAGGGAGGCCCACCGGCGCATCCTCGATCACCTGAAAGACAAAAGGCCAAGCCCACGTCCTTTCGACAGCCACGCCAGCCCCATGCAGCCCAGGTGCGAAGGGATCCCCATAGAGAGCCTGTTTGAGAGTTCGGACACATGTCCCTCTGCTTCGTTCGAGCAAGTCTTCGGCAATCTGCGTCGCCCCTGCCTTGAACATGGGGTATCGAGGATGCCAAGGGCTTTTCGGCGGCTTCTCGTCTGAACCAGCTGGGGCCACCTGGCAGGCGAGAGGCGCAGTTTGCAAAGGGAATAAGCTTCGGAAAGCCAGCCGGCCTGGTACGTCACAGATTGCACTGCTGGCACAATGGCCCGGAGATCCGCAGCAAAGCTGGCACCCCGGCCCTTCAGCCAGCTGTCCACGGCTTCCTCACCACGGAGGACCAGCCTGGGTGCCATCGAGTCGAGGCGGGAAAGCCTGGCCTTTCCTTCCGAGTCCGAGTCGCTTCACGCCGAGCCGGCCGCTGCGGGTCAGCTTCAACGCCGCCTCTACGAAGAACTCGGAGTCGGAGTCCCTTTTCGCGAGCTCCTCTCAAAATCTCTTGAGGAGACCCCTTGCCGCTCTTCCAAATTCGCTGCTGCTCCTGCAGCTTCCCCGCCAGCTCGTTCAGCTCTCCAGCGCAGCTCTCCTCCAGATTCTGTGGCCAGCAGCTGGGCGCATGCGCTTTTGGGCTCCGTCCTGTTCGCCAACGAACTGCTTTCCCAGCGAGAAGGAGGCTTTGTTTCGATAGCCGGAGCTGTTCGTGGCCGTGTGCAACTCTGGTCGTCCATCATGCAGCTCGTGCATCAGACGCACATAGAGCCTGGGAGGCAGGGCACGAGTAGCACTACCGCCGTGCTGCTGCGGAGTGGACATGCACTCTCCAGCTCAGTCCAGGCGCGAAGATACTCCTGAACTGCCACCTGCCTCGCCTTCCTCTTCTTGCCTCGAATCGAAGCGCAAACACAGTGCATCACGAAAGCCCAAGCTACACAAGTATCTCTGCCGAGCTACCCTTTGTGAGGCCGACCGGACTCACCATAGCTAGAGTTGCTTGCCGGCCGTGCGTAGTAGAATCTCGGGGCCAAGAATCTCAAAAACTCTATGCTCGATGAGATTTGGAGAACGGATGAGATTTGGAGATGTCAAGTCGAAGCGTATCATCCCTGGCCTTCCGCCGTCGAAGCGCAGGCCACGGGCCTCCTGCGGTCCAGCACGAAGAAGATCGCAAACTATGGGCAGGCGCTGCGGAATGTAGCGCTCGCTGCAGATCGCCTCGAGCGTACTTGCAACGGTCGCCGGCTAATCTCGACAGGGATGCCGGGCCACGATGTGGTAAGTGGTTTCTGCCACGATCTGCTACGTAACACGTCGCACGAGCTTTTGCTGCTGAGGCACGGAATTGACGAAGTAGGTCGAAGCATTTGCCCGTACGCCATAGCCTTCGTGAATGTGGCCGAAGGCGTGCAAGACTGGCTTCTGCTTCAGAACTGCCTGGAAGAGTCACCAGCCACGGCAGAGACAACAGAAAGCTTCCAGCGTGCGAGACGATGCTCGCGCCTTCAGAAGTGCCTTACTTCCAGCAAAGGCCGCCCTCCCATCTTGCCTGGGCCCGGGCTCCGAGTGAGCTGCGTAAGTACGTTCCGCCGCGTGCAGCCCCGTCGCTCATGTTCGCTGCTCAGGTCACAGATGCCATAAGCCTCGGATGCAGCAGAGGCCTGTGAGTGCGGACCTCAGGAAGCTGCTGGCTGCTGGCAAACAGCTGGCCCATGTGTCACCAGAATATCGATGCTCTCGACAGGGGTGCTCTTGCAGCAATCTCCTATCCGGCCGAACAATCGAAACATGTTGGCGAGTGGAGTTCAGCAACTCCCTTGCATGACCTGCCGTCGGCCATCCAGCGCCGGCCTCCACCAAAGGACAATGCAGGGGCCGGGGGGAAACTGGTCTGGAGCAGGCACAAAGAAATCGGCCTCAACGGCCGCCTGTGCCTTGGCCTGGCCAAGGCGAAAGGTCTCTGAGACTCTGAGCATACTTGGTATGTGGGATGACCGAGTCCAGCCTCCTGCTCGAAGGATCGCCCAAAGGCAGCCATCGAATGATCCGAGAAGAAAGGGCCTGAAGTCTTTGCCACAGAGCCTCTGCCCCTCCCTGGCCCTGCCATGCCCTGCCTTGACTTGGACTCCCGAAGATCCGGATTGGAGAGAACTCCTCTCCGATCCTCGGCTGCAATCGCCGACCATTGCCAATTCCAAACCGCTTCCAGCCTCCCGGGTCTGCTGCCGCGGGTCCGTAGCTCGAGGAGCTCATCCTCCAGGTAGTGTAATCCTTACCAGGAGAAGCTGCGGGAGGCATCTCATGTGCAGAACGCCTTCACCCTTCCATCGAGAGTCCTGCACGCCCTGCTATGATTTCTTTGATCTGGGCAGGGTTGATGGGTTCCAGCGAGTCTTTGTGGTAGACGTGGCCCTTCGAGTTGTAGTAGCCGTGATCAAAAGTGATCTCGTGATTTCCGGCCACCACCACCTTCGCCGTGTACGGAAGCGAGTCCAACCAGGCAGCGAAGTCTTCGACTTCCTCCCGCAGCCCGCTTTTGGTGAAGTCTCCACAGACCAGCAGGAGGTCTCCGGGAGGCATGGAAAGCTGTCGATGCCGGCAGTGCGTGTCTGCCACCATGACGATGCGCAGAGTCCCAGGAGGCTGTTCAGAGATCGTAGCAGGTGCCAGGCCCTTGAGACCTTCCCAAGCTCCGACGGCACGCGCAGTGACATCCAGAACACCGGCCTCCAAGGCATCAGCAGCTCCAACGACCAAAACGTTCTTGTTGGTGACGCTTCGTGGGATGCAGCACAGATGGGCCCATCCACCCCGCTGCCGCACCCAGCAGCATCTATCGGAGTTGAGCAGGCGCATTGCCTGAGCCGACTCTTTCTCCACCGGGGCATCGGCTAGCCTGCAAAGCTCAAAAAAGTCCTCTCGCCCACGTATCAAGGCACTGCCAGCTCGAGGGTAGCTCAGCTCGAAATCATCGCAGCGCTTGGGAATCTTCCCGAAGCAGCAGGTCAAGAGCACGAACTCTGCCCTCGAGGCGAAGCAGTGAAGCAACACTGCATCCACAAGGGGTCCACAAGCATGGAGCCCAACAGCCAGTTCGAAGGGTTCCTGAAAGTGCCGAAGGTCTGTGCAGACGAAGTTGACCCTCGCGGCTTCCGGGCAAACCTTTGCTAGAGCTGCACTACGCTTGCGGCCTTGCTCGCAGTAGGCTGCCTCCAGCTCCAACACCACGATCTCCGGAATTCGTCCCATCTCGCTTCGTCCCAGCAGCCAGGCCAAGGCCAAGGCGAAATCCCCCCGGCCTCCGCCGAAGTCCACGATGCGGCGAATCGGGCGCTTTGCCACCCGGAGCCGCTCCAGCACTTGCTTCGCCAGGTAGGCGATTTGCTGCCGCTTCTCCCGGAGCTTCCGAAGCTCGCGACCAAGCAGGGAACTCTGGCGAAGGGCAAAGTACCGCCGTGCCGGTAGGCAGTTCAGCTCGGGCACCACAGCGCGTGGCGCAGAGAGCCAGTCGACCTCCAAGGCTTCCACCTCCGGGACGGGCAAGGCCAAGAGAGCGTACTTCTGCAGCAGCACCTGCCGAAAGAAGCCCAAAGCCGGGCATTCAGAATCAAGGCCCTTGGCTATTAAAGCCGCGCCTGCTCTCTAGACTTCTTCTGCAACTGTCGTCCCTGCCGCTTTTCCTCGCGGAAGCCTTGCCGGACCTGCAGGGAGTCGAAGAGCACCACGTTAGACTCGCATTCCCATCCCAACAAGTTCTGAAATCACAGCCTTGCCTACCCCAAGTCACGTCCTGCAAGCTGACACAAGCCTTGTTCGTGAAGCGTTTCGCTGCTCTTTGCATCTCCTCCTTGTCCTCAAACTCACGAATGCAGTCCCAAAGTCCTTGGAGCAGAGATCCGGGCACTGAGCAGAGTGTTACCGGGAGGCTGGGTTGCAAGCCCTCGGGGAGCCGGGCATCCATGTCATTTGCAGCCAGCCTGAAGTCCGACTCTCGAGATGCGCGGCACTGCTCCGCACTGCTCCAGCTTGCGCAGGCACTTTGTCTCGGGCTCCGGCTTCCCATCCCAGAAGCGGTCAATCAGCTTGGCAATGGTGCCTCGGAACAAGCGGGGCCCCTTGCAGCGGGTGAGCCTCTATCGGCTCTGTCCTTGATTCCTTGATGCTGCCCAAAAGACTTTGCTTCGTAGCAGAAATCCGCGTGAGCGAGGAAGTTCCCCCCGCGTAGCCAGACATGACCTGCCAGCGGTCAGAAGCGACGTTCTTCAGCATGGCCGCTCTAGGAGCAAAGAGGCACACACCTCCGGAAGCTCTCTCCATTCAGGCAATGGATGAGGCTACGCTTGCGTCAGCCCATGCGGGCGCGATTACAAACAATGTCTGTGCTCTCCTCCCTTCAATGTTCAATGCTAACTAAGCGCACGGTGCACCCAGCTGTGATGATGTCTCTGAAATCACCTATTGTCCTTGAATCAATAGCAGAGCTAGCATTGAGCTGGTCAAACACGCGCCGGGTCGAGGCCGCCGAGTCATCTGCAGCACTAGGAGCTCCAAAGAACAAGGGACCCCCAACAAAGAAGCTAAAACATGCTTTACAGATATTGTCCTGAACCGGAACCCGCAGTTTTCCGAACCCAGCAAAATCGCTGCCTAAATCCTAAACCCTTTTGCTGCAGGCTTGCTTGCAAGGACGCCTGGTAGTTTGCCGCTCTTCCGCCAGTTAAATCCTAAACCCTAAATCCGCAACTGCGTGCGGCTGCAACGCTGGGATCTCGGCGCCGGAGGCGCCTGGCCATTTCGGGGTTGCAGCGCGTTCACGGCCAAGGTCGGATCCACCTGAAGGAGGTTGACAAACTATGATGAGATGAAGCTTGCGACTTTATCATAATTGTTGTCTTTATCCGTGCTTTCCTATTCGTATTACTGTTGCAATGCTGTTTGCGATTTCTATGACTATTCCGATTTCCATGCCCCGACCATTAGTAGTTCTATTCGCAGTTCTATTACGCTTCTCCTGTCTCAATATGATTGTTACTACGTGTGCTTCTTATGGTTCGTCATCATGATTCTCCGGCTACTACAAGTACGAGTATCAAACATCGCATCAAGGTATTGTTCTTGCTATCACTACATCTATGATTCTGACGAATGTGCACAGCAACATGTCGACCAAGAGCAAGACCTGGCCCTCGAAAGGTACTTTCCAGCCGCTCCTTCCGAGGAGTCGCAATCTCTTGCAGGAAAAACGCGACGTTCCGCTGCATTTCTTTTTCTCAACAGCCTTCGCCTTCTAGGCCTAGCACTGCTGGATGTCTTGAAGCATGCTACAAACGATGCCTATGTACAAGATGGCCATCTAACAGTTGCCGGCTAGATAATTATGGCGCTGCCTGGGCCACATCCGATGCTACAGTTGAATCCGTCGCAGCGGTCGATCGCATCGCCATGGCCTCTCCAAAGAGCTTCGAGCGCTTCGGACTCAGTGAATCCAGAGCTCGTCGAAGAGGTAAAGAAGATCCCCTTCTCGGAGATGTGATGGTTGTAACATGCAGCGGAATACGAAAACGAGGCATGTGGCATGGCTTTTGCCAGCTCGTCAAGCCCAGATCGAGTCTGAGCCGCAAACTTCTCCGTGTAGGCGATTTCGGTCGGCGTGAAGGTAGGCTGATCTTGGATCCCGCTGTAGCCGTGAACGAGGTGTGAGAGCTGCCACGAATCAAATTGGGAGGCGACCAACAGGTACGGGGTCCTCTCAAAACGGACAGGGAAGAGAGGCAACTTGTAACAGCGAGCACCCAACCGACAAGATGGAGGATGTCCTCACGAAGGCCATGCGGTACTGCCCGAACAAGCATTTCCACGCCTCTTCTGACCTGAACCTGTGTCACACCCTGGCCACTAGCGGACACGGAATACTTAGCCGAAGATCAATTGCTGAACAAGCCAAGCCGCTGTGCATGGCATGGCTGCGAGACAACTGACCAGGCATTGAAATTGGTCAGCACATCACGGGTCTGATGCTGGAATCCTGAGAAATTGGCAGCAAACGATGGGATGTCCTTGGCCGGCCGACGCATGTGCAAAGCAAGCATGCGTCTGTTGTCTGCGTGCGGGTGTCCGCCAATTAAAATGAGCGAAGCATCTACCCAGTACGGAGAATCCAGAAATCCATGTACTTGAATCCCAGGAAGCATGTGCGTGACTTCATCTAGAAGCACCATCGCACCTCTGGAACCTGCCGATCCTCCTCCGAAGATCAGCCTTTCCATGACATGGAAGCTTCACTTGCAACCACATGCAGGGAGCGCGCCCTCGAAGACTACTCAAGAAAGCTCCACTGCCTGCTGCCTGGACGAAGACCTCTGTTGCGAAGGTCCTCCAACAGTGCAAAGCTTGCCCAGGGATGTAGTTTTGCTGCTCACAAGCGATCCTTCAGAACAGCACGAACAACACGTGCACCGCGGAATTGCCAAGGGCCGAAAGCTCCATCACCTTCGAAGAGCGGCTGCAAACTACGATGCGACGAATGCGGGAAGTCAAAATGAGTTTCAAGACTCTAAGCTACAGTAAATAGCCTACACCCCTTGACCACAATCACGCAAATCCATCTCGTCGAGCCAGGCGTCCCATGTATGCATCCGACGTGCAGTACGGGACCTTGCGGAAACTGAGAGGCCAAGAGCGAACTGCCGGAGGCAGAACGCAACACGTTGGACCGATGCCGCCGGGTCGCATAGACCTTACTGGCCTGCTGCAGTGGCGAGCCGCTGCGATCAAATACGCCAGTCCTTGGCTTCTTGGAGCTCCAGAAACTTGCACGTTCTCCGTGGCATACCATGATCATGACGGTTCATGCGGTTCGGTCTGGCGCCCAGCGATGCACATTTTGCCGCAAGAAGCCGTTTTGGCTCGAGAAGTCCCCACACAAACAACAAGGACCGGCTGCACAGGTCCCCATAGGTCCCAAGTTGGCCCCAAGAGATCACATGTGTGCGATCATGTCCGTTAACCGCCCCATAGAAAAGCCGAAGATGGTCCTCAGCACGTCCTCAGAAAACCGGACAGAGCCGCTGCGAAGGGCTTTCCTCGGTTCTCCCTAAGAGATTGCATGGTAAATACTACAATAAGGATCTATAGTCTATGGTAGACAATACGCTTTCCCTTGCTATGGCAACTGGACTTGAATTCAGAACCCAGTGTCTGTAGAGTGAGTAGCAAAAGCTTGGAAGGCCGCGCCGCCAAGTCGATCGACCACAAACCGCCCTCACACAGCGGGGTGCCGGTGCCAGCAACAGCTGAAGATCCCATGCGCTCGCCGCCAAGAACCAGGAGGACATTCCCGGCACCGCCTGCGGTTGGGCAAGTGATCAATGTTATAAGGTATGCCAACACAACTGGCGAGCGTTGCTAAGGCTGCTTCTGACACTTCTCAGTCGCTCTGCCTTCGTGGAAGGAAGCAGCGAAATTGCCAGCCCAAGCCGGGGGCATCTCTACAGGTACCCGTCGCCAGCGTCGTCTCTGCAGGCTCAAGGCCCACAAGGAAAGGTCGCCAGGATGGTCCTCCTCTCCCAGGCTCTTATAGTAGATCGGGCAACGGTTTATGGGGGACTACATGGGACTACTAGAAGGGTCTATCGTACGGATCCATTCCCCCCGACCACGAGTCCTTCGGCGGCTTCCCTCGGCCGAGCACCAAAATCCCATCGCCCGAAGCCAAAAAGGGCCGGCAAGGGGCGATCTGGTAGGGCACCGCCTTCTGTTTCTTCCCAACCCACAATGAGGGGCCTTGGATCTTCACTTCGGACCAGTGAGGTGTGCTCGCGTCCAGCTTCAAAGTCCAGACATCTCGCAAGAGTTTGTATCGATTGCTGCCCCCATGAAGCACTAGCACACGGTTGGAGATGGCACAGGCATGCTGTCCGCGTTCAGGTGGCCGGGCTCCGCGAGTGTGCACGATGAGCCAAGAGCCACAGTTCAGTCCGCACTTGATAAGGGTATCGTAAAACTCGTACTTTCCTTGGACGCACTTTTGGCCTCCGAAGAGATACGCCTCGTCTGTGGCGATATCGTACGCTAAGGAGTGGTATGCACCGAGTACAGGGACACAGTCCATGCCCACGCGGGGTTGGAAGAACTGGCCGTTTTGAGGGCAGAAATACCACACATCGTTCATGTTTGTTTCTTTGTCGAAGCCTCCACACAGTAACAACAAGTTCTCTCTCGTGCCAGGCTGTGGAGGATATTGCGCAGGCACAACGACGGAGGAATGGCCCCACCTCCAGCTTGGGGCAGACTCCGACGGCTTAGGAGTCATGTCACTCCAGCAGCGTCTGTGCAGGTCGAAGAGCAAGAGCGAAATCTGAGGGCTCGCAGCATCCGGCCGAGCACCGCCGATGCACCAGAGCCGGGCATCATGGCTCACAACACAATGCCCCTGTATCCCTTTCGGTGCACCGACAGCTTCTGCAGGATCTGCGGGCAGGTGTCGCCAGTCATCCACACGAAAGTCGGTGAAACTCTCCTCCTGAACGCACTTGCCCTTGCCACTCTTGCCTTTGCCTCCACCCTTTGCTTTGGCTTTGGCCTTCGCCTGCGCCTGTGCTGCTCGCAAGTTTGGCCTCAATAGCGCACGAAGGAAGGGCGAAGGAGGCAGGTCGAGCGGGGGGCCGTGACCCATGACTCGGCTGGCAAAGCCGCCGTTCTCATGACTCAAGACTCTGCTGGGCTGGTGGCCACTCTGTGAGCCAAGCAGGCAAATATCAAAACACGGGATGATGTATGCAATTGCACCGGCTCGGAACGCTAATTGGACAAAGCTGCTTCCCACAAGTTTCCGGGAAGTCCTGGCGAAGCTGCACCCGACTTAAGAAGTTTGCGATCCATACTGACGCGGCAAAGCCAGGTCCTTGTTCGACATGAAGCAAGGGGAGCTCAGCGTGGAGGTGTTGCAGCTCTGGTGAGGGAAGGCAGTCCCTGCCTGAGAAGGACAATCCCATCCCACCTTTGGAGACGGCTCTTTCCCTATCCCTATTTCCCTAACGGCCCTTTCAACACCTCCCCCAGCCACTGAATTGGGGAGGATTCCTTGCGAATGTTTTTATATCTTCCCTTGCCTGATCGTACGGCGTCCCTGCAGCCTAAACGCCTAAACAACATGCCTTCTTGCGACATACATCTAGGCGTTTGCCACTTGACATCCACTTGACGCTCCGACAGATGGTGCCGTAGCGTCTTCCTTTGCGTCCGACTGGGAACACCCCATAGCCAACAAGGCCATCTTCGAATGCTCAACCCTCGCGCCTCGCGAGCAGCGCAGCTTTCAAGGTCGTGGCACCAGCCGCCGCCAGCCAAATAGACGAGCCAGTCTCTGCTTGAGGTCTTCACCTTATCTTACAACCCCTATGCCCTATGCATCAACATTGACAGCTTATGGGAATGCCGAGAGTCCTCCAAGTAGTAGGAGGCTTCGCTGCCATCGTTGCAAACGGCCAACTGATCTACCTGCCAGCCACGCTTGCAAAGCCTAGGATTCCGATTCCGGCGCCCGATCGCCCCTCCCCCTCCTTGCCGAGTTTGACCTGCGCAAGCACCGTGGTCGCCCCCGCATCGTTGCAGCTCCAGGCCTAGCGGTGGTGGCCCCTGACTACAACTCTGGCTCGCTTCTACTTCCCACTTGCCACCGGAAGGCGTTCGCTCCAAGGATGACTGCAAAAAAATGCCTTGGGGCCACAGATGGGTGCAGTACTCTGGAGCATGCGCATGGACGTCTCAACTACCTGCCAGATCACGGTAGTCTACCTCCAAGGTCTCTTTGGAGCATTCCTCAGCCGCAGCCAGTCTGCATTCTCTCGTCGCACTCCCACCCCTCCAAACTGAGTGGAGCTGGCTCCCTCCAAGGTTCTGAGCATCCAATCTAGCCAGAATCGGCCAGAGCTGCCGAAGCAACTCCGCAAAAAAAGCGAGTGAGGAGAAGCTCAGGGCCGCAAGGACACAGCAGCCCACATCGACAAGCAGCATTACCAAAGGGCCAAGGACCTATCACTTCTTGCTGTGGGTGTTCTGCTAGGAAATTCTATTTACACGGAAGACTCGCCTGGCGATCTTTGGTCAACCTTAATTACTTTAGTCATTGGTTGATGGGCTGTTGGCCATTGAAGCCAGTGAGTAGTGACGAGCCGGACACTGACAGGCATGCAGTCATCAGCTCAAGGCTACGGCTGCGGTGCCTCAGAAGCTGCGAAAGCCACTCTGCACACATCCAATTGACAGAGCCACTTTTCCATTGCCCACATGGCTTCTGAGTTGTGCGTATCAAGACATAAGGATCAGGGGAAGCACCAAGAAGAAAGCTGCTGCTGCCAGGTGAACGAAGGCCTTTCCCACTTTGTAGGGGAAGAAGACGGTGCTGATGATGGCACTGGTGATCGCCAGCGACATGCAAGCGCTGACAACAAACCTTGGAACAGTCCCGGGAGTGTCCGTCATGCTTCGCGAGATGGGCAGCATGTGCATTATAGCCTCGGAGAAGGAGATGTGAATGCCGGCGGTCATCACAGAGAGCACCACAAGTCGGAACGACCAGGAGCCCAGGCCAACATCAACGCTGGAAGACTTCCGCAGCTTTGAGAAACAGGAATCTAGAGTTTGGTGTCCTTCATACAGGCGAAAGATCTCCGGGGTGGCAACTCCCGTACAGCAGCCAGCCACGAAGTTGCAGCTGAAGCACAGACGGCTTTGAGGACACACCTGATCCTCCTGGGCTAAGCCGACTCGCGACTTCCGAGCTTCCTGCACAACCAGCCTCTTGTGCTCTCCTTCCTCATAGACTTGCGGCACAAGCCTGTATGGAAGGAGGGTGGCAGAACCATCACCAGCATCATCTGCTGCTTGCAATGCCAGCACGGTTGCCCGACCGGTGGCAGCCATCTCGAAGGTAACACGCAAGTCACCCAGCATAGGTTCTGATGCTATTTTCTCCGCTGCAAAGTCACCGCCTGCCCGCCAATAGTAGCGTCCATCCGAATGAAGGAGAAATCTCTCCTTGCCACTGTGCGTGAAAACTTCCGAACCCAGCAGCGGCGAAGCAGACTTGAATGAGGAGCATTGGTCTAGCAGCCCACGAGGCAAGACAAATCCCATACCGAACTTGACTGACGTGGAATTGGTGATAGTTGTCCCACTTGCCAGGGGTAGCGGCGGTGTCTTCTTCGAGGGGTCTCGCCGAGAGAGCGAAAAGCTCTGCGGATCCTCTGACCACTGTTGCTGCAACTGGGAGTTTCGACCGTCAACCCATTGGTAGACTTGAACCTGTGTTCGAAGACGGCCGCAGCCTGTACTAAGCTTTTGACACGCAAAGCGTGGATCTTGAATCGGCAATTCCGGCTTCAGATCGCCAGACAAGTGCACAAGGCAGCCAGAATTTTCTGGAGCTGCCTTCGCATCCTGAATACTTCTGCACATGCTACGGCCAATTGACATCAAGCACTCCAACCGCGCAAGCTGCCGTTCGAAGTACCACGAAGCAGTCACTGCTACCAAGGTGAGCAAGATGCCCAAGCAGAACTTGCCCGTGTTCTTCACCCACAAAATGCCGTGTTCTTGTGCATCAGAGTCTTCCTCGCTTGAAACATTCGCCTTGACTCTTTCAACTTCACGTGTCAAGGCGACTTCTGGACTATGTCCAGGTTTCACCAAGCTTAGACTGTGTGTTGAAAGGCAGGTGAAAGCAACAAGAAGAGCCTTCCTGATCATACCCATTTGAGAGAGGCTCCGTGCCACATGCACGTTCACAGCTGTATGGTGGTGTAGTCGTCAAGTCCAAGCACCACGCAGGTCCTTTGCTTATGGAGGTTCGATCTCGGGAGGATTGGAAGGTGAACCACCTCCTTCACTGTCACTTGAGCCGAATAGATGGCTGGCAGTCCAAACGCGCAGTCTCAAGTCTGCATCTCTGCATGCTCTCCATTCACACCATGGTACATGTGTACTGCCACGTGAGCCCTTCGTGGCACAATTCAGTCCTCGGTGGCGTCTGACTGTCGGCGCCGGGGCGAAACGACCAGACCATGTCCCCGCCGACAGAGGCACCAAACCACCTGGGAGGCATCAACAAGGCGACAAGAGGTGGGTGAACCGTGCTGAGCGGCAGACCATCCGCACATATTGGGGCCATCTCGGCTATCCCAGAAGTAAATCTGGACCTCCTGGCGGTTTGCCACAATGACAACTAACCAAGGCAATGCCCTGAGGCCGTCAGTCCTGCCCGGCTCCCAGCTTTTTATACACGGGTCCTTGGCTTTCTCAACGCCATGGGCCATGATTGGTTCGAAGTGTGTTCGAACAGTGAATAATGACGGCCTTTTGGTGCTTTGCTCCAACCTCGGACTAATAAGTACCCGCAAGTGGGCCCTGATTTTGCGGCTGCGCGACTGCCGTGATTCGATCCGGACCGGAAGTACTCCCCGCCTGAGGCGGCAGCGGCGTTTTTCAGACGCCAGCATCACAAGACTGCCACATGTCTGCGATCCCCGCGGATGATCGATCCAACGGTCTCATGCCAGCATCCTGACACGGCCTGACAGCAGAGGATGGAGGAGATCTCACGGGAGCTGTTGGAGCATCGAGTGCCAGGCGAGCTCCGCAGACTGGCCCTTGGCTTTGCCGCCGTCCTTCCCGAGACCCTCCTTGCCCATAGATGGGCCCTTCAGGCCGAAGCCCTGCAACAAGGCAGGGCGAAGCTTCGAGGCATTCAAAGCACTTGACCCAAAGGGGGGAGCCTTGCCGGCCTTTCCGTCACCAAAAGGACTCTTGGCTTTGCCCTGACGAGCTCTGAAGCATCACGGCGTCATGCACAGACTGGCACAAGGCCTTCATGGACATCTGCCCCATCTGCCACGCGTCCGGCTCGCCCTTGCCTCCTGACCTGAGGCTCGGAAGGATGCAGATGCAACCACTCCAAGTCTTCCTGGGCAGGCAGCTTCCCATAGCCCTTCGTGGGGAAGCCGCCAGGGCTACCAGGGTAGCCCTTGGCATCTTTGCCTCCAGCGATCACACTTCTGGATGCTCCCCTGGGGCTCAAATTTATCTCTCCCCGAGCCTTTCTTCCCTCCCTTGGCAAAGCCCTTCATGGCTGCTAGGTGGCGTGGGTTGAAGACTTATAGACTGTTAACTGAAGTAGGAGTAAACCGACAAGGCGAATCCGCGGGCTGAAAGCGCAAGTTAATGAGATGTGGTGCGTCGGAAATACTATGTCACGTCGAGGTCTGAACATGCAACTCCTCGTAGTTGGTGTGCTTGCTTACATGTCATACCCCTCATTTCCTGTGTTGGAGCCAAGGCGAGTGACGCCGATGCCATGAGCTCTGCAGAACCAGACTTCCCGTGACTCCTTCGGTAACCAACAGTACCCGGAACTGTCGTAACCTGGTCTCTGGACACCTCGAGGACCTGGTCTCTGGCCACGCCCAACCTCTCGCAGTGCGGGCAGAAAAATGGATGCCTGTTCTACCCTGGCTCTGGCATGCTCTGACATGCTCTGGCTGCCCGGCCGACGGAATTCGGCCAAGTCCCCACTGCCGCCGAAGTCCTGCACAGGGTCGCAGAACCTCGGAAGAATCCGATTGCAAGAAGGAGAACTCGGCTCGTCGTTACCTGTCGCTGCCTCAACCAATCGTCGGTTGGTCAGCAAGCCGAGCCTCCCCCAAATTAGTTACTTCATAGCTCACGGCGGTCCCCCAATACGCTCACCGCAGCTGCCCGAGGTTGTCCACCTGACTGACAGGCAAAAGCTTTTTCCAAGTCCTGTTGCCCAAAGCACACCCGACGCTTCAAATCCCCACCTGCTTGCTTACTTGGGCCCCCCCTGCTTATGCATATACTCCCTTGATCGATGCCTGCCGAGTTCGCGAGCAACCGTCGGGCCTTGTCATGCTTTGATGGCAGTCAAAGCTCAGGAAGCTATGTTGCGTTTACTGGGGCAGCTGCTGTGCGCACTGCCCGAAGCTGCAAGGTTACCGGCACTGACGAGCCAGGCCTAAGACAGCTCGTGCTATGTCTATGACGATCACGACTATTCTGCCTTCGCTCGCTTGCCTCGATTCGATGGGTGCAAATTTCGCTTGTGCCAGGTCCGACTTTGGGATCTTTCGTCTGGCTACTTGAAATATCCGTGCCCTGTTGGGGAGCACGGGCAGACTGGCGACAGAGCTGCTGACACATCTCCGCGAGCAGCGATGATATGCACGGCTCGCAGGGCGGAGATCGGCAAGTCATCAAGCCTCAGCGATGCGGGGCGACGCCTTCACGAAAGAGTTGAAGCACCCCGCGATCGCTCACGTCCTCACTCCGAGTGATGGGCGGCGGGTGCTCACAAGTGGACCTCAGATGCATCTTCACCAGACCGAACCAACGCGGAAAGCTTGCAAGATGCTGTGCTGAGCCTAAGTAGGCTTGTGAGGCGAAGTTATTTATGCAGCGTAGGTACCAGCTGTTTCCTGGCAAGCAGCAATCAAACAGCTACACCCTGTACGACCCTAGACCAGCCGAGCGAATGTCAGTGCATCACTTACTGTTGTTCTTTCCTGGCATGCTTGGCCATACACGGGTGCGGCTCTTCCGGCTGAGAGGTGTCCGATTCCTCGATAGCACTGATCGAGTGTGCCTGCCGCAGCCGTGGCTCCGTTTGGCTTGACAGGATCGATAAACGTTCTGCTGATTCAAGCAGAAGCCCCACTGTCGCCCTGCCTTGTATGAAGAGTCGTCCTCGGAGCTGCGGCGGCTCAAGGCACAGAAATCCTCTGAGGATGGAGACCTTCCAAGAGGCTCATATTGCAACAAAACAGGCCCAGCGAACCCTGGCAGCCTCCAGGTGCTGAAAGCATCGCGGGGTTGTGGCATCGGCTTTGGCCTGATATCAACACAAGCTCTACGCTCTGCCATGAACTTGAAGCATGCACCCTCCAAGTCCCTCAGCTTCCGTAACCCAGAAGAGGCTCGACCGAACAAACACGCGACAAACACAGAGGCTGCAGAGCTTCATCCCTGTTACCTGCGTGCCTGGTGATTTGAGCTGGAATGGCAACGTCAGCCACAACACCTGGGCTTCGGCACCGCTTTTGCCGTCACGGCTACGGCTGGTGTAGGAGTACTCAAGACCACCGCACTTCGAAGCAAAACAAGCCTTGCTCACATGCGGCCAATCTTTCGCGTTCAGCGGATGTCTGAGCCATCCCATTTCAGATGCTTCATCCTTCGTGAGTCTACGACTCTGCACGCTAAGCCTTTTCAGGATTCTCGGCTGCATTCTTCTCCTGCGCAAACACTATTTCTCGCACTCCCGAGCTCGCAGCGACCCCAAGCCACAACGACTTAACGAAACACACTCACGACCTCGGGACAATCAATCTGATGTGGGGTTAGGAACGTAGCAAGATACAGTACCGTCCTTCTTCTCCTTCTTCTCTTTTTTGTCCTTCTTCACGCCCAGTTTCAGATGCTTCTTCTCAAGGACGCGTTTGAGCTTGGTGGCGACATTGAAGGCACCCTTCTCTTTCAGCGTGCTGTACTTCTTCAGGAGCTTCCTGCTTGCAAGAATGGGCTGCCCGCGTGGACGATGCTGCATAAACAGCGATACAAGTAGCCGGGGCGCTTGTGCTCTTCGAGTGGCTTCACGCCGTGCTCCACACCTGGAGATCTTCTCCAACTACTCGGACATGGAATGCAACATGAACAAACACCTCGCTTCTGAGAGACCGGCAAAAGCGAACTGCTATTGCACTGTCGGGCTTCTCCTCCAGCAGCGACTCGTAGAATGCACGAGTAGGATCTGCCACTGGCGGAGTCAGCTGCTTCCTTGCCGAGAATCCGTGAAAAAACATGAGAATTTCAGCTTAGAGACTTTAGAGACTTTAGAGACTTTAGCAGGCTCTTCATTGCTGCTGGAGGCTCTGGCCCTCCTTGAAGAGCTTGCGATGGTCATGGAGCCTCTTCTTCTTGTTGGGGCTCGCCTCAGGAACAGCGTGGGTAACCCAGGGGAAAGGGGACGTGTGGCTGTTCCGAGGCCTTGCCTCCATGCCAAACCCCGGCGGCAAAAGGCGAGTTTTGGGCTGGCCCCTCTTGAGCCAAGATGAGCACCGGCAAGTGAACCAACAATCGAACCGGAAGCCTGTGGCGGTGAGGCTTGCCATCGATTCTGCGGCTGCAAACAATGCTCTGCAACGAGCAACAAGCGTCTCAATGCGGTCTGTGAGTCTATGCGGAAGCTTCGCCTGTCTCCTGAGCTTGAGGCGGTCGCTCAGATCCTCGCTTCCGGCATCAAGCTCTGCATGCTCCGCATGCTCCGCTTCGACCTCCCTCTCCGAAGCTTGCGCGGGCTCCTCCGCCTTTGCAGAGATCACGCGCGCAGTGCTCTCTGAGACTCTGTCAGAGACGCCGTTCGCGCCTCCACATCACGAGCACAGGGACCGAGGAGCTGGCAGTAGCAATGCAAGAATCAAAGAGACCCAGAAATTGTGGACTGGGGCAGGCCTCAAGTGCCCCAGCCACAGCATTCGCGGAAGCCTCCTTCAACAATTTTGCAAATTATTACAAGTTCCGGCTGCTGAACGTTTGCAACTCTTGGCGGTGATGTGTTCTTGGCAATTGGCTCCGACGCAGCAGCCTGCGCATGCACACTTCTGAAGGGCACCTTCGATCTTGAGATCGCTTGCTTCGTCCCTGCAAGGCTTGAGGTCACGGGGGTTGGCACTTTCCCTCAGGGTCCTCTCCGATGCGTCGGAGTGCCACTTTGGCCAACGCACCTAGTGGTGCACAAGGCGCAGGACAGCATCTGGAAAAAGCCAAGTCCTTAAGCAACAAGGTCGCAGACTGCGAAACACCGGCATTTTACTCACCCTCGCTTCCCTGCTCTTTGGGTCAGAGAGGCAACATCTCTAACTGGAGGCACGGTTCAAAGAGTCTAAACGGCAGTTTCGGTTCAGGATTGTCCTTTGAAGGTTCTCGAGGTTGTCCAGCTGCACAGGGACACCTTCTCTAGAGAAGCTGCCACTCCTCAGCTTCGTCACCTTCATTCTCCCCTCCAGGCTCTGTTTTCAGCTCCGTGATGGGGGCGGAGACCTTGAAGTCTGGGCGGGTGGCAAACCAGGTCGTTGCCGCCACAAAGCCACACTCTTGTGCTCCCCGGCTCAGGTCGTAATCTGGCTGGAAGCTGCACTCGTAGAGGAAGCCGTTGAAATGCAGTACATAGAGCCGCGGCTCTGTCTTGTGGAATGCCAGGATGGGGCCTACAATCTTGGACTGCTTGCTGCGGGTGTCAACTGCTGGCTGGCCACCATCCATGTCAGGCAAACGGAACTGCCCAAAGCTCCTCAAATCAGCGAGGTAAGTCAGGCCTCGCACCGCTTCAGCGGCCTTCGACTGCAAGGTCTGCAAAGCAGAGATCGTGCCGGAGAGACTGGGCCGCGGTCTTAGATCTTGGGGGCCCAGGGCGGGAGACGAGTTCTCTTTGTCCTTCTCCCCCCTGTCGGTGTCTACCTCTGCCGTGGAGCTGTCCAGCTTGAAGATATGCACAGTAGCAGAGGACGACCTCAAGCCGCAAGGGCCCACAGGCATTTCTCGAAGTTTCAGGAAGAGACCTGACCGATGTTCTGTAGAGTTAAACGAATGGACTGAGGCAAGCGGCGCCATAGCAAGGAAGTTGTCATCCGAGCGGAACGCAAGACTTGAAATCACTGCAGAACGTGTACTTCTGCGCAACCTGCAGCGAAGCGAGATCAGAACAAGATTTGATCTGACTTGAAGTAACATGCTCGCTTCGCCGCCAACACCAACTCAGACCCGCCCTGTGAATTGGACTCCGCTTCCGCGCTTCTGGATGGCCTGTAGAGTGCTTGACCGTCGGACGTGCGGAAGACCTTTGCGACCTGAGCTGGTCCACGAATCAGATCTTGTGCGGCACAGGAGTCCCTCGACGACTCTGATCTTTTCGAGGGACGGTGCCCGATTCTGATGCTGTAGCCAACAGCGAGCCAGACGCATTCAAGGCCAAAGCTGCCAAGCCCGACTGGTGCGCCTTCAGGAAGTGGGATGAACAGGCCCTATAGATGCCCAACCCAGAGCAGCCTGGAAGACGTGAGTGGCGCCAGCATCCTGGCCCACTTGGATGCGGACGGCACCCTTGTTCCTCAGAGGGACAAGCATGGGCCGGTCTCGCTAGCGCACCGATGCACCGACGCCGAGGCAACCTCTGCAGGCCTAGTTGCTGAGCAGGGCAGCAAAGAAGCCAGGGATCGCTGGAGACGGCGACCACACAAAGGCCCAGCTTGTTGGAGCCTGTGTCCTCCGCACACGCGACGCCGCTGAAGGTCTGCACTCGACCATTGCATGATACCCTGAAGTTGAAATCTTCCGGCTTGAATCTGGCTTAAGGTGTAGGGATAAGGTTAAACCGTTAAACCCACCTGAAGTGGAAAGCATGCAAGCTGCATGGAATTCTTACTGGGTTTGGGATGGGTTTGGGGTACACCGTCCAGATGAAGAATGACTTTCAAGTGCTCACCCGAGGTGTAAACGTAGATCACGTATTCGCACACCATGACAATGACCTGACATCGAAAGGCGAACCGTCGCAGATCCACCAAGAATCCTACACATTCCAAGCACTCTGAGGTGCAAACACTGCAGAGACGTGCCAAGGCGCAGAGTTGTGGAGACAGACGCCTTTCACCTCGTTACGGCAACGGAGCTCCGCTACGACCTTCTGCTTGCGCTCATCCCAGATCTGAACCTGGCAGACCCACCGATCCGGCCCACAGCCACAGGCTCCCAAGTTACCGGCACAGGCCAAGCCCGCCTTGTTCATGCAGCCCGGAGCCGGCTCGCCCTGCGGCTCGAGGGTTTGGTTGACCATGGCAAAGTTGGCGCTCTTGAAAAGCATAGAGATCAGCATCACCGAGCTGTGTCGAAATCCAGGTGAATGTTCTCGTCTGAGCTTCTCAGAGATCGCAGAGGACTTGGCATTGTCTTCCAGCGCAAAGACCCGGAATCCCGCGGTGGTGCCACAGACGAAGCAGGAGAAGTCCTGATTGAAGGAGTACGTCAACAAGTAGACGTTCTCACGGGAACCTGCATCAGCTTCAAGTTCCCTTGCATACACCAATGCACCTAATGGGATGACATGGCTCAACAGCCATGTCCAGCTGATGCCTGCGAGGCCCACAGCAGCTTTTGCTGCTGCTTCCTCGGCCATAGCCTCGCCACAGGAGTGTTGACACAGGGCGCGAAAGCCTTGCTTACGGCTTCCCTATTCCTAACACAACCGTCATGCACTGGCTACCTCACCGACGGGCGAACCCCCTGGAAGCAACTCCTCCTGCCTCTGCGAAAAGGCTATGGCACGGACTTTGTACAGACGGACTTCTACTCACTTCCCGTGACACTCTCTGACTCTACCTGAACTGCAAGGCCTTTTGGGTCATAGCGCCCCTAAAACTGCTGATTGTCACTACAGCGAATTCAACCATGAATGGATCCTGTTCTGCTCTGGGCAACGATGTGCGTGTGTGTACAAGCAGTCGAAGCCTCCCCTCCCCGGCTCTAATCAAGCGTTCGAACCAGAACGGATGAAGACTTTCCAAATGGCTCCGAAAGCACTGCGAAGCTTCCAGGGCTCGCAGAAAACAACTGTGAAACATGAAGCCATATATCTTGAGTCTGCCAAGCCAGCAAAGGACGGTGCGTGTGCGCCAGCGCTGGTGTTCCAAGAGGGGCACCAAAGCCTGCAACGTGCCAGTCTATCAAATCCCTTTTGGGTCATCAGGTACAGCGACAAGTTCGCTGTTGGAGTCACGTTCGATGTAAACGCGACAGCGCAGGCAAGCGGACTCGTGTGTCACATTATGTCACAACCCAGATGATCGATACTTGCAGCGACGGCTATCAAACGAATTCGAAGTTCGTTCCCTGGCTGTGGGGTGATAGGTCTTGCGGCACCATGAGGGAAGTTGACAGGCCTGCACCGTCTGGAAGCAGAAATCGAAGTCCGCCTGCTCAGGTGCAAGTTCAACACACACACACTCATCAAACACCACGTCTCTGCAGGTGCAACGAAGGATACGTTATGGATTCAGTGGGACATAATGCATACGGGTCCTTATGACAAGCCTTATGACTATAACATGCTGTAGCAAACAGTTCTCCGGAATATTATCGATACTCTACTATAACCTGCTATCATCTACTAGCATCTCATATCTTCTATGACCTGGTAGTGAAACCTAGTTCATGCCATCATGGTATACGATGAGTAACTACTCTCTACTATATACTGTAAACCATATACTACATACCACCTACTACGTCGTACATACTGTATATTACATACTATACAGTATATATACCATGTACTGTATACTATACACTATGTACTAATATACCATATTCTGTGTACTAATATACTATAGACTATAATGCCATGGCCCTCTTGGCCTCGCCTCGCTCTGCTGCGCAAGGGATGCTATGGCTGCCCGGCGATCACGCCAGGGACCTGCGAGCACAGCATAGCATAGTCGAGCGTCTTATGGTAGGTTGCGGCATATTGCAGCATGTTACAATGCAGTATGACATGTTATACTGTATTATTGCATGTGATGGTGAAAGGACAAACCGAAGTGCCGGCAAAGAAAAGACCGAACGGAAAAGAGACCAGTTCCAGGAAGCGGCGGCAAGCACCTCCAGTCAGCACTGATGGCTCAGCTTGAGCTGCGGCCATTTCGAGGAATCACATCCTGGCTGCTTCCATCTTCCTCACATGAACATGATCTGGCACTGAGAAAGGTTCCTCCACTGGCCTCCCACGACGGCCCCATCAGCTCAAGGCTCAAGCTGTCTGGTCTTCACTCACTTACTGAAACTGACTGTATGCCATCTGTCTATCCGTCTAGCACTCTCTCTCGCTCCGTCGTGCCATCATCAAGATTCTATGTGTGATAAATAGACATACGGAAATACGTACACAGACATGGATCCAAAGGGTTCTAGATCGTAAATGCCAAACATCTGGAGGCAAGCGTCGCAAGGCTTCGCAAGGATCCTGCAAGGCGCCCTCCATGTGTCAGAGACATCTACCCGACCGAACAAAAGGACTTTCTTGAGGAACACCTTCGCTTGCAGCATCTGTCTTGCAGCGATTTTGCTGCACCTGCATCCGACACGATTTTCGCGGTCAAATGCTGCACAACTTTGACAACATTTCACTGCGACAGTCGACTGTGCAGCGGTTTTGACTCGACTGCGCAGCACACCGGGCACGAAAGTGTGAAGATTGATGCCGAAACCAACTGTACAAAACCATGGACCCTTCGTTCTCACCTAATTTCGCCCGGTGACTGCACTGTCGAACACGAGCAGTCCTTAACGGCATGCCCCTGGGCAGCCCAAAGGCTTTCTCTGCTCTGCTTCAGGCTTTCGGCCTGTTACTTCAAATGCCAATAACAGAGGCTCTGTAATCTTGGGAAGCATTGCCACAAGGCGAACTGGCTTGCAGGCCAACTGGTCGCCTGCACTACACGTTTCGAAAATTGACCAGCGAGAAACTTGGAAGGCCTTCAAAGGCCGAAGATTTGGGCTTGTCGGGTGGTTACAAAAAATTATGGTCCCTTTTTGGGTCCTTCTTATAATACGGCACCTAATATTTAGGGTACCCCAAAAGGGACCCTATTTTTGACAACCACCCTTGTGAACTTGAGAATCCTTTCCACCTGCGGCGACACAGGTCTCTACGTCCCTTGCAGGGCTCGTTCTAGTTACTGGACTTCCTTCGTCGACGTCGGGGCAACGTCTCATCGCTTAGTGGAAAGAAGACCCCCGATGAAGATACAAGTTGCAGATCTGCCTGCCTGTACAATGCGACGACGCCCTGATGCATGAAGGTGAAGGTGTGAAGCCGCTTTCAACTTCCGCTTCACGCCAAGCCAGGGCCTAAAGCCAATAATCGGACCCGGGTTTCTGGATCCCCGTCCCGAGATGTCCCGAGCTCGGCTCAAGATCGGAACATCCTAGAGGAGGAGCCTCTCGACTTATAGCCGACTAGCTGATGAGTTGAGCTTGGGGGTGGGTGCCAAGCAAAGCTCAAAGAACCGCAAACTTAAACCCTGGAGCCCTTGTCGTCTGGGTCTGCTCTCAAGCACCGTGCAGCGACTCCTTGGTTGCAGCAGCCCAGGGTCGTGGTGGACAATTCTACATACATCGCTGAGCCAACGGCGGGCGCCCCCTCTTCATCGTGCGATTCCGGCATCTGCGGTTGGATCGAGCAATACAACATTGAGATCTAGACGGACTCTCTGTGGGCCTTCTTGTCCACCGTTAGGCTCGCACAACCCACGCAAAGAGCCGCCAACATGTGGCACCTCATACACAGTACAGCAAACAAAGGTCAACGTGTTTCATCTGGCCCCGAGTATCCCACAATGCGCCGGCATAGAGCGGAGATCCAAGAGGGAGGAACCTGCAGAATCAATTTGCCTATGCAAGCTTTGACAAAAGTTGAAAGTCGCTCATTCAAGCTGACTGCTTCACCAAGCGGCCCCCGCAGTGACAGGGCAAGAAGCCTGGATCCAGTCAACGCACCTTTGGCAGAGAGAGAATACGATCTTAGAAGCAGATAAGCGCAAAACTGGGTTGCACCCCACTAGTTATGCCAGTTAGAAAGGCAATGTGTCCCATGCAGAGCGAAGGTGGGCATTCCAAACTGTGTTGGGGCAGTGGGAAAAACTGAAGAGCATCTTCCTTCCCCTCTTGGAGCTGCAATGCATCGGCATCCGCATGTGTCAGTGGAAGAAAGGGGAACTGGGGCGGGGGGAGGCATCCCTTCAAAGGCGCGCCTACGACATTGGCGGCGGTGTTCAGTGCCGACATGCTCCCCGACCTGGTCCGCCGGTCCACGTCAGCTCGTGCTGTCGGGCGATGCTCGGAGAGTCTCTGAGTGAAGGGCCACAGCCCTTGCTGCGTTGCGGGAACATGCCGTGTGCACAAGCCTTGGATCATTGACCATGGAGATCAGTGCAGATCAAAACCTACGAGTACCCATGGCTCTGCTGGCCGGCGGCTCGAGAGAACCGGTGCCGCGCAGAAAGTTGGAGTTGACAGGGCCTCAAAGTCATCAGACATCGGCCCAGTACTCGCGCCCAAGTCTCGGCAAGATCACTGCAACCGTGCTGCGAGCACCACGTAGACCCACTTTCCGCTCGGAGCCCAAGCATAGCCGATGAACTTGAAGGCATGGACCATCATAGCTCCTTTGACACTGTCAATGCATCTGTTCATGCCGGGTTCTGGACTTCCCGCGCCTTGCACCACCAAGGACTCTCGGCCCTTTGAGACTCGGAGAACACCGGGCAAGACCAGCACCTGCCACTGATTCCATTCGTCTTATGCCCAACTCCTCAGATTGCAAGCGCCTGAAGTGTTCGGAATCCAGTCGAATCATGCACTTACGGCACGTACGTGGCTGAAGAAAGTTGCGTGGAGGCCTGTGACGTGATGACTGCGGCGCCCACTGCCGACAAAAAGTGGCCTCAGTATGGGATTGTCACATGATCGGCACAGCCTCGCACTTGATGCAAGTACACCGATCATCAACAAGCTTTAACCGACCCAAACCAAGGGGCTAAGTAGAAAATCCAGACAGCACCCGAAAAAAGTAGAGAAGCCGAATAATCGACAAGATCAGGCTTCCAGTCGTAACATTGGAGATCCCAGAAAGACCACAAGTCGAAACGTTCAAGAAAAAGCCGCGAAACGGAGAAATTGCGAAACCCGACAGGCTGCAAAATACAAAGGCAAAACTGAAAAAGCCGCCAAAAGCCCAAAATCTCCTGAAAAGCACAGCAGTGCATGAAAAGTCTGAAAGCTCTCGACTTCTTGACATTTCAACCCTTCGTGCGTTTGGTTAGGTTCTCCGGCTAGCGAAATCAACGGCAGCACCGGTACTTAGGGACGTTGCTCTTGGTATCATGACGGCTGGAGCTTGACCTCTGAGGTCCAAACCGACATCCTGCCCGTCCCAGCCGAAAGCCTGCCAAAACATCAGACGCAACCAGAAGCCAGCTAACATGGCACACCCTGATATTTCCCCTGCATGCCTCACACGCAAACATGCCTGAGCAAGCACGCCTTTTTCCAGAAATTCTTTGCATGCGCGACTCCAAGCCAGAACAGATTCGGTTTTGCATCGGCCTCCTTGAGCCAGAGGACGTTCACCGTCCCGTAAAGCGCCATGCCCAGACTGAAGAGTCCTGATAAAATAAAACAATTAAAACATCGCCACAGACAGTGGGTGCAACAGAAACATGACGCCGAGGCAAGAAAAGTTAGGATGAGCAAGCGGCAGCTCAGATTGCACTGCCGTGCCACGGAGACACTCCCTCACAGGTTTCGCAGCTTCACGAACTCAATTTCAGACCCGGAAACACAGAACTCGGCCCTGACTGTTGCGATCCAGAAGCTAAGGATTATCTCAGGGCCCTGGCAGTCCTGATGCGGCCACGTACCACCGGAGAGGCGGGGTCTGAGACAACAAGCGATAAACCTGCAGTCCAGATGTGTGGAGCTCCTGACGAGGGTGCATTCTCGCCCTTCCCTTCAGCCAAGATGCACCAGCTGCAGGGAGCATCGTCGTTGACTCCTTCGGAGCTCTTCGCGAAGGCGGCAAGTACTCCTCGCGCCAGTGCTCGAGTATCAAGCGCAAGAACCCTTCCGAATCCCTCCAGATTGCGGGAAAGGAGCAGGAAGGGCCACGGCAGTCGCAAGAAACGCAGTCAGGCCCAGGCAAGCCGCACAAGCAAAGGGTGCGGAGCCTGCACGGCACAAAATGCGACAAACCGTTAGCCGCCGCATCGGAGCTCAGGGAGAACCCACCACGGGGCGGGCCTCCAACCCGAGCGAGCAACGCCCCGCCCAAGGCCGGGCCGAGCACCAGCGCCGCGCCGATGACCTCGGCGAGAGACGGAGGGAGGCAAGAAAAAGAGAGGGAGACATCGGAGAATATCGGAGACGAGCCGGAAGAATCGAATTTTCAAGTCGGGCTTCCGTGAAGAATCGCCCAACAGCCACCGCCCGCTTCGGCCCGGCAGGCGTGGCATCCTCGGTTTCTGCAGTTTCACAGAACTTTCCTGTCAAGCAGAAGGCTTGTGTGCCTTAGCCCTGCACCGCGATGCAGCTCGTCTCGACAGCCCCGCCCGATGCAAAGCAGCCGAAGGTAGCATGCACTGCACCAAGCATCACAAGCCCGGTGGAAACCTGGATGCACTTGGATGCAGACTCAAACGCTCCAACAACAGAGCCATGACCTCTGTGCATCTCCTATCAGAACATCAGCGAGGCACTGCCATCAGCGTTGCTTCGAGCGTGAACGCCAGAGCAGATGCCAAGATGACCTCCAGCCCAGACATCTTCCCACGCAAATCATCGCGCTGTGACAACTGAACCACCGGAAGTGTGATCAGATCACAGCTACTGGCACAAGTAGGAAACATCAGCGAAACCTGAACCACTTGCAGTCTCGTTCTCGCCCTCTTCGTTTGTTCGTTCGTTTTCTTCAGCTCTTGCTTGCTTGTAGTGTGTGGAAGCCCAGAACTCTTTGTGCAAGTGCCTACGGTCCGCTTCAACCCTTGCTGGCGTGGGTTTGGGGCCGAAATTTCTGGCATAAACTTTTTGCTTTGGTGTGGGCACAGAGTGCAGCAGTCCCTGCACCCCGCTCGGTCGAGCGGCCCCATCCACCACTCTGGAAGGACGGGCTTGACTGTGCACGGGCTGCTGCCCCGGAACAGGAGTGGTGCCCCAGTCTGGCAGAAACACGGGAAGCTTGAAGACTTGAAAAAGAAACGTAACAGACTGGTGCCTGGCATAAACTAACTAAACCCTCAGCCTCTCTTCCTTGTTAGCTCTTGCCCTTTCCTTTTCGCCAAGGCGCCCGCCGCCGCCCAAGGCGGTCGGACCAAGATGCAAGTAGCGGCGCTGCTGTGAACTCTGTGAAGCTCCGAAACGCTGAGATTAGACCTCGATTCGGTGGGTATCGGTCGAAGGCCCCCTGGCTTTCTAGCCTCCCTCCAGCACAGCCTTAGAAGGCTCGCACAAACGAACAGCTTGATTGCTAAGCCATGCGGCCCATTGCATTCGCCACAGCTGCGGTGTCGTAGCCTGCTGCTTCACCCAAAGAAACCACCTTAGCTTCCGCTCCTTTCACATGAGTCTTCCTCGGTCCACCGGGGACTGCATGCTGCAAGCCTCACGATGCATTTCCCAACATTCCCCCCAAAGCCACGGTGCTCTTAGGTTGAACGCTGGCATCATAGCAATTGCCGTCGCGGTCCTCGGATCCAAGGGGTTTCCAGCATGTCGGGCAACGTAGCAGGACGGATCACAGCCCGTCAAGCAGAGAGTCGTTCGCAGCAGGCTTACCTCGGTCTTCGCCCGTGTTGTCACGATGAACTATGAACCAAAACAGAGCACCAAACAAAGTCCCTTCTCTGTCAAAGCACAGCATAGAGTGGTGTGAGCGGTGGTGGTTTAGACCGCCGCAAGAGCGGCGTGGCCAGGGGGTCCTGGTAAGCCGACCCGGAAAGCGTGCAGCAAAAAAAAGATCCGAGTCGATCCTTGCCCTCCATGGCTCCCAAGCCGATGGGGGAAGGCTCCGGGGGGCCCGAAGACTCTCAAGAGCTCGTAGCCAACAGCACAGCAGCACCCTAACGCCCCTAACTATCCCTAACTGGTAATTCCCCAAGACGACCTGAATGCTGCAATGCACACTGAAATCGAAGCCGCTGCTTTCTCCAAACTGCAAATATCTCGGTGTGGTCGTGTACCGCACCAGGAACTGGTCTGTACAGGCAGTCGGGACTGGAACAAGCAGTTCAGTACAGGTCACTTGGCATGCCAAGTCCAGCTGCCAAAGTCCAGCTGCCGCGCCTAACTACAAACTAATTACCGCACTTGAAATAATTTGTCGGCTCAGTCGCAAGCAACCCAAACGACGAGTTTTATCGTCGACTGAGTCCTGTATACGCGACGAAGGAACGGAGACATTCTTGGTTTGCAAAGCGGGATCGCATTCCCCATTACACGTGAGGCTCAGCCTCTGCATCTGCGTGTGGTAAGCTTTTCCAACTGAGGCTGCTCCTCGGCACACATTTACAATCGTCCACAGGGAAAAGCGCAACTCTGGCCTCCCTTGCGTGTCCCTCTCGCAGCGCTAAGCTCTGGGCCGAGCCGAGGCGGCCAGCGCAGCTCCAAGTAGCACAGTGATAATTTGGAAGATCGCTCCTCTGTCACACAATGATTGCGCCGATTACGCTGTGTCTACACACCCGGCACGCAGTTCACCTGAGCTGCTACCAAGGGTCCGTAAACACCGGCACCCATCGCATAGCTCAAGGTGCCAAAGTCGCCCAAGCCCATGCCATGTCCCGCAACTGCCCCCATGATCATTGCAGCAATCATTAGCCCAGCTGCAGCAGTGGCAAGACCACTGCACGGCAGCAAGAGCCTGACAGTCGCGAGTGCGAATCGATGTTGGCGTTGGGGCGCTCTCAGTCGGGCCTTGCTCCAAGTGAGGGGTCAAGAGCACCACCGCAGTTCAACAGCGCCAGGACCGAGATCAAGCCAGCCAGCGCTGCGACGATTGAAAAGCAAACAGCCGCATTCACCTAAAAAGGAAAACTGGCAAAGCTTCGCCACAGGTGCGGTTCTGTGCTTCGACTCCCAGGCGCCGGGCAAACGCGCGTGTTGTATGAATACCGGAGCAGACCTCCTCCTGCGCACCACCAAGTCTTAAGTCTTCCGACGCAGAGACCCGCAGAACTGGCCGGGCAGTCGGGAATCGGGAAGTCCTGGATCTGCACTTGGAAGTCGCCACCACACAACACGGACGAGTCCAAGCTGATGGATGCGGAGGGCAGGCTGACACCAAGGACGTGGGAGCGCCCAACGAATTTCCACAGGCTTAAACCACCTGAGGACATCACCCTCCCTGGCTCTACGAGTAGTCCAGTGCTTCTTCCGATGGCTGAAGCCCAGTGGCCCTGCGCAGAAGCCAAATCGGCAAATGCCGTGGCCCCCACAGCACCCTGCCACCACACGCACGACAAGGCCACCTCAGGTAGAGCAGAAGAAAAGTAGTCATTAGTGGCGTGCTGGTGAAGGTAGGTCTCCCGGTTCGTGCCGAGGCGCCACGGAGCAAAAGCTTCCCACTGCCAGCAAGGCTACGGCAACGAAGGCCTGAACATCAGTCGGCGGTAAATTGCTTGCAGGCCGCAGTCAACGTGTCTCTCGTGCGTGTGTTGTGGTGCTCATGCGCAAGAGACCCGCCAACATCATGCAATAATGGCAGTGTACGGTAGTTACGTAGTTGTGGGTTTGTCCGAATCAGTTCTCAGTGCTTCCCCACTATCCCAGAGCATTGTGAAAAACTGTCGCGAGCAGTTCCAAATCGAAGGACAAGCTGCTGTACCTATCCCGGGCCGTTGCAGCAACGACGTCATGGCACCCCAAAGTCCGCGGCACTCATCCAAGCCCACGATGCTCGAGCCAGTGCCACAGCAGAGACGAGTAAGTGGGATACCGAACTCCATTCACACGGAACAGAGGGTCGCAATCTTTGGCTTCGAGCGCATGACCCGTACTAGGTTGTCTGATGCGCCGGCACATCGGCGCCTTGACCAGCCTCACAGGCATCAAACGCAAGAGCAACGATTCTAAGAATCGTAGGCTACTACAAGTTTTTGTAGAGTTACCAGAATGCCATACAAGCGAACAGGTTCGGTGAAACCCTGAGTTCAAAGCAGGCAGGTTACGTGAGGGACGACACGGACAGAGACGGCAAGGAGATGCAAGAAGGCAACTGTCTCAGTCTACAGCCTCCCCCAGAAGCCCCAGATCTGGCCTGGTCCGGAGGCACTTCGTCCACCTGCACGTCGCGGAAGCCATAAACAGAAGCAATCTTCTCGGCTTGCAGAACCCTGCCGAACCTCGGGCTCTTCTGTCCTGCTTGGTGATGGCATCCTGAAAGCTCCCCCAGAGTCTCCCAGAAGCGACGCAGGAAGCATCCGAACTTCCGGTCTTCTCAGACTAAATCCTTCTCTGACCGGACCTTCCCCTCATGCCCTGAAGCAGCAGTCATCACAAATCACTGGCGCCACGCAAACAAACGAGGAAGCCTACACGTGAGTCGTAAAAACATTAGCACATGTTCTACAGCAATTCTCACAGGGTTGTGGAGATGCCTTTCTGGAAGAAAACGCACCTTGCTTCAGGACCTGGCGCTAACTCCTTTTTGAGCATCAACTGAAGGCGCTGCAACTGCCTTCCTTGTGCTTGTCTTTGACCATCCCGGGCAAGCAACGGTTCAGCTGAACTGTACAACAACAGAGCCGTTTCATCTGCACAGCAGCCCGCTGGTCGCCTTAGGGGGGAGCTCCTCTTTCATGGGCTCTTTCCGGGTGTTTTTGCGGCCTCCCGGCGCAGAGCTGCAGCCTCCGTGACGGGGCGGAGCTGCTCACGTCGTGGGAGGTCGAAGACGATTGGTCGATGCGTCGGGTTGTACTCCGAGGTGCAGGTGGAAGCATTCACAAACAGGGTCGCCTCATCTGTGGTGCAGCCGTGGTCTTCATGGAGGTGGCCAGCCACCACCACCTCCAGGGTGCAACACAGGCGATGGCGAAATTGAAAAACGCATGTCCCAGCTTTGGCAGAAGCATGCATGTGAGATGAACTCTCTCCCGTTGTGAGTCCCGAAAATAACACTGACTAAGGATTGGAAATAAGAATACCCGGCCGAGATAGCGCGGCTCTGGACAACTTCCAAGAGGTCCTGGCATCCGACCCGGCCATGACGGCAGCGGTCTCCATGACCAGCAGGCGGCCCGTGCACCAGAAGGATGTCCGTATCCTCCGGGATGGCTTCCCACTTCTGGCGGATCTCCCGGCCTCTGGGCAGATTGAAAGCCCAATCGCAGAAATCCGGCTGCCATGGTGTCCCATAGACTTTGTACCCGAAAACGTCCAGGGAAGAATCTTCCAGATATGTGCAGCCCGTTAGTGAGCTCCGGGCCTTGTGGCAATCGTATGCACCGGCCCTGTGAAATCGTGCGGCACCGCGTGTCTTGTAGTACTGCTCATGGAAGGTAATGTCGTGGTTTCCGGCAATGACAATTTTCTCTTGTGCTGGGTATGCTGAAAGCCACTCACCAAAGCTTCTCACTTGCTCCGGCTCGCCTGTGTTCGTGAAGTCACCTCTGCAGAAGATGAAAACGGCACTAGTCGCGGAGGTAGCGAAAGTTTATGTCCCCAGCGCAAGAAGTCTTGTCGAGGCATCTGACCCAAGTAGCTCCACAGAAACACAAAGAACAGGTTTCACTTCCCGTACAAGTGCACATGTGGTGGAACTGGCAGTACTTCGAAAGCACCCCGTACACGGCAAGGTACTCGGCATCGCTGCCGCACAGGTTCGGTGGAAAACTCGGACTTTTTTGCATCCTGGAAAACTCGGACTAAAGCGAAGAACCCACGCCACTACCGGTGAAGCAACCTCGAAATTCTGACAAGCTCACCCAACACTGACGGTGAACGGGGATCGCCAGTCGTTTGCCTCCCACCCACTCATTGATCCCTTGCGGCTGTGCCTGCATGTAGGAGCACATCGGCTGGCGGACGATGCTCCCGTGGAATGAGGTCATGCATGCCATGGGTATCACCTGAAGACATTCCGGAATGTTGCATCAAAAGCGCATGCATGTTTGCACGACCACTTGCTGACATGGCACTGAAGCACACGAACCTGATGTGGCCTTCAGCTTTCTCTTGGCTCCACGGATACGGTACCACGGCAGCACCTGCCGGCGCCCAGGAGAGGCTGTTCACCAGCACGAGGTCCTGATCTCGTCAGGCTCGAGCCGGAGACAGGAAGCAACGACGATGGCAAAAGCTATGCTTCCATGGCGTGGCCCGTCCTCGACACGGAAGTCACCTTCCGCGCCATCGTCGTCAAATTCAACATTCCACGTCCCATCTTCATTGTCCAACGCGACAATTCCAAGACCCCGTCCATGCTTGAAGACCCGCGCTCCGATCTCCATGGCGCGCTTTCAATGCACCACCTGCAAGCCACGAAGTCTGAGCCCACTTGCGATTATGAGAGATACCGCGCTGATGCTGCAACATGATTTCAGCCGAACTCAGCTTTCTCTCGTTTCTCACCACTGCCAACCTGCCGCATCCGATCTAGCTCGGATTCGCGTACATATGTCGACGACACCCCAGACTGCTCGTCAGCAACCCAAACGATAGAGGTGGTGGGATCCCTGCAGATCGGGCACCTGTGCAAGCCCACAGCGCAAGCCTCACAAGCGTTTCGACCAAGCAGGAAACTGTCAGTGTACTGCAAAGATACTGGACATCTTGACACCTGCCCTTCCCTGCCTCGCACAGACACAGGTGCCGGCAAGGCTGGCATAACATCCGACGAGGGCCATCCAAACAGACCACGCAAGGCTGCCGTGATGGTCGATCTTCATCTCCATGCAAAATACCAGGCGTGGAAAGAAGCAGCTTCTGGCAAAGGACACCACATCTGTGAGACATAAAGAACATGTCCATACCACGGCGGCCCAAGTCAGCAATACCGAACTGCTTCTGCAAACTGTGAATCTGCGGATCGGTCCAAGTCGTTCCAACTCCCTGAATATCAACGCACAGCTCCTGACCTCCGGAGTCTTGAAAAGTGAAGTGGCTGAATGCGGCAGCAACCTACAGGGCACTGCAGTCTTAGGCCTAGAAGCCTAGGCCTGAGAGAGAAAAAGCTTCAACTTGCACTTTGGGCATCCGCCACCTCTGCAGCCTGGCCGCTCTGAGAGCCAACAAAGCCATCATTGCCATTCAACTTGACGTAGCTGCCTGGGATGTAGCGTTCGGCTGTGACGTAGCGGCACCCAGAGTCTTGTGCCTCGTCGCTGATCTTGAGGACATAAGCTGGAACAAACCTCACCTTGGAACACTCCGACTCCTTGACTTTGTCGATGGCAGCATTGAAAGCTTTGGCAAATTCCTGCGCCCGACGATGGTTTTGCAGAAAGAACTTGTGCACATCCTCGGCCCTGCATCCAAGAGTCGCATTTGATAGCAAAACCCACAAACCGTCCATGCTGTGCTCACACAACAAGACAGGAGCGGCCTGTGCTTTGCGACAAACTTGCTTTCCTTCACGACTAAATGAAATCTAGAGCCGGACACCGCATCTTCAGAGTACCAGTGTGCACTCCGGGCATGAAAGGCATATCCTCATTTCCGCGATACTACACCATGCTTCACACCCCGTGATCATGCGGAAGCCAACCCATGCCTTCGATTGCCGAGGTTCGAAGCGCCCCCTGTGCAAATGGCTGGTGATGCAGATACCTCAGGCATCTCACACAATACAACGGGACACCGCCCGCAGCGCGGGAGCCTCACGATGCCTACATCAACGTGCCACTCGTCTTGATTACCCTGTGTTTTACCAAACCTTCGCACCCCACCACAATGAATCCTCGACGAAGCGGCACGAGGCGGGCGTCTCCACACGCACGCAGTTCCTCCTCCCCTCTCTGTATCATCAGCCAGGCCCAGCCTCAATAAAGAACGCCCAAAACTAGGGGCCCCCTCGCTTTGATGAGCTTGATGCTTCACCGCTTTGCCAAGGCCAAGTGGCACGGCCGAGCGCGGCTTCGGAGCTCGGATGCGCTCCCTCGCCATGCGTCGGGTGGCTCTAGGTCCTGCCGGGATAATAAACCAACAGTGCTCAGAAGAACACAACATGGGCTCTGGGATCATGGTTATGAACGCAACATGCTTGGCAACACCGTCCTTTGCAGGAACGCGGGTCAGGGCCTCCTCGCCAAAGCCGAGCAGTGAGCCGTGAAGAGTAGACACCTTGTGCAGCCGCAGCACTTCAAGCACCCACCCTCTCTTCAGATGGAAATTTCACAACCAGGTGTTCTAGAATTCTCTTGCTGAGGCCACCGCCGAAGTACCTAGCTGGCCGAATATGGACTGCAACTGTTCATGAACGACTTGACAATCATGAAATGTGCCGCCACCAAGGAGTGCCAAGCTCTGCAGCATCGACATGCCAAAATCACCGAAGCCAACCGTGTGCAAAATACACATGTTGCCAAATTCCTGACGGATTGCCCGCATAACATTTTCAATACAGGCTGTGGGACGGTGCTCCCAAATCACTTCGGTAGGTTCACCATCGCTCAGAAGGATGCCAATCGTCATTCCGCCGGATACCAAGCTTCGGAAGGCTGCGAGGGCTTGCAGGTATCGCCCGGTGCCCTTCGGTCGAGTCGCCTTGCAGACTTCCCGCACCAATTCTTGCAGACGCTGGTCCACTTCCCGCCTGCAGCTGCAAGTCGGGTCCGCCCGCAAACGTGGGCACATGCACCAAGAAAACTTGCCCGGGCCTCTCAAAGCACACCTTGAAGGTGTCGTCAAAGGTCACCAGAGAACAAACGATTCCATCCATTCCCAAGATTGCTTGCAGGAGATTCTGCACCGCATCAAACACCATCTGGATTCTGTTCTCGCACTCCATGCTCCCAGAGTTGTCGACGAGAAAGACCACGTGAGTAGTTGATGCTGTCTTTCCAACCTAGCAAACCGCCGCCACACAAAGCATAACACTGCATGGGCAGTACAACCAACTCGTGCATGTCTGTATGATCGTGAATGCTCTCGCTCAGTGACACCCATCCTGTTCGTTGCCCTCCTGCTTGTTGACCTACGCTCTGTGGAGACCAAAGTCCACTGTATCTCTGACTGCCTCTTGTTGCTTGCTTGCTGCTTGCTTGATGGCATAAACCACTGGTCGCACACATCAGCCGAAGTTCGGGGAATCCTCTCCCGGGGCCGCAACATCTCCCCTTGTCCTTTTAACTATGCATCCGTCCATCTGTCGCTCCTCTACCTACTCATATCCGACATCCATGTTGCCAAGACTGCATTCCTTTGCGAGGCACTGGGGACGTCCTCCTTCTCTTCTTCGCTGGCGCTTTCGGTGGAAGCATCGCCCCGGCCATGATGCAATCCGGGCCTTTGTGTTGAGGAACGTGCGGGGCGACATAAACTAAACCTGCAGACTGCCACAGCTTGAGCACTCAAGGGTTCACCAGAGAGAAAGACTGAAGTCACCCCTGCCTGCCCCCAAGAACCAAGGGAAGCCACATTTACAGGAGCTGCTTCTTGTTCTGGGCTAGTGGAAGCGTCTGGCAGTGTGGGCTTACAGTAGTGGCCAAGTTTGTCCCTGAGCAACATGACGGGAACGAACCAGATTTTGCGAAGCATCAACGTGAACTTCAGACAAGATGGTGGCCTGGTCACAAGAGGCTTCGGGCAACTCTCCCTTGGCTTAGGGCCAGGCCTTAGGCCGAAAAGAGTTGATCGCGGACCTGCACGACTCGCACGCCCGCCTCCTCCCAACGGTCGGGGGAGTCTGCCGCGGTCTCAAATATTCGAACATCACGGTCTAAGTAGAGAACACGGACAAGGCCCGGTCCCGAGATTGCAGAAGACAGGAGTGGAAGGCCGAGGATTACAAGACCGCCCCGCTCGATCTGCACAGCGAAATCTTTTGGACAATCCTCTGCCTGATCGACAGCCTCAAAGCTGCCCTCTGCTGTGAAATAAACACCTGATCCCACCACTTCCCCGTAGTTCATGACCCGACCGGCTCCAGAATCAAAGGCCTGGCCAGCCTTGTTGCGAAACAGTGGGCGCAAAAGCTGTGCATTGGCTTCCCAGCCAGGAGTTCGGCCCTGAATGTACGCCACGCGCCACAAGTCCTCTTGGAGCGTGCTGGACCCAAGTAGTTCCGCACGGCATCGCACGCGCGCCTGGCCAAGTTCCGCGATGCACTCGTCCACGGTCTTCCGTATGTCAGCATCGAAACCATTAGCTTCCGCAGCAATCAGGAGGTCTCGCAGCTTTTTGGCGCAGGCCGGCGGCTCAGGTGGCCCAAAACTAGGCCACGGAAAGTACACCTCAAATTTTGGCAGCCAGCTTGAGCTGCCAGAATCACTGGCACGTCGCTTGTATCGATGACTCCCGCGCTGGCGTTGGTGATGCTTGTGTCGCCACAGCAGTCTTGCGGCACATGCGCTCAGGCCAACACTGCAGAAACTGGCTCCGGGGAATACCGCTATCCTGGCAGGCACAAAGTTGACATCTCCCACTTGCGGCACCACAATCGGGGGAGAAGGCAGAGACTGGCAGGTGCAGAACACCTGCATCTTTGAGAAACTAGGCTTGGGCCACACCGCTAGGCTGGCCAAGCGTCTCTGACACATCTTCGCTCCCAAGCTGATTTGGTGGATGCAGGTCTTTTTCTGCCCGCAGCGACGTCAACGGACTGTCTGCAGGCAAATTGGCGCCGGTTCACGCGGCATCTGAACATCACCATCAGGAGCAGCCCCATGAAGTGCAGCAAAGGAGCTGGTGTTTCATGAACTGCAACGGATGAAGGCCGCCAGATTCATCCTCGGTGCGCATCATATCTTTCCATTGGGACCCCTTTCCTGCAAGCGAGCTTCTCCCACTCACCGGCTGCCAATGTGCATGCCTCAGGGCTTTGCTTTGTCGAGTTCTGCACGACGCTCACGCTCACGCGTCGAACCAGCGCGCACAACACTGCCTCGCACCAACTTGCCACAGCTCGTCCAGACGGTCTTTCGGACAGGTGCCGCGCAGCACGTAGAAGACTGCGATGCCTATGGCATATGTCATCTCTGTCAGGCACAGACACCACGGCCTCGGTCTTGGCTCTTCACATGGCGTGGAGTAGAATTGTGAACGAACGCCACACGACAATTTCCATGCGTCCAAGCCACAGTTCTGCCATGATGCCTGGCAGAAACTGCAGTCTCACTAAAAGGATCCGTGCAAATGTACGGCAGGTCTTCTTGGACTGAACTGCTGCCCTGCTGCTGTGCTTCGCAGGCAACAATCGCAAAGAACCGTACAGGGCGATTGTCCCACCTGTAAAGTGCCAGAGGGTATGGCGCCAAATCCATATCTCAAAGGCCTTCGACTGGGTGGAATACACCTGGATCGAAGCAAGCCGCATGCCCGATGGACAAGGGTTGAGCACTTCAACGCCAACAAAACTTCCTGCGGCATGGGGCAAAAGCGCAGCATGGCACCAACACTAGCAGAGCCGTTTCCCAAACAGTGGCGCGGAGGTAGAAGTCTAAGGTTGACAGGAACAGGGTGCCGGACGCCACGACGATGTCCACCCTTCCTGAGATGCAAATCAAAGATCATTTAAGAGGCCTTCATCAACATCATCTTCGTGGAACAACGTGGAGCAACGGAACAACAAATTCATGGCTTGATGTCTCGTGTCCGTAGAAGGAGCGCTGCCCGCGGCGGATGAAAAGATAGTCCGCGCTGTATGACGTTAGCACTACCTGGACACGCAGAGCTCACGCAGCAATTTGAACACACCCTTTAACACATACCCGTGACCCACTCTGCAAAAGGCGAATGATGATTCATTCCACTCCGCGATGCCAGGGTGTATGTCACAGCCAGGCAGAAATACAGGATCATCTGCAGCATGTTGCCTTGGTCCTGCAAGTGTTGCACACCCCTCCCCTGCGATGCCACTCAGCCACCCTCACCAACACATTTCACATCCTTGAGATCCGCATACTGTAGAAGGCACCACCAAACTGCCCAAAAGGCGGCTGCTGCCGGAGCGAAGAGGAAGCAGCTCACTCCAACTAGCCAGTGGCTGCTCCAGTGCTTACAAGAATGCGACTTGAAGCCAATCACCTGGGCCAGTGTTCGCTGCATGACAGCGCCGGCATTCCCTCGCAGCTTTGTCGAAGTTTGTGCCGAAACGCTGCAGCCAAGAAAGGTTCAGAACCTTTAGCTTTTTTTGCCATGCTGAGAACCCCAAATGCTTTCTACCGCCTGCTTAGACGCCTTCAATTAGACTTCCGGTATTACCCCCCCGCCCGCCCCCCCCCCAAAAAAAACTTGTCTTGCCCCACCCCGCCTTGGCTTTGGCTCCTCTCTCAAACCGTTGGCCAGCTCGGAGGCGGTGGAACCCGCGCCCGGCTCCACCGAAGGACCCGAACTGAGAGCCAGAGCCGGTTCGCAAACTTATACAGACTCTCTCTATCTATCTATGTCTATATATATATATATATATATACATACACCCTCAAGCTGCAAGCTCAAGTAAGCTCTGGGCGCTTGTGGTGCCAGCAAGGAGCTGATGGATTCGTCCAGCAATTTCAAAGCTTTGGCACGACGAGCATCGTACTCCTCCCCATGCTCTGACCCAAACAGCAAGTGCAATGCTCAAGTCTCAACCAGGGCGTTACCTTGGAACCGGGTGCGCCGGGAAGTGGATCCCCAGCTTGCCTGAAGCCCCGGTAGCTAAGCAGCTAAGCCTTCATTCTTCAGGCGCAGCGTCCCATCTTTTGCCGAGTGACACAGGCCACGCAGGCGGGGCAGGCCAGGGGGTCGAAGCGGTGGCTGCGCTGAGACCTCGCAGAAGAACATCGGAGAACATCTGAACAAGTCATAGGATTTGTGCATCTCCAACTTGGCTTCAAACTCATGCCCGGAGCAGAGTTCCAGAGCCTTTCGACCGCAGAAGGTCTCACCGCTTAAATTGAGCTGCTCAAGGAACGAGTGCTGAGGCTCTGACACGGCTCCACCGTCCTGTACACGACTGGGATCGTAGACGATGGCCTCGCAGATCCCCCCACCCAAAAAACGCACCACCGCCAGAACAACCTCCAAGACTACAACCACCTCGTGGCTTCGACGGCAAACCTTGGAACCGTCCGGATGCAAGTTGGCAGCGACAGGCCTCCCCCTTCTCTGCATCCTCCTCGAAAGCATCAAACATGGGAAGCTCTGTCGCCCTACTGTCCAGACATTCAAGTACGAAAGTAACCGTGGCAATCGCTCGCGTCCTCCGGCTGCCGTATTCGCAGAAGGCCAGGGGCCGCTGTGGAGGCCAAGTTGTGGGACAGGGCCTGGCATGCGAAGGACCATTGACCATTGTGCAGGAGCCAGTGCCCTCTGAACGTAGCATGATGCGCGTGCTGGACTGCTCACGATGTCGGACAAGCAGCTCCAACTGCACTGACCACCGGACGCAAAGCTTGAGGAAACAGATTTGCCTGGCGCAGCGCACAGAAAAAAAACGGCAAGAGAGTTGCCACTGTCTTGGATGATCTTGGTAAGCCGGCGGCGAAAACAAAGTCTGGCCTGCAAGTTCGCGCAGCTGGTGGCCGACGCAAGTACTAAGCAGATGTGACTGAAACCACAGACCAGCTACACAGGGACAAATCAACTGAGGCTAGGGACGAATGGTCCCCATGCGCTTTGGCATGGGGAAACCTAAGGCGCGAAGAGGCGAGGTCCGCGCAAGAGCCAGCAACATCTCGAACGAGAACGGCACCAGTGCAGGTAGCGCAAGTGAAACCACGCCTGGCCAAGGCCCCAAGGCCCCAAGGCCCCAAGGCCCCAAGGCAATGCACTCCCCACAAAAAAGGGAAGCAGAGTCTGGCAGAGTCTCAGACAGTCTGGGGTCACCACGAAGAAGAAAGCCAAGGGGGCGAAGGGCCACTCAGGGAGCAGCCACGCAGGCCCCAGAAGCCTCGGCTCGAGGCTCGAGATCGGCCGGCTACCTTCTGCCCTGAAGTGCTGAGGCGAAGCACCCCAAGGCCACGCAGGACGAGACCTTCGTGCGCTGCGTGCGGCTGCGTGCGGCTGCGTGCGGCTGCGTGCGGCTGCGTGCGAGCGTGCTCTCTGCACGGCTCCATGCTGCACTGCCGCACTGCGCTCTCTGCAGCAAGGCGGCGAGGCCGAAGGGCAGGTGCTGGCCTGGAGGAAGACGAAGGCGGTGGGCTGCCAACCGCTACCCCGGGCCAAGGCCCGTACACTGCAAACCCCACGGCTTCGGCACAAGGGGCAAGACCTGTCCATTAAGTACCGAGCGCGTGCGCGAAGCTTTGCAGGACTGCAAGTAGCGTTCTGCGTGGAAAGGAGCCTTGCTAAGCCCATGTACAAGCTGCATCGGAGGCGAGAGCAACTCAGAACATGCCCCACCTCCAAAGGGTAGGCCTGAGTCGCAGGAAATGGGGCAGTGTCCCAACAAGTCCATGTATGCTCGAAGCTAGGTTGCCGGGCATGCCGCAGGCCAAGCGCCAGGGCGACAGTCAAACCACAGCAACTGAGCAGCAACGACTGCGATGAGCTGAAACACATTCCACCCTGATGGTCCAAGTTCAGGGCCCCCGTGTGGGGAGAAAGAAATCCTGCGCAGAGCACGAACCGTGGCAACTCCCGAACGATACCACAAGGATGGATGACGTCCTTCTCCCTGTCGGTTCGAAACACCTGCCACGTACCACGTGCCTCTGCCATGTGCTGTCACGAACCGTCAGGCACCGGCCTCTACGACTTCCCAGAAAAGAACCACCTGCAGTGGCCATGTGAAGCGATTGTAGGTGCATCGACTGCACCAACTGCAACGAGGATCGCACAACAGACGAAGCCGCACTGGCAAAAGCCAAATAAAGGCACAGTGCTCGAATCGACCTCGAAGGATCAAACTTCTGTCCGGTTGAACAGCTGATAGCACACATGCCGCCGGGCTCTGGCAGCGTCATACAGTCTTTTTCCGCTGCGGCCAGGCTTGCGGCTCGTGGTTCGGGTGTCCGGGGGATTTCCGCGATTACGAAAAGCGCGTCCATCTCATCACAGCAGCGTCTCGTGCAGTCGTAGTACCTCAGCTTGGCCCATTGGCACGATGCTTTGTCTGCTTTCCGAGCACAGTCTTTGCCGGCGAGCAGCGTGTAGGGCCTCGCTGTGATAGAACGGACAACCCAACCCGTTTCCGCCAGTTGCTTGCGCAAGTGGTCTTCTGTCGTGCGGCGAGGACCTGTCCATCCATATCCTGCATTTCCTGCCAGGCTCAGAGACGAGAGAAAGAGAGGGGAGGCACTGCACAAAAGCAAAGGCGGTCCATCGGAGAAGGCATGGAGAAGCAAACGGCCGCCCTCTCTGACACTTGCGGCGGTGGCACGGAGCGCGTCGCGCTGCTCCTCGTCGTCACCTAGGCTGGGTGGGGCGAAGGCTCACACACGTGTCCTTCAGCGTTGTGTTTGCCCTGGGGGCCTGGCCAATTCCGTGGAAAACAGCAAAATCAAGGACGGTGTCGTATGGGAGGTCCGTAATTTCCGGGACTTCGCTCAGTGCAAACACATCGGCTTGGTAGACCTGGATGGCGGTCGGACATGGCATTTAGCAGCTGGCATCGCAGCACCCCTGCCACCGATGCATCTACCAAAGTTGAACTGCGGCGGAGCAACGCGCATTGACCTCAAGAGGACGACATGCATCACTGTGTTGACATAGGCACAAAGCCCACCGCACTATCCTACAGTTGTTTTGCCGCGATGGCCAAATAATCTACTGGTAGTTGTAAGAACAAACTCGCTACACTTGAATCCCAACTGCGGTCCCAGTGGTGCCAATCGCCAAAGAGAAAAGCCTTTCAGGCATGTCCCAGCTGCCCTGACATCTTCCCGGCTGCATGCAATCGTTCGCGTGCAAGAGTCACAGCAGCTGGCACAATATCGAAGGCTGTGACGTCGAAACCGTTTTCTGCAAGGAAGACTGCCTTAGATCGAGGGTTTCCAGAGGGACGGCTTGGCTGCGACATGCTGTTTCGCCAAGTAAACAAAATCACTGATCACGACTGGTTTGCACTTGTTCAGCCACCCGGCATTCTCTCCGGTTCCACAGCCAATGTCGAGAATCCGAGGACCCAACACTTCGCCTGACCAGCCGGCCACGACTCTGCAACCTCCAACCCAACACTGAACTTGGTCAAGCAGCCATCAGCCAGTGCGACAGCCAGGGCCGGCTGGGGAATTCCCACATCCCAGGGGGCACCCTCAAAGGCCTCCAGGGACTCTCCGTTACACACAGCTGGCTGATGGAATATCTGCTTGGAGCAAATCCTCGTAGGCTCTCTCGAAGAAACTCAGTGGTGGAGCGCGATCCAGGATGCGCCCCGAGTCGGGTGGGTCCATGGCCAAGCCAAGAGGGAACAGGCACTTCCTTCTGAGTCGAAAGCTCTGTCTGATTACATAGATGCATACAGACGAACTTACATGCATACATACATACATAAGTGGATACGTACAAATTCACATGTGCATGTGGATAGGTAGGTAGCTGCTAGCTCTATAAACAGATAGATAAATACATTGCGGCCATGTAAGCGTGTCGTCTACAAACAATCTCAGAACAGATTGATGTACCGCAATTTACGTCAAGATGACCCACACCCACACAGCAACCTCTTGTGCTTTCGAGGAGTCTGGAAGGAACGAACTAGTTTGGGTGCAAAGCTTCGCCTTGCATTCATAAGCATTGAAAATGTGAACAAGGCCTCGGGAGGTTGCAAACTGGTCTGCCATCCCAAGGGTTGCCCAAGGTGCAACATGCAGACTGAATTAGGAGGGCCCGATGCAAGCGCAGCTGACGGTCGGGACCATAATTGACTTTCAGCAACGTTTGTCACGCAGTGACCTCAGTGCTCGTACATCTGGGAGTTGTTTACGTGCTAGCTCACACGACGTTTCACCACCGCGTGATCAGGACAGCAGAAAAACGCGGAAGATGCCGGCACGAGAAGTCTGAAGAAGTCTCTTGGCGGGGGGTTGCAGGGAATTTGTGAATCCGGGTGGCTTTCATTGTCGCGATCATGGGCAGATGGTCGTAAGCTTGAATGTCAGGCACGGTCTCATAGGAGGCCAAAGCAATCTGCACAGTGCTGTGCTTATACCAGCCAACACTGTCCAGCCATCCAAACCTCAAGTTTTCAGGGATACGACAGCAGACGGTGACTCCATCACTCTATCGAGCTACTGAGCTACTTCGCAGCTACTGCGCTTCAGGGTGCATCAGGCCAATAGCATCGGAGTTGGTGCGTCCAGGGGGCTGGAAAAAATGTCGCCCCGAATCTTTGTCGGAAGCTTCCGTTTTAATTTTTCGCTGAAGCCACTTGCCATCCTCCTTCCAATTAAAGTATGCCGAGAGCAGCTCCGTGTGCAATACCTCTGCGCCGCCCCCGTCATTTAAAGCTGAACCTCCTCTCCTCAGCGGTCGTGGCATCAGTACGATTGGAGTTAGCTGCTGAACCCCTTTGGCACACGTCCCTCGAGAGAGAGTCAGGGAGAGAGAGTCAGAGAGAGAGCCAAAGAGAGAGTCAGAGAGAGAGTCAGATAGAGAGTCAAAGAGAGAGTCAGAGAGAGCGTCAGAGAGAGAGAGAGAGAGAGAGAGAGAGAAACAGAGAGATAGAGAGAGAGAAACAGAGACAGAGGAAGAGACAGACAGACGGGACCACATGACCTGCGACGACAGAGCCAAGCCAAGTAATTGATGCCATTGCAAGATCCCCCACACCGTGCAACACCCCAGGGTGGCACAGCCTGTACGGCTTGGCAGATAAAGCTTCATTAAAGACCTCTCGCTGTCTGTCCAGGTCACCTGCCAGCCCAATGCTGCGAAACATCGCCCAGTCGGCTGAAGGAGACGAGATCCAGCAGGGTCAACCGGCAACCTAGCTGTGCTCCCAGCATGGCCTGGCCCACACGCACGGATGAAGACCCCGAAACTCGAAAGCTAGAAAACCGAGCCTCAAAGGGCTCGACTCTGTAGAATGGCCACGGGACTTCAAGCCGGGAGTCCACGGCGGCATCGATCGTTAACCAAAACCTCATGTTACTCGTACATGGACTTTGGAACAAGACAACTGGCACTGGAAGTGATCCCTCCTGCGGCCGGGCGGCATGTCTTTCATTTTCGAGCTACATTCGGAAAGAGTGTATATCTGCCCCCGAAGGTCACGCCCGGAATACGTCAAGGAGTCTTTCTTCAAAAGCTCCAAGCGCTTGGCCGGATCAGTAAAGCAGTCTACAAGAAAGCGCGCGCCGCTTTCAGTTAGTTCGAACTTCCCCTTCTTCTCTGATACATAGCCTTTCATATCCTCGAATGCAACCAATCGATTGTTGAAGTCTCCCCAAATCAATGCTGCAAACTTCTGACTGCCACGCTTCGAGACATTCAGCATGCGTTCCAAAGCTTGCAACTGTCCGAGCTTTGACTCGTCGTTTGTGTCGAGATTCGCGCCCAACAGCATCAGATCCACGTCGCTGCCATCGACATGCAGCAAGACTTCCTGCTTCAGAATTGCCTTGAAGGAGGGCTCGAACTCGTTCTTCCGCGCAGACTTGCAGGTAAGCGATAGCGTCTCTGGGAAGCAGTCGTGGTGATTGATGGAAGAATCACTTTTACTCTCTTTGACCAGTCGACGACTAACAGCAACATGCATTGAGACGTAGCGTAGCCCATCACCGGCACTCTTTACGAGCTGCGCAGGTATCTGCCGAATCAGGAGTGATGGATCATCCTCATTGAACACATACTCGTTGGCTTCAGATGTCTTCATGGCTCGTCTGAGCAAGCAGCGAAAGTTCTGGACATCGTCTGGAGCTATGCAAACATCAGTCAAATACAAAGCTATCACATCGCATTTCAGAACAGAGCAAGCCATGTCACCGTAAAGCAGCTCGTGAAGCGAGTCGATGGTAGGGAGCTTCCGGTTTACTTTAACGAACCCAAGCCAGACCTTAAGCGTTGTGCCTTGTCCGACGTGCAGCATCACCATAGAGCGCATGGGGAGGTGATACTGGGCCCGCAACTTCCATTCACTTTGCCAATGTACAATATCCCCAGAAATCGTATTGCTTTTGCTCAAGCCAACTCCGTCCGGCCACCCAAGCTGCAAGTACAAGTTGGTGCAGCCGTCGTCTTCAGCTATGCCATGCTGAAAGGCATGCCCATCCGCCCAACCGAAATAGGTGCCTCGAACATCATTCATCAACAGGTCCATATTCACGTACTGGAGTGAGTCCAAACAAACCACCTCCTCCAACCTCATGCGATGCTTAAATGCATCCGACAGTACTGTCTCCAGCGGTGTGTGCTTGTATGAAGGCATTGGGATGTGGAAAGAGAATCTAGGATTCCGTGTTGAGGCAAGGTCCGCAGTCATGTGAAACATCTGCAGCAGCTTACCATGCGCAGGGGAAACTTCGCACTGCTGGCCGGCTATGTCACGCCCGGAATACGTCAAGGAGTCTTTCTTCAAAAGCTCCAAGCGCTTGGCCGGATCAGTAAAGCAGTCTACAAGAAAGCGCGCGCCGCTTTCAGTTAGTTCGAACTTCCCCTTCTTCTCTGATACATAGCCTTTCATATCCTCGAATGCAACCAATCGATTGTTGAAGTCTCCCCAAATCAATGCTGCAAACTTCTGACTGCCACGCTTCGAGACATTCAGCATGCGTTCCAAAGCTTGCAACTGTCCGAGCTTTGACTCGTCGTCTGTGTCGAGATTCGCGCCCAACAGCATCAGATCCACGTCGCTGCCATCGACATGCAGCAAGACTTCCTGCTTCAGAATTGCCTTGAAGGAAGGCTCGAACTCGTTCTTCCGGGCAGACTTGCAGGTAAGCGATAGCGTCTCTGGGAAGCAGTCGTGGTGATTGATGGAAGCATCGTTGTCAAAGTCTCGTACGTACTTGCACTTCACGGCTACATGCATGGAGACGTGGCGTAGCCCATCCTCGTCAGCCTTGACTAACTGCGCCGGAATCTGACGTATCAGCAAAGCTGGGTCATCCTCATTGAAAACCTTAGACCGCAGACATGATGCATTTTCCGCAAGAGCTGACTACAAAGAGAAAACCTTTGTGAATCCGACCAGCCCTTCCTCGAGCTGAAGGCTTACATCTAGCGATCTGGGACATGTGATCCTGCGAGAACAGCATGCCACGACACATACTCCGAAGCGCGGTCTGCTCCCATGGCATTCCTGCAATGTGAAAAGCTACACCTGTTGGCTTTTTCTAACTCAACTGCAGAGAACAAGGAACGAACCAACGATCCTCAACAGACTTCGCAAACCATTCATGCTGCTGGGGTGGATGAACAAGTCCGTGAGGAAAAGAGCCAGGACATCAGCTTCATCTGCAGTTCCTGTGCGACAATTGTGTCACCATGCCAGAACACAGCGACACAAACATACGCCCAGTACTGCGCACAGACATGGCCTCCTTCCCCTGTAAAAAGTAGCCGCTCTATGGAATGTACAGTTGGTATCTTGTCGTCCAGCTTCACGAAGCCCAGCCATATCCGCAATTCTGTTGACGCCGATGCCCCTGTGCCTGACACAACGTCGAAACAACCTTGAACCCGCTCAATGCTGCCGAGACTGTATGACGGCCTCGCAAGAACTCCTGCAAGTCCACACTGGACCCATCAAGGACCACGCGCAAAAGCTCGTCATCGGTGTCTCCTGCTTGGAGGCCCTGCAGTAACCTTGATGAAACGAAGTCAGGGACACAGCAACGTAACCCGTCCACATCCAATACCTTCCGAGGCACTGCAACAGCGTTGACGATTGGATGCGACCCGTGGGAGCAGCTTGGTGCAGCAAAAATCGTACTCGGTCCATCTCACGGGGCTTGGGCCCAAAACGGTCCTTCGAGCCACCATGCAAGCAACACGACAAATCGTGCTCGCACATGTCCGCACCACTGCATGCTCGACGAAAAACTTGCCGAGTTTACCGGTGGAAAAGACCGAGCTCCATGCCAAAGTCGTTCCAGCCTCTGAACCTGACAGGCACCATATCCAGCATTCGCAGTCTTCAACGCGGAATGCATTCAGCTGCTGGCCATCCAAACAATTGCAAGCGTCATAGCTACGCCACCTTAGAAGCTGAGAGGCGTGGCTTCAGACTGGGGACTGACTGCGTGCGGAGCTCATGCTGCACACCCACCAGCATCGAGGCAAGGACGAAGCATGCTGGCTTCGAACAAATGAGCCGTCACCAAGTTCCAAACTCGGCATGACATCTTCCAGTCTGAACGAAACAGCACAACAGCTGCCTGAGCTCGCTTGCCGAACGGAAATGGCAACGAAGCGATTGGGCTGAAGATTGTGTGGTGTGGCACCTTAACCAAACAACGAAGATTTCGTTTGCTGGACGGTGCAAAAATGAGGCTGACACCAATGCAAAGGTATCGTCCACGGTCATGGGCATCACGCCATGACACAAAGACATTGTGCCGACCTTACTCTGCGACAGGCTGCTATGCAAAAGCTGATGATGATGGAAAGCCCACATTCCAAGCCCACGGTCTGTCTGAGCGATGCGCCAACCCACCCAACCTGCACGAAACGTGGGCGCAAACAAGCTATCTGCCAAGAGCCGTGGTCACATGTCGTCACTATGCAATTCAGGATTGAAACAACGAGGTCGAGGCAAGTTTGCGTAGGACACAGGCAAACCCAACGCGTTGGCATTGTCGATGACATCTGACCTCCGGCCGCTGCCAAACAGTTCTGCGTGTTGCGGCCAAGCCAAGATTTATCTGAGCTGGGCACGACGTCCGCGCGTCCATGTACAGGGTGTTTTGGTGCTTGGTGGGCAACTATGTTCCCAAGCAGCGCTGGCGCGCTTGGCAGAAATCCGCATTCCTCATCTTGAGCCTAGAACTCCCCCCCCCGCCAACACTGAAAGAAATCATTCACGGACCTCTGTCTGTGGCCACATCACCTAACAGTTCTTCTTTGTTCTCAAGCACCTTTGGAACAAACCAGGACGCGGTCCCACTGCAACAGGCCCAAAACAACCAACGCGACACCCTGCGGCGGCAAGTTCGAGCTTTTAGGCATGAGGACGGGCTTTCAAGGGAGGCGACTTGGGATGAAGGGTGGCTGGGAGGGGTGCTTTTCCATCGACAAACAACGGTAAACAGATGAGGCTTGCTGCCAAGGAACGGGCAGCGAGGCGAGGCAAGCAGCGCAGACCACCGCAGGGCGGGCGCAGACGTGACCGCTGCCCGTGCGGCAAGCGAAGCAGCATGAGCGCGCCGAGCAGTCTGACGAATTCAGCGGTGCGCGGGGACCACCGCCCTCCAAATATGTTGCGGTCCTGTGCGGAACAGAATACTGCGGTGGGAGCAACTGGAGCAAACGAAGAGACGCGCAGTACAACAGCAGTAGCCACGAGACATGCAAGTCATAGGAAAAAATGCAGGAAACGGTGAGTTGGAGCTAGGCAGCGACGGCTTCGTCCGTTCCCAGGGAGCTGCCCAAGGATAACAACTTGGGCGCTGCCAAATCGGGGGCGGTTACCGACAACCTCAATGCAGCGTCCGTCGCTCGCGAGCACACCGAAATTGAGGTCACGGAGGGCGACGTGTCCGACAACCCGGGCGCCCGCTTGGCAAACTACAAAGGACCGGCTTTGCGCGCCGACAACCTAACACGCGCCCAAGCCGAGCAGTGGTCGCCCTATCCGGGCAACCTCCATAAGCTCAGCGCTTCGGGCACGTACTACGTAGCGCATCCATATCTATAACCGTCATGGCAGCGATGCACCCCACTCCTTGTGGGCTAACACGAAAAGGCAACCCTACGTGACGGAGTCCCAGCAATATTGTGCATCTGCGGCAGCTACTCAGCGCACTTGGAGGTGAGTGCACGTAGGCAGCGAAGGTCAAAGTAATCCGACGCTGTTGCGCACTTTGCTCTGTGCCCGTGCGAGTCACGAAGACAAAAACATTTCGCATTGAAGGCCACACTGGTAAATGCCCTACATCGGACCACGAGCTATGACCACGAAAACGCGACATGTTCAAGTTTTTGCGAAAAAAAAAAAATTGAATATCGCTTGACCTTGCTGTCGCTTGGGCTCACTGTCGCCATTGTGGCTGCGCAGAATGTGCCAGGCATTCTTCACCCTCAAATTCATTACAACGATTCACAACGTAATTACGCAGGAGCGAAAGAGCTCCCGCTGATTGTATCGCTCTGATACACATGTGGTAATCACAGCAAACAACTATGTCGCGGACAGCCGTGCTTTACGTATTCGACACGGAATGAAACAAAACCCGCAATCAAACTATGGAAGGCGTGTTTGCAACATCCTAGCTAGCAATATGCCAAGTTATGGCGTGAGCTTGTTGTTAAATTGAAGTCATCAAGGGCTGCGTTGGAATTAGCCGGCTTATCGGCTTATCGTTGAATGCAGCGAAGATTCACATGATCCCAACTGCCACTTCGCTGATGTTTTTTTTGTACATGCATCTTGACATCGCGCCAGCTTGAACAGCTTGACATATAAGCCAACAGAACTGTTGCGCGGCATTTTTGGATGGTCCCGCGACGCTGATGAAAGTTGGGAAAAAACGATGCGCTGCATGAACGCTCGTTCACTGCCCTCGGCCAGCCGTGGCCCCGAGCCACCGCATACCACCAGCGTCGAGAGCCCTCCGCTCGACTGCGCACTCGGCTTCGCCGAAGCCGAAGGGCCGAGCCGCCTGCCGCGGCGACCCTAAGCGAAGTAGCAACGTGAGGGCCTCGGGCTCCCGTAGGCCCTGATGACCGGAAAGGAAGTGGGCAGGAGCAAAAGGGCATGTGGAAAAAGAATCACAAAATGTTTGATCCGCGGGATGGGCGACCTCTGTTTTTTCTCCAAGGCACCTCTGCACTGACGTCCGAACTAGCAAGGTCCCAGTGCAGACCCGAGTCCAGGCCCGACTGCAAACATCTGCAAACCACGTTGCGTGAGGGACGCCGCTGGCGCGGAGTGGCTCGAAGGCGACACGCGCTGGTGGAGCTTAAACACCGCCGAAGCCACATGCCACAGAACATGGCAGGTTTGGAACTTGTTGGGTTAGCTGCTCTTTTTTCGCAAGCTGCCCGTGACCTCCGCGGAGGGAAAGGACACGGCTGACCATGGACGGCGAGTGGCACTGTCTATCCATGCTGGCACAGGTGCAACGAAGTGCATAGCCACAGCGCATTGAAAAAGGAAATGCCGAACCGATTCAGCATCCGAGCTGCCACACAGCCTGCAACACGGCGGAGCGCACAGCAGCTGGTTTGAGAAGTATCTTCACAGTTTCAGCTGCCTCCAGGCTGAGAGATGGCCGAATTGACGGGAGGGAAAATCTCTGCAATGTAAACGGTTCTTTGGGGAGTGACTAAGTCTTCATTTGAACACGAACATGCGGCCTCTGTTCGAGCATGCCCGAGCTGCGCCCGGTGTTCGCAGGTCTTGATGGCGACACCACGCCAGTGAACGGGGGAATCGCAAGGCATGACTCCTTCGCCTGCACAGCTGCTGGCCAGGAGGACGGCCCCACTTCAGCATCAGGATTGAATTTTGATGGCTGTACCAAGGATCTGCTGCGGAACGCTTCCGAAGCATCATGGCGCGCGCCCAGGCAATCGCTGATAGACGGTCCTCGAAACCCAACTCCAGTGCACAGCCAGTGTTTTTTTTCATCCAGGAAGCTTGCATGGAGTTGAGCTTTTCGTCGCTACACGGAGTGTAGCTCAACACCGAATGCAACTAGCGGCGGCATTCGAGTCCGTACAGGTAGCAACGGTGCATGCATGTGTAAGCCTAACGTGCTCAAGTCCACTATCAGCAAATGCATCTTGGAAGATCCTCCGGACAGGATGTGGTGAAATGTGGTGAAGATGCGCTCGACCATTATAGCGGTTACCCAGCACAATGCCCAGCTGCACGTGTTAGTCTGCAAACTTTACCTCCGAACCTTGGGGCTGCAAGGGGCGGCGCCTGCCGAAGTTGTTCACGATCACCTTATTCTTGCCTTCATGTAAACATACTGGTCTTCAGAAGCAACTCACTCAAGCAGGGCTACAGCAACAGCAGCCTAACCCCAGGATGCTATAGCGACGCGCGTGTCATCAACGAAGGAGCGCAGAGTATGCGACGGAGGAGGGCTGAACGAACAGACCGGCTCGAGCCTCCGCTCTGAGTCACGTCCGAGCAATTCTCCCGGACGCAACTCCCACCCTTGCACCCGACTTCGCAATGAGGCGCCGCCTTCGGCTGCCCTGGCCGCTCACGGCGCTGCGCGGAAGCGCAGACGGCCGACACGGCAGCGGGGCTCAGGTCGATGCATACACGGGCCTTCAGTCGCTTATGAAACGCTCATGAGGCAGTCCGTCCGGAAGGCGGGCCGTGCCACAACAGTGGCTGTCACGCACAGCACCAGAGGTCCACGCCGACAACCGTGGCTGCCTCAATTTCGTTGTCTACGGAACAGCAAGCATCGGCGAGGCCTTGTGCTGCGACGCAACCCTCGTCTCCCCACTTACTCTCACTGGCCACCCTTTGCTCGGGTTTGATGCGCGAGCGGAGGTCGCGCTTGTTGAAGCATGCAGACGTGAAATCGTGTGCTACCCGGAGCTGACCCGCGGACAGCCTCAACGGCTTCTGGTCGTTGCCAACGCTGGGGGTCGCTGAAGCGACGAGTGCCAGCAGTCCTCCATGCCCTGCCCCGGCTCTGTGTCCAATGCGCCCCACCAAGTTTGCACGACTCTGCAGCCCAGGGCTTCGCGATGATGGTGGAGTGTGCTGTCGGTTGCCCTGCAGTGAGCCGTCGCAAACTCTGCGCTTCGCGTGTGGTCCATTCCGCCGCTGCCTCGTGCGCCACATGCGCTCCACTCGGGTGAGTGACGTGGTGGACCTCGCGACTACGTGCCCCAAGTCGGTTACCGGTGCGCTAGCACCCCGTAGGTAGTTGTGCGGACGTATAGATCGGCTGATTTGGTGCCCCATACGCGTGCAGGGATCCAACGCAAAAGCACAAACAATGTTTGGCAGCAGCCATCAATTTGTGTTTGGTCGAAGACGTTGCAAATCATCACGAGTGATTGTGCCGGATACCGTCGTTTGAGCTCGAAGGCATGGAGGATGGCCTAGGGGGGTGTACGTGCTGGGGGGGTGGGACCCCCTAGTATACATTTCCGTGCCGTTACTGCGTAGCCCGACCCCCCCACATTATATATTTCTGGCTCTCTTGCTGGTATGTCCAGGATCTGCCCGTGTATCGCCAACCCCCCCACAGAATACATTACGGACCCCCCCACATAATACATTTCCAGGCCCTGTGTAGTTTCAAGAAGTTGCAATGCCCGGTTCGCACGAACAGCGCAAGCAGGCATGCACAGACTCATGATTGCTACCGTGTCTGGAGACACTGCTCGGGGATTTAGGGTCTGGGCTACGGTGCCAGG